CAGGGCATCTCTACGTCTACGCCATATTACCATGAACGTCTCGGTCCTTGCACGCCAGCTTCATCACCATCGATGTCCAAGTCCATTGGGCCCTTGCTGACTGCCTGCTGTCTAGGTAGACTACTCCAACCAAGCAGACCTTCAATTCAAGCTAGCTGGCGTCGACACGGTCATCTCGACGATCAGTGGCAATGCTCAATTGGCACTGATTGACGCGGCGGCAGCTGCCCATGTCCGGCGATTTGTACCTTCAGAATTTGGAGGCCCTCCTTCCTTACGTCCTCAAGACGATCTCCTCGACGATGGGCGGCGTGCTGCTATCCTCCGGCTCCACCACCTTGAATCGTCGGGCATGAGATATGCCGTCTTCGCTTGCGGGGTGCTCTATGAAAGATTCGCTCCGGGCGGGATGGTTGCCTCACAGATTGGGTTGCGAAGCGACATTGGACAAGAGGGTGACTATCTGATGGATTTCCGTCGCAGAAGAGCGCAGATTCCATATCTGAACACCGCCGGGCAACCTGCTATGATTTGTATGACTTCTGCACAAGACGTGGCCAGGTTTGTGGTTGCAGCCTTGGATCTGCCTTCATGGCCGCGAGAATTCAGGCTAAGGGGAGAACGCATGAGTGTCCGAGATGTCGTCGCCATCGCCGAAGAAATCCAAGGTATCTAACCCCAGCGCTGCTGCGTGTTGCGCGTTAGCGAGCCAGGTACTGACGGGCGGACAGGGCGATCATTTGAAATTTCCGGCCACACGAGAAGCTCGTTGCAAGATGCTCTGACATATGCACGAGCGGTGGGAGACCAAGCTCGAGAAACCAGGGTTCATCATTTGATCTCTACGGCGGAAGGTCGCTATGATTTCGTCAACACAAACCTCAATCAATTGGTGACGGTCCGTCCGGAGGGATTTCGTGACTGGCTGGTGCGCGTATGGTCGTAGGCATGCTTGAAGCCACAAGAAGGAGACAGGAAGAGATCAGGGGCAATCCTGTCGCTTTCTCCCGCAAGGCTGTTGCAACCAAGACGTCGACACCAGTGGGCGCCAAGAGAAGCATTGTCCACATCTGCTCGATCTTCAGGTACCAGACCAATACCTACATATGTAGGTACAGGGTACCGGGTACGGGGTACGGCCAAAACCCCCGTCATTTCTGCAAGATGCATTTGCGATCAAGTTTGCAGGGTATCTTCCATCGGGCTGGTTGTCATTCACAGGACCGAAGCCGGGCCGAACATTTGTCATCACCTGTGGCTTACCGTCTCCGGAGGAAGCAGATGCGACAGGGGCGAACGGGGTCCTTAGGTCCTTAGGTCCTTAGGTCCCACCCTCACGGTTTCTGTCTTGCGCACGGTCTCCAATCATGACGGAGACGGAGCGGCAGTCTGTCAATCTGTGAGGGTCAACGTGGCATGTCGTCGGCCAATTTGGCCTGAGCCTTCTGCACAGTGCACAGCAATGGTTCAACATGGATGTACGACTCACTGTACGGTTTCTTGTACGGTTTATTGGGGACGATGTCATGACCATGTCGAAAATGACCAACCGAACTTTCGCAACGCTCCATCATAGTCAGGGTGAATTTATAATCGAACAGACTCAGGCTTGTTGCTCTCCGGCGAATATATCTTTCCCTTGACCACGGCCAGATTCTGGCTGAGAAGATAGCTCGCCTCACACCTATTCCAAACCTATTCCAAACCTTGTTCCAACCCCTGTTCCAAACCTGGTGCATCATCCTCTCCTTCTCTCACATTCAGAGCGTCCCCAAGGCCGTCCACAAGATGAAGGCAGTCGTGTCCCAGAACAAAGAAGCCGTCCTCGTCGGCGATCGACCCGTGCCCAAATTACGGGATGACTATCTCCTAGTCAAGACCGTCGCGGTGGCCCTCAACCCGACGGACTGGAAACATGCGTTCTATGGCTTGGCCGCCGAGGGAGGTCTTCTGGGGTGTGACTTTGCCGGCGTGGTCGAAGAGGTCGGCCCGGCCGTGACCAAACCGTGGGCCAAGGGCGATCGGATCTGCGGCGTGGCCCATGGCGGCAACGTCCTCCAGCCCGAAGACGGCGCATTCGCCGAATACATCGTGGCCAAGGGCGACGTGCAGGTCAAGATTCCCGACCACCTGTCGTTCGAGAAGGCCGCGACCGTCAGTCTGGGAGCCACGACCGTTGGCCAGGGCCTATATCAACAGGGGCTGAAACTCAACCTACCCACAGACCCGGTGACGAGCAAGACATTTGTTCTGATCTACGGTGGGAGCTCGGCTACAGGAGCTCTGGGGATCCAGTATGCGAAATTGTGAGTCAAAACACCAGCTCAGTCTCTATCTTTGCACCACCAGCTCAGTATCCTTTTGGCAATTCTTGTTTGTTGCTGCGCGGGTCGACGAGGCTCCCAAACAAGACACGCTCGACAAATCCTACTTCGGTGACACGCTCAACAAACCCTACATACTTCGGTATCTAATATTTCCACGTGGCAGATCCGGCTACACCGTCCTGACGACCTGTTCGCCGCGGAACTTCTCGTACGTGAAGTCGCTCGGCGCGTCCGAAGCGTTCGACTACAACGAGCCCGGCGCGGCGGCGGCGATCCGCAAATCCACCAACAACGCGCTCACGCTGGCTTGGGACACGATCAGCACGGAAGCCAGCGCCCGCTTCTGCGCCGACGCCCTCTCCAGCGACTCTGTGGGAGTCGCCGGCGAGTTGCGCTACGCCGCCATCCTGCCGGTCAAGGCGCCGCGCGACGACGTCCAGACCGTCAACACGCTCATGTACTCTGTCTTTGGCGAGGCGTACGAGTTCGGCCCAAAGAAGATCCCCGCGCTGCCGGAGGATTTCGAGTTTGCAAAGTCCTTCATGGCCCTGACGGAGAAATTGCTGGCCGAGAAGAAGTTGGTCCCGCACAAGGAGCTGGTGGGCAAGAATGGGCTGCAGGGCGTCGTCCAGGGCCTACAAGATATGAAGGACGACAAGGTCAGCGCTAGCAAGCTGGTCTATCTGGTGGAGGAGACGCCTTGATCTGATCCCGATTCGACTAGACTGTCCTGCACTGAATTATACTATATTGCATTTAGGTAGAATGCTATCATATCAGAGCCCAACCTAATGGGACTATATGGACCACGGGCAGACAAGTCCTATGTCCATTTTCCAATTTCCGATTTCCCAATCCAAGTCTTCAGTGGGACTTTATTCGAGGCCTGAGATGACAGGACGAAAAGACCTGCTTCCTAGAACTGAGACCGGGACTCGAGTCTCTTCGTTGGGGATCTTGGATGCAGACCAGGGCACTCACTCACTGTCTGTGTGCCGATCGTTGTATTGCTGTGCCAGAGTCAGTGCCAGTGCCGTGCCACCACTAACCTTGACCATGACCATGACCATGACCCTAACCATGACCAGGAGGACGAGAGACGGCAGCCTCATCTTGTACTACTGTAACTTAGTCACCTGGGTAGTAGGACTGGAGGACGGAGTATACGGTATGTCGGATACGGCGTTAACGAAAGGCTTAAGTAGGCTCCATGTACATACATATCACCCAGACCATGCATGGTTGATATATCCAGCAACTCGGACTAGTATCTAGTATGCGGAGGGAGACAGTACCCGCCACCTAGATACAGTGATGATACGTTCTCTAGGGGTCCTGGAATCCATGTATTTCGCCTTCTAGACATCTAAATATCACTGTAGGATATGTTCAATCTCGTCGTCCGAGACAGACGATCTATCTAGTCTTGTAAGCTGGGCTCGGGCTCGCCTTCATATTTTGGTCTTTTGTCCTCTGTGGCCTGGGCTACGCCGTTGCAAAAACATAAATGAGCTCTTCTCTCCTCCCGGCCATATGGTACTGTACTTAGCAAAAGGGAGTGGTCTAGATACTAGACGGGAAACAGTGCAGGACGCGCAAATTGCCATGATCCTTCGTGAGCATTCCAGCTCCGGGAGCGGTGGCAAGTATGGCGCAACCCGACTTGGCTCGGTGGATTGGACATGATCGGGTTTCTTTCTTTTTTTTCTCTCTCCAGAAATCTGCCGGTCCCTGCAGGAGCCCTCGAACATGCACAATTCTTGGATCCGGCCTCCAAGCTAAAGATGGAAGACGACAGAACTATGCCCCTCCAGTCGTTGATGGATCGAGGGCGGCATCAGGGCTGCCTTCGCATTGACAACCAAGACGGATCCTGCTGGGTTGGCCACGGTCGTGCCATGCGGTGCAGTGCAAGATTGTCTTGCCTTCCACGGTAGGCAGAAGGGTGCTCGCTTGCAGTTCTTCGACTCAGAACGAAATAAGAATGCGACGGTCGAATCTGATGGCCAGCCATGATGTTAGAGTGAACAGCAGGCTTTAGCAAGCTGGTATTGTTATTCGAATTGCAGACGCTGAATGTCGATGGTGCCGAACTCGCCGGTCACCTCGTCGCAATATCTGCCAACGTTGAACTGGGTCTTCTGGCGAGCTCACCACCCTTTGTGGTGAGTAGACTCGACTCTCCTGCCCGACAACAAGGGGCCACTACTCAAATAGACCACTGCTCCAAGGGCCTGCCTTCGTTGTTGAATGCGGCTCTGAAAAATCATACTCTTGTGTTGAACACCAGCTATACGCCAGATCTTCAGGGTTCGTAGTCGACTTTCCCGCCGACGACCTGAAAACCACTCGCCCCGCCCTTCTTCTGGCCATGACTACGCTTCTTGACATCCTCCATCTCGGAAATCATGACCTCGTTGAATTCTTCGGGATTGTCTAGGTAGACATGATGGCCGGCTTTCTTGATGATTACGACTTTGGCGCCACCTTGATCCTCGGCCCTCTCGGCAGGAGACTTGCCCTGCAAAACACGCTCGCGTTCGGCATCGATCTTTTTCTTCGCCGCGTACCCGCCTTTGACGTCCATCCAATCATTCTCGCCATACATGAGGACAACAGGAAACCCGTTCTCACGTCGCGGCTCGGATGAGTTGAGGTTGCTCTGGTCATCGGGCAGCGGCTGTCGCCCGACGCCCTGGATACGGCGAATCAGGGGACTTCTCGCGAATGCGCCGGGGGCCAAGATATACGCCAATGCGTACTCGCCGCTGCCGCGGAGGCGAAACAGACTATAGCTGTAGTCGTGCAACGCCTGCGCTTCCTCGGGGGGCAGGTGTGAGAATCGCCTACTTGTCCACCCTGAAACCAGTCGTGGACCAAACGGGCCAGACCAGCGGACGAAACTGAATGGAGAAACGTTTGCGTCCCACAGGTATGTCAGCCATTTGGGCAGTGGCCGTCTTGGGGCGGCCGCCCCATCGTTGTCCTCATCGCCAGCAGGGATTCGGTTTGGATTCGCCTGTTGCTGGGCCAGCTCTGCCTTCTTTCGCCCATTGAGGAAATTGTTGTTGTCTGTCCGGCTCACGGTCTCGGTGGCCTGATCTTGAGTGAACTCATTCTGGAGTGTAGACGCAGGCGGGTCGGGCATCGCCACATGGGTAGCGTAAGGATCCTCGGGAATCCCAACAGGCGAGGCCAGGATGAGTTTGTTAATTCGGCCCGGGTATTTCAGCGCATAGCAGACAGCCATGTACCCGCCCATACTATGGCCAACCAGGGTCATCTTGTCGATGTTCCGTTTCACACGCCATTCCTCTAGCGAGTCGATGAACCAGGCCTCCGCCTCGGCGATTTGCTGCTCACGCGTCTTGGATTTTATCTTGAACGGGGGTCGCGCCGAGCGACCCATTCCCAACATATCCAAGGCAAATAGTCGCCAACCATTTGGGCGGGATAGAGCTTCAAAGTTCTTATAGAAGAAGCCCAGCCCGGCACCATAGCCGTGCAAAATGACCAGATTCTGGTCGGGGGTCTCTCCGGTGCGCTCCACCGAGAACTCATTCAGCGCCCTGTTCTTGCCAGATAGTGCGACCATGCGTGAGTACCACGTTCGGGGACCGTAGGGGTCAGTGATAGAGTTGGTTGTTACAGGAGAGGCTTTCGCTGCGGGGTCGTTGTTAACCGACATGGTCGAGGGGTTCACAGAAGGTGGTTCGGAACCGGTCTGGACATGGGTCGGTGGTCGCTGCAGGTACGGAATAAAGGAGAGAATCCTGTGTTCTGCCTCTGCGGCGGGTACATTGTTCCACCATTGACTGAATCCTTCCTTGTAACCGAGAGGAAACAGGTTCTCGAAGCGGCTTCTGCGTGGATTCTCGGCTTGGGCGCGTCGAGAGGCCAGTGGACTTTGTTGGCGGTGAGCCTGGAGTTCACTATCCGACTCTGCGGCGTCGGAGGACATGACTGGCGGGCGACGCGATGTTGGAGGGAGGTTTTCAGGTTCGCTCAGCGCTGTGGCGGTCGACTGCCAGCGGTGGCCAACAGGTTGGAGCGGGAGGGGGCGGTGCCTGATGGTGCTGGTGCTTCGGGAAGCTGCCTCTAGAACCGTGAAGGAGAGAATCCGTCTCATACAATGAAAGACAAGGACCAGGCCCACGCAGCAGCGTGAGGCCTTTAGTAGAGAGCGAGAGGAGCAAACACCTGTGGTCCGAGCAGGCAAGTATCTGCCAGTGGATGTTATAAACTGGTGACTCGGAGTTTAGAGTGGTTAGAACAGGGTGAGAGGGTGAGGGGAGGCAAAGGCCAGGCAGAAAGCAATTTCAATGAGCGGGATCTAGAGGCAGCCCTCGACGCACGGCGTGCTATCAACCGAATAGTAGCTGAGGATGAGAGTTCAAGGTGTTGGGATAAATTGTGGCTGCCTGCGCTAGACATCAGCAGCGCCGCCGGAGTCGCCTCCTAAGCCTCCTAAGCCGTTCGCCGTGTCTGCGGGCGCCGGACTTAATGCATCTCTGCCTCCCGTTGCTCCCCTTCGCTCCGAACGCTCGCTCGCCTCCAGCCTTGCATCGTTGAGCCTGAGGCCTTTCGAGATTGGTGGATGCCCGCATCTGCCATTTCACGGTCGTCGTCTTCACATCCTGTATCTCGTCGCATATGTGTACACTGCATACGGAGTACAGAGTACCTATCCATAGGCCCATTAGCCCAGCAGCAGCCGAGGGTCCTTGGCCCAGCCTTGTTTCATCCCACCCTACAGAACACTACACTATCCACTCAACCGGAGCCACGTTCCTCGACCGTGAAAACATTGTCTGTGGTCTCTTGCATTGTATGGTCTGTTGGTGCCCAGAGAACAGAGCTGCATTGACAAGCACCACCAGAGCTGCATTCGCGCGAGAGACTTGGTTGGAGAGGAGACTTACACTTCTCACAGCACGTCCTACATACCCCTCCACCGCATGATTGAACCATCCAACTATTCCTCACCCTCGTCCATGCCTATTGCCATGGCTCGAAGGTGATACACGCCATAAATAGCCGCCTGCAGACATCCAGGCGTCGTCCAACTTACTCGCCAGCATGGCAACCGAAATACGATTGAACCAGATCGTTAAGGGCGCACCTCCATCCGACCTCAAACCTCTTCCGACAGCACCGCTTGCGTCGCTCGGGAAATCGTCGCAAACAGACAAATATGCACCAGATACGCTCCTTTCGACGTTGCCTTCCTCTCCGCCGCAGATCTATCTGAACCTTCTAATCCTCGAGTCCTCACTGCGCGCACAATACTTGCACCTGGTCGGCCGCCGGCGTCTGAACACTTTCTTCCTCCTCCTGCTCGCGCTCTGGAACGGACTCTTCTTCTACGCTCTGTTCCTGCGCCCTCGCGAGGATGGAACCGGTCTCGGCGGCTCCGTGTACTGGATGGTGGAAACCTCGGAAAAATTGGCCTTGATGGGCGGAGTTGTCACTGTCTTGTTGGTCTGGGGTACGGGACAATGGGAACGAGGGATCCGCTGGCCCCGGAAATGGCTGGGCACCACGAACCGCGGGTTACGAGGCTTCAATCTTCGTGTCGTGATAATCCGGGGGAAACTGTGGCGAGAGCTGTTGGGTCACCTGTCCTTCCTCTTGCCTCTGCGTATATTCCGGGAAGCAGGTGGGTTTGACTGGCATCTGGTGGAACATGAAGACGGAACGATCGTGGAAGAAGACCTGGCCCGGGGCGGCGATCACATCATGCTTCTACTGCTCCCGAAATCCTTCAGCCCGGAATTCCGCGAGAACTGGGAAGAATACCGTACAGAGTATTGGGAGAAGGAGAACGAGCGGCGCGCCGGGTTGCGGAGGAAGCTCAATACCCAACGGCGCACGAGGGCAAAGGAGACGGGCGGCTGGAAATGGTGGACCGGCGCATGGCGATTTGCGTCTCACCGACATGCGCGTCGGCACCACGATCTAGAGAAGCATCCGCAAGGTCACTCGCGGCACCCTCATTCGACCCGACACGCCGCTACCGCTGTGTCGGAGAAAGAGACTAGCTCGGCGCGAGGAAACAGACGTCGAACGGGCGTCGACCTGGCCGACTCGACGGGCAACCAAAGCCGACGGTCGTCGCGATCGTCGACGCCACAACTCGAGCTTGACGGCAGCGTCGACCGGCCCATGCTCGCCGAGCGTGTCCGGCGCGGCAGCAGCGTCAGCAGCACGGCGAGCGTGCGCCGCAAGCCGCCTGCCAGGGACCGCAGGGACCATCAGCATCACCGCGACAGTCTCGTCTCCTCAGCAGGAGCTGCTGCGGGAGGAGGAGGAGGAGGAGGAGGGGGCGCTGGAGGATCAGGCCTCAGCATGAGTCCGCTGACTTCCTCTTCCGTCTCTGCTGACACCGGGGAAGACGAGCGCGAAGAACGCCGTCGGCGCCGGAGAGAAAGGGAGGCCGCGCGAGAGAAGAAGAAGCAACGGGAACGGGAGCGAGACGAGCCGAAAGGAAAGAAACTCGACCGCAGAGACAGAGATGAGGCCGGGGCTGCGAGTAGTGGCGCCAGTGCTGCTACCACCCCAAATGATGAGGCGCGTTCAGAGTAGAGTCGATGCGTACGAAGCTGAAGCTGAAGCCGAAGCTGCCGTCGCGGAGGGCTTATATATCTATACCCATCAAGGAGTGTCCATATTCATATGGTATATACTGTTACGAATAAAATTCTTATTCTGACGGCCATTCCATGCTTGAACCTTGGCTGTCACAATTCCTAGTAGTGACCTCTGCCCCTACCCACTGGCAACCCATGGAGACCAACTGTCGTCGGCCTCGCTGTCGACCTCGTCTATCTCTCTCCGTGGCAAAGAAAGACAAGCCCCAGGATCAGGATCAGGATCAGGATCAGGATCAGGACCGGGCTGAAGACCACCCTGGAATCTTGACCCCGTCTCCTCATCCACCGCTGTGCCGTCAATCATGCCGTCCCTATTTTCGGTCGCGGCGTTCTTCAGCCTCCTCCCCAACCGCGGCCGCCAGTTGCTCCGATGATCCAGCACGCTGCAGAACGTCCGATAGCCCAGGAGCGCCGTCAAGACTCGGATCGCCGCACCAGATAGACGAGTAGTCGGACGCGTGGTGGTGGTACCTCAAGACCAGTCGGTGTACACGAGATATACGTGGCAAGCACTAGCGGCGCGAGGACAGCCAGCATGCGCCAGAACCCGACCTTGTCGCATCTCTCGTGGTCCTCCAGCCTCAAATGGGTGAACAGGTACTGTCTAGAGACAGATAAACTTGCCGAATGGCTCTGTGGCCGGGCTGAGGCGGCTGCTGCTGCTGCTGTTGCTGATCGTGGTCGCCTCACAGCCAAGGGAGACCATCCCTCGCCCTCGAATTTGAAGCAGGCTTAGCCTGCCCGGCGAGATGTCAGTTCAGCGAAGTTGACCGGGCTTTGTTGCCGTGACCGTAGTGCGTTAGACATCGCTGTCAAATGATACCGGCCCATGCCCCAGTTGATGCAGACTGTTGACACTAGATTGAGATGCTCATGGTCTCCAGTCTCCAGTAACCGGCCCATCTCACCTGTCGAGGCTCGCTTCCGCTGTGCATCGGTCACACCTACAATCTCCGCCGAGCACGGCTTGTAGTCTAGCTCTCCTCTCGCGAACGTCCTTCTCGTGAATGTCTGTATAGTGATTCCAGATTTCCTCTCCTGCCTTGATGCCCGTCCACGGGACTGCGTTCTCGCCAGCAGAGGGTGACTGCCACACCTTCTCCGTCACCACCGTCAAATTCCTCACACCCGACGGTTTCCAGGTAACAGTCGGGTTACAGCTATGATTCGCCAGACACCAAAGAGGATGTACGGCGGCCACCTCGGGCTTCCCGGTCCACGTCGACTGTTGAGCATCGGCCACTCCTCGGGATTTGGCATACAAGGTTTGGATGATCCACCAGTCGTACTTCTCGAGCCACTGTTTGCTGTAAGGCCTACATCGGACGCGTGAATGCATCAGGATCTCAAACCATTGAAGAGGCAGCTCAACGTGATGGCGGACACTGTAGGGCAAAGTCTTGGGGCCAGTCCGCGAAGGGAGCTGGTCCAGAGTCGGTGTAGGGGAAACGTCGCCCCACAGGTACTTGATCTCGAAAAGGTCAAGCGGATGTACCCCTTGAGTCTCGGCCATCTGCATCGTCCGAGACAGTAGCAGGAAGTACAGATCCCACTCGGGGGTGGTAGAGCTTTCGGCTCGGCCGAGGACATGGATATCTTCGTTACCACTCGTCCCAGGGCAGAAAGGCGTCTGAGGCGGCGGATAGCCCTCGTCGGTTTCCTCGGCCTCCTCATTTGGAGCATGGTATGTGCGTTTTGCAAGCGAATAGCACGCCTCCGAACAGAACGGGATGTTGCAGCCTGAGCAATAGCGTCGGTCACCAGAAGGAATGGTCTCCATGTCAGCTGCACAGGCGTCACAAAGTGCCTCGCCATGTGGCCGAATCGCCGTCAGGACTGACCTTTCTTCCAGAATGGTATCGCCCGCTGCGAGATCCCTTTTGGCGTAAAGGCCGAGCTGAGAAGATGCCTCAGGACCACTAGGCCCATTGCCCGCCGACAAAGTGGGCAGAACAGAGATCTCCACCTCCAAGTCTGGGGCGGCCTCGTGAAGCTTGCCGTTGATCTCATCCAGAGCCTCTCTAGACATCCTGTCGGGCTCATGATCGTTCCAAGGATACACCTGCCGCTGGCTTTGCCCGAACAGTGCAAATTTGGGACACTTCCTCAACTCGGATACGCTGTTCTTGAGGGTTGCATCCGCAGTATAGATTGTCCAAAAGTCGCAAAACTCGTCGACGGCGGCCTCGTGCGGCATGGTCGACTCCTTCTCCTCGGCAGTCTGCAACTGGCGCTTCAGCGCCAGCAAGTCATCAATCCAGAGCTTGGCTTGATGTTGACAGCCTAGGATGAGGGCCGATCTGCACAGGAGAATGAGAGAACGGTACTTGTGGGCCAGCGCCACCGTAGAATCTTCGGATGTCGGCCATGGATCACCGTTGGGTTCGACGGGCTCCAGATCCGAGATATCGGGTCCTTCCAGGGCCACTTCGCACAGCGTATACGAGACGTAAGCATCTGCCAGGGCAAGCTCACTGCATCCTAGAGCCTCGTAGATGACGGCACGCTGCAAGATCAGCTCCGGGGCCGGTCCCGGGCACTCGCCTAGTTGCTGCGTCAATTGATGACGTGCCAGCAACAGAGACGCATATTGGTGTCGTCGACTAGGCAAGGCTTTGATGTATTGCAGGGATACACTGGAGGGAGAGCCTGGGGAGATTTCACAGCTCTTTGTCTTTGGCAGCTGGTCCAGACACTTCTGGAGATAGGCGGGCAGTTGTGGTCTTTCGTCGACAATGTGTCCATCCATGATGGTCGGACCTGGAAGCTCGGAAGTTGGATGGGAGCAGCCCGTTCCGAGAGAAGGAGAAGGAGAGCGAGGATGTTGAGAGAAGGGAGAAGTCGAAGTCGGAGCTGGCGGCGGAATCGGGGCATAAGAATACTGTGTAGGTACATACATCTATCACCAAGTCCGATATTTTTATTCCGCCATCATCCCGGTCTTGGCAAGAAAAGGTTCCTTGTAGTACTGCACCAACTGTACCACCACTACTTAAGATGTCGCTATGTAGGATGGAGGTCCTACCTACTCGTCCTGCCTGCTCCTACCGACGACCTAGGTATCTACCTACCTACCTCTACTACCTCCTACCACCACTACTACCACCGAGTCCTGAGTAGTATCAGTACTACCGCCTACCAGTAGACAGAGTCCATGTCCTGGACGCGAGAGCAAAGTACATGTCTGGAACGTCTGCACGTCCACTGCCAGTTCCACTCTCAACAGAACTCTCGCGGTGTTCGGTATGCAGATGCGGTACCGTCGACATCGACCGGAAGCCGAGTCAAGACTAGACCAAGACCACTGCACAGTTGGCCATCGTACCACAGTGGCGCCAAATTGCCATCCATAATCTGGTTCTGGTTCTGGTTCTGGTTCTGGTTTGAAGCCAGCTACTCCTAGGTAGGCATGTAAAGTACCTGGTATCTGAGCAGTTCAATGTATACCTCGGTAATACCCAAGTTGACCATTGTCATAGGCAGCAGGATGGAGTCCACTTTTCCGCCAACCTTTTCCCAATGTCAATGTCGTGATGCGGTCGACGAGCAACGGCGCATGAAGCTACATCACCTGCAAAGGCACCATGGTCAGCATCCACGCCAGATTCGGGCCATCTCCCCAGAGTGCAAGGACGCTGCTCATACCTGGCAATTCTCGTCCACGACAAAATTGGTGCCTTCGGTCGCCCCAAACCCGTGCCCTCCGATCGCTTCGATTTGGCCTCGTTGTAAAGCCATGGCCAGTCGAGCCAGCATCCCCTCCTGCGTGACACCAGCCATGTCAGCGCGCTAAGATAAAGTCAAATCAGGCGTGAGCTGGTGGACATCATCCAGATCCCCATCACCAGCTCTTCCATGGCACCTACCGTGACATACGTGTCTCCAGCACCGCGTGTCCGTTCCACGTCGTTCTGGGTGATGATTTCATAGCTGCGATGCATTGCTCGTCGACTCCTGAGCCGTTTGGACGAATTTCCGTCCTCCTCTGCCGCCGCATCACTCTCGTCACTCTCGTCATCGTCATCGTCGTCCCGCATCCGTCTGTTGCTTCGGCGGGATCCGAAGCGGAGAGAGCTATGCACTCCGCCGCCGGGGTTGGCAACGTCAATTCCTCGCTCAGCTTTCTCGCGTTCTCGACTGTCCCCGCCGGTGCCAAATATCTTGACCGTGCTGTCAATGCCGCTGCAAGCAATCATCGGTTCGTACGGATGACCCTGGACCACATTGACCACCTCGCCATCTCCCTCTAAGATGTTGAGGATCTGGGTGGTTTTCCGATCCCAAATGAAAAAATGGCCATCGTCCGACCCACTAACCACATACTCGTCGTCCAAGCCGTAATAATTCACATCCTTGACTGTACGGGTATTGCAATGACCCTTGTACATTTTGGTGTGAGATGAGTACGGCACGTGGAGATTCACCAAGGCCCGTTCACGAGACCGTACAAATCCTGCCCGCCGACGGAATAGCATCTGCTCTGGAGCATCGTCATCATCTTCATCCGAATCAGAGTGTTCGGACTCCTCATCCTCATCTTCGTTGTTGTCCTCGTCATCATCCTCGTCGTGAACATCCCGGTCTTCATCCTCAACAGCATCCTCGATGTGTATTGTAAGAGGCGTGCTCATCTCAACGTCGAAATGACTCGATCTCTCGGCGGTGCCACGAGTCGTCTGCGGCAACGCCGATATTGAATCAGATGCACGGTCATCGACCATAGACGCTGTTGACGCGTCAGTCCTCACAATGTCAATGGCTTCCACCAGGCGTTCTTCCTCATCAGGATCGATGTCTTCTTGTGACCGCTCTGCTCTTTCCGATTCAGGCAAGGCCTGCACTCCCAAGCCTCCAAAGGCACGATTGACAAAATCAAATGTGACCCCTTCAGCGGCGCGCAGCAGAAGAGCGCGGCCAACCTTGACACCCCAGAATCGTGCTGCAGCCCCTTTATCCATCACCCGGATAGTGGTGTCGGGGCTAGAGGACTCTGTCTGTATTTCCGACATGCCCTGTCTTGTCTCCAGTCTGATACTGGCAAGGCCCCTCATAAACGCCTTCACGGCCGACTTTTGACTTTCAAACACCACTCGTGTTTCGTTGCGCTCGAATCTGTTTGTGTCTAAGTCGGGGATTGACACGCTGTCGTCTGCGACATCGCAGAGGTATGATTCAAGTTTTGCCACGAAGGTGTCTACCGTGTCGTCCTGATCAAGCGGAAAGCGCGGGCTTTCACCACTCACATTGGCGGGTCTCTTGAATCCCTGCAAGACGGCCTCCTGACCCCCGTCCAACCAAAGAAGCACGGCTTTCAAGAAATCATAACAGAACCTCGATTGAGGGAGGATATTTTTGCCTTCATGAGCAGCGGGCTTGATCTGGTCGAAATAAGTCAACCGAACGTCTGCAGCAGAACTCAGGCTCTGCAGACGACCTCCCAGACATCTAGCCAGGCAGCCTGCTGCTTGGACAAAACGCCAGCTTGCCTGACGGTTCTTTCTCAAAGTGTTTTGGAATATGACGTCTTCCTCCGTCGGATTTATTGGATAGGACCAGGTCCGCATGGTCTCTTCCATCTGAGGGAGGAGAGAAGCACACTGGCCTAGTGCCGAAGTGAACACTGCAGTATGGGGTGTAAGATCTGAGGAGTTCTCCATTAACAATGCCGTATCTGCATGTAGTAAGGAGGAAAAGTCGAACAATGTCTTTCGCAGACGAACCAGTGATCTTGCCACTCGCTCACTCGATCTCAGAGCCTCCGAGAGCAAGTGATTTTGGGAAGACGTGTGCTCCAAGGTCGGAACGGAAGGATGGACAGGAAGGCGAATCAACTCGGCTTGTCCTTCCTCGTAACGTGCCAGTAAAGCGGGATGTCCTTCTTGTACCTCGTTGTCCGAAATGCGCCGTAGTCGTCTACTAGGATTGGCCGATTCTGCCAAACTACTTGAGGAAGCATTTGCCTTCCCTCTTTTCCTCTTGCGCTCAGATTGGTTTCTCAGACGACTGGAGTGAAAAGCCTCATCTGCTCTGACATCGGCATCTCTCGCATCGGGAGACTTGACAATGTCAAAGCTGTAAATATAATCTGCGGACCACGAAGCGATCATCTCGTTGGGATTGGCGTTACTGATTTTGCAAGCCGTGATATGACCATGGTCATTTGGACTCATCTTGCGCTTGTTGTTGGGGGCAAAGCGCCGTACACACCTTGTAGCTTCTGCCATTGCCTCATCTTCGTAGGTTCCAACGACAGGTTTCCGGGTTTCAGGACGTCCTTTCTCTGCACCTAGATCTCGACCAAGCATGCGTCGGTCGTGCAAAAAGCAATGAAGATGAGCTCCACCGAGTGCGATGTATTGTGGCTGACTGGATGCACAGGAGATGGTGTTCAAATCCAGACCATATCTCTTGTAGGAAATGAGCGGCGCAGGCGGATCACCGACTTCACTCTCTGCGCTTGCACGAAACCTGGAATACCCTCGCCCTCCCTGGGGAGGCGGGTATGCTGACGAGGGCTGTCTGAGATCCCACTGGCGTACCTCTCCATCCTCGGAACAGGTCAAGAAGAGATGAGGACTTGACTCTGTTACAATGCGTTTGACCCGGTCTGCATGGCTTCGATACACCCGAGCATTCGTATTGCCTTCGTTCAGCCATCTAGCGTGGCCGAAAAAGTTATTGAACCTCCGACTTCTTGTGCTTGCGGAAAGGGTCGAATCGGCAGAGCCACTGCTCGCTGCAACTCCATATTCAAGGTCGAATACGCGCACCTCGGAGTCTCCTGCGCAAGTCACCACGGTGCGATCGTTCGAGTGAGGCATGAACTTGACGGAAAAAATGTTGGCACGATGACCGGTGCTCACACTCGTATTCAGAGTGAAGGGTTTGGCCAGTGCGGACGGATTGTAGTCCCAGATGTTGAGATAGGTATCGTCGGAACCCGAGGCGAGGAGGTTGCCACTTGAAGACCAGCTGCCACAATCAGTCAACGTAAGGTACGTGGCAGACGGGAAGGGGAAAAAACTGTACCTCAGAGCATTGACGCAACCGGTATGAGCTCCCAGCTCGTTGATGATATCCAGATCATGAACCCATGTTTTGTCACCATACAATGTCTTCACAGACCGGCCTATTCTTGCCTCCCCCAAAGACCGTTTCAACAGCTTGACATCAAAGTTGTCGCCGCTCATCGTGAACTAAGAGCCAGATATCGTTGGAGCCAGCGGCACGTCTGCATACAGGCGGACGCATGCAGAGCAATGCGGCCTCCGTAGGGAGAATCGCTGCCTCGGCTTGATGTTCCAGGAACCGATGAGCGTAAGCTGAGGCTCGAAACGATCGATCGAGTCTGTCCCGTTCGACTTGGAGGTGTGGATGGAGGATGGGATGGCATGTGGGAACAGACGCTAGAATTCGACCAAAGGTGGCGAACCGAATATCCTTGTCTCGACGTGTTAGCTGCAGTGACACAGGTGACGCCTTATGAAGCGGATGGAGCGAGGAGAAGGGGACGAATGAATGGTGTAACAGGTTCTTTGGTCGTGTCCACCAAGTGCTGAGGTGATGTTATGTACATAGCAGTACTCTGTGGTAGGAGGTCGACAGCAATGTAGGCCGTCTGGCGTCCCCCCCCCGCTGTTCCCGGCCTCCCTAGCCTTAGGCCTAAGCCTTGCTCCGGCCAGTGCCGGTCACTAGTACAATATTAGCTGCTTTAGCTTTCCTTCAGCATCCATCTCGTGCAAATCAGCTTCACGGGACGATTATGGAGTTCTATTGAAGTCCAATGCCTACCTAGGTACTCTACAAGAGTCAGCTTCTCTAGAGTACGGAGTAAAGGCTGTCTGTGTACCAGGCCCCGTAATGATTTCATCGTAAGCCAAGACGAGGCTGCCCCCCTCATGCCTTCAAAATTCCTTGCTCTAGAGTATGTATGCTGTGTGGTTCCACTCGTTACTACAATGTGACTATCTCGAGGAGGTTCGCGCCTCATCACCTAAGCTATCCTCTGACCAGTCCTTCCTGCTTGCAAGTGCATCCCGAAGTCTCTTCATCGTGCTGATGGCATTATCAATCTGTTCAGTCTCTGGGGCCAAATCCTGCAGCACTAGCTCTAATTCGACACAATGTCGCCTGACGTTGAGAAGTTCTTTTCTGAGAAGCTCCACGGAGTCGGACGCCAAAATCGGATCGTTTGCCACTGGGTTGGGGGTGCCAGACACCAGCTTTCGCCCAGGGAGGATATCGTTTCGAGACTCGAGCACTTCAATTCGGTTCTGCAGTGATATCCGTTCCTGTTCCCAAGCCTCTCGATCGGCCTTGTGTTGGCGAGCCTCTTCCGCACCTTTCTGCTGTAGCTGCGAAGACATGGCCATGATTTGCCTCCATTGCGCGACATCCGCCGAGGACTGCTTGTGAATCTCGTCGCGAGACTTGGTAAGGTCTTGCACCTGGACTTCTAAAGCGTCGACCTGCTGTTGAAGCTGGATTTTGTCTTCTGTCAAAATGTTGATTTCGTGATCCGAGACTTGAGACTTTTTCTCAAGAGCAGTGCATCGAATCTGCGACCTAGAAAATGCTGCCAGGAGATGGTCATGTTCGCGCTGTAGGGTCTGCAGAGCCAATGTCTTGGTTGAGATCTGATGTTGGAGGTCCTGAAGGTGAGTATTGTGTGCGGCTTGGGTGGAAGTGTGCGAATATTGTGCTGAGCTTGAACTGGGTGTTCGCGGATATTGTGCGCCTGGAGGCGAGGGTAAGGTCCGGGAGGATGGTTGAGATTGTATTGGCGATGGGACAGAGCCGAAGACCGCAGGCGTAGACGACGGTTGAGTCGATTGTGCCGTTCCCGGCAGCGTCTGCTCATGCGCTTGGTTCGGTCGCATTTCATCGCTCTGCAGAATAGGAGGTAATTGTTGCTCGAAAAGTCGAGGTATCTGTTCAGGAGGAGAATCGATAGCCCTTCGGTGAAGATCGTCGCTTCGAGCAGGGTCGAGGTGGAAGGGCATCCGGCGAAGGGGTTTGATATGCGAGGAAGCAGCTGATGCCTGGACTTGTATTGACAATCGTCGCAAGTCCTTTACACCTGACGGCTGGACAGCATCGGCCAAAGGCGGTAACTCCGGTTTGGAAGGCGCATTTTCCTGCACAAGGCGAGACGTGTTCCGAATTTCATCGGCCGCCCACAAGAGAGACTTTCTGAGGCCTAGCTTAGTGATTTCCAGACCAATAGACTATTGTCCGTGGGGGTCAGCATGCCCCCTCAAGATGAAGTCAAGGGCAACTTACCATACTGGGACTCTGCCGGCCCGTGGGAATTGCTAAAGCTTGGGTAATCTGATATTGAAGATCCAAAAACCCGCTGACCAATTCCAGTACCAGGGACTCGGTATCTGAACAATTCGCACAGGGTCCGAGAGGTGACCGGTATGGGGCGCCGCCTCCCCGGAGCCGCGAGGGAGAACGAGGCTCTGGAGGGTATATGTAGTGACTTGTCTGGCGGCGAAGATGCAATCAGCGGGAATTCTTCAACAACGCCTGTGACTGTCATGCGGACCACTGCACAGGTACCTACTTGAGTATCCGTTTTGCCTTGCAACGATGTCTCCCCTGCTTCCACATCTTTAGACATGTAGTCCAAGCGCAGCCGTTTGTCTGGTGGCTCTTCCATCTCTCTGCGCGGGATAGGACCTCTCGAGGGCCAAACATGCCGGTCCCATGGCAAGGATGATTCGGTGACGAGGGGCTGCTCCGAATGAACTAGGGGTGATTCACGTTTGCGCGGCGTAAGATCAATGGATGGGTCGGCTGAGCCATCTGGGCGTCGGAACTCTGGTGCACTTCTCAGGCGGGAGAGTATGACGCCAAAGGGAGGAGGTTTCCACACTTCATCCGGGTCGGTCTGAGCATAGGGATCTCCCTCCATCATCCCTAGCAACCTTCCCCCAGCTTCGAATCCTTTTTGCAGAGGAGTAGGATTTGCAGGGCAGCATTTGTTGCGTGCGCAGGTGCAAGGTAGACACCCGAGGTGGCGAGGCAGTCGCCCGAGCTATTGGACGGCGGTACGAGCGGAGGCGAGGGATCTTTTTCGTTTCCGCCAGGGTTTATCGCTGAGGGTCAGCGCAGGAGGCTAGTTTGGGAAACTGCATGTTCGCAAGGTGCGATGAAAGCCGGTGCGCACACATACCGAGGCGGGCGTGGCGGGATTGCGTATCAAGAAGTCCACAATGACGAGTGAGGAGTGAGGAGTGAGGGATGGGGCGAAGGCAAGAGTGCGACCCGGATTAAGAGGAGGCGTCTGAGGTGAGAGACGGTGGGCAAACAAGAGGACGACCCGGGAGTTGGGGACGACACTACTATAGGTACGATGACAAGGTCGGTTCAGCAGTCGAGCAGAGTGTGAGAAAGCAGCTCATCAGAGGGTTGCATGGCATGAGGAGCGTCAGCGGGCAAAAAGACCACGGCTGCGGTCGGAGTGCTGAGGGTGCGGTGGTGTGCAGGTTTGGGTTAGGACTGGACAAGCTTAGCATCCCGCTGTGGTGGACACTGGACAGCCCTAAGCCCTCATCTGGATTGGGGAGAACGATGGGCCCAGGCCTGAGGAGCCCCATCAAGCCCCCTCTGAGAGAAGGACTCTTACGACCTGAAGGGACGGACTCACTATTCGTTGTCGAGGGATGATGGGAGTGGGAGTGGGAATGACTTTTATTAATCAGGTATATTTTTTTCGTCCTTGGGTTTCCTACATGCCGAGGTGGTCCTGTTGGGTGTTGGGTATGCAGAGAAGCAGCGGACCAAGACAAGACGCATGGGCTTCTTCATAAGGGTCAATGCGAGGCAGACAAATCGGAGAATTTCCCAGGTGTCATGAGAGAGACTGCAGACAACAGCATCTTACGGAGTACCTGGTAGTAGATACCTAGAGATGGACTTCTCCATACGGACTACAGATACTTAGGTACCTACCTAGGTACCTACCTAGGTACTATAAGATTCTGTATACTGTCACGATGTGCAGTTATCTTGAACCATTCACTGGCACTGGCCGCAATCAAAACTGCAATCCTGATGCCAGTGCCAACGCCCAACGCCAGTGAGGAGCAGATACTGCCAAGCCACACTTGTTCTTGCTAGTAGCCTAAGGCCAATTCGTCAGGGCTTATGTAATTGTAGTACGGTACTTCGTCACCCGTCACAGCGTATTGCCTATTGCTGCTAAACCTTCCTCTTCACACTGACAGCTCTGGTTAGTCAGTGACCACAAGCTGCCATGATGAGATGCGCGGTTAGTAATAATGCAGAATAGTGCACAGGCTGTGCTCGTATGTCTCGCAGTCTAACCCGTGTGGCGCCTATTACTACATGTATGGGTACATGTACTCCATTCCTACTAGGTGCCTACTAGGTACTCGTAGTAGCCTGTAGGTAGTAGTACGTAGTACGGAGTACGTACTGGGCCTTGGTCGGCAGGGTTCCGCACCCCACCACGTGGTGCCCATTGTGGTTAGCCTTGGCCGTTCAGATAAATTACCGTATCCATCAGGCCTGGTATCCATACTCCCGTACTCTTCAGGGCCCAGGCTACCTGAGGTAAAGTAGGTCTAAGGTACCTCTAGTAGGTACCTAGGTACATGGTAGGTCCCTCCTACACAGTGTACAACCGAGCCATTAGAAGCTGTAGCCCATCCAATCACGTCGGATGCTTCGACCCGCCGGCCCGCGAGTATCACGCTCTCCATCCTCAAGCCTGCTGCGTATGGAGTACGGACACAATAAAGGCTCATACTGAGTGGAATGTTCCATGCATACCTACGGTATCTACCGCGCACACTTGGATCCCACTGCTGTACGTACCTCACCCAGCATGGATACATGTCCTAGGTTGCTGGAAGGAGCAGACATAAGACGCGAGGCTGGCTGAGCTACAACCGCTGCTCAGACAGGCTGGATTCTTCCTCAATGGTGGCGACACGTGCCTACCGCGACGAGGTACTGAATGAAAAATACCCACTAATGATCCGCCAAATCCCGCCCACCGAGCGGCGAGCACAGATATCGCGAACAAGTGTGCTCAAAGTTGCAGTGCACTTTGACCGCTTTCTTGACGTCTGGAAATCTGGCCAGCCTCTGCAATGCATTGGCGAATTCTGATAGCAGCTTCGCTGTCGACACTTGATGTTCTCCCGATGCAAGAGCCTGGGACAATATGTCAAAAGGCTCACCGACGTGGCAATTGATCTTCCTCCCGTCTATCCCATATGCCTTTCCTCTCGGCGAGATGGCTGGCTTGTCCGTAACCATGTCCCTCCACTTCAGACAGAGCCCGTGTGACTGCGGCTTCCATCCACTCCTGTTCACGTCGCAGGATCAGGACCTCTATATCCCTACAAATCGCGATCTCCTGCAGTACTTGGTCCGCCAGCCTAGAGTGCATATGAATCAGCAGACCAATCGACGAAGAGACACTCGGCCCTTGTAGATCTGCCAGTGAATCCGCGCAGGTCTGGACTCTCTTCTGCACGCTTGTGAGCCTGTCTGACCATTGCGGGTCCAGCGGAGCGAGTTGACTTAGTGATGCACCATTCGGACTTGTAGAAGCGGCGGAAATCTGCCACTCTTCAAATAGGCGCATAACAGAATCAAGCGGTCCAAATGGCTTAGTGATACACGTAAGTTCTCTTATCGAGTGTGCTAAGACAAGAAGTCTGTTCGATGCCGCTGATGTTGTTGAGCGCTGCTCTCTTCCAGCGTGAAGCCAGGATTTTGCCACATAAGCGTTAGCTTTAGCCTGACTTTCTCCTTCTAGAGATGCAAGGGTTTGGAGTTGCTGACTCAGATCATCAGACCACGCTGATAGCTGTAACGTGATGCTTTTCTGGTACGCCCGAAGGGTAGTTGCAGCAGTATCGTGCAGCAGGGTCAGCTGCAGCAGTTCGTCTTGTAAGTGCCGACCTTCGGCCGAAGCTTCACTAGAGCTCCCGCCACCGCCTCCCGATCGACTGAGCGTGGATGTTGATGATGGGACTTGTTTTGTCTTCTTCGGGCTGAAGTGTTGCTTGTAGCTGTTGAATTCGGGCTTCTTGAGGGCGGGGTTGTCAACCAATGCAGTTGCTCCTTTCGACAGTGGTCGGGCAGGCCTTGCAACCGCTTCAGGCAGAGTTCGACTCCGAATATCTGACCTGGTTGAAGCGCTCAAGGTCCGACTGTGCGATAACTTGGCGGAGGTGATGACAGGCTTCGGCATTGCAACATGTGAGGCGTTCACCTTAGCATCTTTGGCAGGACCTTTCCCCACACTCGCGGTCGACAGGTTTCTCGCATGCCCTGATACTGGCGTACTGGCTGGAACTCTCCTTGGGATACCAAGACGAGGTTCACGAGCTTGCCTCGTAGTAGTCGCGTCTGGTTTTGGCTGGGGTCTCGGCTTAAAAACATTGTTGGCTAGCCTCGTCTGGGGTGCTGGCTGGGGAGCCGCGTCTGGTGACGGATTCTCTCCAGCTGGATCTGTTCTCGAGGGAGATTGGGTTCTGGTCGGGATGGGCATGAGGCATGTTGCTGAGCGCGAGGGTGAAAGTGCAATGCCTGTGCTTCCAGTTGTTTGAGCGAGTCGCTATAATAAGGCACCTAGATAGGCGTTGGGATCTAATCTGCCTGAGTCTCGAGTACGAGTACGGACGCGGAGTACGGACACGGATAAATAGTGTCCAAGTCCAAGTCAGGCAAGTTAGCCGGAAGGGACCAAATGTCTCCGACTGCTAGCACTCCCGCTGCCTCGTACTCGTACTCTGTACCCTGTACCATGCCTTAAAAACATGTTCCAGCTCCATGCAGAGTCCCGAACCAGGCATCAGTGTGCAGAAGCTCCTGAAGCGTTTTAGGAGCAACACTTAGCGCTATGGTCAGAGACCAATCGACATTCTCAGAGCATGAGCTGATTTAGGCAGTCAGCCATCTCCTCTCAGTGGCTGTCGGAGAGATATCGATCCCTGCACAATGTCTCCGAGAGCTAAAGGAGTAGATCTTCAGACCCTGTTGTGGTTGCCTGTCTACACTCTCTTTCAATCTTCCTTTCCTCCCGTAAAATGAGAAAATCCCGAATCCAGGCACTCATACTAGCTATCACCAGGAACGACACGACTTCATCTTCCAATTCCCGCACACTAGCGGCCCCCGTCTTTCAATCAACCATGGCTACCACCCCAAAGCAAGACAAATCGGGCTGGGAATCCAGGGATATTGCCAAAGCATACTCATCAGCAGAGGCTGTCACAGGCCCGTACGCGCAGGATCTGCTTGACCGTACGATCTTGCCCGACGTCGACAGCGACAAGAGACTGGTTGTCCTCGACCTAGCCTGCGGCACTGGTGTTATATCGGCCAAACTGATGGACATGATAAGCCAGAACAAGAGCAATAACAGCGGCGATGGAGAAAACGTGAAGGACACACCCCCCATGACGAGACCGACCCTGAGCCTGACGTGCACCGACTTCTCCGACGCAATGATCGATGCCGTCACCCTCCGCATCAAGAATTGTGGGTGGCCAAACACCAAAGCCATCAAATCTGACGCCATGGACACCAAGCTTCCTAGTGCCGAGTACACGCATGTGCTGATGAACTTTGGCCCGTTTGTCTTGCCGGACTGGCTGGCCGGGCTTCGTGAAATGCACCGCATGCTGCAGCCCGGTGGGATATTGGGCTTCTCGTCGTGGAAGAAGGTCGGGTGGTATGCCGACGTACGTGCCGCATTGGAAACGGACCCCGAGCTCCCCGCTATCACGCTCAACGAAGGCATGCGCGGTCTAATGACTCCCGACGGACATTGGGATGATGAGGAGTGGGTCAAGCTGACAGTCCAAAAGGCCGGATTCGAGGATGTTACCGTGGAAGCCAACCCATATACAGGCACGATGGGTAATGTTGACGAGTTCTTGGTCCTCATGGGAGGCGTGCTGGGCTTTGTCACCAAGGCTTGGACCAAGGAACAGCAGGACAGATATTTCGACCGAGCAAAGGCCGTCGTCGAGAAATACCTGAGACATAAGTACAACGATGGCGGGATCAGATGGAACTGGGTTGCTATCCTCACCACAGCGAAGAAGCCAACATGATGTCGAGATTTTGGTCAGGCATGTTATTTGTCAATGACAATAATCAAGAAGAGAATTCAGCCAGCCTTTACAGTCTCTGCATCTCAGATGACCCGATTAATGCTGCTTCAAACTTGTTATAATGGTTTCGAAAGCGTCTTTTCCAGTTCAGCAAGTTCGCTTGCTATGGCTTTCTCAAACTAAATCCCGACCGTAGTAGCAGTGATACCTGTTTTTGGGGGTCTTGCCTCGAAGTCTGTTGGAAGGAAGTCTGACTTTGGCGTCCCTGGCATGAAGTTCTCGACTTTGTCTCTCCAATTCGAGGACAGCCCAACTTTAGGTGTCACATAAGATAGCTTCGGCAGGCTTAGGAGGCCTCAAATTTGCCGGCAACAAAGCACAGAGTCGAAAGCGAAAGAACACAAGGCAACGTACGACCATGGGATGGAGTGAATTGTATTCCTTCCCCTTTACTCCGGGTGCCCTAGATCTAGAAAATATTGCATGTCAACGAGATAGTTGTATGTAGACCAACTTCAACAGAGAGGAATTGCCATGATGACGGTAGTTGTAATGATGAGGTCGCTCTAAAACACCAAAACAAGTTCCGACAAACGAACTCTGGAGTTCCCAGGAGGATGACTAGACGCGTCTTTATAAGGTATCACCTAGGTATCAAACCTTTATAGTACTCGTGGTACGAGGCATGTGTTTCTCGGGAGGGGCTGGGAGTTGTCATTTTCCTGTGTCTTCTACCCGGCTCTTTTACACAAACCAACCTCACTCACTTCTCCCGCTTCTGGTGCCTCAGGCTGCGGGACATGAGGCCAAAGAACTGGAACGTGCGAGACCCGGAGGTATGGAAGAGCGAGAGATCGGATGCCGGAAATCGCCATGCGTATCTAGGGGTGGCAAGGTAAGGCTATTGAGTGCACGGGCGGAGGACAGCAAGGGACAAGAGGAATAAATGTGGGATGTCTAAGCTGAGCCGGACATTTCTGCTCACTCAACATGCCGGGGATCCGCGCATTCGTTGTGGGTGAAAGAAAATGAGAGAAAAAGGGACAGCATTGACCCAGTGTGGCGCATAGAACGGCAGTAGAGAAGTAGAAAAGATTCAGCAGGCTACAAGTACGGAGTATAATGGAGTAGTCCTCAATACAGGCGAAAGCGACGTTCGTTCTTCCAGTGCTGCTCCCGACTTTCGTGCTGTGCGTCAGATGCAGGGACGAAAATCTTCCTCCCGCAATATTATTGCCGCCGAACCAGTAAGCGAGCCGCTGGAACCCGAGGTGCCTAAGAAATCTAAACCTCTAGGCATCTTCCTTGGGGGCACCTGGCCACTCAACGCGCTGTCCAAAGTCCCCTGCTGATTCCTAGCGGGCAAGCTTATCGCTAACAAGCCGTTCTCTCTCCCCTAGACTGGCCTGGATGGGCGCCCGTGACTGCAGTGCTCCGTACAATCTCCACACACTTTCACCGGGCACTGCCAGTGGGACGCTCCTAGACACTTTACCTAGCCTGTCTTTTACGATTCCTAAACGACCTCGACTCGATCCTTTCCTCGTCTCCTCTCGCTATTCTTTCTTCGCCTCCGTGGGCTTTCACTCTCCCAAACGGCAGCAGTAGCCACAGAGGCCTGGACGACTCGGGCACGGGGGAGGGTACTGGTTACTTCTCAAGGTTAACTTCCTAGATCAACATCGCAGGTCGGGTTGACCGTCTGTCCTTCCTCAACTGTCCAGGATCGGGCAGGGAATGCTACACACCTACTCTACGGCGAAGGTCCCAGCGTTCGACGAGCAATCTCATAAACACCGCTTTCTGCAGCAGTATGCACACCTTTACCCTTCGCCTCAGTCCAGAGTCTTAGATACACCACTCCAGCCATCAACAAACAGCACAGACTAAGATGGCGCCGCTGACAAACCCCCCTCTAAACCAAACTGCGCCTTCAGACGACCACTTCTCGACCTTTCCCTCCACGGCCGCTCTCCAACTATCTGCCGAGAACATTGAACTCCCTCCTTCTCCTCAATATGAGGCATCCGACCTTCCGACCTTGGCTGCACCGGCCTCTCCTCCGATCGGTCTCGAATCTCATTCCAATGGCAGTGACTATTTCCAAAGCACCACACCTTCCCGTGCCCGCGCCCAGTCTCCTTCAAGAAGGGTAAGGCCACTGTCGACCGGTGGAATCATGGGCTTACCGCCTATGCAACGAGCCCACTCCTCCCCTGGGGTGGACTCATCGGGTCGATACATCGTCCCTTTTGCTACAAACAGACGACCCTCATCGCCGCTACACTCAGGACGGAGGCGCAGCCCCTTGAGGTCAGCAATGGAAGAGACGTACTCAAACTACCCGGGGATATCATCATGGAGCGGCTTGAACATTGAACCAAACATACCGGAGAACGAGGAACTCGAATTCTCGGGGGATATCGAAGCAACCCAACCCTCGCCCATTGCCTCATTTTCAAACACATTTCCCAGATCACGTCGCCGAATAGCAAGCCCATTGCATCAAAGCGCAAGTGCTCCGTCCCTGCATGCAAGAGCTGTGAGTCCTAGTTTGTCGGGGAGGACATCACCGTCACCATCCTTTGCCTCGCAGAAATACACCTACGAAGCATACCCGGCGTATTCGTTCAGCTCCACATCCAGTATGCCCAGCACTCCTACCTCTATCCGATCACGGTCGCCATCTATCAGCTCTCTTGAAACAATTGAGGATACTCCGGACGCCGAAGAGGCAGCCCTTCTTGAAGATGAAGAAGCAAAGCTGAAAGGTGAAGATGGCGAATTAGGTGATTTGCGAAGAAAACCCTCACTTGAGAGTCGCGCGAGCACCCTTCGAAGCAACAAGGAGAGGAAAAGATGGTCGGTTTGTGGGGCGGAGAGAAGGGCCGACTTCTCTTTGGAGCCGATCGAAGAATGATGAAGAGGCAAAAAGTCGGCCGGGCCGATTGGAATGAAATTTAATTTGGGCGTGGCTTCAGACACGAGGGAGTGTCATTACGGGCGCCCTAGGGTGGGCGTTGAATGAGAAACAGTCCAACAAAGATACCCGGATGGCATTGTGTTTTGCTTTTGTTGATGGCATGGGGATTATCCAACAGTCATGGTCACCGGTCATAGGTCATAGCTGCGATGTATGCTTGATGAGAAACGGAAATATGATATGAAGGCTTTGATTTGAATCTCGAGAGTCCCTGAATCCCATGCTCTCACTCACTCGCCTTACGCCGAGTTTTGGTTTGGCATCTGTCAAGTCACTTCAAGTTGCAGCCTTGTCGGGGGTATTTTAGCGCCGTGGATCGCCCGAGGCTGAACCCTGCATGAAATATGATCTGGCCAAATAAGCCTGAGCATTGGGAATTCCCGCCCTGTATGTAACTGCGCCCGAGATTGGACACCACCACTCGAGTCAAACCTTGGACCCGTATCGAAGACAACAGTCCCTGATGTCTTCTCACACATTCTATAGGCTTGGAGAGTAGAGACGTCGAGTATCTCTCGCATCCAGATGGATGCCTTCGGCCAACGTGGCCTCGACGAGGCCGCCTTTGGCGACACTGGCTTGTCGGGGCTCAGGACGTTTGATGCTTTCCGTGAGTACACTTTGCCCCAAATTTGACCATGATTACCAGCGCGGGATCAAGGCTACCGACCCGCGTGCAATTGCTTCAGACCCTCTACCAGACCAGTCGCTGACATACTTCCTTCCCTTCGCAGCCAAAACCAAACCGAGCTACACTTCCGCCACGGCACGCGGGGGTCAATGGACACTGGCGATCATCATCCTCTGCACATGCCTCACAATGAACGAGTTGCGAACGTGGTGGACGGGGAGCGAAACACATCACTTCTCAGTCGAACGGGGCGTCGGGCACGAACTGCAACTCAACCTGGACATCGTGGTGGCGATGCCGTGCCACGACCTGCACGTGAACGTGCAGGACGCGGCCATGGACCGGATCATGGCGGGAGATCTCTTGACGAAAGAAGACACGAACTTTGCAGTCTGGACGGACCCGCGACAGCGGTGGCTACGCAAGAAACACAGGCGCGCCCAGTACCAGGGGCTCCACGGCGGCGACGGCCAGCGCGAGAAGGAGGAGGAAGAAGACTCACACGTCAGCCACGTGCTGGGCCACATGCGAGAGAACCAGGGGCGCAAGTTTACCAAGTCGCCGCATCTGCGCGCCGGCATGGCGGTTGACAGTTGTCGAATCTACGGCTCGCTCGAGGGCAACAAGGTGCAGGGGGACTTCCACATCACGGCGCGCGGGCACGGCTACATGGAGTTCGGGATGCAGCAGCACCTGGACCACGGGCGGTTCAATTTCTCCCACCATATCAACGAGTTGTCGTTTGGTCCGCACTACCCCGGCCTGCTGAACCCGTTGGACAAGACCTCGGCCGTCACCCCGACCGCGCATTTCATGCGGTACCAGTACTACCTGTCCATTGTGCCGACCATCTTCACGAAGCGTCGTGTCGCCACGAGCACCGGCGCTCTCGACCCGGCCGCCATCCCGCAGCCGCCGACGCTCGACATGGCGCCGAACTTGAAGCGCGACAAGGACGGCATCATCCGCCACGTCCCCAACCCCCAGGCCGGTCGGGATTCGAAATCCGTGTTCACGAACCAGTATGCCGCCACGTCGCAGTCGCGCGAGGTGCCTTCCAACACCGTCCCGGGCGTCTTTTTCAAGTATGATATCGAGCCAATCCTGCTGATCGTCAGCGAGCAGAGGTCCAGCTTTCTGGGATTGATCGTAAGGCTCGTCAATGTCATCAGCGGCGTCGTGGTCGCCGGTGGTTGGATGTTTCTGCTGACCGAGTGGGCCGCTGAGGTCTGGGGCCGCCGGAGGCAGAGGAGAAATACCGGGCTTGGGGTCATTAATGGCGACATCAACGGCGACCTGGATCTGAAGCGCTGAAGTCTGCCATCTCCACTACATGATACAGGGGTCGCTCGTACACCAAAGGACACATCACTCTAGCCAAGGGAAAGAATACTTGATGCGGACACATAGCAGCGGCTATATCCTGCGTGGAGTTGCGTTGGTCAAAGTGGCAGCGAATGGCCGTGGTAGCAAAATACTGGGGCAAATAGAACTACAAGGCTTCATCCAGGGTGCGTACTCAGCAGTGCAGTTGGATATAGCATCCCGCGCAGTCTCTAAATGTAGGGGCACTGGAGTCTACATCTTGATGCTACCGCGATAGCAAAATAAGGATATTTTAGCATGCGAAAACAATGCGTTAAGCCGAAAGGGCTCTGATAGTAGCGTTATTCCAAACACGATCGCTCTGTCCTAGCCAATTCTCTGCATGTGGTTCTTGACTAGATCCTCTAGATCCCGCAGATCGAGGTGTTGATACAAATTGTCATTCATCGCTCATCAGATCATAAAAAGTATGGACATGAGGGGGCAAGGAAGACCTCGACGGCATGAGATGCGTGGCATATCCATTGTATCCTGGCCTGAGCGACAAAGTGGCATTCTGTAAGTTGAGGCAGCAAATGTTCGCAGCTTCTTCTACCGAACATCGATCAGAGTCTGTTGTCCGATTCTCTAGACTTGTCGCGACGCAGTGGAATTGCCCTGGCAAAAAGGGCCAGAGCGCAAATAGATCCAGGTTATGATCCCACATCACTTTTTCAAGACGCTGCCCTCCCATGTGCCACGACATCGCGGTAAACATCCTCCGGAAGCTCCCTCACAATCAGAACTGTCATCTTGATTACCTCGTCAGCATTGAGGTTCGGGAAACTTCTTAGCATCTTTGCAGGGCTTGGTTCGCCCAGAAGCTTGTCCTTGAGCAACAAGAGCTGGGCGACGACGCATATAACATTCAGGTGCACCCCGAACGCAAACAAAAAGTCCCATAGCTTCAGGACTTCCGGGAGAGGCGGCGTGCATGCGCAAAGAGTAAGAACGGACGGGAAGGCGTAAATTTTGGCTGGTAATGATTTGCTGAGCAAGAAGGAAGAGAGGGTGGGGTTGATGTACGAAAGGATTCGGTCGATCAAGTCCAATCCCCTATGGACCCCGGACATGGTCGGGGAAAGGTAGGATGGAATATGCTCGGTTAGGAGGCAGGTGAGAATGGCGTAGGCTTGAGATTCGGAGCGCGAGGCGTATAGCAAGGGTGCTGCAAGGACGTTGATGCCCTGGAGGTAAGTCGCCTGAGGGTATTTCAGTGCAAAATCACTCAGAGGATTCGAAGACTGTTCGTCGTGAATGCGCCAGGCGGTAGCATTCAGCAGTCTTGTCAGGCTTGCATCTGTAACGCGTCGTTTGAACAGCGTATCAGTCGCGAGTGTGCGAAACACATCATTGGAAATCTTCTCATACGCTGGACTCCGACTACGATGAATCAGGCCAAGGTATGTATCGGTGGGCAGCGGAGCCACATTCAACAGTGTAAGCCACAAGTATATCCGGTAATCCGACATGCCTTCCTTGCTCGCCGTCACACCGCTGGTGAGGATCGAGTGGCGAAGCAAAGAGAGCGCAGAGGACGGAGTGGTTCCAGGAGGTGGACCGTCGCGAAGGGTCATTTCTAGACTGGATTTGCGAGCGTGACTAGCGATATGATTCGAAGACGGGATTGAAGGAGCTGGTCGGCGGGAGTTGCGTGGTGCGTATGGTAGAGGGGCGTCGCTATTGGCACGAGCTCGGGAGGTGACAGTGGTATTTGCGCTGGACATGTTTGAGGCGACGTTGGACGAGGCAAGTGGTTGATTGAGTTGTTCTCGCGAGGGTTTGGTAGATATTCCAGCACGAGGTCTTAGATTGGAGGACTGGGTGCCCATGTTGGCGGCGGAAGAGAGCTGGTTGTGGGATTGCAGTCTGCGAATGCCACGAGACTTCTCATGAAAGGTGAGGTTTGGGAGGCTGTTCTTCTCCGGCGATTCAGGCAACCTGACACAGGTAGGGTCGGGAGATGGAGGGAAGCCATGTCGACTGGCGACCTTATGTGGGGAGACGGATGCTGTCATGGTATGTTGTGTTTCTGGGGGACGCCGGCAGTAGGCAGTAGGCCCAGACGGGATGGAGACAGGGAAGAGCGCGCCAGAGTTGGTGTATACTTTATATCTGGTAAAGCGAGTGAGGTGGAAGGAGCCGGTGTTGCAGACCAGCCACGATTTTCCTGGTGGCAGCGGGTGGTGTAGCGATGCCCCGCCAAACTGCGCCCTGGAATCTCTCAGACGCGATTCCGACGCGTCTTCCCCAGCGCCGGACCAGGGGACAGGGATCTGTGTGTTTCGGGGGCTGACCACCCTCACTTGTTCAGTTCAGCAGTGCGGACGACGGACATGAGCCCTGGAGCTCATCAGTCTGGTGTAATTGTACCCCGTACGCAGCAGTACAAACAATCATCTGGCCCCGATGCTCTGTTCGCCAACGCATGATGACCTGCAGCACATCGCAGACCGTGGTCAAGTCCCCAGCCATTCGCTTGAGGGCGATGGCGCCATTGAGGACAAACTGCTTCCGCTTTACGGATACCGTGATGAGGCTAGAGAGGCATACTATAGGCTTGACCTGGGCTCCGCGCAAGCCGCCCGCCCATCTCCACCGAGCACACCGCCAACCCTGGACAGCTTTCAGAGACGGTGGTACACCAATCGTTCCTACGTTCATTTACGTCCTTCCAGGTTTCAGAAGCCGCTGTTCATCAGGACCATCTGAGGTATCTCGATGACGACTCGGCTTTATATTAGCGGTGGCCGATACCAATATTTGAAAGGTTCCAATAAGCATTGAGTCTAATTTTTCCCACATTGCAAAGCAATGGCTGGACGCCGCCCTTCCGAGACCAGTGCCCTTCTGAATGAGCATGGGATCGATGACATACGGAAGTCCCTTGCCCAAGTGGATCAGAGGCTATATGGCACGGCTGGGGAAGAGGAGGCAGTTCTCGATAAAGGTGCCGACCTCGAGACCGACTGGAAAGCCGAGACCGGCCTTTTGGCCCGGTATTCCGGTCCCCTGATACTGACATATATCTTACAATACTCTTTCAGTTTGGTCACTGTGCTGGTCGCTGGTCGGTTGGGCACGAAGGAGCTCGGGGCGGCGTCGCTCGCAACCATGACGGCCAATATCACGGGTCTCTGCATCTACGAAGGATTGGCAACGAGTCTCGACACACTGACTTCTCAAGCATATGGGAATGGCAAAAAGCATCTGGTGGGCCTACATGTCCAGCGCATGAGCCTGTTGGTGTGTGTTGTGACCATTCCCATCGGCGCCCTCTGGATATGCTCGCCTTGGATCCTGTCTGCGCTGGTACCAGAGAAGGACGAGGCCATTTTGGCCGGGAATTTCATGAGAATCTACCTGATAGGGGCCCCGGGCTGGGCGATATTTGAAGCCGGCAAGCGACTTTGCCAGGCACAGGGCGACTTTACTGCATCACTCGTCGTGATTGCTATCTGCGCCCCCTTGAACGTTCTCTGGAACTGGCTCCTGGTATTCCGCTTCAAGTTGGGCTTTGCAGGCGCTGCATGGGCAGTTACCATTTCCAACAATCTCCAACCGATCGTTTTGGCCCTTTATATCCGGTATCTGGCTCAGTCAAACCTTCAGTGTTGGCCGGGACTGGATCTTCGTCGAGCATGTCAGCACTGGGCCCCGATGATCAAATTGGCCATTCCTGGAGTCCTCATGACCTTTTCTGAGTGGCTGGCCTTCGATATTCTCACCATTGCGGCTGGCCACCTGGGCGAAACAGACCTTGCCGCGCAATCTGTTCTGATGACAGTGGCGGTGACCATGTTTCACATTCCCTTCCCCATCTCCATCGCAGCGTCAACCCGCTTTGGCAATCTCATCGGATATGGAGCGTTGAAGGCAGCTCGGACGGCATGGAGGACGCACTATCTGCTATTTGTGTGTATCGGGATATTTGATGTTGTCGTGCTGACCTCTAGCCGACACGTCATCGCGGCCATATTTACCAGCGACGGTACTGTACGTGCTATTGTTTCGAAGGTTATCCCCATCATGGCAGCCGCACAATTCTTCGATGCCCTCTTGGCCATCTCGAACGGCCTTTTGCGTGGCCTAGGGAGACAGAAGGTCGGCGGTTGGGTCAACCTGGGCGTTTATTACCTTTTTGCCCTGCCGCTGTCCTTTCTCTTGACATTCGGACCGCCCCAGATGGGTTTGGGAGGGTTGTGGATCGGCCCCTGTTCAGGGCTGGCTTGTGCCTCCATCACCATGGCGGCATACATGCGCTTTACAAACTGGGAGAAAGCGGTTGAAGATGCTCGGGCTCGAGAAGAGTAAGACGGGCGGTCAGCTGATACATGAAACGCACCATGGATGATACCTCACGGGGTGGAACTGCCGCCATTTGTTGGTGGAAAAGATGATGAAAAGCGTGAAATCGTTTAGGCGCAAGATGGGATGCACCAATAGATAACACTCGTTCGATGATGTTCAGTCTGAATACAAAGGATAAAGAATCCTCCCATCCAATCCATTCACGTCCGGTGGCTGACGTCCGCTATGGCTTGCCGCTGTCAACCGTAGACAGCCGGGGTCTGGTTGGCCGTCACGCCAGTTGTATATTGGACCATGACCACGATTCGCCTTCGCCTTCGCCATGTCACCTCCAACGCGGATTCAATTCCTTGATGTCTCCATCTGGATTCGACTGTATGTCCACTAGCAATGTTACTGTGGTCAGACTCCGCGTGGTTTCCGCTCTGTTCGCAGTATGTGCGTAGACGCCGCTGCGATGATCGAATACAAGATAAGGACGGGACGTGCACCTCGCTTCGCGACATACCATGTAGATATCTATCCGTACGAAGAAGAGAATTGTCTGCCCTTGACGAGTGTGTCCCCCCTTGTCAGTAGGATCGCGTACGGAGCCTTTCACTCTGGACATCTATCTGGCAGCAATTCGAAAACCCGAGATGGCCGGCCACATGGACCTAGCGGAATACCTTTTCCGAAGAATCCATCAGATTGGCGTGAGAGCGGTCCACGGCGTGCCGGGGGACTACAACCTGACTGCGTTGGACTACATCGAGCCCGCCGGCCTGAGCTGGGTCGGCAATGCCAACGAGCTGAACGCCGGGTACGCGGCCGACGGGTATGCGAGGATCAGGGGCGTCTCTGCTCTGGTCACGGCCTTTGGCGTGGGCGAACTCTCGGCCATCAACGCCGTGGCCGGCGCGTACGCGGAGAGGGCGGCCGTCATCCACATCGTCGGCGCCGTTCCCACCCACGTCCAGGAGCAAGGCTTGTGCATGCATCATTCCCTGGGAGATGGGAACTTCCGCGTCTTCGCCGACATGGCGGCCAACATCACCGTGGCGCAGGCCAACCTGACCGACGCTGAGACGGCCGCGGCCGAAATCGACAGATGCCTCCGAGAATGTGTGCTGCAGAGTCGCCCCGTCTACATCGAGCTGCCCACCAACATGGTCAAGGCGAGAGTGTCGGCCGCCGGCCTGGCCAGCCCGATTGACCGTTCGTTGCTGGTGCCGGCCAACGACGAGGCCGTCGAGGACAGCAAGGCCGACCTCATCCTCGGCAAGATCTATGCGTCCAAGCAGCCGTTCATCATTGTCGACGGCTTCACCTCTCGCTACGGCATCCGCGACGAAGCTGACGAGCTGGTCCGAGTCACCGGGTTCCCCACGTCCACCACTCCATTTGGCAAGGGCATCGTCAACGAGACATACCCCAATTTTCATGGCATCTATGCCGGCATGGCCGGCAAGCAGATCTACATGCCTTGGGCCCGGGGATGCGACGTCGTCATCCGACTTGGTCCCTTGCCCAGCGACGTCAACACCTTCGGGTTTAGTACGACGCCAGATCCCACCATCACCATCACCTTCGAGCGTGACTCCGTCGAGATCGAGGGCACGCAATACCGAGGCCTGCACGTCAAGTCGCTTCTGCGGAAGATCCTGACCAGACTCGACAAGACCAAGTTACCCAAATACGACCCGTATCCCGACCTGGGCGATCTGAGAGCGCAGCTGAAGGCGTTGCCCCCGACGGGCAAGGACGACACCATTGACCAAGCCACGTTTTGGCAGCGCATCTCGAATTTCTTACAGCCCGGCGACATCGTGTTGACCGAGACAGGCACGCCCTCCGTCGGTGGCCGAGATATCGTCCTGCCACCCAACACCACCCTCATCAACTCCTCGATCTGGCTCTCGATCGGATACATGCTGGGCGCGTGTGCCGGGGTAGCATTGGCTCAGCGCGAGATGGTCGCCGAAGGAAGCCAGCCGCAAGGCCGTACCGTCCTCTTCGAAGGCGACGGCAGTCTGCAGATGACGGTGCAAGTCTTCTCGGATATCATCCGCAACCGGCTGGATGTGGTGGTGTTCGTCATCAACAACGACGGATACACGATCGAGAGATGGATCCACGGCATGAAGGCCGGGTACAACGACATCCCTCCGTGGAGATACCTCGACGCGCCCACCTTTTTCGCCGCCCCCGAGCACGACCCTGCCTATCCCGTCTTCACCAAGCGCGCTGAGACCTGGGGCGAACTGAACGACGTCTTGGCCAACCCCGATCTCCAACGCGGCAAAGGGCTCAATATCGTCGAGGTCATCATGGCCAGAGATGACGCCCCCGAGGTTCTGAAGAGGTTGGTCGAGAGTACCTCGCGCCGCAATAGTGGTGTCTCCGAACGGCCCAAGGCCATCACTCATGAGGAGAAGGTCATGAAGGTTGCCGGCTGACTTAGGGAAGCCTCAAACCACCCCACCCGGGTTCCGGAGCGGTTGTTTGGTTCGGCGTGGAGGTAGGTACCTGAGATACCTGAGGTACCTAGGTAGGTATGTATGTATCCGTACTCCGTACGTCTTTTGGCTCACGTGGGCCGAGCCTGTGAGCCAGCTTTACTGGTTGCTGGTGGGTTGGGTTGGGTTGGCTGTTAGCGCTATGCTCTTGCGTTTGTTTGTATTCACCTACCATGTATAGTGTCAATTCGACCAAAGAACTGGCGAGTCCAAGGGACGGGTGGGTTTCGCCTTGCCAGAGGATGATACTCGACGAGAGATCTAGCAAACTATGGGTACCTAGTACGTTATAGCTAACAGAACTTGACGCCTTACGTTACGTCGTGAGTCTAGCAATGGGTCATACACTGCCAAATGGGAAGATGAATGACCGTGCTGCCACTGTTTGCATGTTCCAGAATCAGTAGTCAGTAGCATCTCCCGTCTCTTTGATAAGGTTGGTCATCTGATGCAGGGTCGGATTTCATGCACATGACGGCGACCATCGGCCATCAGCCATCAGCCATCGACAATCGCCATGCGAGAGTAGGGCAGTCCCCTCGCCTGGATAAGTGGACCTGCGATATCAATATGTGGAGGCAACGCAAAATCAAACCGACGACGCATCTCAATTTCCAGTCAGATGCTCAGAATGCGGAGAACGCGCATGATTCCATTCGCTCAAACACCTTAAGATATCCAATCATCCCTTCGTGACGACGTACCCATACGCCTTTACTTTCTTGTAGCATAGAGTAAACACTTCTCCCACCAATCCCTCAACATGAGCACGGCCGCTCTACCATCGTCCCGTTTCTCCGTTCCATCAGGATTGCCCATGATGATGGCAAACACCCAAAATACTGCCACAACCCAAGCGGCAACCGCATTCGGGATACTCAGAATAGGAGACACCAGATGGATGAAAATCAAACACCAAGGACTAAACTCGAACGTGTGAGCGTCATCCAGTGACTTGGCAACTATCATCTGTAGATGATTTCGGAACACAGGAGCCACCATGCGCACCAGAGATATGCTCGGTGAGTATTCTCGACGACATAGTTGAAGTGGAAGGAGCAGCGTCATTGCGAGGATGGCGAGAACCGTGACTATGGCGCTGAAAAGACAGTAGACAGGGTCCAGAAGAGACATCCAAAACTAGAATTGTCAGTGTCCAAGTCAAAGGTCGGGGGTGGTTAAAAAGGCCTGTACCAGTATCCACAAAGCATGGTCGATCTCGTTATCCTCTTCTACACGGTCTTCCTGTATGTACCGGAAAATGGCCGTGTTATCTTCTATCATTTCAGATGGCCCAACGTCGCTCATGTGGACTCCAGTTGGCGCTTGTGAACTCTGATATGTCTGTCTGACAACCAAGTCTCCCATAATGCCGCTCTCTGCCCGGGGGCTGAACTGGTATGATTTGCTTTGTAGGTAGTTTTTGTAGTCTGAACAGGCGGATGAGCCTGACTCGCCGCTAGAGACCGAACTCTGGACTCGACTCGGGTCTGTCCTAGGAGCCAGAAGGGAACTTCGAGGATGGGGGCTGACATGGGCCACTGAAGGGCGAGACAGCGAAGAGATAGGCGGGTATGGGTATTGGTATTGAGCTGTAGGAGATGTAGGACTGGTTCGACGTTCATAGTATGCGGCAGAATGTCCCATAGGCGGGCAATCCGAGTCGGGTGCCATGTTACTGGGCAAACGGACAAGGACGATGGGATTCTTCTGGGAGAGCTCGTCCCATCACCAAGGTGGTAGGGGCTGGCGAGCTGGTCTGAGGTCGGGAAGACCTGGTGGAGGATTTCCTGTAGGACAAAGATGAGGTGACATGAGGAGCCAGCGACATCAATAAAATAGGGAACATGGTTATAAGAAGGAAACACCGCAGGACTGCGACAGTCTTGTCTTCTGGGATCATCCTCCGCCATCTCGCGCTCCTGCGCCGCTGGGCTTCTTCTGCCAATGCTTGGCCGCTGGGCAAAAACTTGGCGATGGATATGCTCGAAACAGTGCACGCGATACCCAAACCTTTACCGTAGGGCACGATGCCACGGGTATGAGGATGCCGGGCGAGCTTCCGCGCCGCTGGCCATGTCTGGGTTGCCTACCAACTGGTAGTTGTGAATGTTGTTGGATTTGCCGGAAAAGACGTGTTCAAAATCGCACTCTCAACCCAGATGCCCAGGACTTGGCAGACTTGTCCTCCAAGTCGTACATAGTACTAATTGGCAGTACGGATACTCCGTATGGAGCAGCACGGCTACGTACCGCCGGGTGCCGCAAATTCGGCGAGGGGAGGACGGATACACACGGTCACGCGATCCAAATAATTTGATTATCATCATCATCATCATCATCATCATCATCATCATCATCATCATTATTACCACCATTATTGCCTACTAGGTAGTATTAGGTACACATTAGGAAGCATGACCAGTAGAGGTTGAGCGCAATGCAGTGGTAATCGGTATGGAGTCAACATCCCTTGGAAGCTTGGGAGGCTCCTCAGTCTAACGCAGCCTGCTCGATGATCCCACCAATCCCCCCTGACTTGATAGGCTTAGGAGGTCTAAGGGCCCCTCCATCCCGAAGACTGGACTCTTATTACGGACAAGTTCTCGGCGCCAACGGTTGCTGGCATGTAGTCACATGTGCAACCCAAGGCTGTGGGAAGCCTTGTCGCGAACTCTTCGTCTAGGATATTTGTCGTGGATGAAAGGGTTCAGAAGAATCGAAAACACCATGCAAGTGCTCAGTCCTGACCTGAGCCTGGATGCGTCCTTCAACTTCATATCTCTTTGCTCACCGGGAGTCAGAGCTGCCTCGAGAAAAAACAAAACTGGCCAGTCGAGAGGCCTGGGCGGAGATGTCTACCGTAGAATACTAGGTACGTACTAGCACTACTCCGTACTAAGGGCGTGACTATAATTGATCACGTGATCAAACTGCAACTGTCACCATGTGATTCGAAAACTTTACATAATCAATTGGACAATCTCTTTTAATGCACCCTCACAGTGTTTTCCCTTTTGACGCTGTTGTACCTCTCATGTACCTCCTTCGTACTCCGTAGAGGATCCGTGAAGAGACAAGTCACAGAATCTGCTGCAGCAGTTTGTGCGAGCTTGTTCAAATGTTCATTGCAGGAGCCGTGAGTGCATCACGCATTTCAACAGCCGCGTGTCTATTTGAGAAGTACTTCGTGCATTGAGCCCGACACCAAGTCTCCTGTTGTCTTACAACTCGTTTGTAGAGTTGTAGTCGGTGGATTCAAGAGTGTTGTTTCTCCCCCTGCATGGAATGGCAGATCATCCTCAACCTCAATGGACCCCGGTGGCAAAAGATTGATAAGAAGCATCATTCAGCCTGGATGATGTCTTCTCACTGTTTGCTCATCTCAAACAGCAATCGTTCAGCGACTGTTTATGTCTGCAGCGATGTATCCAGCTCAAGGAGGGATATCGCATTGGATCTATGGGCTTTTCCTGGCCTCGGAGGCTTTCCCTTGGCTGTTCGGCGTTGCAATTGCTTCAAGACTAGGAATTCGGGATATCAGCGACTAGAGAACGGTACCGGTTTGACGGGCAAATCCTTCAATAGATGCCTCGACCTCCTGGAAGATGGTTCCCTTCCCAAAATATGAGGATTTTCCACTGAAGTTCGAGGTCGGACACCAGTTTAGGCGAATGTTTGTGAGCATGATCACCAGAAATGTGAAAGCAAGTCACCACACTTGCCGTGTTGTCTTCCTAGACAAGCTCTTCTCCAACAACGTGCAATCCTCCTAAATTTCAACCACCGGAGGGTTCTGGCCCATAAGCTTGTCCCAGGACACCGAGAGACCAAGACGGTCGCACGGCTAACGTGCGGGCCAAGAATTCCCCTTTGGCCTGGTGCCATATAACTTTTCGTTCGAAAGTGCAGAGGCGGATCAATTCGAAGGTATCATTTTTCCAGAACAAACAAATGTGCTCGTATGACTAAAAACACGATCTTTTGAGTGCTGTAAGGAGACGTCCAAAGTTCCCAGATCTCTGTCGAGGTGCATCCAAAGCTCACGGGTATAGGACATCCGCTATGACCGTAAGGACGGAATCAACTTGCACTGCGCGGACGTTGTGCAAGCTGGAGACAAATTGTCTACTCTAGGTAGGGTCGGTGGGCGCCGACAGGATAGGACAAACACCGAGTTTGCTTGTGACTGCTCATACACGTCGTTTCAACAAGGCCTGTCGTACCACATGTCCGGGTCCCCTCTCAGGGTCCCTCGTGTAGAACAATCAAGTTTGGTAGCAATGCAGTCAACCACCCGAAGACTGTGCAACAAGCACTCTGAAATCCGGGTTGCGCTAGTCTGGCTGCACCTGCCCGAATCTTGTTTTTGCAATCAGAACCGTGGAGTCTGACCGGACGAGATGCGCCCAGCGAGCTTAGACGCAGGGAGATCGGAAATGGACACTCTTCCAACCATGATCACGTAGTTGATAGCGGCCAGTAATAAGATCTGACCCAACAGGATTGGAGCACGACATCTTAAACAACAGCATGGCGCGGCCGCATAGCTCTGTTTAGTTGAAGTCACCACGACAGCGGTGTCTGTACCAAGCCCGCGTGGGTGACGCAAGGGGTTGACGCCGTGTCTGGTTTCTCTGTCAAATGTGTAACCTGCCATACTACAGTTGATGTAGCACGGAGACAGCTGATCAAATTATGGAAGATGGGTGTCAAGTCCTGTCAACCAAGCCTCCTTCTGTGATGGGGCCAGATAGATGGATTGACCGACGATGTTCCATGCTACCCATTTTAGCCTCAGGTAGTGATGGATGCTCTGCTGTAGTCAATTCAGCGATTAGAGTAGCCTCAAAGTGTGGGCTTTCTTGCTCCCGCAGTAATTCCTGCGTGGGTGAACAATTTTACCTTTCGAGGGATGGAAACGACATCACTGCATAATGTTCTGTAGAATTTGACAGCCCGTCTTGGGTATCCCATATTCGGACGCGAGAGACGTCTTCTCCGGCACGATGAATGACAGGTGCACGCCGGCCTGCCCAGGCCCGTGGCAAGTTTTGGCAGTGCTGCCAGTCACGCCAGAGTCCCTGTCTGGGACACCCCTCGTTGGGTAGGGGAGAATGTAGCAGCTAAGTAGTAAACACACACCCTGACAGCTCCAGCCCGGGATCGTCACGCAGTAGAAGGGAGCGGCGAGGGGCGGATGGCTGGCAGGATCATGGGTGGAGCCTCAGGTAAGACGAGCATCGGCGGTTTGATTCGGAGTCGACCCATGGGGCCCAGGGCCCGCAAGCCTTAGGAGCCACAGTTTCCGAGCATGCGGAGGCCTAACGATGCCTAGGTGCCCGGGACCTTAGTGGCAGCACCACGCCTGAAGCGATTGTACTGGCGCCCGTCCCTCGCCGCCGCGCTGAAATAAGCCACAGAGAAAAGAAGCTCTGGGGCTCGTGACCCTCGGTTCCTGATGGAGATGGAAGCCATTTTCCGTGGGAAGCGAGGACAGAGCCCCACGGCTGTTAAATAGGCGTGTTCTTAAGGAGTCTCTGAACCATTGGCGGACGACTGATCCGGCCGGTCTGCAGCAGTGATGGATGTACGGTGTAATGGTGAATCAGGACGCAATCAAAGGACCTGGGGCTGCGGGTTTTATAGCACCAAACAGAAGGAGAAATGACGGACAGCTGCTAGGTGCACCGGGAAGGAGGAGATGGTTGGCCAGGAATCTCGTCTTCGGCCGGTCGCTTGCTCATCGCGCCAGTCTAGGTTCTGGAAACAGGCGAAGATTGGCAGCAGAGCTCGTGGAGGAAGACATGGAGCTAGGGCCTTTAGGCGTCGGCTAGTCAAGGCTTCGGCTGTGGAGACTGCCTATCTGCCTAGACCTAGTCGGAGAGCAGTTGGCCAGGAAGAGGCATGGGCCTGGAGCAACACACAAGTCCCGGCGCGGCGTCGACGAAGCGAGAAAACGCCTTCTCCTTCTCCTGCGAACAGGGGGCGCTTTAAGCCCTTTCATTTCGTCACTGACGGCCACACCTCATTTGATCTTCTGCTGGGGGTCATTTGCATGCTGATGAACAGGGTGGACCGCGCCATCGCCGCTCCTTTGAGTGGTGCACTGGTGGCTGGCTCTTTGCAGACGTTGACTACGGAGTACATACTGCTTAGGGCGCCCCTGGCAGGCGAGCTTGGCCTTGGGTTAGCCTCACGGAGCATTATTAGCAGCTGCCAGCTGGAGGTCTGTTCACGTTGACCTGCGGGTGTCGAAGTTCAGTTCTTTCCTCCTGACAGTGTGCGGTAACAAGTAACAAGATCCCAACCATTACAATTGAGCGGAGCGCGAGGATAGACTGCAGGAAGATTCAGAGGCGAGAAGAGGGGGCTTGGGGATTAGCTGGGGTTGTGTGTCTGAAACAGTGTTCCTCAGCCTCGAGCTCCCAGGGTTAAAGGTATCTCCCGATGCCCACGGAAGGGAGCAAGGAGCACTGGCACGCCAAGGAGACATGGACATACCTGGACCGTTGCTGCAGGTGCTTATTTTATTCAAGTTCCCGTTTTCGCTCCTCGCCACTTCACCCACTTCGCGGTTTGGTAGGTGCACACGGATGGAATGCGGCAGCCACCAGGGCAGCAGGGTATACGATCCAAGGCGCTTAGGAAACTCCTCCGTACGGTGTACGGCGTACCCTGCAGGTGGTCGCAGGAGACATCTGGACAAAGTCAGGCGGCCACGCTGGCGAAGTGGAGGCTAAGGAAGGCCGTGGCTTGCCTGCCACTGCCAGGCATCCCCTGGCAAAAACATCCTCACATCACATAACAGACACATTGGCCCACTCCGGGCAATCCACAGTCCACTGTCCAGTGCTGGGTGCTGGGTGCTGGTTCCCAGCTTGCCCAGGTGGCACCGTGGCAGCCGCAGGCAAGCTCTGCGGCAGGTGGCCTCCACACTGGCCACAGCCGACTCCAGTGCTGCAGTGCTGCAGTGATGGCCGCCGCGCCCGAGCCACTGTGCATGAGCCATGACCCATCCCATCATCGCCCATGACATCCATCCGTCGCGCATCCACCAATGGACCAGGTGTTCACCGGGCCCCGCCCTCCCTGATCACTACCTAGCTAGGGCCCCTAAGCCTAGGACCTCCCTGGTAGCGGTACCTACCTTACCTGCCTACGTACTGCTGGCTTCTCCCAGCCCAGGTCCCACTAGTTGGCGTAGCGTGTGCCAGTGCCACCCCTCTAGCCCCATGTCAAAGTTGACCCAGGACTTGAGATCTACCAGGCCGAAACCCTACCCTTAGTCGCTGTGTGCTCTTTCTGTTCCATCTCATCGACTGTCCCTCCCATCTCAGGGCCCATCTCCCCGTCTCCCGTTGCCAGCTTCACTTCCGGCTCTTCCTCCGTGCTGCCTCTTTTTCCCAACTTTTGCGTGCTTCTTGTTCGACCCCAGCGCGCACAGCTGTGTTTCTGGCTCGACGCTGCACCTCCCCTACCTTTTCTCGAGCGCTTCCACCTTCCTACATCGTAGTGCTCGTTCCCCATCGCTGTCGCCAGACTAGCCTGGTACCTGCCCGGTAGCAAACGAGCGATTGTTCCGGCAGACCACCTCCATCCAGACTCCCATCACTCTCCACACCGAAGAAATACCACCTCAGTGTCTCCAGACGTTGTGCACTCGAAAGAGGTGGACATTTCAAAACAGCATCTCCTTGAGGCTCAATCAAATCGATTGACCGCGGCGGCTGGGCTTTGGAGGCTTCGCTTCGGTAGAAGCCTGAGTGTCTTCGGTGTCCACAAGCCTGCCCTCCCTATCAAGTGCATAGTAGACCAACCAGGAGGGAGACAATGGCTTTAGTCCCTCACCCGTCTCCTCCTGGTGTGCTGGGCTTGCAGCATCCTCCTCATTTTGGCCAGATCAATGGAGCGGCTCCGGTGGACGCGCATATGCAGAGACAACGACTGCTGGCACAACTGAACGAATCTACCTGGCAAAGAATTGGTAAGTCCGCGCGTCGCGTTCCCACAAACAATCATGCCAACTGATGGAAAATAGGCTCTCTGAATGAGTTGCTGGGCGACCACGAAGGGGCATTGTTCGCATACGAGCAAGCTCTTCGACACAATCAATGGTCGCCTCAGACCTTAAATGCGATATCTTGCATCCTGCGCACCAAGGAGAAGTATCCAGAGGCCATGGAGTATCTCAAAAGTATACTCAAGGTAGAGCCCGCCAATGGTGAGGCGTGGGGAAATTTGGGTATGTTCAACCACACTGCATCGCGGACGTCCTCTAAGTCTCTACAGGCCATTGCTACTTGATGATGGACAACTTGCAAGAAGCATACACTGCCTATCAGCAGGCTTTGTACTATCTGCCGGATCCTAAGGTACGCACCGTCACCCCTTTGGGTATCGATTTCATCTGACAGAAAATAGGAGCCCAAGCTATGGTATGGGATAGGCATACTATACGACCGATACGGCTCCTTGGAACATGCAGAGGAAGCCTTCTCCCAAGTCATGCGCATGCAGCCAGACTTTGAGAAAGCCAACGAGATCTACTTCAGGCTTGGTATAATCTACAAGCAGCAACAGAAATTCCAACAGAGTCTAGAGGTCAGTTACCCCTTCCGTTCAGTCCTGACCGTACTGACTCCCCTGCAGTGCTTCAAGTACATAGTCAATGATCCGCCTCGACCGTTGAATGAAGAGGACATCTGGTTCCAGATTGGCCACGTTTATGAGCAACAGAAAGACGTATGGTCGCCTTCAATTATGCGCGGGAATCGTACTGACAGTAGTCGTAGTTTGAAGCTGCCAAGTCGGCGTATCGTCGCGTGCTGGAAAGAGATCCCAAGCACGCGAAGGTCCTGCAACAGCTCGGTTGGCTACACCATCAACAGAGCAACAGCTATCAGAGCCAAGAGCAAGCTATTGAGTACCTTGAACAGTCTGTCAGCTCAGGTATGTACCTTGTGGTAAATGTCCAGCCTAATGTCGGCTGACTCGCCTCCAGACAACCAAGATGCTCAGAGTTGGTACCTTCTGGGCAGATGCTATATGGCACAGCAGAAGTTTCCCAAGGCATATGAGGCCTATCAGCAAGCTGTGTACCGGGACGGTCGCAATCCTACATTTTGGTGTTCCATTGGTGTCTTGTACTACCAGATCAACCAATATCGGGATGCTCTCGACGCGTATTCTCGCGCGATCCGACTGAACCCCTATATTTCAGAGGTCTGGTATGACCTCGGAACTCTGGTGAGTACAAAGCGAGCATATCTCATCTTAATGAGCCAGCACTAACATCGTACACAGTATGAGTCATGCAACAATCAGACTTCGGATGCCCTTGATGCATACGCCAGAGCTGCAGAGCTTGATCCTACCAACAGCCACATCAAAGCGCGTCTCGCCCTTCTTAGAAGCGGTGCCGCCACCGGACCCAATCAGCACAACGCTCCTGTGCCTCAGGATGTTCATCCTCAGGCATATCAGAATGGTGTCGGTGTTCCCCCTGGCCCCCAATGGGGTGCGCCTTCGTCGTCCAACCAGCAATCACAACAGCCTCCGGTTGATCCTGGTAGAGTGAGCGACTGGACAAGAGGCCTTGCAGGCATTCAACAACCTCCACCACAACCCAATGGCTTCGAAGGTCGGGACAGTATGAGGGCTCCACCTCCTCGTGCGCCCAGTCCGAGACAAGAACCTCCCCGGCCCTATGATTCTGCTCGTCAGACCCCGAGCAGAAAGTTGCAATCCCCGTCACCCAAGATGCAGTCCTCGATACCAGGGATGTATCCTCCAAGCGCTCAAACTCTACCCCAGGTCAACTTGCAAGATCGTGGGCCAGGCTTTGGTACCGGAGTCCGCCCATCTCCCACTATGAACGGTGCTCCCGCACCTCCTACTAATGGTAGTGGCTCTGGGACCACACTGCCACCATATGGACGGCCTTTCAGTCCACCTAGTGAGCTGAGACCGTTGCGCGACGACCATCCTCAGTCACCGGGCGCTACATTCCGGCAACCGCCGTACCATTCTGGAGGACCATTCCCTAGCATTGCTAATGGAATGTCTTCGGCTGCACCGCCGCTCCCAGGTATAGACGGACCTCCACGTGACGAGCGACCTGCGTCTGCCATGAAACGATCTCGCGAATGGGAAGGTGAGCAAGGACCGTCCAAGAAACTTGCAAGCGAGGAGACACGTGCTCGGCTCGATGATCCAAGCCGGCGGAACAGTCCTCCAGGTCGGCTTCCAACGCCAAAAGAGCACTTTAGACGTAGCTCTTCCGAAGTTCGTCGCGAGAACGAGCGACGAGCAAACGAGAATTATCACCCATCCGAGGCAGCCCATCATCCTTGCAGCCTTCCTCCGCAACAAATCCCATCTATGCAGTCGATCTTGGACGGCCCAAAAGAAGCAGCTCAAGAGCACGTTGAGCAGGCCGCTCGCAAGGTGGAGGTCGATGAAGATTATGACAACAACAGTGAAGACGACAAGAGGGCCGGCGCGGGACCAACCATAAGCAGTCCTCAAGCCGCCGTTCCTCCATCTGCAACTCCCAAGCCGGAACCTGCACCCTGAAAGTCTAGATTGCTATCCCAGTCCTTTCACTGATGCGGCGGTGGCGGGCGGACTCACTTGTTCCAGCGGCATACCAAGAGACGGATCGCATTTGGAAAAGCGACTATTTGATATTATTTGCCTGTGTATACGATTATGTATTGTGCGTAGGAATGAATTTATGATGCATCTCAACCTGGGTGGCTTCTAATAATCAGTTTGGTACTAGTCACATTTGCTTCGCACTCACTTCTTGTGTGGAGTGGAAATACTGAGTCACGTGACCTTACGCGATGCCAAGAAGCAAATCTTGGCATTGGTCTTCCCACACGAAGGTCTTCAGGCTTTTTCGAGATAGAGCAATTTGGCCTTCTCCAGCATCAACTTCCGACGCCACGCCCAACACGAGAAAAGATGTGAGTGCGCTTGTAGTCTCGCAAACGTTCATTTACTTATCTCTCCTCCAGGTCTCACCGAAAGTTCGAGGCGCCGCGACATGGTAAACTCCTCCCTTACGCAAGATCTTCCCTACCAAAGTTCATTCGCTAACCCTTTTGCGCAGGCTCGCTTGCTTTCCTCCCACGAAAGCGTGCTGCAAGACACCGAGGAAAGGTCAAGAGGTTGGTTATCTAGAAGTCATGACTCGCTTAAAGAGTCGAAGCTGAAACATTTCACAGCTTTCCAAAGGATGACCCAAAGAAACCAGTCCATCTCACCGCATCCTTGGGCTACAAGGCCGGTATGACCACGATCGTCCGGGACTTGGATAGACCTGGTGCGAAGATGCACAAGAAAGAGATCGTCGAAGCCGTCACTGTCATTGAGACTCCCCCGGTAAGAAATGCGCATTGAAAGGTTGCCTTGTTGGAAGCTGACTCGGAGTAGTTGATCGTCGTTGGCCTCGTTGGCTACATTGAGACTCCCCGCGGTCTTCGATCCCTTACCACTGTGTGGGCAGAGCATCTTGGAGACGAATTGAAGCGCAGATTCTACAAGAACTGGTACCGGTCGAAGAAAAAGGCTTTCACCAAGTACGCAAAGCAGTACTCGGAGAACAAGGCCACCTCCGTCACGCGTGAACTGGAGCGCATCAAGAAGTACTGCACGGTTGTTCGTGTCCTCGCCCATACTCAGATCCGTGAAACTCCTCTCAAGCAGAAGAAGGCCCATTTGATGGAGATTCAGATCAACGGTGGCAGCACCGCAGACAAAGTCGAGTTCGGCCACGGTCTGTTTGAGAAGCCCGTCGAGATCGATACCATCTTCGAGCAGGATGAGATGATCGACTTGATTGCCGTCACAAAAGGTCACGGTTTCTCAGGCGTTACCAGCAGATGGGGAACCAAGAAGTTGCCCAGAAAGACACACAAGGGTCTCAGAAAGGTCGCTTGTATCGGTGCCTGGCATCCGTCGCACGTGCAATGGACAGTTGCACGTGCCGGTCAAGATGGTTACCATCACCGTACCTCCGTCAACCACAAGGTCTACCGCATCGGCAAGGGCAAAGACGAGAAGAATGCTGCCACGGATTTCGATGTTGTCAACAAACAGATTACACCGTAAGTTCTAACTACATGGCCCTTTTTTTAAGCAAGGGATGATCGAGATTGGACTAACATTGTTCAGACTGGGTGGCTTCGTTCGCTACGGCGAGGTCAAGAACGATTTCGTCCTTGTCAAGGGCTCTGTTCCCGGTGTCAAGAAACGAGTCATCACTCTGCGCAAATCCATGTTCCCTCACACCTCCCGCAAAGCTCTCGAGAAGGTCGAGCTCAAATGGATCGACACTTCGTCCAAGTTCGGCCACGGTGCCTACCAGACTCCCCAGGAGAAGAGACAATTCTTGGGTACTCTCAAGAAGGATCTTGTTGCTTCTTCGTGAGTGGAGTCGAGACTGCTGGTGGGATAGTGTTATTGGGGTGTCAGGAGATGTTTATGCCCAACGCCTCGGAGATTGACTAAGACCCTCAGAGATACCATGGTGTTTCCAATATCGTCACTCGGTTTTAGAGATGAGGTAGTAGCAATTGCAATAGCAGTTGGGGAATGATTAAAAGCGAAATCAACAAAGACAAATTCAAGTTGCTTCCTGATCGCAGTCCTCTTTCATCTCTCTTCGCAGTAAAGTCAAAAGTGGTCGTATAGCAGAGAACCCTCGATCAGAGTCATACTAGTTCAAATAGACCCAGACAAAGCGATCTGTGATATGACTGGGAATAGAACGTCTCTTGAATCATCTGTTGACATCCACGTTGAAGCAAAACCCCCGTATGATGGGTTAGGCGGACTTCTCTGACCATGAAGGAACATTATAGCTCAACACAAGCCACTTGTTTCCAATCAAGTACTTTGCAATCGTAGTATCCCCTGAGCGCTTTGAGTTGGCTACAGTCTCCAATAAGAGTGACCGCAACAAATTCATACCGACCTAATTACAACGCCGGAAGTCAATGGGGTCAAGAGGTGTTTCTCTTGAGCCATTGTACGTATTGTAGGTAGTAAGCCCCGGTACCATCAGATTTTGTGGTGGCTAGAACATACTACATACGTCACTCACCTGGGCAGGGATACCAGAGTCTCCAACAACGTTCCCTCTGTCAAGCTTCAAGATATTTCAGCAGTCACGAAGGACCTCTTCTCCCTACTTTTGCCACATGGGCGTATGCTGAAACACGACGCTTTCATATTGTGCTTCAGAAAGCAGCCTCTGCACATTCCTAGCGGCGCGAGTGCCGCATTTGGCTACAAGCTACAATCTAACCTACCTCTTAGACTGTCATTGACAAGGCTCACCACCGCGGCCACCGCCACCTCCAGTGCAAGAGCAGCACCAAAACCGACTCAAGACTTACAACCGGCCTGTACCCGGCCTACGACACAGACCCCTCACCGCGCCATGGCTGACGACGCCTCCTACGCCGCATTTCTCGACAAAGCAAACGCTGACCCTAAAGCCGGGCATGAACAGTCTGAGTCGACGTCCCAGGCACGCACCAAGTTTGATCCTACCACCACATCGCAGCTCGAGGCATTGCCAGCGTCGCTGAAATCGCTGCCCGAAGTGACGTACACTTCAGACACCGATGCGCCCTTTGAGCCGATAACCCTGAATTATGCGGGCAGCAAATTGCCTAGTGTGGCCGAGTTTGAGAAGTCTCTTGGGCTGAAAGGCAAAGTGACAGGGTCTGTGGAAGAGTTGACGACAGAAGAGTTTGATCCCAGAGGGGAATACCGGGAAATCATTGAGAGGGTCGCGCAGGCAGCGAAGGGTAAAGATGTGGGTGTTAAGTTATTCAGAGTTGAGATTAGCCAGACGAGAGCGGAATATTATATTCTCACTGTAGGGGACAGGGCGCTCGTGGGTGTTGTTGTGAAGGCAGTCGAGAGCTAGGAACGTTGCAACGGTGGACAGGACACGACTCAGGGTTGGATTTGACAGTCCACGGTTTCACAAAGCCTATGTCTGCAGCGGTATTCAGTGTGCATCCGTGACGGAGCGCGAGGCCGATTCTCAGTGAGTGTTTTTGGGCTTGCTCCTCATGGCTTCAATTGCATTCACCCCCCAAGAGAGAAAGCGTGGAATTTCGTATGGACCATATTGTGGCTGCTTAGATGCGCCAGCTGATATGGAGGCCTGAAAGAATTGGCCACCGCAACGCCAGCGGATGATAAGGTCTTCTTGATATTTATATCAATTGCTGCCAGCCCAGGGGCCTTCTCGTTTCCGAGTTCTTTTGTGTTCTGGATATTTTACCTCCAGACCAGAAAAGATCAGGCCCATGGCACAGCATAGGCATCATCTGAAATAAAATATGGCTCGCCTTGATGCATCTAGCAAGGTACACCTCAACGATGACAAGTTCGTAGCTATCCTCCTGGTGTGGCGACGGCAGCGAACCACTCCAGCCACAAAGATCTCTCGTGCCTCGTTTCGGATTGAGACTGTCCGGCCCGATTCAGTGTACATGTACCATAGACGTGCAGAGCTCTCCTTCAAGCGGGGATCTCCCTGGGTCGCGTTGGATCTATGGAAACGTCGGGCCTCATCATCATTAGTACTGAGGAACTGCTGTGAACGCGATGTGAAGAAGGGCTATCATCCTAGTTGAAGCGATACCTTGAGCATCATTTCGCAAAAGACACCTAGGAAACGATGTCCAGTTCACCAGGGTAGCCTCAAATAGGGACAAGGAATCCGCGCCCTAAAAAACTATACTCCGTATTGTTAGAACAGTCATCTGAGAGCTAGCCATTCCTCTCTCGAGCACTACTACTCTGTACTGGTACCGAGTTGGAACGCGCAATCAGGTGGGGGTTCTGTATCAGATCGTTACGATGATCCGCGGTGAGGCATGGATCGGCAAATCGATACGTCTCACAATTGATTTTCATGTTGCACACTGGCAGCAGAGAAGAAGAAAACTGGAAGACCCGCCCCTGCTGCCCTGAAGCCCTGCAATGGGGAAGCTTTGGTGATATGCGTTAAGATTTGGTACGCGATCTCAGATCCACTGTCGACCAAAAAGGAGGTCGAAGGGGGCATACGGCGTAGGCGTACGGGGTATTCATGGTTCTAAGACGTTATGGATACACTCTAGAAAGCAGATCGACACTCATGTTTCGACCTTTCCAGTGCGCGGACCTCGGTCGATGAATTGTGGAAGCAGTGATCATCGTGTCATCCATAAAGGACGACTGTTTCGAGACCAAAAGATGTGAATCGAGTACGAGTAGTGGAGGCGAACGGAGTATCTATATCAAGTGGGGTGGTGTCCTTGAATGTCCGAATTTGCATCAAGTTCTCCGTGGACAAGGACAGGGGGACGATAAAATCAAAACTTACGCCCCTTTTCGTCTCAATCGTGAGCCACACAACGGAAAACATGACAGCATGAGGGGGGTTGTCAACTCCGGCCAGATATCGCTTTCACTGTAACTGGGCCAGGCGCCTTGGTCCAACAACAATAGCCACTGCAGATGATCGAGACAATAAATCATAGCTGGCAGTTTTAGACATGGATCTTGACCGAGAATAATGTCTTAGCTTCCAGGGGTACAAGGTGGCGCAGACATCCAAGATCAAGACAAAGGATCCCCCATTTCATAGGCATGTGTTGAAGCAGGTGTTGCATGTCTGCGCCCGAGCCTCCTCTATCTCGAGGGAGTCTGGTGGTAAGCATTCTGAATGTCCTCGCATCTGGTGGCGAGTACGGAGTACATCGTACTCCTTATCCTTTTTCCCACAGTCGGGCCAAGGCGTGCAAGACCATTGGCATTTTCCTGGCGCAATTTAAGAATAGCAACCAAGCAGCGTGTCAAGAGAGACTGACTGACGGGATTGTGGCCGGGTTTTGGACTGCTCAGAAGCTGTTCCCGTTTAATCAAGCCAATAATGGCCGCCCAAATTCTAGCTTGACACAGTGGATGCCAGGAAGGGGGTGTCAGATTTGCTATGCAGGATCGGCGTTCTCCAGTTGATGGACTCTCGGCCAGATGAGCAAACGGTGATTCGACGTCTTCCGCCCTCTGCTGAGCCACGTTTGCCACGAAAACCATTGGACGCGTCAACCCCTGGGGCGGCCGTTTTGCACTGGGATTGTTTATTGCCCGACGCCCCGTTCTCTAAGAAGGAATCTGGACGCATTTTAGAGGCAAATAAGGCGGCTGTGGTGGGCGTACGGAGTACGGAGTAGGAGTACGAGTAGGAGGCTCATCATGATGACTTCTGGAAAGGAAAGAGGAAGATCAGGTTGTAACCAACCAACGTCCGAAACCAGTTACATATTCTGAGGCTGGGGCTGTCCAAGGTGACGCCTGTGATCATTGGCGATGTCAAGAAGGATAACGATCGCTGCCCCGTTCAAGACGTCGTCTACTCCGTAGGCTGCATTGTATGCAAGATCAGAAATAAGATTCCCGTCGAGCCCGTGGTACAAACATGCATTTTGAAGGTAGCGGAGTACGGAGACTATGTACGGATACAGTGTATGTTGTTGGTTTTCCAGGATAGAGCCCAAACCGCAGGCAACAAGGCAAGCCGATCTGGGTTCAGTTTTCACTCAACGAAAGCCTACAACCCGCTACAAACCAGACACAATTGCAATAATATCCGTATTCCTCTTTTGGCTTCCTACTGTGGAATCATTTTAAAGTGAGGGAGTCTCAGTTTCTGCTCGAAGATGAAGTACGGAGGATCCGTATCTTACTAGTCACTGCCCGGAGTAGCTCTGTAATTTGACCCAGGCGGTAAGCTTCTAAGCCTCTAAGCCCCTAAGCCCCTAAACCCCTTCTAACTGGAGGTCCGCCGCCGCTTGTCCGTTTGCAGGCTCCTCGTAGGCTGGCCAACTTTAGGCGTTGAACCAAGTCCTGGCTAAACTCAGGTACCCCCGTACGTGCCCCGTCTAGGTGCCCGTAACTAACAACGCCTTGCCTCTCAGCTGGGTCGTGATCCTGAATCTGCATCTCAACACCAACAAACACAATCCTCCAATGTTCCTTACTCTGTGATTTGTGTTTCTTTATCCGCAGTTCACCTTAAGGCAAACAGCCTTTCCGCTCGTTCAATCACTCTTTTTGGACCCAGCCTCCCTCTTGTCACTTCGACGTCGCTCCTCGATCCCTCACGCGGACAAAAGCTCTCATCTTTCCTGCCGGCCAGAAAGGAGTTGAGCTGGCTAACACGGCCTTACGTATTGCGAGTTCACCATTTCCAACAATAAATCGTCCTACGCCGCTTACTGCCCATTTCGAATCTCACGCCCACCATCACCCTCATCCTCGCGGTTGTCCTCTCGGCCTACGGCCTAATCCACACGGCTTACACGCTCTCACCGGTAGGCTTCCGTCAGCCTCTCATACCGCACCTGTGTTCCCTGGTCATCTCGAGCATCGAACCCCCGTTGACCAGCCTCACTCGCTTCTTGACCCTCGACCCGAAAATATATTGTCTGTCGGCTGTCTTACAGTTTGGCGATCGATCTCCTTGACGACGAGGCGGTCGCCATACTATAATGTCGTCCCACAGCAACAGTAGCAACTCCTCGCCGCCACGAGTTCCACCACACATCCGGTTAAATTCGGGACAGGAAGATATCCTAAACAGCGATGCAAATGGTTCCTCAAGAGCACTCGTTCCTACCTCTTCAAGGCCTACTACCTCCAGGTCACAACTACAAAATATCTATTCAGCCACAAACGTGCAAGACTCCGCCGAGAGATTGCTACCTCCTTCACAAAGCCGACTTAACAGATCTCGAGACGATGCCTCTCCTCTGAGATCACCTGCTCTTTCTAATCACTCTTCACGACGGTCAAGTTGGGAGTCTGACCGCAGCCGAGACAGCAGAGGGTTTGAAAACCCCTTTCGAGATTCGAGTCTATCAAGGCCTGGATCAAGAGCTGGAAGTGATGACAACGATGTCAACACTCAGACTGTATCTGAGAAGTACAATATTCTCCCATCAGCTGGGCTTCTGCTTTTTCCTGAAGACATTGAGAAAGACGATTACCTGCACAATCCCGATCCGAACGGTGAACCACGCGACTGCGATGTCTTCAACAGAAGAGGTCTGGTCAATATTGGCGGCCTCGCATTCATTACGATAGGCATCCTAGTCCTGTTTATAGGCTATCCCGTTTTGTTTGTTGACCCCTATCCTGACTTTTGCCGCCTGCTGATCGCTTAACAGAACCTTTGTGCAAAAATTAACGTCTTCTCCCGACCCGTGCAAAGACGATATAGGGTGCATCAACAATGGCAAGGTCCCTCTCCTCAAAAATGTGCGCACAGGTCTTATCGATCCACACACGCCCGAGTCAGCCAAAACCAAGAAGGACTACCACGGCAATACTTGGAACCTGGTCTTCTCAGATGAATTCACGACTCCCGGGCGTACATTCTATGACGGCGACGACCCATACTGGACGGCTGTGGACATCTGGTACGGTGTGACAAAAGATCTGGAATGGTATGATCCCGATGCTGCCACTACGAATGATGGTGTGCTGGAGTTGAGATTTGACGCTTTCCAAAATCATAACCTGAACTACCGGTCCGGCATGCTACAATCTTGGAATCAAATGTGCTTCAAAGGTGGCAGACTGGAGGCGAGCATTTCTCTTCCCGGCCGTGGCGATACAGTCGGCTTCTGGCCCGGGTTTTGGTCAATGGGCAACCTGGGAAGACCCGGTTATGCTTCTACTACCGATGGACTATGGCCCTATTCTTATGCTGACGTTTGCGACGCTGGTATCACTGCCAACCAGAGTTCACCAGACGGCATCAACTACCTGCCTGGCCTGCGTCTCCCGGCCTGCACATGTTCTGGGGAGGACCATCCCTCGCCCGGGAGATCGCGCTCCGCCCCTGAAATTGATGTGATCGAAGCTAGTGTGATGCCGTTCGATAGCGAAGGCAACCAAGTCGGCGTCGTATCGCAGTCTTTTCAGGTGGCACCATTCGATGTCTGGTATCAACCAAATTATGACTTTGTTGAAATCTTTGATTTCAGCGTCACACAGATGAACACCTACAAAGGTGGACCCTTCCAGCAAGCCGTGTCAGGGCTATCTAATCTGAACAATGCATGGTATGATGGGAACGCGTACCAAGTCTACGCTTTTGAATATACGCCCGGCGCTGAGGGCGATATTACCTGGTTTGTTGGTCAGGATCCTGTCTGGCGAGTACAAGGCCAGGCACTGGGACCCAATGGGAATGTCGCCCAGAGAGTCATCCCAGAAGAGCCAATGTCAATCATCGTCAACTTTGGCATGTCTCCTGGCTTCTCGGCTCTCAACTTGACCGGGTTGGCACCGCTGATGCCAGCGACCATGCGGGTGGATTATATCCGTATCTACCAAGACGACGACGGCGAAATTACCTGCGACCCTCGTGGTTACCCTACCACCGAGTACATCAACAACCATTACACCGCCTATCACAACCCGAACCTCACCAGCTGGTAAGTCAATATCTACTGCTGGGCTATCTTCGCGCGAACTAACATGACGATATAGGTCGGACACTGGCTATGAATGGCCCACCAACAGCCTGGTTAATGGCTGCTAATACTAATATAACCCCTGGAGCCAACTTCGAGTTCCAGTTTTCTCGAATGTGCAGAAGTTTGTTTTGTCCCCTCGAAACTTAGCGGCATGGCAACCGGCACAGTGGCGTTCTAGGATTGATTTTGAAAGACGGATTTGGTGGAACACGGAGTTCCTTGTTGGGGGATGTACTGCGAATCTTGTCTAACATTACGACCAAGGAGGGAATCACGATTTTTCCCGCTATATCCCGCGAATAACTCAACTGAGTAGCGGTGGCATTTTCAGCAACATCCAAAAGCAGGCGTTGCTCAAATAGGAACTGGCATGGCAATACATTGTACGACAAATCTCGTGGAGAAGTCAAAGTCTGAGTCTGGTCCGGGATCGTTGGACCGATTTGACTCGGGCTTCGCGCGCTGATACATGCTGAGTCAGTAGTCCATGGAGCTTGACCAATATAAACACATTCGAAAATGTTTTCCGTACCCTCTTGTAGTCCAGTTCAACTTTGTCTTTGCTCCTTGGTGCATCAGCCATGAATGTGAAGGCCCTCGAACGATCTTGACCTCACCTGAGATCACGTGTCTGGACACCCTCAAACATGGAGAAAGTACAGCGATCAGTTGTGACACCTTCCGTTCTGTCTGCAAACCCTCCGTCAAACGGACAACGCGTGAAGTTCGAGAGGATTTCCAAGACACGCTCCGGGAATCCGATTCTTACGACCACAAGGACGTGCCGGGCCCGCCAGTGCTGGGCCTGACGATCATGTTCACCGTCACCAGGGTCACAAATGTGGCCCCCAGGACTCCGGGGAAGGCCGATCAAAACAGGCCGCAGAGAGACAACCCCATGAAGGCGAAGACGAGAGAAGACTATTCCCAAAAGCAAAGAAAAGAACGAGCGCAAGCAATACTCGATAATTATCAGCTGCTGATGGACTATGCGGTAGCCAACGGGAAAGTATATGCTTCTCTTTTCCATCCGAGTTCAAACTATTTTGCTGACCCTCGCAGTCAATTCCACAGACTCGCACATACTTTCGTAAAGTGGCTCTAGGCATACCAACGGAACCGATCATCAAGCACTGGTTCAGTGACATTGTATGAACGTGGATGTGGAAGCGCAACGAGCGTGGGAATAACGTGGTTGCCCACAATCCCCTATTCACGGTCCCCGCGCACCACACGATAGGAGACTAGGAACAGACTGCAACATACCTTGTTCATGTGGAGGGCCTCTTCAGCATGGGCCTCAGTACCTGATAGGAGTGGGATTTGATGAAGGAGTACGATACTTCCATCGGCTAAGATGGCTCTACATTCGGTAGCTCGGCTGTGAGCCACTCGAACACACAGCTAGGGATCTATAAACGGCTCCCATGAGGATTCGGGCAGTGTGGTCGGTGGTGCTGATACCACTACTGCCAGCAGAGCAGCCTTGCACGTGACGAGGCTGACCTTGTAGAAAGGCGGTGAAGAATATTTATTCTGCCGGATCAAAAATACTTCCTACCCGCACTCGACTTTTGTAGACTGGTTGAGTTGTATAGCCGAGTCACTCACAGCGCACCAAGCCGTTGCAGCTGTCAAGATGTCACTGGAGGAGAAGTTGGCAAAGATAAAGTCACCTAACCTTCAGAGTCAACAACATGTATGTTTTCCCGATGGCCGAGTCTACTGTTCTAACTATTCCAGACCGCGGTCGTTTTGTCCTCGATCGAGGAAACTCTCCGCGAACAGAAAACGAAATTCACCGCCACTGCATATTTTGCTGCCCTCCTTGCTCTCCTCAAACAGTGTTCCGCGGCGGATGGAAACGGCAGCGACAATGAGGTCGTGGTGTCCAGCATCTACCTCCTCGATATCGTTACTTCCTACGTCCCTCCGAGCCTCCTGCGGTCGCAGTTTAGCACTATTTTATCGCTCATCGCGCCCTATCTGGAGACTTCGTCGAGCAATGCACCTCTAATACGCTCTGCCATTGGGTGTCTTGAGTCTTTACTGATTGCCCAGGACTCAGCAGCATGGAGTCTGCCGCAAAATCAAACAAGTCCCCGACAGGCAATTATGGCGCTCCTCGCCTTGACTATTGACGCGAGACCAAAGATAAGGAAACGGGCGCAGACAGGGTTGACAAACATCTTGAAAAACCCTCCACCAGGTCCTGCAATCGACCATCCAGCCGCCGAGCTCTGCGCAGTGGCATCTCAGAATAATCTGAAAACTGCGGTTGATACAGTGACTCGAGCTCGGCGCCACAAAGGAAGACCGGATGAAAGTCACGAACCGGCCGTGATTCATGCCCTTCAACTCACAAAGACCGTTGCTTTGGCATCAGGTGGATGGCCCAGTAAAAAGATCGAATCACTTTGCGAACTCTTGCTGTCTATATCGCGCTCAAGGAACGACTATCTGGTCATGAGTGCGTTCGAAGTTTTCGAGGTGATATTCGAATCAATGCAAGATGAAGTTGCGTCCTCCAAGCTACCGCGGCTTCTTGAGGCGATCGTCGAATTGAAACCTGCCCAGAACGACTCACAGCTTCTACCTCCCTGGATAGCCATATTGTCACGGGGATATGGCACAGCAGCAGTTGTCGCGCCTGAGGATACCTTTGTAGGGCTGCCCGAGCTTTTCGACTTGGTAGCATCCTTCCTGACAAGTCCATCCCACAATATCAGAGTCTCAGCATCGGAATGCCTCATTTCATTTTTTGCCAATTGCATTCCGGATAGCGTCATCGCAGAACCATCGATATATGATGAGAAATTGCTCGAAAAGATCTCGGTCAAGGCTCTTGGCCTTCTGGCAGTCAAATATCAGACTGCTTGGATGGAGGTGTTCAAAACTCTTTCCGCCCTTTTTGACGCTCTTCGGTGGCGAGGCGATCCGTTTTTGCTTGGTATCGTCAAAGCAATTGGCGAACTCAGAAGCAACGATGGTTTCCAGGGCAAGCAAGAAGCAGATGAGGTCCTTGGACATGCAATTCGCAATCTCGGACCTGGTGCGGTCTTGAGCGTGCTTCCCCTTAACCTGATCAAACCACGGCCCGGTCACCCTGGACGGGCTTGGCTCCTTCCGCTCTTGCGAGACTATGTGTCCAACACGAATCTGGGGCACTTCAAATCCGAGTTGGTTCCTCTGAGCGAAGCTATGTATCAACGCGTCATTGATCATGGCAACGCCGCGAAGACAATGGACATCAAAGTCTATGAGACTGTTGTTCAACAAGTTTGGGCTACTCTACCGGGCTATTGCGATCTGCCGTTGGACTTGGTAACGGCCTTCGATCAGTCCTTTGCCGAACTTGTCTCGAACTTGCTCTACAAGCAGACAGAATTGCGTGTGAACCTCTGCCGGGGGCTACAAAACTTGGTCGAGTCAAACCAGGCACTCCTGGCTTCAGACCTTCCTGACGAGGTCCTGTCGCTGGAACGACGGATCCAACGAGCAGATGCAGAGAAGAATATTCAGCATCTGGCTCAATTCGCCAACAATCTTCTGGCGGTGTTATTCAACGTCTATAGTCAGACACTACCTCAGTCCCGAGCGTACATACTACAATGCATCAACAGCTACCTCAGCATTACTCCGGAGAAGGACTTGGTGGAGACATTTCAGAGAGTATCATCAATGTTAACGGAGGCTTTACCGAAGGCAAATCAACCGCCACCAAAGAAAGAACAGAACCAATCTTCCGCCAGCAAACTTCCTCCGACCTCTCACACTTTACTTGATCTTGTCATAGCGCTCTCTGTCCACCTGCCTCGATCAGTATTTGCTGACTTGTTCTCTATCTCCTCAAACATCCTCACCAATCCAGCAATCCTAAAGTCAGATCCACAGCTGATTAAGAAAGCCTACAAGCTGATTCCTAGGCTAGCCACTTCGAAGACAGGGGTAGAGGCACTTACATCTCGAAGTCAGGAATTGCAACAATTAATCCTCCGAACTTCAGAGACCACACCAGTTCCTGCGCGCAGAGATCGCGTTGTCGCGGTGCAGACGCTGATCTCCTTCCTTCCACCAACAGACCTGCACTTTATTCCCAGCATCCTAAGTGAAGTGGTGCTGGCATGTAAAGACACCAACGAAAAGGCCCGAAGCGCAGGCTTTGAGCTCCTAATCGCCGTCACAAACAAGATTTCCGATCCATCAAACCCACCGGGCACGGTGATTCGAAACAGTTTGGTGCCGCACATGGCGGATGACTCGCCCGACGCGCCTGCTAATCTCGAGGAGGTCTTCACGATGGTTAGTGCTGGACTCGCAGGGGTGGCTCCGCACATGGTTGCCGCCAGTGTCATCGCGCTCAGTCGGTTACTTTTCGAATATCACAGCCAACTGGCTGATAAGACAAAAGAAGAACTCGTCGACACAGTCACCATGTTCCTGCAATCTAACAATCGCGAGATTGTACGGGCGGTGCTCGGGTTTGTCAAAGTGATGGTGGTAGTTCTCCCTACCGAAATGTTGGAACCGAGGATGCCTTCCATAGTGCCCGGTCTCATGGTGTGGAGTAAAGAGAACAAAGGCCGCTTGAGAGCCAAAGTTAAGGGGATCTTGGATCGCTGCTTGAGGCGCTTCGATGGCTCCAAGCTTGAAAGCTGGGTCGGTGGCGATGATCGGAAGATGGTGGCGAATATTCGCAAACGACGAGAGCGTGCCAGGCGCAAGCGGAATGGCACAGAAGCAGATGAAGATGATGAGGATGCAGAGCAACCTGCCACCAAGAGATACGACAATGAATTCGATGAGGCGGTCTACGGTTCAGAAGACGACGACTCGGAGAATGAAGGTGCGGACAATTCCGAATCCGATGGCGACGATACTATGTCTGGTGTCTCATTCAAGGACTCTGGCGCGAAGAGACGCAACGAGCAATACATTCGACAAGAGGACGAGGATGACGAGCCGCTTGATCTGCTGGACCCAGGGAGCCTGGCGAGCATCTCCACGAGAAGGCTTGGCCGGTTGCGGAACACAAGGAAAACGAAAGCCAAGGTCAACGAGGACGGCAAGCTGATTTTCGGCGGGCAGGATGATGAAGCAGCAGACGGAGATGTCGACATGTCCATATCGGGATCTGCTGGACATGGACAAGACAGCTCCATCAACGCGTACCTTGACGCCGTGTCGGGCGCAGATGCTGTCCGGCGCGGCCAGAAGGGCAGACTCAAGGTCAAATCCGGCATGCAGAAGAAATCTCGGCAAGAATCTAGAGATAGAGACCGGGACGATGACGGAATGGATCTTGACGTCGACGAGGCAAGAGAGGTCGCCCGACGGATCATGCAGGGCACAGCATCGGCCAGTCCCAAGTCTGCCGGGGGAGTGGCGGGTAAAAAGAATGATGCCAAACACCAACGACGTGGATTGGGCGTGGAAAAAAATCGGGATCAGCACCCGGCTCAGAAGGGCAAGTTCCGTGGGGGGAGCGGTGTCGCGAAACGTGGCAAAGGCCCAAACGTGCGATTTGCATCGAGACGAGGTGGAAGGCGGTAAAAGACGTATAGGATCAGATGAGGCCCTGTTTCTCCCTCAGCAAGGAGGAGTTCTGGGACGTCAAGAAACAAAAACAAACAGCATGCGTATGACAAGAGATGATGATTGGGTTCGATCCCATCAAGGGTGTGAACGACAAAAAGGTGTCTACTACTAGTAGGCAGGCAAACGAGGTTTCATTTTAAGATTCCAGTCCAATCTTTCTCCTAACGTTTTGTCGTCCATGGATGGGGTATTATCATAAGTCACAGACGACCAGACCATGTTCTTTTGGCCGGATTGATCGGACATGAAATACTATTGAAATAATATGGATTGGCCTGCCCCCTTCTTGATGGTTTGAGTTTGATATTAAGAGCGTACATGTAGATACACGTATGGCTGGGCTATACGTACTAGCACTAGTACCGTATGTGTATGTATGTACCCAGTCTGGTCGTTGAGGCGGTATAGTATAGTATCTTTGGACAGGCAAGTTCCGATTGTACTCCGTACAGGACAATGCACAAACGTGGTCGTGGTCGAAACCGAGACCGAAACCGAAATTACACTTGGGGTGGACGCTGGATCCAACTCGGGCACTTTTCTGATAGAAATGAAAATGGTTCCCTTGCTTTGATCCTGTCGACACTATTCGTTTCCCTCACAGGACTTCAAAACATGTTTTCTTTTCAGCTCTTCCCGTTTTGTGTGTCAAGAGTTACCCTAGATAGATACATGATATGGTTATGGTCGAAGGCTACATCCTCACTCTAGCCATTCACTCGCACCGCCGGGTTGGACGACATTCGGCTCTTCGTTAATCATACTTTCGGCGTCGCCGACCTGTTTGCGTTCCGATACCTCGCGGTTTCGTAACCGTGAATGCGCCGCGGCCACGCGTCCACTGTTGAAGCTCATATCCGCGACTGAGCCTCTGGTGCTATTGCTCAACGTCAATCCTTGGGGCCCGCTGCCTCCCCTCATGACTGCTGATTGTTATTGCAGAGGTTCGGAAGACGAGGAAAGTCGGTTGAGGTGGAGATACACATCTGTTCCGTATCTGTGGTCATGTTAGCCGTGGACTCAACACAGTGCGAGGAGACAAGTATGTACCCTTCCATCGAAATCAACTTCAAATCTCCTCCAAAGTAACGTGCGTATAGGCGTGATATGGGTAATCCGTAGCCGAAGCCAGCCATCGGCGCCTTGAAGTCACTGGCATTGAAGCCAGGATCAAGTTCTGGTGTGGTGTCGACTGTAGTGTACATGTATGTCCATACAAGAGGGATGGCAGATCTCGGGATGCCACCTCCTTCATCGCTGATTTTGATGGTGATGTCTTCTTTTCCCTCGGCAACAATTACTTTGGTCACGGGGAATTCCTCCTTTTCCGCGCCGTGGGTTTCGACCACCGCTCGAAGAGAGTTCTTCAAAGTCTCAAAGAGCATGTGGGATAAATGGCCTGGCACGTACATGAATGTCAAGTTAGGCGGACAGAACAATTGGACTTTGGGGGCGTCGAACAAGCCATAATGGTCTTCGCACACGAATCGGGCGTTTTCGATGGCTTCTTCGGCAAGTTCCTTCACGTTTGTCTTAGTGCATATTATGCCCACGTAGTGGGGGTGTCTGTGGATGCTTTGCTCCGTCAGGGCAATATGTTGCCCGATGAGCATACGAATGCCGATACGCGACATGTAGAAACGGTCGAGGAAAGACTGGATGGATGAATCAATCTGCATGCGCTGTTGTTTGCGTTTCCATTCGTTGATGCCTTGGGCCACAGTGGTCACGACTGGATCGTGCCTCCTCTTAATGACCTCGAGCATGCGGGAGAACTTTCGGTTGTACTCTGCAAGAACCGGAGGCCATTCTTTGCCATCATCCAAGGGGGCAAAGTATCGACGGGTGTTCAGTCCAGCTCTGCTGTTTCCATTGCCATTGTGATCTGATCTGAGACTAGGATTTCGAGTAGCGGAAGCGAGTTTGTTGGCGGCCTTCTTGGGAGGGCCGAGGAGGCGTTTCCGGGTTTCCGAATCCAGCTCTGGTCGCGGCAGGGTTGTGATCTCTTCGAAGGACTGAGCGTACCAGTCCCTCACCTTTTTGATGGAGGTCATCTCGTTGAGCCCATCCGGCAACTTGCCCAACTCTTCTACGCGGTGGGCGAGTCGCACTGGAAGCTCTTCGGAAAGAAACTGAGAGGCGCGGAACAGAGTGCCTAGAAGGAGCGCCGTTAGCGAGGAGTCCAGCGAACACCATGTCCTGGACCGAATCGTCGACTCACCAGTCGAGGGTTTCTCTCCAAACTGTACCATCTGGCGCAGACTGACCCCAGTAGGCGGAAAGCTGGCATAATGAGAGATGGTCTGCATCAGCTTCTCAGACGGCCGCCACGACATCTTCATTGAGATTGAGGGGGTCAGGCCTTGCGGCCTGGGTCACTGGGGAGGAACAATTCGAGCGACAGGGTCTGGAAAGATCGATGGAGCAACGTGGTGGCTCGAAATTCGATCCAACAATGAATTGGGTGGTTGTCCGATGTCCGCCGAGTCTCGAATCCAATGTACTTTGTGTTGCCAGTTGCCGAGGCAGGGAATGACGCAGGTCTGGCGGTGCGCGGGCGGAGGGCGGAGGGTGTTTATCGTCTGAAGTAATGATGATGATGCTTGAAGCTGAGCAAGCTGGCTACGGCTGAAGAATAGAGGACACGTGCTCGGTGCTCGGCCGCTTGAAGAAATCAAGGCTGAGACTGCGAGGTCGAGGTTGGGCGGGCGCAGGCGACGATGTTGAGCAAAGACTCAGACTCGGAGATGCAGGTGACTCAACGCAGGCAAAGGCAAAGGCAGAGAGTGCGGGCAGCCTAAGCTTAGCCTTAGCCTCCTAAGCCCCAGTACCGAGGAGTCAGTAATACAGCAAGCGTTCTCTCTCTAGGTACCTACCACCTACCTAATTATTATCACTGTACTCCGTACCTACGGACTCTCTATACGGAGTACATACGCCAGCATTCTTTGGCCTAGAGAGCGAGTGCTCTCTGCTCAGTGTTCTCTCCTCTCTGCTCTCTATCCCATCCCTCCGTCCCTTCGTCCCTTTCCTCTGCTGCGCCGGCGCTCTTTCGGCTGTGGGGAGACGCCCACTTGCTGTCCCTGTTGGCACACGATTGCGGAGGGCTAAGGAGGCTTCATGGGCTTGATTGGGTCTCGGCCACAAGGGCAAGGGATTCTCTCCACCAAGCCATCAATTGCGACTAGACCTGTAGTTGCTCCGTCGGTGCGAAGAGCCTGACAGTACGGAGTATGGATCCTCCGTAACATGCCCTGAGAGTCTCGTGCCCTCGATCCCTGTTTGGCATTGGCATGTCCGCCCTTAAGTCTTACTCGTAAGGTCTCCTTCAAGTTGATCATCGTGCTACCCCCATAATCACTCGCCATTCCCGAGGCCCTTCGCCCACTGTGAAGCTCAACCAGACCTCATAGCACCATATAAGGCCATTATGTTCGGATGCCCCACGGCTGCTGAGTCGCCCCAGGCGCGAATATGTTCCGGCTAAGGCTCCAGTATAATCCCACTACCTTTCCGAGCTCTTCTGCCATCGGAATTTTTCGGCTGAGGCTGAGACCTGTGCTTTCTGCTCCAAGTCATGCCGCTCGAAGGAAGGGGGGACATTGTCCTCGTATCAGGGGGTGTTCGTCCTTGTTTCTCTTCAAGGCTATATCATTTGGGTGTATCTGATCCTTCTATCGACATTGTGATTCTTCGGGTCTCCTAGTGCCGCTTGGTGGAGGTTGATGTGTACTTGTCTCGTTAGCAGCTGACACGGCTGGGGGTGAGTGATGGAGCATCTCAAGAACAAAGGCTATGCACTGCCCTGACTGTTGAAGCCCTCTTTCTTGATGAGAGTGTTGCTTTGCGACAGATCATACCGTCCTGGTCTCCTTCCTGACATGCCCGTTCCGACGGTTGTCTGCCCTCTACAACGCGGGTGAAAGCATCAGCTGGATGGATGTGGTCTGAATGATGAAGAAGCGAACAAAGATCACTGCCGCAGAATGACGTGAAGATGTTGGTAGGTTGTTCACTGCAAGGTTTGCAACATGCGAGTAGCGCAGCCTCCCGGATGGTCGCGCCGAGTATCTTGTCGCAGATTATGCCGTCGACGACGTCTTCACTGCCGCACATATTGACAATACCTTTCCCTCAGCTTTGGAACAACATCTTCATTCGCTTCTCACCCTCTAGATGTCTGTAAGTGAGACCGGAGTTCATACGGCATGGCATTCAATCCCGAGTATCAGACTCGCATTGGCGACGGTATGGTTGTTCGTTTCAGACACCCATTTTATCGTCGGGCGGGCCATCGGATCCAAGACGTCCTTGATGATTTCAACCTGCCTCGTGTCTGCTACAAGATTGTAGCGAGTACCTACGTGTTGTTCATGGTATGGGGCTTCTATTTGATCTTGCCACTTCCGGGACACTGGAGCCCCAAAGCACAGCCCGATGCCTCGGCCATCTCTCAGGATCCCACCAAGGAAGTACAAGTCGGAAGTCCCAAATTGTTTTCTATCTCTAACCTCGAATAGCTACTTTGAGATCTTCACGGTCGCCGCTGCATGCCGCTTCCATGCACCCGATCTATACGTCCCTGCAGAAAACGCAATTCAGAACAATGGCAATTCATCCTGTGCTACGTGCCAGGATTTTCCGCAAGCCATATCTAAAGGCAACTCCAACGCTTCCGGCATACTTCATTGGGTAAAAGGTAAGCCACATCTGGGAATAGAACGCCCCGTCTCACACGTACTGACGAAGCTGTCAAGGATGTCATTATCGTTGGGACTCGACTGGCAAAATCTGCATAGATTTCAGGCGCTTCGATGCGATTGTTTTCGTGGGAAACGTCAGCCTGGAACCGATTTACAATGCTGTCAGCGCTCTGCTCCGACAAAACCTGGTCAAGGGATCGTTGGCAAACTGGGACGTGCCTGACGAGAATCAATTTACCGAGCCGCTCTGCTCCAACCACTTCCTCGCCTCCAACCGAACAAGTGCCCACGATGCCCTCAGCATGTGGAACATGACCGGCTATGGGTGCTCCCTGGAGGGGCCGCAGTCCGCAGACGAAACTGGCCGTCACTCAGGTCATGATGGTCCCCAACTAGCTGATTTGGCTGGAACACAATCGAAGTTTGGTCTGATCGTGATAGAGGCACCTCAGAGTGTGATTGGTGTCGAGGCTTGCAACGTTTCCGAAGTTGTCCTTGACTATCCCCCGACAAGATGGAGCTGTGGGCTCTGGGGGTCCTCTCCGGAACGGAACGAACCATTCGTTGAACCATTGGAACAATGTATTGACTAGAGACGGTCCTCCTGGAAATACAAGGCTGGCCCATTTCATTTCCAGCCCGTTCCCCCAGAGACAGGTAGTGTGCAGGCAGTATGTGATGAACATGAGGATGGGGATGAGGACGGGGATGAGGATGGTGATGAGGATGGTGATGAGGATGGTGATGAGGATGGTGATGAGGATGGTGATGAGGATGGTGGTGAAGATCATGATCTCAAATCTCAAATCTTAAATATCTTATTCCTCGAGTTCTTTACCTTGTCGTGATATCCTATGAATTCCCCAAATACGTGCCATGCCCCATACTCCTTGGGGGCTGCGTCATCTGGAGCACACAAACCATTACCTTGGACCTTAAACCTAGCCTAACGAGATCGCATCTCCAGTCGAGCATTGTAACATGTTGGGGCAAGCGGAATGCTATATTTACAGTTGCTATGCTATCCTGATAGATATTCAGCATGCGGCAACGGATCGACCCCAATCTTTGCGAACCGATCAATCAACCACCGAGATCCCAGAGCATTTCACAATATTCTGCAATATTCTGCTCTGGAACCCGTCTACCGCCGCACCTCTGATGTGATGGGGCCAACCTTCCAAGTGGCCATGAACGTCTGAGACTCGATCATTCTCCACTGTGGGCGAATGACTCTCGAGAGATGTAATAAGCGTAGTAGCCACCACACTTTCCACAGAGTCTCGCAGGCTCCGCCTGGCTTGAAGCTGAACCTCACTTTATGAATAGGCGCCCTTGTCAGGCTTATTGTATTGCTTTTGAACCAACCCTCCCCCCAACCCTTCCAAAATCATCCCTCTTGGGTCTAAAACAGCACCTCTCCGCTCCCCTCAATCTCGCCGCCCCAGAGCTGTCCAATCTTCCGAGCTCTGATCTTGTCCTTGCGCTTCTTCTCCAGCTCGATTGCGCGATGCAATCGAAAGACTTCTTCAACGTCGCCCAGCTCGTACCCCGGCGGCGGGTCATCGTCCCTGTCAAGGTCCACCTCGCCCAGTAACAACACATTCTCACCTCGGACTAGGTACGTGCCGCGAGGGATATCGCAGTACATGTTGCGCGGGAGGGTAGAAGTACTCAGAGAGGTATTGGCGGATAAAGTGGGTGCGTCTTTCGAGGCTGTCGCGGAGAGGGCATCCGTGCTGGTGCTGCCGGGGATGCTGACAAAGTAGCGTTCGCGTGTTTCAGTCAGGACGAGATTCGCGAATTGGTCCCAGGAGCGTAGGATGCCGAAGATCTTGCGTCCATCGCGCAGGACGAGAAGGAGTTTTTCTAAAAAACAAAACACAAATATCAGACCTGAGCTTCTCTTTTAAAAACAACCTCTGACTTGTTCCACTTTCACCCATTACGAATGGTGAAAGGGTGACTTGGTGTATGCCACAGGGGAGAAACATACTATCGGTCAAATCCAGAAGCTGCGCCGCGGTGGTGAACATCTGTGGCGGTAGCTGAGGCGGGCCCTGTGACGGGACGCCTGGCAAGACGGCATTTGGCTGTCTCTGCGGGGAGGAGGGAGGAGGGTCGTTGAGACTAAGGTTTTCCATCCTGCTGGCGATGGAACGGGGGACTCTTGCAGTACGGGAAATTGTTATCGGTGCGGCACGATGACAGCGGAGGAAGGTCGATTCGGTACGGTCTCAACCATCGCAGCCAGCCAGGAAGACGGAGCGCATTTGGTTGTACGGGAGCAGGGAAAGCCACTTGGGTGTTAACAGAGTGACGAGCGTGGGTTGGAAAGGCTTCGATTGAGTCTTGGAGCAGAGAAGTGGATATAAGCGCCAACCGCGCGGCTGCCGCGTCAATATTGTACCGCCATTGGTCTTCATTTCTTGAACAAGACACGCGACCGCCGATTTCAGGACATTCTCGTAGGAGGAATATTGCAATTACATCAGCTCAGCCAAGAGATAAGCACTCGAGACCTCATCTAACAGGCGTCAAGAGTAACAAAACCCCATGTACTTGGACTCAGTCAGCTATATGGCGGATCCGCGGATCCTGAACAGCCGCGAGCCTCGTCTCGGGAGTATGGGCTGCCGTCGGAAAATCGTCTCTCCGGCGTTCCGCCCCCACAATCTCTGCCTCCGAGTTCCCACTTCTATCGAGACTGTTGTACCTTGGTATGGAACTACACTATTAAACGACTCCTGGGTGTGGTTCAGACCATCCAGCTCGGGACAAAGACGGCGCTGTCTGGCGATATTCAGAGAGATAATTGGACAGACCGCATATAATTAAACAATCAGGACAATGATCGGTCACCACTCACTCGCTTTAGCGCTCAGTTCAATAGTTCTACTACTGGTTTGTGCCAGACGATTGCCAATAAATACAGCTGGCCCCTGGGTTCATGTGAGTATCCGTCCACAAACATCCAGAATCCTTCTTTCAGTCAGGATCCCACGGAGATCTTGGCACTTCAATAGATCCCGACAATGTCGTTGTCCAGCCTCAAACATCTGCTCGATCAGAAGTTCCACCCACCTCAACCCGCAACAGAATCGTTTGCTGGCAGGACCATTCTGTTGACCGGTGCAACCAGCGGTCTTGGTCTTGAAGCCGCTAAGAAACTCGCTGGCCTCAATGTTTCCAGGCTCATCATCACCGCGCGAAGCGAAGACAAAGGTCAGGCTGCAAAGAAGGAGATTGAAAAGTGCTTGCAGGACGCCGCCACTTCATCGACAGAGATCGTTCCAATGGTCCTCGACATGAGCAGCTTTGCCGGAGTGCGACAGTTTGTCGATAATCTCAAGTCACAAGTCCAGAGCCTGGATGGTGCGATCCTCAATGCAGGAACGATACAGGTGAAATACGTCCAGAGTTCTGACGGCTGGGAGGAGACTCTCCAAGTCAACGCTCTCAGCACATTTCTCCTCGGCGGGTTGTTGCTGCCTCTGTTGATTGCTGCCGCGGAGAAAGGCAAGAAGGACTACAAACCTCATTTGACATTCATATCTTCCGGTTTAGTGTGGAATACCCCGCCGGAGCAGATCAAGGTCTTCATAGAAAGTGAAACACCGCTTGAGGATCTCAGTGCACGGCAAAACTTCCCGCCTGGAGCATTTGGCGGGAGCACTCAGTACGGCAGATCCAAACTTGTGTTGGAGTATGCGGTGCGCCACCTGGCTGCCATACCTTCGATAAAAGGCACCGATGGCCAGCCGAAGGTCATCATCAACACTACTTGCCCCGGAATGTGCAAAAGTGATCTCGGCCGACAGATGGTTACCAACTTCGTGATAAGGATCATCAGCGCGGTTCTCTTCGCCCTAGTCGCGAGAACCGCTGCACAGGGAGCAAACACGTATACCACGGCGCTCGTACAGGGCGTCGACACACATGGAGAGATGTGGAAGGACGATCGAATTTATGAGCCAGGTCCAATCTACACCACTGAGGAAGGTCGGAAGTTTGGTGATAGGGTCTGGAGTGAGGTGCTGCGAGTGATGGTCAAGGCAGATCCCAGTATCAAGCTGTTCATGGGTTGAAGATTAAGCTTTTCCTCTTCGGGGCGCCGCGGTAGTATGCCTGTTCCTGCCAGTGATTTTGAGAATCTCGAATCTTTACTGTTCTTCTTGATCTGTGTGCGATGGTCTCAGTAAATACCACCCAGCAAGATAGGCAGCTAGGTGGAAGATTGAGTTACCCGAGACGGAGCCATGTCGGACAACAGGAGACACTAATCCAACGTGGAGCCCGGCCGATTTTCGTCCAAGGCTACCAATAAGGGCGATGCTCACCTTGAGATGGCGACACTCAACTCGCCTCCTCGATGTATTCTTCCTGGCCACGTTTTCCGGGGGTCAACTTTCAGGTGTTATGCCGTGTTCTCTATGGGCCGTACACCCAAGAGATCTGCCGGCTCCATTGTATCAGTCGTCGCTGGCGTAGAAACTCACATGGTCATTTGCGGACACCGCTTGAACGGCCGGCTTGCACCAATCAACTCGGGCCATCGGCAATGCAAGCTGGATGTGCTGGCAACATCTGACAGGTGCGTGATTTGTGGCGGGGAGTAGTAGCTCCTGTAAGTCACCAAATTCCCATGATCCGCTCCGGCTCTGGCCCTTTGGATCTGCACCTGTCGACCTTTGGCCTTCCACAACGCCGATTCGAGAAGCGCTGCGACAAACTGCATCTGGAGCGGGAATCTGAAATCCACCTCCCGGAAGATCGTGTTCACGGTCGTCGTGTCTGGGTGTTTGTGTGCGCAGGAAGCGTCTGCGTCTGCTGGAACAAGCAGCAAACCCCGCATATCGCCCATTCTGGGCCTTATCGATAGCGTGATGCTCAACCTCGATCTTTGCACGAGGGTATGATGAGAGGTAAGTCAACACCGGCCTCTGCTGCCCCAGAGCGCTGGGCCGCATGATGGAGTCTGATGCGAGTGTAGACAGGGCAAACAGAATACTAGATAGTCCCCATTCATACGTTCCGGTGCCTCCTATGAGCGGGAAACTCGACCCCGTCAGCAAACTCGCAGCGCAAAGCAACTGATCCAGTCAGTCTTGGGCGAAGAAATTCACACCGGCCTGATGTACTCAAGAACCGCTGTGGTCAAACCGCAGCGAGCGGTGCAGGTCGTAACGGAGGACGACGCGGTGTCAATGGCCTCAACCACCACCACAGATGCAGTGCCACCACTCACGCGGGGTTCATCGACTGCATCCTCCTCGACATCCTCGGCCGACACAGATATGGCTAGCAGTATACTCGGGAAAGGATACATGCTCGAGTCACAAGATGGAGTCTTGTCGGTTCCGTTCCGGTATCAAGAGGATGCGGATCTGCTGTGTCCGTTCCAAATCCTGGACTGTGATCAAGTTTTCGCAGACATCATCCATTTCAAGATGCACGTCTTTTCGCACTTCCGAGGCCATGAATTACCAACCTTTGCCACTTGTTTCCTGTGTGACAACAAGTATGTCCAAGGGCCTGACGACGACCCGGCTCTGGCATGGAACAACATGCTGTCACACATGGTGCATGAACATTTCCGGACAGGTCAGCAGCTTGCAACGGTGAGGACTGACTTCGGCCTGATGAGGTGGATGTACAGCAGAAGAATCATCAGTGACCAGCAGTTCAAACGGACCCAAATGGTACCTCTTCCGATCCTCCTTCCTAGAGCCGCCCGAGGTCAAGGTTTGGAAGTGCCGCAAGCCCCTTCGGCACCACCTCCGCCCGCCATACTGACACACATGGCACAATCCGTCGGTTATCAGAACGAGGGCTTCACCATTAATGCAGGACGGAGGGCAGAGAGGCGTCGCCTTGACGCAACCCGAACCGTTGTTCGAGCTCGAAGTAATATTTGAGAATGTTTTCAAAATTGTAGGCTCAAGTTGAGCGTGGGACCTGAACCTGGCTTCAAGGGAGAGCAAACGCTGGTTGCGATAATGGGGCTCTCAAACAGCCTGCTGTATGAATTTGGTTTCCTCCTCGTCTGGCGTTCGGCGGCTTTTTGGGTGTCATGATTACACCAGAGGTGCTTTGATGCAATGACATGCGTTGAGCTCTGCGTTTGGACAATGAGTCGTGTGAGTCACCAACTGGTGCAGGCATGATGACAAACTGTCGGTTTGGATGACTTGGCGTTGCTCCATGAGTATGTAGCATGCGTGTATTGTGTATTCTGTTGGCAGGGGGTTGCTCCATCTTGCTTTGATCAATGCTGGCATCAAGGCTGTGTGGATGAGATCCTACCCCCAAAGCATTATTCTGGATGACGGCAGTACTCAAGTGCTTCTGGATCTGTATGGAGGTTGAGTGGGTGACCGCATCTCTGCTTTACGTGCACAGTCCCGTGTATATTGCCTTGCCAGGATTGAGGGTTGCCTTGCAACGCGCCTTGCAGCTTGTTAGACTCCCGTGCAGATAGCGGGAAGAAACTCCTAGCGTGGGTTGTCATCAGCGGACAACGTCCGCAGACCCAAGGAAAAGGTCAAGTGAACCCAGGATCAGAAGACGTCCCGGAAGCTGAGAAGTAGTCATCGTTTAAGTTTCCCCCATGCCCCCTGGTCGCCACCCAGGACGTGTCTGCTGTAGCCAATGAAACGTCACGAGGACAACAGCATCCCAAACGATGCATTTCCATGATCATATCGGCCCCTTACCCCTGCCGCGGCACAGCCACCATGAGCTTCGTGCGCGTATCATGTGTCCCCCATGTCTCATCCTCCTCCCGAGAATGCACAAGGGGCGAAAGTCGAACTTGTGCAGTTGTCTTGGAAACAGTACTGTGTACGGAATAATACAAGGCCATTGGTGCATACACTACGAATCGAAATCTTCAAGGAAGTATTTCCAACGTCTGCCTTGAGACCATTGGTCGTAAAGGCTCCGACTTTGCTTCTGATACAATAAACTGCGGCTGGCGACCGGCCTCCTTACTTGCCGTCATCGAAGGTGGTAACACCATCGGGCAATCTGTCTGCATTTCATTTTCCAAGAAGTCTAGAATAGTGCTCAGTAAGGAATAGCCTACAGACAGCCTTTCGAGAATGGACCCTGCCACTGTGTTGACCGCTGTTCCTGCTCCTGCAAATCATCGAAGAATGAAAGACGTTGTCACGAGGTGAGAGTAAAAATGTCGAGACAAATACCGATTCGCAGATGCTCTAAAAGGGGTCGCTGGACGTTAAGGGAAGGCCTCTGGGGTAAATGAAAAGCTTGGCCGGCTCGCAAGACAGAATGCTAGGTATGATGATCATTCATTGCCAGAACTCGCACAGGCAATTGACGGCGTCGTGGATGTGTGAAATTCTTCCAAGGTCCCGGCACTAGCCGTAGCTTGGTCATGAACTACAGTATTTATCCTGTGAGAATGACAAGTTTTAGTTTGAGAGCAAGACCACGCAATTAAGGACAGAAAAGATGTAGACAAAAAGGTCAGACAGCAGTTGGTACAATTTTACTTTCCACAAGGAGTTTCAGAACAGGTCTGTGTGAAAATGTGCTTCATCATGTGTAAAGAAGGGGAAATGGTGGAGTGCGTGTAACTGACCTCGTATTTATCAGGAAACCCGCATTTGATGCGATAGGATTTGCTGACTGATGAATCAGTCCATGGTAGGTCGCGACCATGTCACATCTTCAGCGGCCCAATTTATTTCCTTCTGGATTGTTGAAGAATCCCAGAAGGGACCGTTGACGGGGATCGAAGGGCGACGAACCTAAACCACCACGAGCACGATTAAGACCAACCAGGTGCTCACGGCTGTTCGCCACATGCACCATCATATGGTGTCCACTAAGAGCTGGTGGACACCCCGGTTCGTCGAATGCAGGGCCTGGGATGGAATCATTGGTAGGAGTGATGCTGGCCGGACGTTGGATAGTCAACTCTAGAAATGCAGTATTGCTCCAGGAAGGAAGGCGTTCCAGTGGTTGGGGGTACCTGCCAACCTCAACGTTGGGACCAAGACTCACACTTCCAGCAGGGAACTTGCGAAGCAACGACTGCCAAAGAGTGGAAAGAAACATCCCATGAGAGACGACCGCAACGCAATCTTGTGTCGGAGGATTAGTTGGGTTCAGTAGATCGTCTGTACTGGTGGCGAACAATGGGAAAATGAAATTGTCCAAGAATGCTTCAGCTCTGGTGGCCATAGACCCGAGGTCCTCCTTTGGCCGGAAATCTGGATCTGCTTGGCCCGGGACTGCATTGTCGAATGCCTGTTGCGCTCGCTTCGAGGCCCAGGGAACGAGTTCCAAAGAACCGAAATCCTGCTCTCTCAGAAGCTCTAGCCTCACCACTTCAGGCACTCTGTGTTGGTGCGCCCATTGGGCGACTTGGTTTCGCTGAAGCTCCTCAGCCGTCATATAGGCTCGTTGAAGATCGGAGGCATAGATATGCGTGAAGCGTAGTTGGCGATGAGCCGTAAGATGTTTGCCCATACGTTGGCATTGTAACACGCCATGATTAGTTAACCTCGAGTCAGATATTCCCGCAAGGAGCCCGGCAACATTGTGCTCTGTTTCGCCATGCCGAACCAAGAATAAATGCATGGAAAGGTCACAGCCGGAACATGGGGGTTCTGAGAAGGGCAAGGAGAACTCTTGTGGGAAAAGAAAGGAGGATGGATGCAGTGTGGGAGGGAAAACAGAAAACATCATGTTGGCCCTAAATTATTGACGGAAGGTCTGCCGACCGGTCAGGGCGCAGCCAGTGCGGACAGTTCAGATTTCTTTGGGCCCTGCCTGCGTCCTGTCAACCAGATCGCCATCAATTCTGATACAGCTATTTTTGACCCTCCGCCCATTCATTTGAACAGTAGCTCAGCTGCACGAGGGTCCTTTTGCGAGTCCGTTACACAGAGTTCATTCACCTCTTCACCAGTCTCCCAGCGGTCCTGTGTCTTTGAATTTACGGCGACTCTTTTGGCAAAATGGACGGAGGGTATGCATGTCTGTCCAACTTAGAGATCGAGGATGCTGACGTTACCTATCAGTCTCAATCTCGCAGAGCAAAGAGAGCTTTCGTCTCGGCTCGAAAAGAGGCAGATGAATGAGTTTATGACAGTAAGCCTTCTCGCCCGCGCAGCCACACCATCCCATGTCTAATGTTCTGGCTGACCTCTAATTTCATCTCAGACATTCACCGGCCTCGTCCAGACTTGCTTCGATGATTGCATCAACGATTTCACGTCTAAAGCGACAACTCCAAGAGAGCAAGGTTGTGTGTCAAAGTGTTTCGAGAAGCAGATGAAGGCTACTGAGCGACTTGGCGAACGATTTCAGGAGCAAAATGCAGCACTGCAGGCAGAGCAGTTTGGGAAATAGAGACGCCTTCGTCCTCAGTCGATGCTATGCTCGCAAAGCCACTGTACATTATCGGAAAAATACAATCCCCACGAATCCGGCTTTTGGAATGGACGGGGTAGAAGTCATATGGCGTTTACAGACTAGTCGATGGCTTCATTCATGCTATCTGGGTTGCATTGAGCTTTATATCACATGGGATTGGAAGCAACTTACATGTACCCGTACACAGGAACAGTCCATCTACCGCCGGCAAAATGATTCACCGCTCGCGTTATCTATGCAAAATCCCAGTCCAAACGTCCCACCTGATTCCTAACAGCGTAATTCAACGCCGTACTTCTAGAAGGGGAAATATTCTCCCGAGCGGAGCCAATGCTCTTGATAGACAGTTTTCGTGACCGTACCGAGTCGATGTTCGCGGGGCTCGTGGTAGATTGCTTGGGAGAAGGGGGTGGACGATGATGATGAACCGGAGGATGCTGGTACATCTCCTCTTTTGCCTGGCAAGGTTCACCTCCTCTTCAGCTCTTCCGCCTTCATAATCATTCTCCCAGCAATCCCCACATCTGCTCCCGTCTGAACAATACCCCACTTCGGCAAGGTGGTGGTTGTTTTTGGCTTCCTCAGAACTGTTGTTCATTCTTCCTACTCAATTGTTTCTCTTCTCCTATCATACTATTCTGCCTGCCGTCCTAACATTTCTCAAGATGCCCGCTGATACCGTTGGAAAGGTACGTTTGCATCCTGAAGGCCAGAGCTGAACAGAGACTGACAACCCTTTAACAGACCATCACCTGCAAGGTGCGGATCCGATATGTTGCGCCCAGTTCTGTTCCCATCTGACCCTGCGTAGGCGGCCGTCGCCTGGGAGGCCGGCAAAGACCTTTCGATCGAGGACGTCGAGGTTTTACCTCCAAGGGCTCACGAAGTCCGCATTGAAATATACTACACCGGCGTGTGTCACACTGGTGAGCTGAGCCAATCGGGATGACAACGGCAGATGCTGAACACAGAGATAGATGCCTACACGCTATCAGGCAAGGATCCGGAGGGGGCCTTCCCTGTTATCCTGGGACATGAGGGTGCTGGTGTGGTGGAATCTGTGGGAGAAGGCGTGACCAATGTCAAGCCTGGTGACCACGTCGTCGCTCTTTAGTACGTGGACTCCTGCAAACATGAGCACTTCGACTGACCTAGTAGCACTCCGGAGTGCAAAGAATGCAAGTTCTGCATCTCTGGCAAGACCAACTTGTGCGGGAAGATTCGGGCAACACAGGGCAGGGGTGTGATGCCAGACGGAACATCCCGATTCAAGGTCAAGGGTCAAGACATTCTGCACTTCATGGGCACATCTACCTTCTCCCAGTACACTGTTGTCGCTGATATCTCGGTTGTGGCCCTCACCGATAAGGCGCCCATGGACAAGACATGTCTGTTGGGTTGCGGAATCACCACCGGCTATGGAGCAGCTGTGATCACGGCCAACGTCGAGAAAGGTTCGAACGTGGCCGTATTTGGCGCAGGCTGCGTCGGTCTATCGGTCATCCAAGGCGCCGTCAAGAACGGAGCAGGTAGGATCATCGTCGTGGACGTGAACGACAAGAAGAAGCAATGGGCGGAGCAGTTCGGAGCCACTGAATTCGTCAACCCTACCAAGCTCAATGGCCAAAGCATCCAGGAGAAATTGGTCGAAATGACGGATGGCGGTCTAGACTACACCTTTGACTGCACGGGCAATGTGCAAGTCATGAGGGCTGCCCTGGAGGTATGCAAAGCCTGCTCATCCAGCAAAGACGCTTAGACTAACCTTGACATCAGGCTTGCCACAAGGGTTGGGGTCAATCCATCATCATTGGTGTCGGTTAGTATCGCCCTTACAAGGATCACGGTCACAATATGCTGACTCCAGAGCAGCCCCTGCCGGCGCTGAGATCTCCACGAGACCTTTCCAACTTGTCACTGGTCGTGTCTGGCGAGGTTGCGCCTTCGGTGGCGTCAAGGGTCGCACTCAGCTTCCAGGACTTGTGCAGGACTATCTCGATGGAAAGCTGAAAGGTTTGGAGCCCCGCCTGCGCTTTTGGAGTACCCGCTAACAAACTTCGAGTGGATGAATTCATCACGCATCGTCAGCAACTTGCGAAGATTAATGAGGCTTTCCACGACATGCATGCTGGAGACTGCATCCGCTGCGTGGTCGACATGCGAGCCGGGAATTGACTACGCTCGGGCCCCCCACCAACAGCGAGACTTTGAGAGAGCACTCTCCTCTGGAATTCAAGATGGGTTTCCTAGGTGGTAGAAAAGCAAATTGCTAGATGCAGATACTTTATCATCTCTGGTCTGAATGGATCCTTTTGAAACGCCGTTAGAGCAGGAGTTGTCTTCACCTCCTCCGCGTGCCTGTGACTCGCCTAAACGGGACTGACAACCCCTTTCAACCTGTATCGAAGGGTCTCCTTCACTCGGTCCATGATTGCCTCCACTACCGGTGTTGAGGCGGCTGCTCATAATCCGGAATTAAACTTCATGCCATATAAATGTCGTTGGCTTTACCCATGATTTAGCCGAAGCGAAGGTCAGGCGTGTCAGTGAAACTGTAGACTTTTGATGCGAGCTTTCTACGAGCCTAGTTCCAGGTGAGATTCTCTCTCCACGCCCAAGGATGTCTCGACGACACTGGAGGTGCTGGTATTTTTGGGACCATTGAGCACAACATCTCCCATCGTTCAAAGCAGGGTAGAAGAGACCTTCACAGACACTAGGGGGCTGTCTGGCAAATCAGTCAGACTGGCCGATTATTTGTTCTAGTATTGCGGCTAAGGCTAGCTGGGCTCGGGGCTTGGGGCTCGAAACAAGGCAGGGCTCATTAATTCCCTCTTGTCGAACGACTTCAACTTCTTTCACCGGCCAAGCGCTTCCCGCCCAAGAGGCAGCACGAGATTGACGGCGGGATCCAGTCCTAGTCATGTTTCGAACACTCGTTTGTCCACTCGCCATCGACTTCTGCATCTTCTCTCGCTAGGAACCCGAGCAGGCTGCGCCAACCCCCAGCCACAGCCATAGGCCACGGCCTCCAATGTCTACATCTACGCGGGCACAAATCCTCCGATCGCTATCGACCACTTCGTTGAGGCCGGCGAGGAAGAAACCGCGGCTGTACATTGTGCTGTACCCTCGCGGCGGGTCATCGGCGACGTCGTCGTTCCGCAACGACTTCAACTGTGACTCGTACCACTGGGCGCTGGTGGTGGCGCCGCCCACGGGGTCACGCAAGGATGCCGGCACGCGCTACCACGTCGCGCACCTCAACCACAGCTCCGGCAAGTATTTCTACGAGGAGCAGGACATTCCGTCGCACGCGGCCGCCCAGACGGGTTTGGTGCGCATCACCCTCGCCAAGGTCACGGACGAGAGCCGTCTGCGGGCTCTGCTTCGAGACATCCCCGTGCGCCAGGACGATTCGGCGTTCAATTGTCTGACTTGGGTCCGCGAGGCCTTCGTCAAGCTGCTCGCCGACGGCAAGTCCGCCAAGAGCTATCTCCACGCCGAAGATTGGAAGGCTGTCGAGGCCTGCGCCAGGGCTTACTGCAAGCGGAAGAGGGACGTCGGCCGCTTTCAGGAGCACAGCGCCCCGGCCATCGTGCACGCCTGGAGATGGGACGAAATCAGCACCTTCAACTTCTGGGAGAACCGCGAGACTACTGCTTGATCATGTGGTCTCGGCATGCTCTACCACTCCGCCGGGCTGGTCTTTGTTCAATGGCGCTTGCTGCCCCGAGTCTGTCCTGGCTTCACAGTACCCTGGAAAAGACCAGGCGGCCACACGGCAGAGTTGTGCCGGGACTCGGCCTTGTTAGCTGTGGGCGGCCGAGGTCTGAGGTGACTTTCGGCGGAGGAATTGCCAGGACAGGACTCGACAATTGAGCCCTGTGGAATACCCGTACTAACACTATGGACACGGCACTCCAAGCCCCAAGGCGTCTATGGCTTGTCGCGGCGTACGTCGGCGGGCCACCGGGCTCCTGGGGAGAACGGTTCGGAGGCACTCAGGAATCAGTTCAAAGAAGCAAAGACCGAATACCAGAGTGAAAGGACCTTTGAGAGTGCTCTCGTGACGCTGCAGCTCGAGCATGGCAGAGTATAGGACTATAGGAAAGCATACCACAGTTTCACAAGTGGTGCGGGAACTGGGCATGCGCAGACTACGTATCTATACATGTATTATGTATGTAGTCAGACTACACACAGATGTAATGCCAATATAAGTACTGTGTGCCTTCCAGCAGTCATGTGCAAACCCTCGCAGATCACTTCCCAGAGAACATACGTGGTATATCACGAATATCATGAACCACATGCTCCCGATAACAACCTATGGCGACGGTCACCCGATCGGGCTGTCTACTGGGCAAGACGATTCGAAGATCCATGTCACGGTAGGAAACCGGCAAGGACAGCTAGATGAGACTTGTCCAAGACTGTTCTTTCATTGTAATGTGTGTGACTTCTCATTTGTCTGTCGGTTGATGTATAGATGCTTCCGGGCTCACATATCATGTCCAGGGAAAAAGCAAAGCCTGCACCTTGCACCTTGCAGGCCAGGCGAGCAAACCCATTGCACCATTTCTCAAATACCCGAGGTGCCATCCGAATCATAGTCCCGTAATCCTTCAAATCCCCATTCCTAGTGGCAGTGGCACCATGACGCTGTCCCTTCTCTGAAGCCGATCCAGCAACGTAAAGAGTAAAATTATGGCCCTGAGGCTGGAAACACCGTCCAGCAAAAGGGCCGGAGTTTAAAAGAGCAAAATAACAAGACGCCGCCATGCCAGTCCAGGACAAGTCATGGTCAGGTAGAGTTTGTGGCACATCTCAATCTATCGAGGTAGAGCTTGGCTGGTTGACTGTGCCTCTCTACAGGCCCCGAAGCATAACGGTTCGTTCGCCTTGTAATTTGGCAGCGTTCCTGTCCTTGTCGGCCCGCCTGGCATCCTCCAAGCCTTCACAGTTGTGAGATTCCAGCATTCGATGCTTGCCACAGAACCGTTTCTGGCAAAATCCGCAGTCTCCCACTATGGGCTGTGCAGGTGCCTTGCATCCTTCTTTCGAGCAACGGGGCTTGTTGGACTTTCTCTTGGTCGGCGTGGCTGCTCCCGAGGGTATCGGGGTGGAGGCAGATGATGATGTTGTTGACCTGTCGGAGACCGATTCATTCAACAGCGCTTGGGGTTCAGAGCGATCGGTTGGAGTTGTACTCCTCGAAGGACTCTGGAGTTGTAATATTGATGATTCTTCCAGCTTGAGCTCGCCAACTGTAGTTGATGCGTCGAGGAGCTCTCCGTTGAGCATGAGTCGTGCGTCCGATGGAATATTCTTTGGGGCACAGAGAAATTCGAGGACGTTGGCAACGGTATGTACAGGTCGAACGTTTAGTTTGATAACTGGCAAAACAACATTAGTCATCTGAGGGAAATTCGAATGAAGGACGGAACTGACCTTTGCCGCCAGCAGAAGTGACTTGGATAGCCATACTGTCAGCAGCGAGCTCTTTCGAGCTGCTGGAGGTCGCGGAACCTGATCGAGAACGCATGACGAAGGGTGTTGGTCGGTCAAAGAGTTCAAGGTAATTGAGAGAGAAGGGAAGAAGTGGTCGATTAGAGACAGGTCTTGGTCGACAGGCTCGTGATTGATGGCGAATGTGAAGGATGGAGAGGCGAGTGTAAGGTGAATAGATGACGTCTGCGGTGGTTTGGGTGAGGATGTTGAGTTGGGTTGGCTACGGTGACGGTGACGATTGATGTTTGCTCGTGTGTGGTAGGGTTGTGAAGGTGAAGATGAAAGGGAAAGGAAAGGAAGATGGTCAGAAGCGTAGATGTGTCATGTACGGAGAACGGAGTATCGAAGTAGCAGGTAAGGGAAGGCAGGTGGCAGTCCGTGTGGCAGCTTGGAGATGGCCGTACCGCAGGTTGGTTGGGCTGGAAGACTAGCAGCAGTAGTCGGGTACTAACTGGTGGTGCATGAGGCGTGACACGGTGGCTGCGGTGGCTACGGTCAGTTGAGGCGAACTGGAATGAGGCGGGACCCTGACTGTGGTGACTGGATCGTCCCAGGCTCGGTAAGCATCGATCAGATGAGCAAGGGGACAGGGGGGAGGAGGAGGAGGATCCCGAGGATGGGACGGGATGACGGGGAAGGGACCAAGATGAGGACCCAGCGGGCAGGCTTAGGACGCCTGAGGGTTGAGGGTTAGATAATACGGATAGATAGTGTCAGTGTGGTATTATTATTGCGCAGTGAGGCATATAGAGGACGCCGGACGGGGTGGCGTTGGTGGAAGGTGGTCGTAAGTGCAAGAAAGTCACATTGCCGGCACCTAGGCGGCATCTTCAATAACCTCCAGGTGGGCACTGGGGCGGTGGGAACTAGGCACCGGGCACTGGGCAGTGGCACTGGGCGGTGGTCCATTGTTAGGGAGCCACATACACCGTACACCATACAGTGTACTCCGTATCCGTACACTATGCGCAAGCCCGAGACAGCAATGAAGCGCCGGCGCCGTAGGCGAGGAGGCGGAAGCGGCGAGGTAGAGAGACTCTAGAAATAATAATAATAATGAGAGACAAAGACCCAGACCCAAACCCAAACCCAGATACGGCGATATGGAGAGGCGCGGTACCGTTCCCAGTGCTGGTGTACGAACTTTGCTAAACTGTATCCGTATACGGACGCCATAAAGCACAACGGTCTGGTTATTCAATATTCAATGTCCATCTTCGGACCCATGATCCTGGCCAGATCGTCTGGCTCGACTCGACTTTGTCCTGTGCGCCTAGGCTGTCTGTCTGTCTGCACTCACTTCCGGACTCACCGTCCTGTGTCTCGGTCCATTTTGTCTATATGTCTGTGCTGTCTGGCGCTGTCACTCACACTAACATGGTCAACTGTCAAGCCATAGCCATGTCGCATGCAGCCATCCGACACTCAACACCTTAGCTTCCAGTCTCGGCTACAAGCGACGTGGAAACCCGCCAACCGCAACATTTCAGGACAATGATATAGACTCTCACAAGCCAACCAAGCGATTCTTCTACCCAAATATGGGCGAGCGCCGCCTCGTTTGCCTCACCTCGCTCACCGTCCTCCGCTATGCTGTGTTGGCCCGCGTTGTTCCTCACTTGGCCTCCCAATGCGCTCTCTAAGCCATTATCGGACATGTTGCCGGCCACTCTATTCTCTGCATTGACTTCGGCTTATCAATGGCCGTGGCTCTGGGCCCCAGCTGTCTCGGATTCACGACACCTGGCCGGTCATGTGCACCCAAGGGAAGCCCTCGGAACCTTGAGCTCGATCGAGGGGATGGATCTGCACCTGCATGCTGCACCCTGCGCGTTCCCGTCGGCCTGGTCGTGGTCGGCAGGCCCACCCAAGGGGCTAAGGCTCCGCAGTCGTGGGCTCCTTAGGCCTAAGCCTTTCCAACTGTGGTTGAAGGCGGTCCTCCGCCCGACCCTAATCAGTACCACAGTCCGTTGCTGGCTTCGCGGCCTCTACAGCCTATCAAGCCCATCTCCGTGTGACTACAGCAACTTTCCCACCAGCAAAAGCCCGGCCTGAAAGGTGCTGCTATTCTCGTAGAACGCCCGCTTGTCAATCATGGTTCGTTAACTTCGTCGATTCGTCGACTCATGCGCCGTCCACTCTCTTATCCCCAGCATCAGGATCGAGATAGTCCTCCTTCTGGGCCGCCTCATATTCACCGATAAGCCCCATGACAACTTCCTTGGCCTCGTCAAATTCACCCAGACCTTCTGCAAATGGGGCTTCTTTCTTGTACTGCTCCAGATAGGCATTGCGCTTCCTCATTTTGTCGTACTGCTCAACAATTCTCTTGAAGAGGGTTGCCACGCTTGTGTGATTCGCTAGCATCAGTCCTGAAACACGGTGCGTGTTTTGCAGGTACGGTGATTTCTTGGTCAAAGCAACCTGGATCGAAGCTGGACCCCATGGAATGAAATTTGCCATGCGCCGCTCTCGAATACGCAGCAGTGATTTGTGGACGTCGGTGGGATCCGCCTCTCCTTGAATGATGTTGAGGATCGAGATGTAGCATGACGACTTGGAAGGTGTGATTGACACCATCCGGTTCTTTGGCTGGAGGAGGCGTCGCATCACGTCGAGGACTGTCGTTTTCCGCACTGTCTTGGCTTGGTCGACGTTGTCCCCGGTGAATGGTGTATAAGCCGTCATGAGGAAATGACAACGCGGGGTGGGGATCAGCGACGCAATGATTCCCACCAGGTCATTATGCATATACCCAGGGTATCGAAGTGTAGTGGTAGAAGCCGACATGACTGTCGAGACTAACTGGTTCGTCTGCTGGAACGACGGCTCTTGAACGTGCAGTCTCTCGGATGCTATCCTCGATAGAGCCCCATTGTCGAGCACCACCACAGAGTCGGCATTCTGCGTCAATCGACGCATCGTGAGCAGACTATTGTAAGGATTCACCACAACGTCGCCAATGGCCGTGTCCGGGAATACCGAGTATGTCTGGATGATCTTCTTGGGAAATCGATCATTCATCCGCTCGAGAAGGTATGAGCCAAGGCCGGACCCTGTACCACCGGCGATCGAATGAAGTAGCATAAATCCCTCCAGGGAGTCGCTGCCATCCGCCTCGCGATCAATCATGTCAAAGATCTCTTCTTGTACCCTCTCGCCCGCGGCGTATCCGGCAGCCCAGTTGTTTCCTGCGCCCATCCCCTGCTCACCGATGAAGAAGTTTTCCGGATTGTAAATATTCTTATAAGGCCCACTTTGGATACTGTTGATCACTCGCGGCTCAAGGTCGATAAGGATCGCTCGGGGAATGTAGCGGGTGTCGTCACTCTGGTAGAAGAAGACATCTTTGCGGTCACCGCCTTCGGTTGCGAAGTCCTCGAGGTTGCCGTTGCGGCTGATGCCATGCTCCTGACATAACTGCTGCCAGAATCTTGAGCCTATGGCATTCCCACACTGGCCCGCCTGTATGGTGATGATCTCGCGAGGCATACTTCAGCGGAATTGGCGGGTTCTTTGCAGGAAGATTCTTGAAGTTGGAGGGGGAAGTTGACGCGTTGGTGAATTTCACGCGTCTGCCACTGCGGCACCACAAGTGTGGGGTGGCCAGACACCATACAAATACGGAGTATCCGTACCTGGGTACGTTATTTCCGGAGGACTCCCAGCCACCATTATTCACTGAGGACATTCCCCATGATCCTACAAAAGCCGTCGAGACTATACTGTCAAGACTAAAGACACAAGAACCATCGTTACTGCGGTGTACCTGACAGCATCGTCCGTGCCTGTCGCTGCTCATTGCCTCCATCTTTGGTAACTTCTATCTAGTCTGCCTCGTCGTTAGACGGTCATACCCGACTGATCGTCGAGGCCGCTTTTGCCCTGAGCTCTTTATTTTGTATGAATTGCTCTACCGTCTCTGGGAACTTGCGTCTGAAGGGAACGGCAAAGATGAGAATTAACGCCCATAGCCAGAGCGTGGAGAGAAGCTGCATCCAAGTGATTTTGGCTTCGGGCTCCCGCTCGTTCCACTCGTCGCATAGTCGCTTGAACTTTTTTGGGTCGTCGGTGATTACTCCATCGACATTGTGTTGAATTGTCCATTTCATCAGGTTGGTTTCATTAACTGTCCAGACGTAGAGCGGTCGGCCAGCTTTGCGAACATCTCGCATAAAGCGTGCACCAGAGGGTCCCAGGAGAACCTTTTGCAACATGTTGAAGGAGACGTTTGGTACTTTGAGGAACTGTCTGGCGTAGCCGGTTGTGAACCCAATGTGTGAAATAGGAAAACCTGACAAGTATTTCCTGCACAGAGGCAGAAATTTAGGGATCCATATTCCTAGAACAATCCTCTCCTCCCAGGCCCTTCCTCCTGGGTCTACAGAGGCCAGCGTCTCTGCGATCAATCGCATTAGGTCGTCATGGTTGGTGTCTAGCTTGATGTCGAGCAATAACCAGATATGTTCCAGACCTGGTTGGGCGATATATTCAAGCAGATCTCTGAGGCGTGGCATCGGCTCATGGGGCGCTCTCAGGGTACGAAGTGAACTCAAATACTCCCAGTTGCAGTCTATGATCTTTTCCTTTTTCCCGAAGCACCGTTTGAGATCTCCGTCCTGGTCGGTCAATCAGCGGAGACATCGAATCTCAATGGCATCTAAACCCACATGAGACAGAACCACGACATGGTCTTTGGAAAGGTGAATGTCGGTCTCAATGGCATGAGTTCCGACCTCGACAGCCGCTTTGAAAGCCCTCAATGTGTTCTCCGGATACTCTGCTTTGTATCCTCTATGGGCGATGGTTTGAGGGAAAATCCTCTCTCGGCTATTTGCCTTTGCCCTGGTCCAGCTGGCTACTTTTGGGTCAACGTGTGAAACAGTATGGAGTGAGGGGTAGCCCACGCATTGGAAAGTCGTCCGTCGACGTTAGCTTTTGGCTCTGAGCGCCATATGTAGATTTTCCCTTCGGCCCGGGGCTGACTTCTTTGAGTAGGGGTTCTGTAGCCTGGAAATCGAGATGCTGTTGGTGCATCTTGAGCAACTCTCTAGGGAGGAGAAGCCGTCTCCGAGTGTTTGACGACGTTTTGAGGATTGAACAAGAGATAGCGAGGGGGAGAAGAATCAACAGAACAGTGGAAATTGGAGCAAAATTAGAAACAGAACTGCTACAGAGCGGTACGTGGTGGAGTGAAGGTACAGGAAAATGAAGACTTGCAGGCAAGAATGTCAACCTGACTCCCCAGGGACGGTGAAAATGGGGCATAAATCTGACCCTCGCAAATCACCAGGTCAGGAAGCGTGACACCGAATGCGACACGACTTATGGTGAGCCACGTTGCGTAGGAATAAGTAGATTTCGCGCGTAGCACGGAGTTAGGACGGACGACCGGCAATCCTCCAGACGGAGAGAGATGAAGCAGTGATCTCGAACACTTCTTCCCTGCTGCTTCCTGGCCGGCCGCCCCTCGGCAGGACGTTGGTCCGGTCAAGGAATAAATAGAACTGCCCCTATTAGGTACACAGCTCGACGTCGGCCACCCACTAGCGATCTTTCATCTCTAGCCTGTTTCATGGGCAGTGGTTCGACGAGCAGTGCAGTTGCAGGGACCGTCACCAGTTCTATGCATATAGGTAGGTAATTAGGTAGGTAGTGATAACAATGAGTAGAATCAGCCACGTACCCGGGACGGCAGGTCGACATACATGGTACCTGCACACTGGTACCATTGATTAGATACAATCACAGGAGCGCGCAATCATATCAACAATATCGCTATAGTACATGAGCAACCGTGGCTGCCCGCGTACGGCGACTTCCTCAGCCTCGTCCTACTCGGGAGCCTCTACGGAGTGTACTGGACCTTAAGACTAGCGACACGGAAGAACATACCTGTGCAGTCTTCCAAACACGTGGTTGATTACCATAGTCTTGTACAGAGTAATGAAAGCCATAACACCGTCTCTCTCAGCTATGAGCGCCGCTATGATAATTCACGCTTTGAACCCTTTGCAACGAGGCCAGCGAGGCGAGTCTACGCCACATGTGGGCTTCAAGCACCCTCTGGAATACTTAGGTAGTCTCCCTTTTGTCCCTGTGTCCCCGTGAGAGATCATTATTCAGCAGCATCTCTTCTGCAAGAACTTGTCAGAAGACCCAGTGGCGGGAACCATCGATTTTTTGGATCTTCCGGGGTCTGGACGGACCATCCGTATTAATAGTGGCAATAATAGAAGCCCGGGGTGGCTTTGCAGCTTAAGCATGTACCTGGTAGGTTCCTGGTAATAGGTGCCTGGTAGGTGCCTGGTCCCTCGGGCCGGTGCCCAGTAATAACAAGAATAATGACGAAATGTTCCTGCATTTTAATACCGCGGCTGTGTCTTAGTTCTACTACTATAGTACGGAGTACCTAAGTTATCTTTGCGATGGAACTCGACTTTGTGTCTGGCTCACTCAGAGCGCATCGATAGTCTGCCCTCTATTTTGCCTCTCGATAAGTCGTGTTATGCCGTAGACATAAGTCGATATTGACGCGACACACGAAACTCCCTTCCTCATACTGAGCTCGAGGGCTGCGACACACTGGCACTGCGCAGCTGCTCAGGACAAGGTTCTCAGCCACAGTGGCTGTGCGCATGACGACGCAGAAGGCTTGGCCCCGAATAGGCCAGATCATTGGCCAAGACTGAATAACCGACCACGAGATTGGCGGACTGGTGGCTGACGAAAACAGGGCAGCCAGACGTCATGTGGCTCCCAAAGTGCCCAGTTGATGTTGCCCCGGGCCTTTCAATTACCCAGAACCAATTATTAGCTGGGTAGCAGTAGTAGCTACTAGCTAGGGGAGTCACTAAGCTGTTTGCCTGAGTGATTGTACTCCGTACTCTGCAGCCCGCCCGCGCCCAGCCACGGAACTTGATCCCTTGAGAGTATCTTAAAGCCTACTACTTCTAATCTGCGCTCCGTCTCGCGCAAGCTCTTTTCTCCCTCTTCTCCCACATCCCCAATACAACGTCGCTATTCTCGCAGATACACATTCACCTGCTTTTGCCAGTCCATTAATCAGACTATCTCATCTAAACTCACTCCGTCGGCTTCCTTCACTCCAGTCAAAATGCCTTTCACAGCATCGTAAGTCGCAATTCCGTCGCTTCCGCACGTCCCAGCTGACAGGCTTTCGTTCAGCGACATTTGCAAGATCATCCTCGCCATCATCCTCCCGCCTCTGGGTGTCTTCCTTGAGCGAGGATGCAATGCTGATTTCTTCATCAACATCCTGCTCACCATCCTGGGTTACATCCCCGGCATCATCCACGCTCTGTACGTTCTTGTGCGCTGTCTCGCTCTTCACGATAAGCGCTAACCTGAGGGAAACAGCTACATTATTTTGAAGTACTGAGTGGAGGTCACCGAAACTTCATCCTAATGGACATCCACTTTGCATCTTCGTTTCTGGCGAGGACCGACCCAACCTCGACCTTTCTCCATGATATCCCCCCAAGCTTTCTGATTGTCGATTCATGATACACCAAATTCCCCCGTATGCCCTCAACGCACCCTCACACCAGATCAGTCAACACGAAGAGAGAAAGGCAATGGCTTCTTCCAATATGGATCGGCATTGAATTGGCAGTATGGTGTGACAAGGGCAATTAAGGACTTGTTTGCTGAACGGATGGCAGCGTTCCGTCCGACGTCGGCGCGCAGGGGCGAAACTGGTGCTCCTGGCTTAGACGTAAACACCGTAATTCAGCATAATGAGACACTTGTAATCCAATATTTTACTCGAACCCTTTCTCGTTCCATGGTGTTCACGGAGCGTTGCCCCGTGGGACTGTGGCCGCGCCGCTTCAATGCTAGTAGTGAAACAGATTGTGAATCTCGGAACACACCCATCCGGACCTAGATTTGAAGCTTGTAATTCATAGTTCGAGGTTGTCTTCCATGCCTCAAATTCAAATTCCACGATCGGTTGCGTCATCTATATCTGATGTTGGCGACTAAAGACCTAGGCGGCCAGGGGTCATGGTTTGTGAATTGTTCCCGCCCACCGTGCTCAAGGGTGAACCTGAGGCAAATATGACAAAAACACTGGACCCCATGCTACCAACCCTCGACCAGACAGACGTCAGCAGCGAGCCAGGGATCACCAGGGACATGCCGATGCCAGATGGCGATAATCCCCGGCGTAAGCAAAAGGAGACATCACACAATAGCATGCTGTATATCGGGAGCCAAAAGTCTGCATCAACTGCATTATCATCCTAGAAGCGCCTCGGAAACCGCTGCTCATATCCGAATGGTTCTGACCGCTGCTCACTGCTCAGCCTCTGCAATTTGATTGTTTGATTGAGGCAGCCGCCGGGGAGAAAGCAGCCAACAGCGCGCGGGCTCCGGTGGGGGATTGTTCCTCTGGCACGCTGGAAGAAGCGGCCTAGACTGAGTCACGTGAGGCGCGCCCTTGACCCTAGACGCCCGACATACCCTAGAACTTCTGTAACCGCCGCCATGGGCGCGATCCCTTCTACCAGTGCTTCACATTCGATCGCGTTCACCATGATGCTTTGAGAGTTTCAGGCTACACATCCTATAACATGGCGGCACTCAAGCCGCCACCGTCATTCCACCTCGCAATGTACTGCTCAGGGACCCAACCTTTGCATCACCCCCCTCGTCAGAGGGCCAAGGTAGGTCCAATCTGCGAAACTGAGAGAGCCTCGAGATCCTGATTCTTTTTCGCGCCGTATATTTGTCGCAGGTGGCCCCCCAGGTCTCTCTTTATCACTATCTGCTGCCTTTTCAAGTGCCATTACTGTTTGCAGAAAATAGTTACGCAAACGGTCACTCCGATTGCGACCATGAACTGTTGGCCATGACAAAGACAGTCGGAGCGATATGCATTATCCACCATGGCTCTACCCAGTCCGGCGCCTACTCTCGAGCATACTCGTCTATTATGGACGCGGGCAGATGCGACAAACGTCTGTCTACCTCAATCCCTCCTTTCCATCGTACCCGAATGTGCAGTCGCTTGCATTCAAAACTTCGCAAGCGCAAATTATCCAGGAAGCACATGCTCCGCCATCTCTGATATCAACTTCCTGTGCACGCAGGAGAACCGTTCAGGTCTTACAATCGGAGAGGGATCTCTGCAGTGTGTGGTATCTTTCTGTACAGGGCAAGAACTGGTGAACACAAAAGTGTACAATATCTGTGATGGTGTAGCAGGTGCTCAGCCAGAAACTGCCCGGACCATAACAGCGACAATCATCGGATCTTCCCCGACATCATCCACAATGAATAACCTACCGGCAACGATCGGTAATCCAACCTCTTCTCAGGTGATTAGCACTATTGTCATGGCGACCGATACTCCTCCTTCTACGACACCATTTTCACCTTCTTCGCTACCATCTCCTTCCGCATCTTTGACAGCGATGACTTCTGCGAGCACCAGTGCGGTCAGCAGCCCTCAAGGAACCACTGGCGCTGTTGGTCTGCGGGGGCATTCAGCCTCCGAGGGTGGTCTGAGGACTACTCAAGTTGTTGGCATCGCGATCGCCGGGGCTGCAACGGTCCTTATCGTACTGGCGCTGCTTATGCTCGCCTTTTGTATACGCAAAAGGCGCCGCGAGCGACGCCGTAGCCAACGGCGTTCTCGGCTTGTGGAGCCCACTCCACCTCCGAACTATCAAAGCCCTCCAAAGAGCAGTCCGCCAACATTTGGCAACATCAACTCTTCGCTTACCGTCTCAAGTCCTCAAGGCCGTTTTTATTCTTCCCCACAGCCGATGGAAGAGAAACGCAGAAGTTTCTGGCGAAGAAGCATAAGACCTGAAGAAATAGGCGTAGCCATTTCACCCAAGATCCCTGGTGAAAGCTCTCCTGTGAGCATTTCTTCTCAGCAGAGTGGATCACGCCTTTTATCATCCGCTCCTGCTAAAGCGTTATGGCCGGCGCCACTTGACATCGAAGCAAGCCGGGAACGACAGAGAGCGTCTCAAAGGCCAATGAGCGATGCCACTGATTTCGACGACGAGCCACAGACCAGATTTGCTGACTCAGAACCAGTCTATGTCGACAATCAGCCATTCGTTCTAGAGAAGCCGCCTCCAGCGAGGAGACAGCGAGCAACTCCAACCCCCCTCAGGTTACCTGCTGTGCCAGAGGATTCGCCTGGACGCGCTTCTAAACCAGCGCGGATCCCTCTGACACCCACTTACGACAACGGAAATATCAGCATTATTCCACCGCAGCGGATCTTCGGTTCTCCGCTTTCCTCTGGTGCAAATAGAGAAGAGCCGCTGCAAACGGCAAGTCAATTCTCATTTCCGGTAGCCGAGCACAAACTGGCTCCGTCTTCGGCCTACGCTAGCAGGAATGTCCTGCGAAAGAAACCTCCTACTCGACTCCCTCTTCGAGCATTCGATTTCCAACCTGTTGAGGCTCTAACACAGCCGCGCAATCCGCCACCTCCGCCTATGCCAAATACAGCTCCACGACTTGAACGTGGCAATTCAGTCACCTCCATTTACACCGAAATTGAAGAAGACACCCCGCCGGGAGAGACTAATAAACAGTTGGAGCTTGAAGCAATCGTACGGACACCGACAGTCTTTTCGAAAGACGTCCATCGCGTGCTTCCAGGGGAGAGTAGTCCCATCAAGGACTTGCGATACCCTCAAATTCCTCGGTCCGCAGCGATGTCACGGCAAGCAGAAATTCCGGCACAATTTCAAGAAAGTCTCACTGTTGCACCCACAAATGCAGCCAGCCGAGCCTCGAGGGACCAACTTGTACGGGCAGAAGCGAGCTTCATGCAGACAGATACGACATCCTCTGATGGGTACTTGTCAGATGAGACCATTGAATGGCCACAGCCTCCACTGTATGAGACCGGTTCGAGTAGAGGCACAAGGATACCTCAGGACACCCTGAAGTCAAACGTGGCCAAGCTCAGAAGCACCCCTACCGGTTCGAACAGGGGACTACCTTCTTCAATGTTCAGTCCGTCTTTGGGTGAGGTGTTGAACTCAAGTTCACAGAGCGTCAAAGCCTCAGGGCCACAAAGATCCCCCTCTTCCAAAGCGCGATTGACACCCAACAAGTCAAGCAGGGGCGACCTCTACCTGACGGTTGAAATCTAACCGAACGCTAAGGGGTCTGTCAACTATGCGCGGACTCGGCCTTAGGATATGTGTATTCTTAAGTAAAACGACGTGACGGTCGACTCATGTGATGATGCCCTTGTGTACTATATGTTGCAAGAACCGATCTAGAGCCATCAATTCGATATAAAGAGTGGGATTAGACGATTCAGAATGACGAGTTAGGCCTGTATCAGCTTCAGAAGATTGAAATGCAAGAACTGTTTCTCTGGTTGCAAAGGACGAATGTAGTTCCGTTTTCCTTGCTCTTTACCTTAGGTATGAAGGAAAGTACGGAGTACTGTAGACGCGGGAGCTGGTCTGACACAAACACGTCGAGCGCATTCCCAATTAAAATGACCTTTAAGTTGGCAGTCGGACATAGCAATTTTTCCAGGCACTTTCACGGTGCCGAAACTCAACAGCAAGTCTTTGCAACCAACCTGCCGTGCCACGGCCGTCGCCAGAGGGCCAAGGGGCTGACGGTGGTCAGTGGTCAGTGGGCAGTTATCATACACTGTACTGTACAACAGAGCTGGTGCCTGCCTGTTCGTGCCCTTGCGGGGAGAGCTCGTGGGCGAGCTGTATATCCATCATGAGCAGGCCAACCATTGCGCTTGCGTCTGTCAACAGACGTCTCTTCAGAGCTGGCCAGGTCAAGATAACCCGCCCCAGGGTCTGTCTTCAAGGCCGACGAGCCCGTTCCCTCTCGAACAAGTCTTGTGGTTCCAAAGATCACCCAGCTACATTGGCAGTGGAGGACGGTTCAAATCCTCCTCCGGCCGCAACGACATGGGACGAGTTCCGGTTTCGATCAGGCCTGACGTGGCTCGCTCGAGATCCCACTGCCGTGGTGAGTACAGCGTGTGTTTTGATGTGTACAAGTCTCTCCGTCAACCATCAGGCTTGCTAATTGCGAACTTTTGCTTAGAACCCTAGGTCTACCCTACCCATGATTCAAGCATGTCGTTCAGAGAAGCCTACCAGAGTCCAGACCATTGTCTTACTGGTGACTCCATTACTTGCTCACCTTCTGGACCCTGAAGTGTTCCTCAAACCTGTCATGACATGCCTATACGGCGATTTACGAACCGAGACAGGGACGCAGGAACTCAGGGTCAAATCGGTTGCTGCAGTGGTTGACGCTCTACCTGGTCCTCTGTCGGAGCGCGGCCCGCCGATGTCTGAAGGTCTGGCATTCCTCATGAGCTCCGCGCCTCCCCGTATTGTGTCGACGGACGAGGCCGATCCTGTCACACTGGAGTTCATGTCTAGCGGTACTCACGATACACACTCCAAGTCAAGGAGAGCGGTCGTCCGGCATCTGACCCTCCCAGTTGCAAACACCATTTTTGTGAATGGGAACCATGCCACATTGCTTGAAGACAGCTGGGACATCACGATCCGCGACTCTGAGTCAGTGATTGCTCATCAAGGCCGGCGTTCCCTGAAAAGCTGTCGGGTTGACATGGGCTGCTCAGGGAACGATTTCCTTGACGGCTCTATACCACTTCAATCGCTGACACGCCCGCGTAAAGTGGTGAGGTCTATGGGCAATGTTCTGGCTGAAATCGAGATCGACGGTAAAGCCGTGCCTGCATCTCGCGAACTGGAGAAAGCCGTTACAGAATACATCAATGCGAATCCCACGCGTGCATCACACGGACCGTTCCAGGTTTTCGCCTTTGTGCGACCCCCAAGGGCAGCGCACAGTGAGGGACAGGACTTCACCAAAGCCGATAAGCACGCAGGCAGAATCTTACAAGGATTGTGGCAAGACGCGAAACTATTCAAAGTCACTGGTGGTGGAGGAGGATGGGGTAAGAAGCAAGGCTTGCTCTCGCTGGACACCGCAGTCGATTTCGAAACGGTGGGGGCCACCGCGGGCTTTCCTGACTTGGAGACGACCGAGAATCTCTCACATGAAATAGGGTCTCACGGCATGATCCCTCGGGATGGCACTGTGGAGTTCTTTCTCTGCTCAGATGGTCACGTTTCACGAACGCGCGTGGAGGGTTCTTGCGCTCAAGATCAAAATTCGGCCAAACGGACGCCTCATCCGTCAACCTCGTTTGTCCTTGGTACCGCTTCGGATCCGGAAATACAAGAATTCCAAGATACTATCGAGAACGAGCACATGCCGGGTGTTTCTTTCTATCCAAACCATTTCGGCATGATCTCCTATGGAGGAGCCGCTCTGGGCTCAGACGAAACCGGAGAACCTGAAGAGAGGGACCTGGCTTCGAGGTTTCAATCTCGGAAAGGATCCCGGACTCGCTTGGATGTGCCAAATTCGTTCTTTGTCCTGCAAACACTCCCAAATTCAAGGTCCTCCAGTACACCGACTCCCACAATAGCCTGTACGCCAAGTGGGCAGGCATAGGTGTCGAGAGAAAATGCCCCAGCAAACGACAGGACAGATCAACTGGGCTGGCAAGGCCGCCGTGGGCTAGCGCGGACCTCTTATTGCGCGGACGAGGGAACCGAAGCACCAACGGAGGGTTCCAGAGATGGCATCGCTATAACTGCCGAGTCGATCAGCTGGCAATTATCAAGCGGCATCGACCGGAGTCAGATCCATCTGGATTGCTAGCAAGCAAATGATCCGTGACTCTTCTAAGGAGCCTTGCCATGGATATTGCATCCCAGTTTCAGCATGCGACCTGTATTCAGGTAGGGCTGAAGGCGGGACTCGCCTGCCATTTCTTCGAGAAGGGGTTCAATTTGTGTATGAAACTGCCATGGCGAGATCAAGGCCCAATGATGACCCGAAAACGATCTCGACTTGCGACGATAAACCTTTCCCTGCTGTAGCACACGGAGTGTCTCCACTCACATTGTGTAGATGGGCCTGGTAGCTGAATGATAGAAGCAAGATAGCCATCTGGTCACGGTTGTGACTCGAGCACATCCACATCTAACTCTTCCATAACCTGCAAGACAACGCTCAAAGACTCCATAAAGCCATTGACGGCCACTCGAAGCATTCGATTGGTTGTTGCAGAGTATTCGGTACGAAGGATGACATTCCGATCGTCTTCCAACCCACCCTCACTGGCGTGGCCAGTCGTCGATTGGGCTCCCGAGTCCGAGGCCACCAAGGTAAATTTTCGGCGCACGAGAGGAGACAATTCAGCATCGACCTGAAGGGCACGCAGAGCTGCAGACGCGAGGCGGTGGCTCAAGAGAGGGACGTCAATCACTCTGTACCATTCAAATCAGCAGACGTCCAGGGTGTAGAGGGGATCTCGACGCACAACGAGCAGGGGAAGTCGGATTGTGAAGTGCCCATTGTTGAAGGTTGAAGCGAGTTCTTCTTCTGCGCAGGGTGGCCAAGGTCAGAGAGCGAGGGTAGGCGGTAGACTCCTTGTCACGGCGGCACTGTGCAGTGTGCAGTGTCCACACGGCATGGATGATATGACGACGGTGAAGCAGGTCCCCAGGTCCCCAGGTCCGTTGTTGGTCGTTACTCGTTACTCGTTACTCGTTACCACAGCTCGAGATCTCTGAGACCCTGGTGGCGGCTGATATCGGCGGTTGCTGGGAAACAGCGGCACTAAGACGGTTTGGCTCCAAATAACATGGTTCCGCCCATCAGGCTCCGTGGCCAGCACTCCCACAAAACCACCACATTGCCCGTTCCCGCATCTTTACTCTCTTCGTGCTGCCACTCATCCATCTATGCTGCCGCTGGAGCTCTCTTAGCCATATCTCTCTTCCACTGCTATGCCCTGCGGCATGCTACAGTTATAGTCCAGTCCCTCCAGTCCTGTTGCCACAGCTGTTATTGTTGTTGACCTCCATTCCCCTCCCGTTCATCGCCCGAGCTTCCCAACAAGCAAGAAGCGATCACACTTTGTTTACCTCTCGACTTCAATAAGTGTTCGCCGCCTTGCTACCGAGCGAACACTGGCGAGTAGCTGTGATCTGAAGGGCGATGGGACCTCCAATGGCCCATCCTGCCAGTTATGGCCAGGTCATCGAGTACATTCAAGGTGTGAAACAAAACATTGCCCCCGTCAACCTCAGGGACGAGACTAACAAGGCCCTCAAGATCGCTTGTACTTAGCATCATACACTCACACACCAGATGAAAACACTCCTTTCCCGTATCCCGCACAAACCAGAAGATCGCCTCACAAAAAGGCCTCACGGGCGCAAGCTGGCCCGACGCCTGCGGTTCTCCGACCACCCCCGGTGTACTTCACTATCGATGATACGCTTCTGTATAACGCTTTTCATGCAGACTTTGGCCCTCTGCACATTGGACATTTGTATCGATTCGCCGTACAATTTCACGAAATTCTAGGCGACCCAGCCAACAACGACAAAGCTGTGGTGTTTTGGAGCAGGGCTGATGCACGGAGTCGAGCAAATGCTGCGTGCCTGGTCGCGTGCTATATGGTCCTGATTCAAGCATGGCCACCACATCTCGCTCTTGCTCCGATTGCGCAGGCCGACCCTCCCTACATGCCCTTCAGAGATGCAGGATACAGTCAAGCAGATTTTATCCTCAACATTCAAGACATCGTCTATGGTGTGTGGAAGGCGAAAGAAGAAAATCTATGCCAGCTCAAAGAGTTTAATCTGGAAGAGTATGTTGTCGCATCGCGGATTGTGGAGATCTTACTAATGTTGTCTAGATACGAACGATTCGAGAGAGTTGACATGGGGGACTTCAACTGGATCTCGCCGCAGTTTGTCGCTTTCGCATCACCTCAATCCGAACCTACCACTCCGATACCAGTTTCATCTCCTGCCTACTCCACTCTACCCTCTTGCATACCAGAGATCCAGAGCGCCAGAATATCTCAACCATTCAAGAACGTCCTCACCCATTTCGTCCAGAGAGATGTCGGTCTGGTCGTTCGACTGAATTCGGAGCTTTACTGTCCAACATACTTTACTGCTCTTGGTATCCAACACATTGATATGATTTTTGAGGACGGCACCTGTCCCACTCTGCCCATTGTTCGCAGATTTATCAAACTGGCACATGGCATGATAACGAACAGTAAGAGCATCGCGGTCCATTGCAAAGCTGGTCTTGGGCGGACTGGATGTTTGATCGGAGCATACCTTATTTACAGGCATGGTTTTACTGCCAATGAAGTCATTGCTTTCATGCGATTCATGCGTCCTGGCATGGTAGTTGGCCCACAACAACATTGGTTGCACTTGAACCAAGGGCAATTCAGAGAATGGTACTGGGAAGACCAGTTGAAGGCGAAGATGGAGCTCAACAAACCATCCACGCCCCGCGCCATGTCGACCAAGACTCCAGCTCGTATCAACAGTGGAGCGCAGACAGCAACACCAAATCGGTCAAGCGCACAGAGATCTGCTCTGGGGGAAATTGACGGCAATGACATCTCGAATTCTGGTTCCTTCCAAGACGAAAACCTCCCGGCACCTACTCCAGGTCAACCGAGAAAATATGCTCGAATGGACCCACGCAGTCATCCTTATTCGCGATCCACATCCGGAACAATGCGAGTCAATGGCAACAAGGCTGACACTGAGACGGCCGCCGAGGCAAGTCGCCAGAGTATGACCGGAGCAGACAGTGAAGAGGAACTGATTCTGCAGAAGGCAGCATCCCGTCGCAGCCAGAGCAAGAGCCCTGGCAGCAAGGGCAAGGCACGGAGCGTGTCATACACCACTACCACGACCACCATGACAAAGACGATCGACGTCAGTGACACCATGGATATCTATGAGGATGAGGGAGACATCAATTTTCAACTGGAGGATACCAATGCCATCTGGGATGAACTTGCTCAGGAGCAGGAGAACTTGAAGCTAAGTACCAAGAGCGAAAAGACTCAGGCGAACGGCACAGGTCGACCAAAAACAACTCCTAGGTCAGCAAGTGGAATGGGTGCCATGAGTGTTGCGAAGACCAGATCGCTTCGAGAATCTCCACGCCGCAGCGGAGGGGAAGACAAAACGAAGGTCCGGAAGACTAGTGGTCGGGTTGGGAGTGCAAATTACGGGCCTACCGGTGTCAAGCGGTGATCTTGTTACAAGGCATTTCTCGAGCATGAGCACGGTGATGATGGATTTGGGACAAATGGCCACGACATTGAATGGTGACCTGGCTTTGATTTCTGTTCGAGGTCTATCGTTTTCTTCCCGCCATGAGCAACGAGTATGACATGACGGCCGCATACGCAGATGGCTTGGTGGATGGCGAGAGAGATGGCGTTCATGGCGTTGACAATGGCATTGTAGCAACGGCGAACAGGGGAGAGGAGTCGGCGCGGAAAATGTTTTTATCTATCAGGGGACCTGGCTTCAGGATCCGAACCGGACGTGACAATTGTGGGTTGTGCATTCTGGACTCCGGCACTTGTGACAGAGGACCTAAAGTATTATGAGCATTTCTCTCCGCATCAGAAGGTCTTGTTCCATTCCGGTTTCTGTTCCCTTTCGAACTGCTTTTCGCATTTGATATCACTTACAGACTACACGCGACAATGCGACGAGTGGCACAGCCTACAAAATCCAAGCAGGGTCACGAGACGTGGAGTGGAGAGGACTTCCGCTCTCAAGTGTAAGGGCAACATGCAGAACAAGGATGGATGAATGAGGAGGACCAGGCGTGTACATGTTGTTGAATCGTCTTCATTCATCTCCAAGCACCCGGAGGTCAATCTGTTTCGATCGATCCAAACCAAGTGTCAAGAGACCTAAGTCGGACTAAGCTATCGTCGTCCAGTTCGTTCCTGATGTCAAAATCGATTTGGAGCATTGAATCTTCCATTGCGCTTCACTCTTCCTAGCAATATCTCATCTCCTCCGTCAAGCTATCCCGCGCAGCAATATCGCGAAGCGTACTCCATCCATCAATCCAGCCATAAGGCGACATCTTTGCCTCTATATGGACATGATAAAAGTCTTCGTGTTCGGGGAAAATCGAATGAACCCAAACATGATCAGCGCTGTCTGTCGCAAGATGTTCTGTCTTCCCGACTCTCGAGTGAACCGAATGAACCAAGTCAAGTGAATATCGTTGAGTAGAGGCTCAAACTGCCGGTATGAGGATAAACTCCAAAACAGGAAAGTCCGCAACTCATAACTTGTTTTGATCAGAGTAGAGGAAGTGTCTTGTTGTAAAGAGGGACTAGGGTGGGAAGGTGTATGGCCACTCTGTCACCAGTTGCGTTTCCACCTCACTTTTCGTGAATATGTCGTAGAACTTGTCCATCAAAGAGCCATGCTCAAAGCTCCAATCCCACGCATTCGTCCAAACTCCTGAGCGCCTAGGTTGTGGTCGTAAAGCCGTTAATTGTGTTGTGATTGCATTAGGTTTCCACCTTCTCTTTGGATCGCCAGAAATGCATAAGCCTGCTGATTCTATTTATTTTCTTTCTGCCCTTCTCATCTGCAATAGTCGTATCAGGAACAGTTTCGAACTTCAGCTTGCTGCCATTGGAAGATCCGGGAATCAGACGATTCAGACTCGCCAGACTATTTCGCTTCCACGCTTGTTGGCTGTTCGATCTCGAAGTCGATGGGACAATCATGGAAGATGAGCGTTGCTCGACAGAAGACCTCGTCCCTGCACTGCTCGAAAATCTTGGTAGAGCTCCGCTGGATATGCTATCGCTGAGCGAAGGAAGATCGTCGTTGGAAGCTCGCAGCACAAATTCTGGACTCGGCTCGCCGAGTAATCGCGTCGGGCGAGAAAAGGTGTCGAAAGAAATGTGGTCCGCATCGGGTGAAGACATCATTGAAGCCGAGGTTGTGCGACCTTCAGTAGAGGATGCGTAATGGGATTGCGGTGCGGGATAGGCAAGGGGCATCGGAGACGATATCGAGGGTTTTTGAGTTTCGATTTCTTGGAAGACTGGCGCTTCTATGGTCGAGTTTGAAGACCTGGCATCTATGCGAGCAATGTCCTCTTCCGGATCAACAATTATAACGCCGTCGCTGGGAGTTTCGTTGATGGAGAGGCCCAGCCCTTCGGCAGAGAGTAGATTCGGTGGTGCCGAGGCCAGCTGAGCGAAGGCGGTAGCAGTTTCACTTTCCTGCGAAAGCTCCTCTAAAGAACGGCTCTGATTGAGACATCCGAATTCACCCCTGGCAAGAAAGTTGTCTTCTTCCTCTTCGTCAAAAACGTCCTCTGTAAGTGAAGCATTGCTACCAATACGATGCATGCTAAAGGTGCTCCGATTGATGGCGGGCATGATCGGTGCTGACTCAGTCCTCCTATGGACCGTCCCAAACGCATCCAGATTGGCTCGTCGCTCACTGCTGTGAAGCTTTGTGATCCGTGACAGCGGACCAGTTTTGATGTTGCCATCGTGCGCCAACTTTTCTTCGCTCCCGAAAGGACCCAGGGCCGCATCCAAGTCAAGAACAGGACTTGTAATTTGTTCCTCTGCTTGATTTGCAGTCCAGGTCTCTATCGGGGTCACTTTCTGCGGCGGATCACGGACTCGAGTCGAGACAGGAGAAGGATTGCGAATAACAACTGTGTTGTCGGCGTCAAAAATATCACTAAGGCGATCACTGGGATGCCTTGTCATTGGAGGTGGGGTGGGAGCACGTTGCTGTTTTGTCTTCGTCGATCTCTTGTCTGCTTTCCTAGAGAAAATCCCAGAAGTCCATGTGTGGTACTTGCGCTTCTTCGATCTCGAACTCATACTCCCGGACGTTCTTGGTCGTGCTTCTTCGACTACCGCCGGCGGAGTCGAGGGTTGAGCAGAAGTAGTCGAGACAAACACGTCAACAGGGTCGTCGATTTCAGTTTGGGGGGTGCCGGACGGCGAGCCACTGTTGGAATGACTGAACCAAAAGTGTTTCTTCTTGCTAGGAGGGCTTCCAGAACTCCAAGTTCCAGGTGAATCGGAGGCGGAGAGAGGTCGTTTGGGGAGGTTGATCATAGAGTCAGCAACCATACCTACTGACAAAGTAGAAAATGCACCTGCAGTCCGAGGTCGCTCTGGTGAAGTAGTTGCATCAACTGATGGGCTTAGGCCTATGGTCGGACGTGGAGTTGGACTCGCTATCGAATTGATGCTTCCAGACAAAGAATGACCTCCACGAATAGTGGAGGTGCTCCCCTCGGTCTCGGATGAGATGAGAGACAGCGGCCTGGGAATGACATCGACATGATCAGAAAAGCCGACCCGAGGACGAACTCCCGGGGCACTACCCCTTCGTCGAGGTGAGGACGGTGGGGTTCTGACAATGTTTGACATTGACTGGCGCATCTGAGGACTGGCACGAGGGAAGGAAAATGCATGTACGCTCTCTAGAGGAGTGGTCGGTGTAGACCCGGCCCGCGCCTTCGCCAGAGCGTTCACTTTGATCAGCTCAGACGTGTCAATGTCGGAGATAGAAACAGCTTGCGATCGACGGTGTACATGTCCCCTGGGTGCTCCGGTGATTGGTGGAGGTGGTTGGTATTCGGCCTTTTTAGGGCTGGTACTGACCATCTGGGGGCCATCGTTGCCACCTCCCACAAACTCACTTCCATGTCGTCGATGGCTCGTTCGAGCATGGTGGGTTGCGTCACCAAAGGAGGATTTGGTAGGACTAGGAGAAGCTTGTGTAGAGGTCGCATTTGGGGCAAATGTAAATGCAGGTAGCGGAGCCGCTCTTGCCGACCGGGCTGCGCGCTGGTGATTCAGAGCCATCTCCTGGAGTACTGGATGGGTCACACTTGGGTTTTGTTCTGGTGGTAGATCGGCGCCCGGGTTGAACTTGAAAGCCGGCAGGGGAGGCCTCATAGATCGACGATTCATTTCGGTGGCCATGCTGACAGTGTTTTGATTTGCCTTCTCTGCTCCTTCTGTTTCAATGTTCCCCTCGCTTGCAGGCCAGTTGAGGGTAGACATCGGCAGCGGTACGGCATCTGGGTCTCGAGAAGGTCGTCGTCGATGAGTTCGAGGAGATGGAGGAGGGATGTCTGAGATGGTGTCAAACGGAGACAAGACAGGTACCGTCGGAGGAAGTGAAATCGAAGTCATAGTTCAATAAAGCAGCCACCCAATAGTAGAAATGCTGGCGGTGTTCTGGCCAGCAGGCGGGCGCACCGAAGCGTGTTAAAGGTGAGCCGGCACCTTGATGATATTTGTGTCCAGCCTTTGTAAAGGAACAAATGCCACCATTACCGGGACCCCAAGAGGTGTTGCGCTATGATATGACTGTCCGGACGATAAGGAACGACTTGTGTACAAGGGTGTCTGAGGGCGGTTGAAGTTGTTGCGTCGAGGTGCTTGCTATTGTGGTTGGTGGTACCTGAGCACGAAGTCTCTACCACAGAGAGAGGATGTCGTGGATGGGTTCGGGTTGCTCGGAGGGATGATAGTGGAGGTTACTGAAGGAGTGGACGGCAACCTGGAAGAAAGACCGACTCGGGATCTTTCTTCGCTCAGGAGCCAGAGGCCTGGTGAGGGCGTGTGTAGAGAGAGAGGGAGGGATGAGGAGGGAGGAGAGAGAGATTGAGGTGGATAGAGAGTGAAGGTTCAGGAACTGGAGTGCAGTACGGATACGGGTAGTACCACCAGTACTAGCTGGGTGATGAGGTGCAGTGCAGAGTGCGCCTTAGGCCTTGGTCTGAGACTGGACCATGGCTGGCAGGTCAACCAGGAAAACTGAGGCCACTAAATCGAGCAGCTGAGACAGGTCAGCTGCAAGCTTTAAGCATTTAGTGAGTAGTAGGCGGTAGGTTTAGGCCCAAGAGCCACCGATCTGAGTTTAGGCGGGATCTCTAGGTGTGGCTTTAACCATGCATTCATGTAGCAGCATGCAGCTTACTTGAACTTGGACAATTGGGCGCCCACTACAACTGCACCTTGGGCATCTCAAGTGCCCACTGTGGACAACCTTCATAACATGCAGTTCTCTGGACATGCACACTGGACTTTCGGCACCCGACGGATACCTGAGGGCCACTTCAAGTTGTCCACATATCTATGACGATGGCAATGGCAATGGCAATGGCGCTCACCAAGGAGGACACGAACGCAAAAGAAGCCTTCATGCCAACCACCTAAATCTCCCTCTCGTGGAGACGCAGGCGCAGGCGCAGGCACAGCGGGCGTGGAGCACTCCTTGACCAAGCTGAACCCTGAACCTGCGCACAATGCACCATCCTGTCCGTGCAGGCTGATTGACACTGTCAAACTGATAGCCCGACCTCCTGGGCTGGCTGTCTGATGTGCTGGCAGGCAGGCTTGGGTCAGCTAGGAAAGGAGCTGGCAACAACCTGGCCTGCCAAACGAGCTCAATCTTGTAAGGATTGGTCCCCTTGATTCCGCTCTTCCACAACTCGGCCCGTGCTGCTTTCATTTCTGTGTAGCCGCAACCATCTGTTGCTATGTACAGCATGACTCGCCATCTTCTCATCAAGCCTCTTGAGCAACCCTGTCAATCGTGGATTTTCCTGCGGGATCAAGATCGCACGCTCGTGGTAGAGATGATCACCGATGATCAACTAATAGAGCAGAACAACGTCCTAGGGTACCTTGCACGGACATAGCTACGACCCTGCGCTTATGCAGGAACTTGCAGTTCTTAGCAACCAGTACCAGCCGTTCAGTCCAATACGCTTCGTCGGCTGGCCATGACTACGTACAGGGGCAATCTGCGACGCCTGCCCTTTTCGTCTTCAACTGAGCCCTCCAGGATTCCGGATTTGCACGGATACAGCCGACAGATCGGCTCTCCCGGCTGACGCTCCTGGAAAAAGTGCGCTGATAGCATGGCCAAACATGTGTGAAGTACGTACAGAGCACTTTCAATCAGCGGAACAACTGCGCTTGGAATCTCGGTTATGCTGGTTCAGAGTTAACGGGCTTGTTGGCTACGGGGCGGCCGTCACATCGACCCATCGACCCATCGACCGTTCTGCCATCACCACACACCGACAAAGCTGCTCAGGAACCGGTGTGGGTTCTTTGACTCACCGCTGTGGTTGGACTTTTGCGAATCAGTATCATTCTCATTTTGACCCAACATTTTTTAACTCCAGTCATGCAGGACTCGATTACAGACGACGGGAATGCCGAATAATCGTTCGCAGCTTCTGCAAGGAGTGTTGCGTTTTCGCCTGCAGCCCACTGTCTAGCGTCTGAATCTTTCTTCTAGCTACAGAAGCGAAGGCGAGGGCACGCGCTGCATCGCGCAATCGAAGAACCTTCCTACATGTGTAACCTTCCGGTCGACAAGAAATTAACTGGGCACGAATACCTTGGTCAGACGAGCTTCTTTTCAAGTCAACTGCCCAAGACACACCCCACGTCCGCAGTAGGACCAGAATTCCGCATCGGGCTGTGGAAGATTCATTGACAGCGACAGCAGCCACATTCCGGTGCAGTCGCCTCTCCTTGCATATCTTCCGCACCAAGAGCAGGGGACCACAGTCACCCTAGTCTCGGACTATTCTGCCGATGGGTGCACGTTTTGTACACCCATCTTGAGTACGGAGTGTAGTGACACGACATTTTCAGATCAGGCTGAGACTGTGGTTGTCTCTGAGCGCGCAAGACTCGGATTGACAGCCAAATTATTCATTACACAAGGACCCATGCAATGGCACCAGGAAGAAAACCAAAGGTTCCCAGTAGGACAACCACGAACCAGACATCTCGAAAAGGCTCCCAGAGTACACAGGAAAGTCCCGAAACTGTGGCTTTTCCGGTAGAAGTGCAACAGATGCTTCTTGACGCGTTCCGCCGCGCTTTCCCTTTTGACGAGCATCACGACGTGAAGGCGGCCATCCAACAGGTCAAAGGCCGTCTGTTCCTGCGGGACTTCACAGCTGCCTTTTCCAATCAAGACTACCTTGATGCATATGCATTAAGGTGGAGTGCTAGCCGTGCCCTTGGGTACAGCGATGTCTTCCTTCACGGCGACCTGCAGGAAGTATGGCTCGGCGGAGCCACATCCGTCGCGACCGCACATGAACCACAGTCAACAAGTGCTACCACAGTCGCTTGCATTGGTGGTGGTGGAGGCGCGGAGGTGGCTGCATGTGCGGTTGCGGCACGGTCATATTCGCTATCTAAAGTGGAAGTCCACGCCATCGATATCGCAGACTGGTCCAATTGTCTTACGAAGCTAGAAAACGCCCTGTCTACACCACCTCCACTGTCGGCCTATGCGAGTGAGCGCCTGAAGGCGGCAAACAAGCCCTTGGTCATGCGTGATCAACTGGAGGTTCGCTTTTCCCAACACGATATCCTCTCAGTGACTAAGACAGACCTCCGTGACTTGCTTGGTGGCGTCCATTTATGCACCATCATGTTCGCCTTGAACGAACTCTTCAGCACGTCGATTTCCAGGACAACCGCCTTCTTACTGGCGCTTACCGATATTATGCAGCTGGGTTCATGGCTTCTGGTGGTCGACAGCCCCGGGAGTTATTCGGAAGTCAAGTTGGGCCAGGGACAGGATGCAAGGACCAAACAGTATCCAATGAAATGGTTACTCGATCATACCCTTTTAGAGGTGGCGAGCGATGAGAACAGTAAGTGGAAGAAGCACGTGGCAGATGAGTCAAGGTGGTTTAGATTGAACCCGTCGTTGAAGTACACGATGGAGCTGGAGAATATGAGGTACCAGATCCATCTGTACCAACGGATCGGAGAGGCACGATGACAGTCTATTTGTCACAAGAACTTTTTTCCCGACCCTTAGGCCCTAGGAGGTGTCATCTATTCCTCATCATCATCGCCCTCGTCGTTGACCACGTTGAAGAATCTCAGTTCATAGACACCCTTGCTGGTCGACACGACACGGAGCCAGTCACGGAGCTGCTGCTTCTTGAGGAACTTCTTTGTCCTGTCCATCTCGTCAGCATTGCCGTCGACACCGGATATGAGTGGTATAGAACATACAAGTACTTCAAGTAGCGGCCGGAGAACGGAATGTGTGTGACGACCTCGATCTTTCCACCACCGACTTGCGAGATGGCGATGTTATCGCCCAGGTTGCCGGTGCGGCCTTCGACCTTGATGCGTTCGTGCAGGAACTTCTCGAACGCAGACAAGTCGAAGATCTTGTCGCTGACGGGCTGGCTGCAGTTGATGGTGTACTGCGCAACACAGATTAGCATACTAGACACTTGGCGTACAATGGCTCATTCTGTGCTTACCTTCTTGGTGACCTTGGTCTTGCTGACCTTGCCTCGAGCCTACATGAAACAAAGAAACAAAACCTTAGCCTACTGTTCTCATCGGCCCTCGACTTCGCATGGTTGCCCCATGCGGAGTCGCTGGGAAAGGGCGCGAACAGCAAAGCAGTGCGGTCGGTCTTACCTGGGCGGGAGTGGTTGGTGCCATTGTGAATGGAGAGATTGTGCGGTCGCAAAGAGATCAATATCCTGCGCCTTGTGGTCGGGGTGAGGGTGGTATGCGAGATTGAAGTTGGGTCGACTGGCGATCATGAAATTGTCTTTTGCGCTGGCGGTTTGTGTGGAAAAATCGTCGGTATACCTTCCGTAGGACGTTAGTGCCAAGATCTGCATGTCACGTGGTATGCTCCGACATCTCCAGTTCTAAGCCAACGGACATCGGACATATGCCATATGGTATACGAGGTCATGAGGACCAGCTTTGTAGCACCTGATAATTATTCCATCCCTTGAAAAGAGCATTTTGGCAAGCCTTCAAGAAAAGGATTCCCGAGTCGACTTGTCTGCAATTGGGATATGGTACACCGCTGACTGATGCGCCCACGGAAGCTGGGCGAGAAACAGCTCATATACTTTGATGGGCACACGCAAAATGAGGGCCTCGAGCGAAGGAAAATATTCAGAACTGTGTTAGATCAGTTGGTCGTATCTTTTGCCTCACGTTGAGACGAATCTTACAGAATCCCGCCATTCCACATACTGTATACCTCCCCCAGCGTAATGCTCAATCTTGCCCACTCTCGCCCACCGTTGATTTTGTCCAGCAGAAGATCGGTGAGACGAAGTCTTGTACGCGGAGAGGCAGTAACGCGATTTTTCAGCGGCTTGCTAGTTGTGAACGTCGAGTTCAAGTTCATGCATTTCAAACTTGAAAGAACTATATTCGTAGTACTACGGAGCTACACGTGACCTCGTAGAGTCAGGGCTCTTTTGATCTGTCTAATGAAGCGCCTGAGAAGCCGGCGGCTTTTGTAGTCATGCGTGTCTTCCAGTGGGGGGGGTATTCGGCCTTACAGAATACTGGGAAATGAAAAGGCAACGAGAAAGTCGAGGGCAAGCGAGATACGAGTCAGCACTCATCACGTCCTTTCGGGACAGCTTTCACCGCCCTGTCCAGTTAAAATCTTTGGACCGGCAGAAAGTTTTAAATCATCCAATCATATTGTCTACAGGTGCGACTGACTTCACCGACTGGCAGCTAACTAAATTGGGATATTTTTCTCTTGGCGGAATTTTGGTCGTGTCTCTGGGGTATAAGTATCTCGCTCGCCCTCGACTCTCTCTTGATCTTTTTTCTTTTCTTCAGTACTCTGTAAGCCTCAATCCCACCCCCCTACATTTGAGACAAGTATGGCTAACAATTCAACAGTTGCCTTTTGGCTTAGATCAAGTGTAGTATCTGTTCTTTTCAGTTTAATCTCTGAAATCATCCTACGGGATGAATACATTGATTATTCCCATTTTTGGAGCTCGCTGGTTAAACCCCTCTGTGCTTGCGCAATGGGTTTCTGGCACCGTGTCCGAGGCCTTACACTACTGCCTTGTGATGCGAAACACCCTTTTCATCATTTCTTTGCCTTGAGCAAAGCTTTGGAGAAGAGGTCTTGAGAAAGAAGGAACTCCATCCAGCATGAAGGAAAATTCTGATGGTGAGACACGACTTCCAGGGACGAAGCTGTTCTGAACCTGACCGCGAACTGAGATGGGCATTACGGCATGGCCTTGTGGGAGCAGAGGTTGAGGGCTTACAGTGTTGAATCAATATTTTGGCTGGAAATATTGGCTGGCAGGCAGCAGCAAGGAAGCTGTCCTCGTTGCTGCCTGGGGGACCATCTGCTACTCTAGAATCGAATGTATCTACTGTATCTCTTGATTTACGATGAAAAATGATGGTTGTGGCTTGAATAGTTCTCTACCATGTAGCCCTGTAGTAGATGTTGTGCGATGTAAATTCCCGGGCCCAAATCTGATGTATGTGCAGTGGTCATCGAATGGAAAAACAAGACGGCTCTGTCCGCCGTCGAAGCCACAGACAGCGACCTACAGAATAGTTGCCGGACCAGAATTTCCCCCGAACCATAGTTTGGCTTTATTGACCAGAGCCCTTCTCTATATCCCATCCTCGTAAGCAAATACAACATCTCGACAGCAGTGCAAATGTCGGACGACACAACCATGACCACTCCGGCACTCGCAGGCTCTTCCTCCCCGCACGTTGACCCAGCCATATTCTCGTCGCTCCAGACCAAAATCGACCAAGAGCAGGCGATCCGCGACGAGCTCCGGACGCACGTCGAAGCGCTATCGAAGCAAGGCCGCCTCACACAATCCATCCTCTCTCGCATCCACAACACACCGACCGACGAACTCGAGGCCAGCGTCCTCGCGCCCTGCTACGACGCGCTCTTGGAGCAGACCAAGACGGTGAAAGAGCTGGCCCAGTCGGCGTCCCAGTACCCGTTCTACAAGTGGAATTCGATATGGCAACGAGACATCCAGGCGGTCATCAGCAGCCTGCAACTGTGTGACTGGCTCAAGGACGGCAATCTGCTCACATTGGAAGAGGTCGGACAGAGGCTAGATGGTGAGTACCGAACAACCATCAAGACAATGGTCGTGTGGCGATCGAGATTTTCAGACACAATTACTAACAGCTATGGACGTCTTATAGTCCCGGTCAATCTCAAATCCGAAGATGCCTTTCACATCACCGTCGAAGACTACCTCCTTGCCCTGACCTCGACGATCGAAGAGCTCGCACGGCTGGCTCCCAACGCGGTCACGTTGGGTGACTACGCGCGACCGCTGCAGATCTCGAAATTCGTCAAGGATGTCCACGCGGGATTCCAGCTGTTGAACTTGAAAAACGACATACTGAGGCGAAGAGCCGATGGGGTCAAATATAGCGTCAAGAAGGTGGAGGACGTTGTCTACGATTTGAGTCTACGTGGCTTGATCCCCAAGACTCCTGCAACGGAATGAGAATGGGCGAGACAGCATCGGGAGGTCAAGAAACGCATTACATCGAAAGGTTGAAGGTCTGAAGATGTAAGGTCCCATATCATCCAGCGGATGTGATCTTAATTTATCCAGGGATGCTGGCTGCAAGTTTTACTGCAATTAGCCCCGAGGGAGCAGGCCAGCGGAGGAAATAGCAAGCCGGCTGTTTTCCTGGGTACATGGATGGATCTCCAAACCCAACTCCGCCGTCTCTTCAGTCTCGACAGGGACAGTAGATGGTGGGAGGTGCTCACTTTATCAAAAGAGCACATGAAAACATAAGAGGCAAATAAATGTCCTCTAAGAGATGTATTTCTCAGACTACCTGGACGATTCTGATTCCCATCTCGATCCTAAGATTTCTCCCATATGCAAATGCACCAACTCTTTCCGAAGAGTAGCCTGTCACCAGCAAGTGTATACCGCATCAATTACTGGACTTCCCCGTTTACGTTTACTCGCTTTACGGCTCTGTGGGCCTCTTCCATTGCTCGCCGTCGACTCTCGCACTGCTGTCCGCGGTCGCGGGCTCTCTCAGACCCGAAGCCGAGCCTGTGCCCAACTTGACATTGACACCACCGCTGCCGACATTGACGGTCCGTTGGTCTGCGGATTGGAGGTCGGCACTGGCTCCGCCAAAGGGCTGTTCTGGAAGAGGCAAATTGGCCTTGACGCGGTCGATCTGTTCTTGCTTGGGCTCGTGTTCGGACAGGATTTGCTGGAAAGCTGGCTGTCAGTACGGAGCGGGTGGAAAAAACTCTTCAAAGAATAGACGCGGGCAAGACCTCAAACTCACCTTCAATGCCGACGTATCGGAGTCCTTGGGCGTCTTGCCGTCGTGGAACTTGGATTCTTTGGCCTCTAGCTTGCGGACGTCTTCGCTGGTCGTGTGGAAGGTCTGTTCGGACATTGTGGCGTCGAGGTGAAGACTGTCTGGTTGATTTGATGGAGGAATCAAGTTAAGAAGAATGATAGGTATTTTGTCACGACCAAGAGGTAGGTTGGGTCAAAGTTGTACTCTGTAGTGCAAGTTTGGAAACGATTAGATGACGAATTCACAGAGCGAATGAAAAAAAAACCCAATCGAACATTGCCCTGTCTTCAGATATTTGAAGTTTAGCTGGACCGGAAGGATACGCCACGACGTCACTCTCAGCATCGTGGATCGCAGTCTGATTTGTGCGTCCTGGATCCGGTGTGGCAACCTCTGACTTGCTGTCCACAGTCAAGTCTGTGTTGCTGGTGATCTCGAACATTCATGACCCCACGACGAGCTTCGATGTGAAGAGAGGAATGGTGAAGCATGAGCCGGCGGGCATCCTCGACGTCATCGCGGAGCATGGATACCAGGGTGGCATGGGGAATTCATCATCTGCCATCCAGAAATAGTCTAGCCCTGGATCACTGAACTCCGGACGAATCATCGTCGAGCTGTCCTGAACTGGGGCAGATGGGTGGAAGAGACAGAGACAGAGACGTGGGCTGTACTCGTAGCCATGCCATCCCAAAGGCCGCAAATGCGTGAAATCGATGGTCTGAGTTGAGGAGTTTGCCGTCAGTCAATCTCGACCTCCATGTCATCAAGACAAAACTCCCAGTCCAATATAACCTCGTTGTAGTGAAAGTCCGCCCAAACATATAACACCTCCAGCCTGTCCCACGTTTTCCCGCTGAACTCTCTCACTCGCACGTCAAGGACGTCGTGGAAACCGGCAGGAAAATCCACGCTCCAATTCAGGACCTCGTCCGCATCCCTGACCTTCGAGCTCCGCCTCGACCCCTGGAGATAAACCGTGGCCGAGCCAAGCGGCATATTCAAGGGCTTCAACTTCAGGCGGTGGATTGTAAATGTGTGGGTGGAGTTGCTAGGCTGTATCGACGGCTTCCTGTCGGTATCGGTACCGGTGCCGGTGCCACTGGCTGGTCTGCCGGAGAGAATCGACTTGAAATTGTCTCTTGTGCCGTACAAGGCGTTCGGCTGGGACACGGCGCAATTCAAGTCCTCAAGCGAGATAATGCCCTCGAGTAGCGGGTGGGATGGATCGAATGCATAGAAGCCATTGAACACGAAGGCGTGGTATGGAGTGGGAATTGTTCCAAAGCCATCAGGCGTCTTGATGTGGTCGAACTGCCATAAAGTTCTCAGCTCCTCGTGCATATCGTCAAGGGCGGCAGATGAGAGTCAACTCACGTTCAGAACGGCCAGATCTCCTTGTAAGGTCGCCTGAGCTGGTATTGCGGAGACAGTGTTGAAACAAATCCCCAGCACGAAGCATATCAAGACCAAAGAATGTAGTTTCAGGATACTCTGCACGACTGACTGGCCAGGGCTTGACAAACAAGCCGTGGCGACAGTCACCGTCGCCTTGACGAGATCATTCCACCACAGATGAATCAGAGCCGTGGCTAGGAATGCAACGCGGTAGAAGAGGTGAGAGAGGGCCATGCTTTGCACTCACCAGGCTCTCCCTAGAGTATTCAGACATGTCTAAATATTTGATAATAACAAGGTACCTAGGTGACACCGCGGGAGATACCTACCTAAGGTATAGCTAAAGGTAGATCCAGCCAGCAAAAACGCGTATTGGAGTCGACAGACACGTCATTTGAAGGCCTTTAAGTGCCCCAGGTACCGAGGTGCGGATACAGTACGGAGTACATATAACCTGACAACACCATTCAGCCAATATCTTGATCGAAGGTTTGCATCGTCAGCAGTCTCATGTTGGTATGCTACATGTAGGTGCTGGGTGGTGTATACGCCAGGACTGGTATACGCCCTGAAAGAGGCCACGAATGCATCAAGTTGACACCGTGCCCATCCTCCTTCGTGCCACCATCTTCTTCTGAGAACCTTGCCTATTTTCAACCGAGCTGGTAAAATCGCCGCCATCACTCGTCAAGATTACATTCGGATGTCACGCTGCTTCGTTCTCGAGCCATTGATCTTGCATGACATGCAGATCGGACTCCAGTTCAATCTATCACAGTTGTCCAGTGTTTCCTAGACCAACACGACAATGAACCAAAGCCGGAGAATCAAATCCTAGCCTTATACTCATGGCTTGAGGCAACAAACGGTTATGCTGGATTGACCAACAATGAAGCAAGTTCGAGACGGACAGTGGACAGGATAGGTGATGGAGTGTGGCCCGCCTTCTTCTGGCGCCATCCGATTCTTTGGTGCTATTTCGTGGTACGATTCCTCTTCGCCCTCTTGGTCGCCGCTTGCCCCTCTGGACGGGAGATCGAGGTGTCCGGAGTGTCCCTTTGTAGGATAATTGGAGTCAGATCCCTATCTCCTTGGCCTGGCTGTGAAGCAGAGTCGACATTAGATGCCCCGCAGATTGCACTCCAGATCCCGGAAAAACTTGGAAATCCAGATTAGGAGGCAACTGGTCGATAGCCGAGCAGATGCGTTCGAGGTGGGTTGGCATCCAGACATCGTAGACATTCTTGGTGAACTTGTAGGCTGTCCACTTATTTATACCTTCTTCGCTCGTGAAATCAAATTTCTTGATCGGGTGACGGTAGAAGGTGGTTTTGCTTCCATCAATTATAGGATAGTGACCGTAGATCCTAACTGCACTATAATCGTGTGAGACCGAAAAGGCGAGGATTTCCCTAGCATGTTCCTTTTCACGCTTTACCGCTTTATAGAGCTCGACGATACCCCTTGTAGCGATCGTCATACTGTGTGCATTCTGTCGGTCGGCAGTATCAAGCGCTGCGGCGCCGCACTTCACTTCAGAGGTGAGAAATGGAAAGTACATTCGGTAGGTTGCGACGAAGAATGAGGTATCGAAGACGCTTCCAACAAGAGGGTCAAGCTTGCGCAGCTGTTCGTCTGTGAATGCAGATCGACCGAATCCAACGGTATAGTCCGGCTGTGGCCTTGGGCCCTCCACTGGAATACTACCTACCCACGCTTCATTGACATTCTCAATTAAGCAGCTCAACTTGGCAGCGCCCAAGATGGCCATGTCCTCCACCGATGGTACAATATACGGCGAGATGCTGCGGATGATTCGGGCCTCGTTCCTGCCCTGTACTCTGCGGCATGTCTCCTCAAATACGTCGTCTCGGAATAGGGAGTCGTTCGGGGCTGTCTGCTCTAGGCTCAACAGTGCCTTACAGCTGCTTAGACTCGAATCTGTAATGCCCAGATGAGACTTTTCCATGTAACTCCCCTTAGCCGCAAGCAAGGTAGTGTACCGTGTATCTCGGTATGGAGCACTCTTGGCTTCCCTCTTCTGCTGGTCGCTAGATCCAGTCAGGCTCGAATCTGACTGCTTCCGGCGAAGGGAAGGAGGGCCTTTTTGGATGGGCCGTGGGTATCGGAATCCATCTATCTCCACATACTGGACAGTTGGAGGAGGCGGCTGGTCTGTCTGCTCCTCTAGCCAGCTGTCCCTTTCAAAAAGGTCTTCTCTGGCCTGACTATCTTGTTTGAAGTATTCGTTTGGCCAACTCTTGTTCAGTACCCAGTTCTTGAGCGGATCAGCGACAGCTGTGCCGGTGTTCCTTTCTACCTTCCATTGTGCTTCTGCCGTGCTTTGAGGGGGTATTCGTGGTCGTTTTGAAGAACGCAGGTCTTCTGTTTGAGAGAGATGATCGGCGTCTTGCCCTCGCTTACGCTTCAAGGAAGACCTTGCGGGCTTCTTGAAGGACTGTGGACGCTGCGGTTCGTCCAAATTTTAAGCAAGACAACCAAGAATAGGGTAACAGAGTAAGAGACGGCTCGATCCTGCGAGACTACACCGACTTTAGGGGGGGTAGATTCCAGTTCTCTCCTTCGGTTCTCACTGCTCTTAGGTTGCGATCTGGTTTGAAGGCGTGAGCTTCTTCGCGTCTCTCGTGGTTCAGCGTTGTCGGTGCCAGTAACCTGCTCTCCTAAGAGTATCAGCGGATTGCCTCGTAAACTTGTGAATTGACCGCGCCTTTACCTGCTGACGTAGAAGACTTCAGTCTTTTCTGAGCGCCTACAAGTTCTCGATGGTTGGCCATGGTTAGCGACAACTGAAGGAAGTCCTGGCTTCTCATGTAGCTGCCAGGTGTGAAGGTCAAATGACGACTTCGAACGGTAGAAGCCGTGGAACATTGCTGATGAAACGCGGGAGCACTCCAGGTGCTGGTACGTACTCCGTACTCTGCACTCTGCACTCTGGACTCGGTACGGATACAATTGATGGGGAAGTTATTAATCTTCTCCAACTCGACAGACACACGTCATTTGAATGCTTTCCACTTCTAAATTCTCCACCTGAACGCTATCCGGCCTTTTCCACGTTTTCGCCGACTCATCCTCTGGGAATTTTGTCTCTCGAGAGGCCTCAGGGCCAACAAAACTGCATCTATAACCTACACCCTTTCCTTGATCCTCTTGAACCGCCTCTTGAATCGCCTCTTGAGTCTCTAGGCGACATGCCTCGAGATCCCCTCATTGGTCTGGTGGGAAAGCCATCCTCTGGGAAATCGACCACATTAAACAGGTGCGTCAATTTCACACTTGGATTGGTTCCTTCGACTCACACTCCTTCACAGCTTGACAGATGCTAGCTCGAAAGTCGGTCAGTCTTTGTCCGTCCACGATGCTGTTATGCTGGACCTATTTTTCCCGTGGCAAAGAGGTGGTAACATCGGCTGATATAAAATCGCGCAGGCAACTTCCCGTAAGAGGACTCCCACATGCATTACTTCTGTTTGCACTGTGTGCAGGACTAAAGTTTGATCTTGTCCGGACCCAGCTTCACCACGATAGATCCCCAACGAGCGGTCGGATACCTCCAGATTGAATGCGCCTGCATACGACATGGTCTCCAGGACAGGTGTCGGCCGAACTATGGGTCGTGTATCAACGGCAAGAGATCAGTACCAATCGAACTCCTCGACGTTGCCGGATTAGTGCCCGGCGCCCATGAAGGCAAAGGGTTAGGCAACAAGTTTCTCGACGACCTGCGTCACGCGGACGCTCTCATTCACGTGGTCGACGTGAGCGGGACGACGGATGCTGAAGGCAAAGCTACACGAGGCTACGACCCGAGCGTGGATATCGAGTGGTTGCGCGGGGAGATTGTCAGGTGGATTCTGGGAAATCTGATGGAGAAATGGGGAAGTATCAGGAGACGGCACGTCGCAATTAAAGCGTCGGCGGTGGACACTTTACAAGGACAGTTCTCCGGCTACGGCAGTACGAGCGCGGTCGTGGCGCGGTGCCTCGACAAACTGCAATTGAAAGAACCGCTGGAAGAATGGAGCAACGAAACCATCATGAAAGTCGTCAACGCCTTTACCGACGAAAAGTTCCCCACCGTCCTCGCTCTCAACAAGATCGACCACCCGGACGCTGACCGCAACATAGCCAAGATCGCCAAACAACAACCTGCAGACAGAATTGTTCTCTGCAGTGCCATTTCCGAAGTATTTCTGCGGCGGCTAGCCAAGCAAGGCTACATTAAATACAAAGAAGGCTCTGAGTATCTGGACACGCGGGAAGACTTGATCGAACAAGGAGACCCGGACGGAGGAGGGCTCAAAGAGATGGACGACAAGCTGAGACAACGTATCGAAAACCTCAAAGACATGGTTCTGTACCGGTTCGGAAGCACCGGGGTGGTACAGGTCTTGACTCGGGCGGCCGAGGTGTTAGGTCTCGTGCCCGTGTTTCCGGTCAAGAACATCCACACGTACGGCTCCGGAGCGGCGGGCTCGACGGCCGTATTTCGGGATTGCGTGTTGGTGAAAAAGGGTAGCACGGTGGCTGACGTGGCGAAGAAAGTCATGGGCGACGCGCCCATTGCCTTTATTGAGGGCGACGGTGGGCGGAGGGTGGCAGAAGACCAACTTGTGGGTGTGGGCAAAAACGACATCTTGTCTTTCCACGTTGGACGGTGACGTGCGGCATTCAATAGTTGGATGAGACCATGTATCAGGATTTTGAGGACGTACAGTGTACCAACGAAGTTATAATTCGGCTCAGCATGTTATTTACAAGTCATTGAAACTGATGAGATCGCCGCCATTGCCAACCGCCGTTTATTGCTGTCCATGCAGCTGTTTCACCCAATCTGGTTTGAGGATACCTTTTGGGCTCAAGGTGCGGTCAAGGTCTGTTTAGTGAGGTTTCTACTCAAAATCAGTTGGTGGGTGAATTGACCAAGCAGTGCGGACGGACTCTGGATGGGAGACAATGGCAATCACCAAGGACAGAGAAAACTGTGGATGGAAAGGTCAAGTGCTCCAGACATGGGTACTATCATGCAACGGAATAGAAGGGCCCTTTCATATCGAGCGAAGGACTTACCTCGCCTCTCTCGTCATTCATCCCGATAACTGGCTCGGGCGCCTTAGGATGCTCCTTCTTTGCCTTCTTGTTGGCATTGCCCTCGTCCTTGCGGCTGATGGCCTGGCCACCCTCCTTGCCATCCTCGTGGTCCTTGATGCCCTGCTGCGCCCCTTGGGACTGCGGGTCGAGCTGTGACCGGTTCACGGCATGGCTTTCGGGCCCACGGCCCTCCCAACCGGGGGTGCTGGATGGGTCCTTTGCCAGCAATAAGGAGGTGGTGGAGAGAGGAGCTCTCACAGAGATTGAGATCAAAGGATGACAGAGGCCGCGGCTGCGTAGGACGGAGGATGTGTACATCGTCCAGGGGTTACAGGGGCGAGGAGCGAGGAAACGAGGCATTTCGGAGTGAGTGTCGAGGTCAACTGCTTGATGTGGTCTCGGGTGGGTTGTTGTCGTTCCTTACCAGGGTCTGGATCTGGAGGTGGTAGCTAGGCCCTGGTCGAGGCCGTGCGTAGGTCAAGGGCTGTGAGGAGCTGGACGCTCTCAAATATGAGTGAAGACAGTAAACTGCAGACTGCAGACTGTGCAATGAGGGGGGGTTTGTCAAGCAACGTGGGCGAGTGTCAGTCATCAAATGTTCGGATCTCGCCTTCGTCTTCAATACTTTGACATCCTTGGGGACCGGCTCACGGCCAGAGCTCCCAGGAAAAAATTCGGTCACTGAAACATCATGAGCCATTGGTGTTGCCGTGACGGGAGTTGACACTGTTGATGTCGACATTGTGACGTCATTCCATCTCCCCTCAAGCTCTACCGTCAAGCTCGCACATCTCGCATAGGGGACCATCTATCTTCCCATCTTCCCTAAACATGCCCTGTTCACGAGACCACTGGCAGTTTGACTACCTAGATATCATCTTCTTTAACGTGCCACGCGCTCTGCGTATTCCTTCTCCCTCCGGTTTCGTTCCTGCCTCCACTCTTCCACCGCCTTCAATCCCCTTGGCTCTCCCCCGGGTCCTTCCACATTGCTGGCGGCCGGCTGTCCCAGCACTTCATACAGAGGCACGACCCCTGACCAGACTCCTGTCCCTTGCTCTTCTCTCCTCTGCTTTTCCTCCTCTTCTACCGTCGCCGGATCAAACGGCCCAATATTCGCGGCGCGGATCTTGGCGCTCGCACTGAGCACTTTGACCTCAATCACCTTGACAATGTCCACTGCCGAGTGGAGCACCGGGTAAGTGGTCTCCCAGCGCCCATGGTACATGTGGTTCGTCAGAAGGCGCATGGCGAAGCGCTTTTTGCGCACGTCTGTGTCCGGCACGATGGAGGCTGTGCCGTGGATCGTTGCGGATCGGTAGTTCAAGCTGTGTCCATTGGGGGTTGGGAAGAGCGCGAGGCCGTCGACTTGAGCAGGGAGTTAACAACACAGTGTTTCGGATGGGTTTCTGGGAAATTGGGACGTTGATGTGACAAATGAGAGGGCATTTCTCCAGATAACGGGTATATTCTAGGCAAACAACAAGTATAGGAAGCGCGTCCGAGATGAGTGGATATTGTCTCACCTTTCGTCGAAGAGATGCACACCCTGATGTGCCCCGACTCACTCTCCCGGATCGCTTTGTACAGCAAGGCCGCCACGTTGCCGTGCAGGTACAAATCCATTGGTCCATTCGTCATATTCTCCTTCTGCTGCCGTTCCAGTTCGCCGTCACTGACCTCTGCCTCTGCGTCGCCGTACCGCCCAAGCACTGCAGTCAGAGGCATAGCCATAGGTATGGCCTCGCCATCTTCGTCTCTGGCTATAAATGATACTTGAGACACGAGTGTCGAGTCGGTTATCGAGTGGACGGTCTGATAGTCGTAGTGCGCTGTGGTGATTGAGTGAATAGGTCAGATCGCATCAGACTGTGCCCACGACTCATATGTACCTCTTTGTTTATACACCCGGATCTTGTTAAGTTTGGTCTGAGGGTATCCCAACTGCGGTGCATTGTCGTCTGAGATCGAGTTGGCTGGTTTTCCGATCATGGTTGTGACTGGTCGGCGGTTGGCAAGCAGCAAGGGATAAATCAGTCGACTGCCTCGGGGACGCATGAAAACTTTGAGATCTGACCAGAAGACGGAGTCACATTCGAATGCGGACAAGATTCAACCAGTCCAGTGAACGGGCCCTGTATATAATATATACCATAGCCTGCAAGACGCTGACAAGGAAGGGGTGGAGTTCAGCGACCACAGACGGCTAACAGCATCGATAGCCTATCATGGCATGCTATCGGCAACGGGCCCCCCTATCACGTAGACAAGGCTGAGATCTCCTCGCGTGATCCTGCCGTTGGCCGATATTGGCGTCTTTGAGCGACGAATAGACAGCAAGACAGTCGCCGGCCGGGATGGAGCCTCGCCTCGCCCTTCTTCTTGGCAATCTCCCAACCTGCAGTACTAAAAGTTGCACCAGCGGGTTCCTGGAAGGGAGCCATACCTCGCTTGCGGACTCCCTTCGCACTACGGAGTAATAGACTGGCTGTGAGACTGCGCGGCATGAGGAAGATCCTTGATGTGAAACCAGGGTCTCGCGGCGCCCCTGTCCCGTCCGACGGCCCTCCGTGGCTCGGCTTATGGACTCGCTGTCTGATGAGTTGAAATAAGGCGAACTGTCCCAGCCGGAGGTGGGAAAGCTCATTCTCGATAGCCATCTTCGACATCTGAGCAGGTTCCGTACAGATCCAGTAACACGGGTGCCGTGCATCACTATCGCTAAGGATTTGAGCAATTCGCCTGACACAACAGAATGGCCGCCGAATTACAGGGCTGGCATGTTGTTGCCGCACGACACCAGGAAACGATCGAAAGCAAGATCCCACAGGCATGGCAACTGTCTGAAAATTTGTTGAACAATGTTGCTCCCATGGCTCTCCCCAGACAATCGGGCATCCTGAGTGACTGGGAATTGAGCATCACCGAATCGAAAGCTGTAGATATCCTTGCCGAACTTCGACATGGCAGAGTTAAAGCAGTGGACGTGACGCGGGCGTTTTGCAAAAGGGCCGCCATTGCGCAACAAGCGGTGGGTGGCTCGTCGATCTATGTTGGCGACATAAACTGACAGGCAGGTTTGGTGGATTATCAGACGAACTGTGTCGCCGAGATCTTGTTTGAAGAGGCTTTGGACAGGGCTGCAGAACTGGACAAATACATGGAAACCCACGGCCGGCCGAAAGGGCCTCTTCACGGTCTGCCCATCTCTGTCAAAGAGCACATTCATATGCAAGGCACGAAGGCGACCTGCGCGTTAATGGCTTGGGCGGACCACACCAGCTCCAAAGACGCATTGATCGTCCGGGTCTTGAGAGAGCAAGGCGCCGTCTTTCACGTCAAAACGACAAATCCTCAGACTTTGATGGCCATCGAGACCGACTCGAACCTATTCGGCCGCACCGTGAACCCGCACAATCCAAGCCTAACGTGCGGCGGCAGTTCGGGAGGCGAAGGAGCCCTGATCGCAATGGGTGGCAGTGTTATAGGTATAGGCACAGACATTGGCGGCTCGATTCGTGTGCCTAGTGCCTTTTGTGGAATCCACGGGCTCAAACCGAGCGTGGCAAGGCTCCCGCATAGCGGACTGAGTGGCCTTCAGGACGGAATGCAGAACATCGTCGGTGCCGTTGGCCCAATGGCTCGGTGCGCTGAGGACCTGGATTTGTTCTGTTCGGCTGCTCTGGCCAACCGACCTTGGGACCATGAGCCGTCATTGATCGAGCTCCCTTGGAAGACAAGTATTGAGATTCCTCCTCGACTGACCATTGGTGTGATCTGGAACGACGGCGTCGTTCACCCGCATCCTCCCGTCAGCCGAGCGTTAAAGAACACCGTGGCAGCTTTGCGAGGCCAGGGACACAGGGTGGTGGACTGGAATACTGATCTACATCGACAGTTGGTTGATGCTGCTAACGAAGCCTACTTCCTCGATGGTGGGAAGGAGTATCGTGACATTCTGGCTGAAGGACTAGAACCGCCTGTTCCGATTATAGAATGGCTGCTTGAGACAAATGCCGGTCGGCCGCACACTGTCGAAGAAACCTGGAAGGTAGGTGATCCCGGAGTCTGGCTCTGCAACGAGGCACTGACATGGGAGGACAGCTGAATGCGAAGATCGAGCGGTTGCGGACCCTATATGCCGAGCAGTGGAACGATATCAAAATCGACGCAATCATCTGTCCAGTCAGCGCATCCGTTGCTTCGGTCCACAATGAAAGCCGGTATTGGGGTTATACAAGTATCTGGAACGTTCTTGACTTCCCTGCGGTGGTGATGCCTGTGGGCAAGGTCGAGGAGTCAGACACGTGGGATGAATTTCCACCAGCCTCCCTGACACCCCTGACCTCGGCCGATGACTCGTATCGACAGCTCTTTGAGAATCGCCAAGGTGCGTCAAGGTACCAACATGCACCTGTTGCTATCCAGATAGTTGGCAGACGACTCCAAGAAGAAAGGATCCTCAGAATCGCGAGGAGCATCGAGCGCTGCATCTCCGAGCCATGCGCACCAAGTGGAAGTCCATTGGAGGTTAAAGGCGCCAATGACCTCGAGCCTGCTTCGATCCAATTTGCAGGAAGCCCAAGCTTCTGGAATTCGGTCGCGGAGTTTGAAGATTCCGTTTCCGTTGCCGCATAGTTGTGGTGTCAAACCCCATGACTAATCCAATTCGAGAAGGTTGGGTTTGTATTCCTGACAAGTCCCATCTTCTCGCTTCTTGCCTCTCGCTCGAATAAAATAACCGTTCGGGATTCAAGCGTATTCGAATCGTATCTGGTAAGGTCGTCCATATTTGCACGGAACCGAGCGACTTTCCTGCAGTATCAGACGAGGAGGGCGCAAATGTTTAATTCAGACATTGCTCTTTTCCAGTCCCACTGTTGATCCTCGTCAAGGAGACGTGATTCCCAGCACTTCTTCATGACCCGAAGAATTGTTGCGGAATTCCCAAAATCCTGTTCTGAGTTCCCAAGGATATCTCGGACCAAGGTTTCGAAATATGCCTGCCGTGAAGGCTCTGCCATACATCCCGATATGCATATTGGCCATATCAGACCACGCATGTCTTGGAGCTCCCTGACTTGCTCCAGAGCACCTATCGTCCTGTCCACTGCACCACGAACTTCCGGCAAACTGGGAATGGCTCCGGACATGATGGTGTGCAACTGCACAAGTGCCGCAGATGCAAATACTCGGGTGACGGTATGCGTGATGGGAGGTTCGGGGATACTTGCTCCTTTTCTGCGGATCGTGTTTGTGTCAAGATGAACTTGAATGTCGAGTCTTGCAAGACCATGCTCCAATTCTGCTTCAATATCTTGACTTCGAGTCAGCAGATCGCTGACATTCGGCATATTCGCTTGTCGAGCAGACTCCTTCCAGACGCTGAGTGACGCCAGATCAGCAATTGCTATCATGGCCCAATTCTCGCAACCCATGACTTGCTCCAAATTGACATGGTCGTCTTGTATTAGCACTTTGTAGCATAAACGCGGCGTTAGACCTGTAGATGCGCAGGAGACTATGTCAAACCATAAGACAACAGCCGTCAAGAAAGGCAGAGCTGAATCCCCAATCTCCGCAGTCTCTTCCCCCTGCCGCAAGGATGGTTCTGACCGTCTCGATCTCGAAGTGTCCGTGCCCGTGTTGTGTTGGAGAGATGCGACAATGGATGCGAGGGCTTGCAAGTGAGGTTGCCAATCACTCACGCCGCCTCGAAATAGTTCAAAGCTGATCAAGGAGACTCCACACGCCAGGATTTCAATTTGCCCTGATCTATCATTGAAGCCTCCACCTTGCTGGGTCTGCTGTAAGAAAAGTTGCAAGTCACGCAGAGCATTGGTATGATACAGGGTCAACTCCTCAAACTTATCACCTTCGCCATGGAAGCGTAGAGTGAACTGGTGGAGGGCACTCAAACTCAGTGCTGCATGATACAGCGGCCCGGTCCTGATCAGCAACCACAACAGCCAGCCACGATTGAGATCACGGGGGTGAAAGCGAAACTGCAGTGGGAAGACGTGGTCGAAGTAGTGCATCAACAGTTCTGCATCGCGGGAACTCAGCAGGCTTGCCCCAGGTGAGGCCATGCTCTGCTCTAGAGGATTCCATGTCAAGGGGACCCTCTTTGTAGGTGACTGGGCGTGTGCTTGAGTTTTAAGCCCTGTCGGCCCCTGTAGTGACTCGGTCGCACGAGACCGTGCTCGGTGTGCCTCAGAGACATCGCCGACGTCTCCAGTACCACTACTCGTGAGACACCTGTCACCTGCAAGAGTCGACTGAGGCAGGCCTCTCTTTTTCAACTTGAAGTTCCTGTTGATAGCACGCTTAATCTTATTGCGATATTCCTGCTCTCGTGGACCGCTGTCTAACCACTCTGGCCTGTCGTATCCGTGACACTGGACGTTTCGCGAGGTGCAGGCTCGACAATAAGGCCGCGTTTCATCGCATTTCTTATGTCGGACCCTGCAAGTCCAGCAACCCTGGGTGCTTCGACTCATCGAACACGAGAGAGATGAGGGCGAACGCCGACGTGGATCGATTCAGAGAGGGTTCAGACGCTGGTGGAATCAAAGGGGTGGGTCGGCGGGCCTCTCACCAGCCACGAGGCTATCGAGGACCTGAATTATCTCAAGCCTGAAATGTGAATGCGAATCTTGCTCTATGAGGCTTTGGCCCAATGCATTGTTGACGATGCCAGATATCGATGGTTGGGAAGGTAGAAACCTTTTTAAGGTGCAAGACACCGAGCGGGGAATGCCGCCGTTTATTAGTGAGCTACAGAAGTAGTATCCGTACAAGAGGTACTGTAGAAACAGGACACTCGTACTTAAAAGGACGTTTGGCAGATATCAAACAGATAGTCTCATCTTATGTACGTCCTTCGTCGGCGCCCGCTCCGTACTACACCCTCCTGGCGATTGCAACGTCGTCCCATATTCTTAAACCGTCCAATTCGATCATGGTATCATCCTCGTGCAAGAATTCCATAGTAACAAATGAAAAATAAGACACTTTTTCCACCACTGACATGCAGTACCTGGTTCAGAAACTTTGGATCCTGGAGTCGACACATTCCACGGCGAAATCTTTCGCCTTCCATCCTCACAGGAGAATTACGCCTCCACCTCCTGAAAATCAAATTCGTCATCGACCGGAATGGTGATGCCACGGTACGTCTCCCTAAGATCGAGATTGTCACCAGTCGCTGTTGAGCCGTTGTGACTTCCTGCAGCACTAAACAAAAAGTCGTCACCGCTGGTCAGAGATTCCTCGGAAAAGCTAAGCAGGCTTTGCGGTACAGGTGCTTTCGCCGTCAAGTCTATACCAGACAAGCTCCATGCATCAGGTGTCCATTCGTTGCTAGTTGACTGATAGAGCGGCTGTCCGTTTGCGGTCATATCCGCATAAAGTGCCGAGTTGTTGTCGAAATTGGTGAGTAGCTGATCCCAGCTTGCGTCGGCTATAGTTGGGATGGACGGTTGTTGTTTCTTTGGCGGGAGCATTGTGCTAGATGAAGTTCTTGTCTGGAAATCACCATATTCGTCACCTAGAGGCAGATAATCCAAGTTGATGGCCGGCGTGTCGATGGTTCTGCAATTCGTCAACTGGTTCGGCGATGCCGTATTCATCGGTAGCACTGGAGCGGATTGAGTTGACGAGAGGCTGACAGTGCTGGCAGCGCGATGTACAGCGCTCAGAGCTGGAGGTCCATTCGCCGATCCAGTTGAACGTCGGGGAATTTCCTCCGATTTTGATTTGGTGCCGAAACTCGACCATCTTGAGGCGAGTGCCTGCAACTGCTTTCTCGTGGACTTGGGTTTCATCTCTAAGGGAGTAGGCCTGAACGAGTTTGGCCGTTGTGCCGCGTTGTCCATCTCCAAATTCTTTGGCGATGGCTCCAGTCGGCCTTCGATGGAGGTGAGCGAAGTCGCCATCTTCTGAAACTCCGTTGCCGCTACCGGGTCTTCGTTGGTGAGCATGGTAATAGAAAGAGTCAGTGATTTCTGGTTGTCCTTGATAAGTTTGCTGTCGTCGTCCAGGTCAATTGACTGCCACAGGATGGAAATTCCGGAGATCAGTAGAATATCAGCCTTGTTCAGCGGGAACGTATAGTTCATGCGCCGCTCCAACAAGAGATCCACGATCTGCAAAACATGCTTTCCAGCAGCTGCCAGAACAATATTGGCTGCGGACGCAGCACTGCCCGAACCATGGCAGAGCAGTGGTCGGTGGATTAGGGTCCGCGTGTAGAAATATCCCATGGACTGTGAAACAGTTAGAAGGTAATGAGACCTCACGAGGAATATGCACTCACCAATAAAGGTGACCTGCAGCTGATCATGTTTGTAGCTGGCTTATCATTGCAAAAGCGTAAGCGGAGATGTTCAGGAAGTTCTTCTGACCACTGGTCGAGTTCATCGGAGATCGCATGTAGTCTGTTCAGGGATAATTGATAGCTTGCTTTAGCAGGATATAGGTGATCTAGGACCTTGGACAAGATCTTGGTCAAGCGGAAAAATGCTAGCGCACTGGAAATCTTGGTAAGTTCGCCTGGCAGGGCAGGGGTAAAGCCTTGTGCGGTGAGGTTTTCATCGTCGACATCGGCGGGAAACTCTGTGCTAATGTCACTATCACGTAGTAACATTGGGGTGCCAGTAGTGGCAGAGATAAACCTAGGAACACGTCAGTCCGAGTGTACGGGCAGACAGGAAAGTAAAATCATACTTGTCGAGGACGTATTGGCACCAGAAGACCTTCTTTCTCGTTTCGGCCTCTAGAGGCGACAAATTATGATACTTGTGAATCTGATGGAGACCCAGCTCGTGGCACATGGTCACTGCAATGCCCCGATGACGGGCGAGATGAGTATAGTCCGCTCGCAACAGATAACAAATTTGGGCTAGGACATGGCATTGCAGAGTTGAAAGTGAGGCGACAGATGATGTCGAATAAAGAGCTTTACGCCATTGAGCCTCGAAAGACGGTGTGTTCTTTTTCGGAGTCGTGATATTTGAAAGTGCCGAAATCTCGAAGATTAGGAAGAGCTGGGCCAGCGCCTGCTTGTTGCTGTGCCAGTTGCTTGACTCGGGGTTGGCCAGGTACTGTTCATATATGCGAAGGAAGGTAGGTCGATGGAGAACTGGCAACAACGGTTGCCATTCTTGGAAGAAGATATTGATGTATTGATCGGAGAGGATTCTAGGAGGGATTTTCGGTCCAGGGTTCACAGTCTGGCGAGTCGGTTGTAGGACTTTCTGCAGGTTTGAAGTAGAAAATCCTCTGGTCTGTCCCCCAGCTTCTTGCACCTTTTGATCAAAAGCCTCGAGGAGAGAGAGCGTGGTGGAAGAGCCGGTCGAGGTGGCTCTCGGTTGCACAGGTGCCGGTATCTCGACGTGCAACACTTCTTCTCTGACCGACTCCACTTCAGCTTTGACTTCGGCTGCATTCGCGGGCGAGAGAGACGCCGAACACTTTCGTGACGGAGGCGAGAAGTTGTGGATTCGAGAAAGCATGTCAATCTTCTCGTCCTTCTCATCTAGCAAGTCCTTGAGCTCGCGCACTTCGGCCTCGAGGCTTCGGACACGGTCTTCTAGAGACTCTGTGTATCCTCTTGGGAACGCCCGGCGGCTCAACTTGTCGCTGGTCTTGCACTCGAACCCGACATTGGTACATTGGGTGCACCGAGGTCGTACGCCGTCACACCTGATCTTCTTACTGCGACACCTATCACATGCTTGTGCAATCCTACTCTGTGCAGTGCTCCCCACTCGGATCATCTTCATCGGGAGTATCCCGGGCATGATGGATAATGTGGACTAGGTTGATAGACAATCCCTTCTAGCTGCGGCATAAACCTAGAGGGTGCCCGTCGGTCTGTTTCTGGGATGCGACGAGAGGAGGTAAAAAGGTCTGAGATGTAAAGGGTTGCTGCGGCGGATGTCCAAAGTCGAAGAGAGGGCTGAGAAAAAAGAATCACAGCACAAGGTCTCGAGAGCACCGGGTGGCGAGAGGTTGACTAGGACAGTTATGCGACTCAAGACGGCAGACGACTTGGGTTGTTCGTAAGACAGGCTAGGGCGTGATGGAGAGTGTGATGAACGGCGTCCCGAACATTCAAGGACGGATGGGACAAGGATGCACTTGTTGAATTGAGACTATGCGACGAACAAGACCGTGGCTCTGGGGAAGGGACATTGTGGATAGTGGAGGAATGATGGGTGATGGGTGATTGCGGGCTGCGAGCCTGGGGTGAGGAGGGATGCACTTCGGGGGTGTGGTTAGCGATGGAGGGGCTTAGGGGGCTTAGGGGGCTTAGGGGCTGAGGAGCTAAGGAGGCTGCCAGGCTCAGGCTCTGGGGCGAATCTCGCACAACTCGCCCTAAACAAACGGGAGCCGCACTGGGAGCCGCACCTTCAACCTACATTACCACACTTCCCGGCTCCTGTGGCCCATGTTCACAGAGATAGAGTTCGACTTTCCCCTTGGTGCTCTTTCTCGTTTCTTCTTCCCAGCTGGCAGGTGGGTTATGGGTTCCATTACCCCGCAAAAGCGGCAGGGTACACTCGAATCAGGCCCGCGATGTCACCTTCGGATCGAGTGTCTCGACACAGACAACGCGCTTCATGGAGGCTCCAGCCTATCGCAGCTGCAAGTGACCGACAACGCTTCGACGATTCGACACTAAGATACTTCCATCGACCCGAGCTTCGACCGTCCAGCCAGTGCAGGAGACATCCCCCAGCACCCTCCCACATCATCGCCTACCCTTGTTTGATGGCTACCTCATCCACGATGGCATGACGACTAGCCAGCATTCCACATGTTTCGAGCTCGTTCGCTTAATACAATGCAGCCCTGTAGAACCACTCTATCCAGCTGCTTGCTTTTTACCCCGTTCTATCGGATTCAAAAAGAGGAGGTTCAGAAAGCCAGTTTGCGGATTGAGGTCGGAGGTGTCCTATGTTCCTTCAACAAGGCTTGGTCCGACTCTGGTAAGCCATAGGGACCGGGAGCCGGGAATCAGGAAACGGCATGCATTGATGATTGGAAGCTTGTCAGCTGTCAGTCCATCAATTCGTATTGATTTTGCGGGCTCAGACCACCTAGAGCAAATGCCTCCGAACGGATCCGCACTGGCAACCACCGTATGTTAAATCCCCTTGGCGACAAAATGCGCTACAACTACATACCTACTCATGAGAAATCGTCTTCTGGGTATTTTCCTGTGGGGTCTACGCCACTGTGCATCTGCCGCTCGAGATACGTGCGGACAGTTGCAGACTCAAGCAGTTTCGCCTTCTGTACGGTGTTAGCGGAATGCCATCAAGCCCCCGGGAAGTGGTCAGCTCACCTCCGCCTCCAGCGTCTCGTACGCCCTGGTCAACAGGTCGAGCTCCAGCCTCCGAAGTCTCCCGATCGTCTCATATACCGGGCGTCTAATATTGTGCTCGTCAGGAACGGTATCGTCGTAGTCTTCTTCACTTGCTGCGAGTTGCATCCCTTGATCTTCGACCCGTTGCTGAATCATGACAACAGCACGAAGAACGAATATATCCCGGAGATCATCTTGCAGCACCTTAGAATGCAGCGCGTCTGCACTTAGGCCGGCATCCCTCCACGAGGCCTTCAGCTCCGTGTCTCCGTCCACGGTCTTCTCCACTTGAAATTCTAGGCCATCTTCCTGGTTGACACATGCCCACCAGACGAACGTACTATCCCAGTGTACCTGGTCCGACTTGTCGACGTAGATGCGGACCCCTGGCGCTTCTTGGGCAAACCGGATCTTTGCCAATCGCAAAGGGTCGTCGGCTGGAATGGACAAACTGAGAAACATCTCCCTGGCGCTGCTCGCGTGCTCCTCTATAAAGCCGTACGAGAAGGCCATCTCACAGGCACCGCCGGCGCCGTACATGATGGTGACCTCGTCCCCATCATTGATGGACTTCGCGTCCCCATCATTGATGGACTTCGCGTCCCGAACAACAAGCAGGAATGTCCCTGCGTTGTCATCTACTTCGAACCGTGCATTATATCGATCGTCGGCGGCATGGTTTGCCATGTCGACCACAGGGACCATCCCTACGCCTGCTCCTCGCGGGAGTTCCATGGCCCGAGATCGATAGACGGCATCTGCAAGTTTCCAATCTCCGAGATCCAGACATCCCGTATGCTCATCCCACCAGACCCGCTGACACCAGGGGATGGTATCCGTAGCTTCCTTAAGGCGATCGAATTCTCGTTCAAGATTGATCGACTTCTGGTACAAGGCGTCAGCGAGAGTGGTTCCGGAGAGTAGTCCCCTTTCCTCCGGGGTATAGAATGTGGGCAGTGGGATGTCTTTTGGTAGGCACTGGACGTAATCGGCGAACGGGGTTTTCAATTTGAGACCAGGGTCTTGATTGTCGGGGCTATTGATCGTCATTTGATAGACGAGAAACAGGAGGACTGCCGTACGTGGAGTCTGGCACGAAATTCGACGGTTAGTCTGCTGCAGAGACACCCAACCTACCTTGTAGCAGGCATCAGGCACACCATTGAATCGCCCTCGACCTACCTGAAATAAAGAGGCAGCAGCCTCGATGAGTTCTTTCAGACGCGGGTCCGACTTTGCACATTGCGCTACCCGATCCTTGGACAGGACAAGGTCTAGAGGGACAGCAACAAGTGGTTCGCCTTCTCCATGGTGGGCTTTTGCTCGCAGTCCGCCTCCCTGGTCAACTCCATCTTCGGTGAAGATATGGGCTTCAATTGAAGTGTCAAAAAGCTCGACATTGTTGAAATGGGACCAAGCTTGTAGATTCTCGGCTGGCAACGAGGCCTGCCTCATACTCACAGATTCCCGAGGGGTCAAAGGCTGTATGGTTGCTCGGGCACTTGGTGAGGGTTGGGACTGAGCAGTAGTAGAACTCGAGTCTTGCTGGCACTGCAGGCGGCATCATCGGTCGCGGGAGTATCCATCTTGGCATCGCTGCAGCTTCCGACTCGGAGTCCTGCGCCAGAATCCCACTGTCACCCTCAACCAGTGATTTCTCCCTCCTTCACCTGCTCTATTTTTCGACGGCTCCTTGAGCAATGGGCTGAAGCTATTATTCACCCGTTGCAGCTCATGGCCATGTGCTCTCGCTCAGCACCGAACGTCACATGAGATCCCAGGGTACTTCATACTCGGATTTCAACTTCCAAGAGCTGCAATTTTGTGCCATCCAAATTCTACAATCGAGACCTGACGATCTTAGCATGGCTGCGCCAATGTGATGTTGAGCATCCATGACAGGTCTAGAGCATGTCCATGCGTTACATCAGAGTGGCGTGAATGCTGCTTGCGTTCCTTTGCGGAGGAAGCTTCAAGTTGAAGAGAAGAACGCGCAACCATTCACAATCTCGCCATACGTCGTTTGGACAGAGTTGCTGCGAAATGCACCACAGCGGAATTGACGCCGCGGCCGTTGACCTTTAGCGAGTGAGATGCTGTGTTTCTCCCTCTCTGTTCGATGGCTAGGAAGAGTACTGGCTGGTCACAGGACTAAAACAAATGCTAACCTGGGCCCGGGTTCTTGTGGAAGCGTTTCTTACTGCACGCCCGGAATGACAAGGTCTCGATTTGAGCAATCGTGCCAAACCAGCTGATACCGAGAGCCTAGATTGATGCGGTGCGCCGCTCTCCAATAGCCTCTCATGCGAATCATACTATTACCACAACCCCTCGATTTCAAGGATGCTTTCTTTCTTAGAGGGATGTGGGCTCGGAACAGGAAGACCAAGACTAGGAGAACCTTTCGGTCCCCATTTGTCTGCCGGTGAAACTTGGGCTGGGCCGTTGCCCGTTGATAACTTGGCTGACTGTTGCACTCGATTCTTGTCTCTCTGTCTCACTCAGTCACACAGACTTGCAGGCTTTCATGGGATCAGCATCAGCATCTGCAGGATGGAGGGTCTTCTTCCAGACTGCGAACCGGGTCATTTAGTCCAGTTATAGGCAGACTACGGAGTAAGGTAGGCTTGATATATTATGGTCAGCCTGTCAGTATAAGTTTGGTCTCCCGCAGAAGAGGAAGGTCTGCCGACGCAGCCTTGTCGCTCCACATACATCAATCAGTTCAGGACATCTTCTAGATGAGCTACTGGCTGGCCCTGACGGCTGGCTTGACTCTCTACTATCCTTGCCACCTCGCCGCACGATCTTGGGGGTCTTGTACCTTGTTAGCTAAGCCCGTGGCAGGCAAGGCTGGCTGGTGCTGCCAGCTACCAAGTTGGCGCTGACGGGACCTAGCTTTGGTACTGGATCTAGTAAGGGATATATCGTTGTTTAAAATGAAGACAAACTAAAGCTCGCTCTCGCTCTCGCTCTGGCTCCAGAGAGACGGTCTCGTATTCAACCGAGGTATCAATCAAAGACGAAATAGACTGATAATAGACTTGAGCAGCTTTGGAAGGAGGCCAGTGGAAGAGGAAGGAGATTTTAACGACGATTCGATCGATATCTGAAGCAATACATACTACTGTCACAATGGTAGAACAAACACAGGGATTTGAACATTCAGGTCATGCTTGGTCAAATCAGCGGAAACCTCCAAACACACAGACAGCAGCTTGCTATTGAATTTGGAAGACCCGTCATCATATTCTCGACTCTGCAACACACGGGGAAACATGACCAGCCGTCCCAATCTTTTCCGTGACCCTCCAATCCCCCATCAAGCTAGCTTGAACCCTGTTTACACATCGCTTTGAAAGAGGAAGTCTGTCGTCCTAAGCCGTGGGTCGAGAGGAAGACACGTGGCAACAGATAAATGTCATGCTGAAGTCCCGAGACCTCAGTCTCGAATATGACAGTCCAGTAGAACCGACCTGAACTCAGTCGAGGGTGACAGTGGGTCCTCGCGTAGTGCAACTGAACTCATCCGTCATCTCTTCCAAGAGATCTTCCCCCCCCAAAGCGATATCCAACCACTCGAGAACCATTGTCGATGTCAAAGGCTGGGTCCGTGCTCGGAAACAAAAAAAAAAAAGGCGATCTGAAGGAACCTGACGTCAACGCCGGCGTGATATGCAATTTGAACGGAACATGATCGTGTTCATATACTTGTGTTGTCCAACTAGCATATTAGCTAGAAATGACATAGGTGGCAGTGCCTGAAATAACTGAGACCTATAGCATCGTTAGTGAACGTTCCAGGACAAATCAAATAGGGGGTAACTCACAGTGCATCCATTTGAGTTGCATCCAGTAACACCGCAATATTGTCCGTTTGAGTATTTGCAAGTGCCAGATAGGTTGCCTTGGATCTCGACAGTGCCCTCGTACTGGGCATCCGTGGTAGGCGAGTTTTGGAAAATAGAGAGCCATGTGACACCCCCCTTAGCACCAATACCAAAGTTGATGGGAGCGTAGTTGCCCAATGGTGTACCGGGGGAACCCCATTGGCAAGCCTGTGACGCAGGGTATCCAATTGGGTTGAGGTAGTATTGAGCAGATGTTGACTTTCCTTGCCATGTATAGTATGTCGCGGCGTCGGGCACGGTCAAAGCCTCGGTCTCACCAGCTTGAAGCTCGACAGGGATGGTCTCTGATTCGGTGCCGGGGTAGTCGGTACGGCAAATCGCGACGACACCGCCTGCATTGTTGGTGGCCTGGACCCCTCCGACACCAGCAACACAGAGACTGCTAGAGAGACTAGGGTTCGTCAAATGAAGCTTTCCACCGCTGCAAGACAGACCACCAACTGATTGGCCAGTGGAACCTTGAGTGGAAGGCCATTGTGCCTTTTGATAGCCGGGAGGGCATGCGTATGAGCACATCATTCCCTCCGTGCAGGTTTCGCCCGAAACTCCAGTCACAATGTGATTTACAAAGCCACCAGCGATGGTGACAGCTTGCAAACCAGACCAGCCTCCTAACCCGAGGTAGTCAAGAGCGACGGCACCATAAGCAGAGGGAAACTCGCTGCAATCAAGCTCTCCATCAGGGAACGCCGCCGTGAGGCCGGTTGCGCCAGAAGAGCCAGACGAGGACCAGGATGAGGGTGAGGCCGACGCGGAAGGTGCTGCACTGGACTCTGCACTGGAGCTCGAGCCAGAGTCGCTAGGGCTGGCCCAAGCGGATGAAAATGATGCTGGGTAGAACTCGGCTGCCACAGAGCTAGAGGCTGGGGGAGATGTCGTAGTGGTTGTAGTAGGTTCGGCGGTAGTTGTAGGAGCCGCAGTGGTTGTGGGAATGCTGCTGCTGGTCGTGGCAGCAGCGGTAGAAGAGCAAACACCTGGATCTTGACCATCCACAAACTTCAGTTCGTTGTCCTGCAGACCGTCGCAGACTTCCTCAGGCGTGATTTCCTTGCCGTCAAGAAGGTAGACATAGGCAGTAGGGCCTGCAGCATAGGTGGTCAGGGTGACATCCCGTTGTTTGTGCTGGTGCAAGTGTCGGTGGGCATGGTTATGCGGTTGAGCCAGGGCAACAGTGGCCGCCGCCGTCAAGGCGAGGGAAGTGAGCTTCATGTCGACTGAATTGTTGGAATGATTGGACGCAACAGTCTATCAAAGACCGGCAGGTAGGTGTATCAACGAGTGTAGGTTACGTAGGACCGATGAACGCGATGCCGAACGAATCTGAAACCACGACCAGCGCGTTAGTTTTCTTTCTTTGTTGCCCAATATTTGCAGAGAAGAAAAGAAGTCAAGCAAGTAAGGAGTTCGAGGCCGTTCGCAGGGTCACAAGGACATACAAAGCCGAAGACTCATATGATCAGTGCTGGAATGTTGGGCGGGAGGCTGGAGAGCTCGGGAGCAGGAGAGCGATGTCGGTGCGCAGGTATATTCAGTTTGTTTTCTCAAAGGAATGGAACGAGAGAAAAGTCTCTCTGATAAAGAGCGGAAGCCGACAAAGGGCGGAAGAATAGACCACTTGTACGCAGCTGGGATACCTGGTGCAGTTGTGTTGATGATTGATGCAACAAGAGAGAAGGAAAAGGGAGGTAGGAGGTTCGGGGCGGACTCTGGGCATTTGGCTTGGGCGGCGCAGTCAGCGGCGGTCAGTAGCGGCGTTGTCCCTTGTTCTTTGCCTGCGTCCATTCTTCAGGAACAGGTAAAGTCTGCCCATGCCTGGGCCCCCTGGTCGCGTTCGCTGCCCGTCAAAGGCCCGCGCTTCACAACAAAGAAATTGCACTCCACTCTCGATCGCCAACTAAACAATGCCGGACCCAGCCTGACCCCCCGTCATTGGCCTTGATCCTCTCTCAGACAAAGGCGCGTGAAAAAACAAGGAACTCCTGAGTCCTAGCCTTGCTCAGACCGACGAGGGTCGCCGATGCAACTATGCAACTACGCAGAGAGGAACTCACACCAACCGAGAGTGCTCTCCAGGGAAGTGAGCTACAGTCCTGTGATTGTGGAGGTGGCCACGCAACTGATCAGCTCTTAATCAGTAGGTAATTAGCCTACTAGGCCACGCAATCCCCGTTGCTATCATTGCAGCATCGAATTCTGATCGAGATCGTGTGTTCAGACAAACCATGTCTTAGCTGCGGACAGGGAATGGTTGATGGGCTCCCTGCGCTGTGATACTGTAGTGGCAACTGAAGGAAGAGGCACAAGAACAAAGCACACCTGACCTGCAATCGTTCTGATTTTACTCGCAAACGAAGCGCCCTACTCAAGGCCACACAGCAGCAGTTCTGATTGCCCTTGTGCAGAGGGTCCGATTGCAACTAGTACTTCATCATGCTGTACCACTCTTTTCCTTGCCAGTGAAGACCCTCATGTCTCGACCAGAAGTCAACGGCCATTCTTCGCCCTGGAAATCTCCCTAATTAGCATACTGTACGGATACTAGCAGTGCACTCACCAATCCCTACAATCATGATTCATGAGTCAAGGCGCCACTCCTGGCCGCTGGCCATGGACAGGGCAACGTCCTGAAGGGTTTCCAGCCTTTGAAAACTCCAAGAAGATCCAGAGGGAACATTGTGTCATGGTGGATGAGAATTGATCTGTGTGACCAGAGATATTCAAGCAAAGAACCGATTTTGCCCATATACTACGTAGTTACCGTGACCTCAAGCGGGCGCAGACCACTCATTTTTCGTCGACCTCATCATAGCTGTCAGATGCTTTGACTGCAGGCTGATTTCGTTGGTACGACACCACACGACGCGCGCTGGAGCACGCGTCCGGTAGCATACGCAACCTTTACTCCTGAAGCAACCAACGGCTTCGAACAATGATAAAGATACTCCGTACTGTCATCAGCGGCTGCGTCTCCTCCATTATTATTACGAGTCCCAAGCCACTCCGAGTCAGTGGCTTTTTCAAGCTGGAACCAGAACACGGGGCAAACAGCTGAGCAGGGTGCACTGAGCACAAGGTCTGGCGGGGCCAGACATCAAACATGACCTCAAGCCTGGCTCTGAGCAATGTCATTGGTCTCATCCCCTGAATTTGGGATCCTTGCCGGCCTGGCCCCCCGTCGATATCGATTATCACCAACCCTCCGAGTAGATTGGCACAACCTTAAAGCGACGCGGTCTCCAGCCCCTTCAATGGGGCGACTAGACGCTGGCTCCCCATAGGCCGCTGCGGTTGTTGTTCCACCGCTTGTCCTCCTGCAATTTGGCCAAAATGCATGCACTTTGGCTTTTTGCAGCCAACCTATGTCACATCAAATCTTGGACTAGCTGAATCTCGATGCCAGGAACAAGAAAGAATCCTAGTGGCTGGAGACAGCGCCAAAGGGGTCAGAGCGAGATAACCTTGTATCGCAAAACCCTCCGGGCTCTGACTTCATGATATTCTGTGGCGTCCACCGAAACTCAGATAGAAAAGGATATTATTTAGATCTTAAGTCTCCTCGTGCCGTGTTCTCCATAGTTGGTATAACGTTGCATGGATTTGGGCCTCGAGCCCAGTACTCCGTACCTGTCCTTGTTCAGACAATAGAGGGTGTTAGCAACCACTTTTTAACTTTATATACCTAACTTTAAAGACCTCGGCACCCTATAACGCTTATCTCTTTATAGAAAGATATAGTACGATAGCGCTATTATATTATATTATATTATAACGTATTTATCGTCTATACGGGACCTCCTAAGATTATTATAGCGCCGCGAAGATTAAGTACTTCTATTAAACGAGATACTTCTTAATCGATAATAGTCGTATACTAAACTATTTAATAACCTTATTACTCTTTCTAAGATAGATATAGTAATTAACGTGGATGATAAGCGAGCTGGCCAGATAAGCGAGCTGGCCACTCCAACCCGACCACCTCAACATAATCGGCCTATACTTAACCACCACACATTGAATTGTTTAGAATTACTCAGATTCCTCTTCCTCAGACGAAGTAATAACTACTTGACAGGTTCTGGAGTTATGCCCGACGTTGCCGCAGACACCACACCGCCGCGCGCGCGTTTCAGGCCTCTGACTTAAACCACTCTCCGACAACCTTTCCTGCTTTACTACGACCTGAATACGACTACGAGACTCTAGACGCTGTCCCTCCTCAAGCGTCATGCTCCCTCCAGCGCGTAGTTGCTTCTTTTTCGCGCGGCGACGGCGGCTAAGTAGTGCATTGTCCTCGCGTAGTGACTTAACCTCGGACTTCAATAACGCGATCTGATGCATAATTCCCGTCGCACCCTTCGTGAACTGGTCAATGGCCTTAAGAATCGGTGTCGGTGAGCTTCCTTGATGACCGGAGACTCGATTCTTGATGAAGGTGGACTGCGAGGTAGCCTCAGTTAGGTTATTAGGCGTCTTTGACACCCATACTTGGGTTGCCGCAATACTGGGTGCATCGGGTGTAGGTGTCCGTAGCTTCACATCCAGACGAGCAATCACACTTTCTGGGTCGTAAGGAACGAGCCCGGCCCCTCTAAATCCTCCCTGGACGTTTTGAACCGTCATTGTCTGCTGAAAAGCGGCCAAAAACGCGGGAAAGAAGTCCTCCTTCGAAATGTGGGTGGTACCGGCCCGGACTCTCTTCTCAATTTAACCATCGTACGCCCGTTTTAACGGGCCAAAACACCTAACGTCGAGAGGCTGGAGGATATGAGATGAATGAGGCGGCATACAGAGGGTAATAATATCGTGCTCCTTACAATAGAGCTCAAAATCGGTCGAGTGGTGGCTTTCGTGCCCGTCGAGCACTAAGAGACGATATTTACCCGTCGTTCGCGGTTTTGTGTGCTGATCAAAGTGCCGGATCCATTCCAGACCTCTCTCGTTCGTGGTCCAGCCGTTAGGAGACGTGGCGATAACCCAGTCAGGTGGGAGAGAGCTGTTTTGGTACCAGGTGGAGAGATGGTATTTACCCGAAACAATAATAAACGGCGGAACCGTCCAGCCCAGCGCGTTGACGCCCTGAATCACTGTCACCCATTCTCGATTGCCAGGCTGGACCAACTTCGCGCCCGAGCGCCTTTCGGCACTCGTCACGACCATGCTTGTCGAGATCATACCTATTAGAAACCCGGTCTCATCAAAATTGTAGATATCCGCGTCCACCACGCCATATTTTGCGACCATATTCTTTACGAGCGCGAACCACGCGCGAATCACGTCGGGATCTTCACATTAGGCCCTCTGATAGTCATACCGACGAAAGAAACGCGTCCGGAGCTCTGGTCGTCGCTTAACAAAGTTGGACGCCCATCGCTTTCCGACGGGCGGCGTGTCGCGCTCCGCCAGTAGTCGGTTAGCCATATCTTCCACACCACCGAGTCGGAGAGGGTGCGATCGCGCATCGAGGTCGAGAGTATACTGAACAATCGTGTCCTCTTCGAGGGAGGTCAGGTTTCGTGAGTTGGGTATGCTATCGTATCGAGATTGGGTACCCTTGAGTCGCGTACCCAGGGTAGAACGAGGGACCGAGTAGAGTTTAGCTGCCTCTCGAATACTTAGTTTTGGGTTTTTCTTGATAGCTTGTTGGGCAAGGATCAACTGACATTCATTTGAAGACATATTTAGCTTTGGTGGTAGAGTAATATCTATTCAAAGTTGATGGTCGTGATTTTGAGGGAAAGTGGCCAGCTCGCTTATCTGGCCAGCTCGCTTATCATCCACGTTACTATCTAAGATACGTCGACGGCGGATCGTTATCGTTAGATCCGATTAATAAGGAGATATCTATAGTTAACCTATTAATAGTACTTTATACGTTTAACGACTTCTCTACTATCTCTCTATTAGAATACGCCTATTTAAATGAATACTACTTACGACCTTAGGTATTAATTAGTAACCTTAGATACGGTAGAACCTATTAATCTCGCTATACTTAAAGGCTCTACTTAAAGGCTCTACTTAAAGGCTCTACTTAAAGGCTCTACCTTCTCTATCTAATTAATCTTAGACTTAAGGATTAAGACCTTCTCTTAACCCTTAAGATCTTAGTTAAAGTTTATAAGCGTAATAGGCCCGACGAGGGTGGTTGACTAATTATAAAGGCTATAAAGTAGGTATGTAAAGTTAAAAAGTGGTTGCTAACACCCTCTAATATGGATAGTAATCTTATCCTGGGCCCACCGGAAACGTATACCTCAGTGGAGAGCAAGAGAGCACGTGCGATTGGGAAGGCTTCTAGAGTCTAGACAACGAGATGTTGTTGCAGAAGCACTTACGATTTTGCCGTTAAGATATGCGGAGTCGATGTCGCTACCTCAAACGGCCAATCAATAGTACGGATACAATGAACGGCTGAAGCCCAAGGACAAGGTAGGGCTTCTTATTTCACTTCCGCGTCCACTGTTCTGCTTGCCTCAATCTCGCTGCGTACTGCTTAGTACACGTAGCCTCGAGTGTGTTTTCCCTCATCACACTGGCCGTTGAGGCGGAGAAACGCCGTCCAAACACCTTTAGAGGATAAAGAATCTCCAGTATCATAGTATGCCTTTCTGTCTATAAGGAAATTCTCGCCTCAAGGCAGGGGCCGAGTCCGGACGAACGGGAGAGCAGTCGCTAGAGCATGCCGAAAGTGCAGGGGCATATTGAGGTCGTCCATATACGCCCTTCAACGAGGGCAACGCGCTGGCAGAACATCCGAGTAGTTCTCCGGTTGTATGCAGCAGTCATCAACAAGGACTCGCAGGACAAATTCATGGTAGCCGTGCACACAGAGATGGCTAGGTTCTCATCCTGACCTGCCAGGGGCAGCTTCGTTTGGCATTATTGCACGGAGTCCATGGGACCATTGCTGCACCTGTTTCCAGGGCTCCCTTCGTGTCGTTCTTATACTCTGTGCCAAATATCATGACAAGGCTGCTGAATCCCAACATGATGAAAATCGGTCATTGCGGGTACCAGCATGAAGCTGCAAAGACAGTGACATACCAAAGGAAGTTGTAACAGCCGCCAACTGTCCTTGCTCGAAGGATAAAGACAGAATAATACATTTGGACGAAAACACCGTGCTTTTGCTCGGCTATTGCAACCGTGGGCACAGAGGACAGACAGGTTGAAGGATTGTAGTCGTGAAGCTGTTCGGTACATCGGTTGGAGGGACAGCTCGCCATGCATGGCATTCGCCAGTCTGCATAATCCCCCCGCTGAGGTCAGTTGGCAGCATCCTTAGACAGTCCCACAATGTGCCCATAAACATGAACGTCTTGCATCCACATATCACAACTTCGTGCTTCTGGATGCTCAGCCAATGTTGAATTGCGCCCGCGAACGATACTCTGGGACTTCATGGGTCCTGCAGGTAATCATGCAATAGCATCATCCTCACGCATGTTGCTACCGTTTCTTCTCATAACTCGTAGGCGCTATCGCCAGCACAACCGCAAAGCTTGTAACGATCAACGAACCAGCAATGAAGCCCACAATGAATATACTTCCACGGCTCGCAGGGAATTTCCCCCGTATGATCCAGTGTTGGGCCTCGAAGTAGCGGTGGAACCCGATGAACAAAACAATGATCGATATACCGAGAAATGTAGCCCCAAGAGGCTTGCCCACATGCCTGAGCTTTGTGGCAGTCGATTCGTCAAGAGCGGAGGCGCCGATTTCATCGCGCTTAGGAAAATTATGTCTGTTGGAATCGGGAGGTGGCAGGGAAAGAAGCTGGTCGAGCAATGTAGGCCCCAATGTTGGGGTAGAGAGAGCAGCGGATGCGGCGAGCTGCTGTAAATACGGCAGCAATTCGGCAGGGATAGATTGTCCGACAAATGGCGATAGCGGCATTTGTTCGTGAGTAAGAGAAAGGCTGGACGTCGACTGGTCCGGCCGACTAGCTATCGTGGTGTTGAGTCGAAACAGCTGTGTGATGGCAATCCCAATGCTTGCAAAAGCCAAGCTCGTTCGAAGCCAGGCTAGAAATGTCCTTTCCAATGCCAAATGATCCCTCGCCACCGATCCCTTGTTCTCTAGCGATACTGAACCATATTTCTGTACCAACTTCTTGAACCAGGATGGTTTATTCTCCTGTTTCGATGCCTCCTCTTCCTGTACAGGGCTATTTGCTGAGCGACTGGAAGGGTCAGACGCGGTATCCTCTGTATTGTAATGTCGCCCTGAGTTTCCATCCGCAGTGCGGATAGGAATAATTTCGTCCGAATGGCTAGGTGTACGACGATAGCTAGACATTGGATTTCGCGAATGAGCCCTGGTGCCCTCGGAGAATCGTATGCTGGACACCCTGTCGAGGGTGTTGGCCGGAAGCTCGGTTGATGGTCTGGAGGCTGCGGACTCGGAATAGGTGGACTGTTCTTCGGGGCCAACATTGCGCTCTTGACCATGGGAAGTCATGGCTACATATCCTTGGGCACCTAAACGCGATTCGCTCGGCTGGATCCGTTTCGCGATCTTCACAGTCAATCGCTGGACCGCATTTATGCTTTGGAGGAGCTTCGGCAGTCCAAAGGCAGTCTAGGAGGGGAGTCGGCGCCAACCATGGGGGTCTAGTGGAGGAGATTTAGGCGAATCTGGGAAAGATAGGTCATGCTTGGGAAAAAACGAGCTGGGGTGTAGATATTGTTCATACGCCCAAGGAATTGCGTGATTCAAGGTCAAGAAATCAGGTACTTTGAGTACTGTACTATTATTTAAGATCGACGACGGCTGTTAGCCGTTACCGAGTACCGTGGAGACGCGGGCGTCATTATTACTGTATCATTGGCGGTGGTGGCGGGCTCACATGCCGCGGGCTCACCATGGAGGGGCTCATGAGGCTAAGGAAGCTTGGAGACCAGCGCCGCAGGGTCTTGGGCTAAGGATGTTTCCTCCCGATGGACTACTAATCTTCGAGCACTAATTACTGGTTAACACCAGGTACCTCAGGTACGAGTATTCATTAGACTCGGAAGACAAATCCTCGCCTGAGCTAAGATAAGCTGCTACATACATGGTGGTAGAACTATGGAGTACTACTAGGTAGGTACCTACGCACTTGTCATGCCACTCCGACTTGCCCCCCAGCGACCACTGACCAGTGACCTCATGCAGCTGCTTGCGAGACAAATTCTAGACATCAACCCGTTACATGTGATTGTTGATCAATGAAACCAACCACCATCTCATCGGAATATGGCTTCTCAAAGTATTGCATCTAATGGCTCGACCGCCTCAGCCTCAGCCAGCATCGACAAGTCTAATGTACTCCCAAAGCTCATACCTCGATCACAGAGAAAGTCTTCCACTCCATCAACATCAGAATCTGCTCCTCAAACACCTCCGTTGCCTGAGCCTCCTCAACCCGACTCCATACATTTTACCACTCCGGTCAAGCGTATCCTCTCTTCCTCTGACCATGAGAAATTCATCAAGTCTCCGACTTATACCTTGATCCAAGCCTGGATATTTACGTTGTCAGACTGCGTTCGAGGACGGCCCATTTCCTCCGTTGACCATCAGCATTTGTCAAACCCAATCCGGCGCCTTGATGCTGTGCTCGATGTGGTTGAGAAGCTCATCGACCAGTACCCTCCTCTTGACACGGGATCGAGATTCGGGAATCCGGTATTTCGCAGTCTGCATAAGGCCATCGTAAGAGATGTTGAGAGAATCCATAAAGAGATGCTTGGTTTGGAGAATGAAGCGGCCATACAGGAGATCTCCGTCTATGTGATTCATTCCTTTGGCTCGGAGGAACGACTCGATTACGGCTCGGGCCACGAGTTGAATTTCATGATGTGGCTGCTGTGTCTCTACCAACTACGGCAGATTCGCCGCGAGGACTTCCCATCTCTGGTATTGCACACGTTCATGCGATACCTTAACTTGATGAGGAGGATTCAGAGTACATACTATCTCGAGCCGGCTGGCAGCCACGGTGTATGGGGACTCGATGACTACCATTTCCTACCATTTTTGTTTGGAGCGAGCCAGCTCATCGGGCACTCGTACATAACGCCGAAATCCATTCACAACAATGTCGTTTTGGACGAGGAAGGAGATAACTACATCTACCTCAATCAAGTGCGGTGGGTGGATAGTGTCAAGACGGTGAAAGGCCTCCGATGGCACAGCCCAATGCTTGACGACATCTCAGGCGCAAAAAGTTGGAAGAAGATCGAGGAAGGTATGAGGAAAATGTTTGTCAAAGAAGTGCTAGGCAAACTCCCCATCATGCAACACTTTCTCTTCGGGGGCCTTATTCCCGGGACAGGAGACATGGGCCAACTGGATCCCGAGACGATTCGACAGCAAGCGGAAAGGATGCAGCATGTGAAGGCGTACGGCCATGAACCTGACTACTGGGGCGACTGCTGCGGTATCAAAGTGCCGAGTACAGTTGCGGCAGGAGAGGAAATGCGCAAACGAATGGGTATGTCGGGCGCACTACGGCCGATACCTTTTGATTAGAAAACACCCGATAGCTGCAGCCAAACAGTCTCATCAGTAATATCTGGGCGTCGTGCAAGTCGCTGCCTTAATCTGCACGGCCACGAACAGACCGGTGTGTGGTCGGACAGCGGACGAATCAGAGCGTGACTGGAGCGGTGAGGGCCACCGTCGAGTGAGTTGGGGAAAAAGCCACAGGCTAGTGGGGTTCTTGAAGCTGCAACAAGCAGCGCGGATGTGAGCTCGTGTTCACCGTCTTCGTCTTCGTCTTCGAGGCCACACGGTGCCGGATGACAAACATCGGCACTTGGGGTGAGTTCAGCAGTGGGGAGACCATATGAGAGAAGGGTGAAAGAAGGAAGAATAAGGTGGCATGCTGCCCAGCGATCAGAGAGCCCGGGCGCCCCCTGGCCGTGGAGCATTCTGCCTTGTGGCCGCGGCCGCTGGGCATTGAATCCTAACTGCAGCCTGAGGCAATCATTGCCCAGGCCTTGGATTGGAGAGCCAGTAGCATGTGCGAGCTGACAGCCGATGCCCTGTTTTGAGGCCTTGGGGGCCCCTCACCCGCAGCAAGCCCAAACTAGGAGACGGAAGAAGGAGGAGCAGAGGAGCAGAAGAAGACAAGAGAAGACGATAACAGAGGATTGATTGATCAAGCTGCAATCGGCCTGCCAGTGCCAGTGCCAGTGCCAGTCTGATGTACTCCGTACAGTATTGCGCACCGTCCTTTGTGGTGGTCGGGATGGTTCGCATTGCTGCCTCTGTGCCCCTCCTTCGCACGCCGCGCACCTGAGTTTGGTTCGTGTAAGTGACAGTGACTCCACGGCCAGCCAGCTTCCCAGCTTCCACTGCACGCCAACTTCACTGTCTCTTCTTGTTCTACCGCACGGGAAGCATCAAAGACAGGCAGTGTCCGGTTGGTTTGTTTAGGCCCCAGGGCCTAGTAAGTCACTTGATCCGCTCAGTATCACCTCACTGCGCAACCGAGACATCTACATTCCACCTCATCTCTCCTCCGCTACCACTACGATCCGATCTATAACCCGACCCTCTACCCCTCCATCACCCATAGCCTTTCAGCCTCTTTCGATCTCTTTGACCTACCTCATCGTCTTGACTGTCGTGACCTGTGTCAACATGGGCAAGACACTGAAGAAACAAATCATGTCCCATCCTTCTCCTACTGGTCTGCCAAAGGCACCGGTGGTCTATCTCAATGACCCAGCTGCCGACATGCCTCATGCCAGTTCCCTGCGCGACATGATCCCGTGCTCACAGGTTGTCTTCCTGTCCAAAATCGACATGCCAGCGGACTGTCCCGTTCAGGGTCGCAACATGGTCGCCTCCGACATTCGCAACGGCACCTACGATCGTAACGTGGCCATCGTCAACGAGAACTTTGCGGATTCACAGATCAAAGAAAAGATCGACACCGCACACCTTCTCCGCGAAGAGTCGATCAAACATGGTTGCAACTTTGTCACTGTGAACCTGTATCTCGCCCATGGCACTCCCACCGAGGACAAGAGCAAATGGGGCACCAATCATCTCGACTTCTGCATTGGTGGCATGAGCGCGCAGCAAGTTGCCGAGCGTGTCTACCGCTGGCTCTGTAAGGACTAGAATGCCTCTTTGGTGTTTTGCATCGGAACTGACTCTTGATATAGTCAAAGTCTTCTCTGTCCACGAAAGCCTCCATCTGATCCCAGAAAGCGAAATGCTGGCCATCGACGCCCAAGCCTTCCCGGACTATCGATACTGTCCAATCAGCGAGAGCAAGAGCCATCCAAAAGACGCAAAGCTCCAATTCGTTACTCTTGTTCTCAGCAAGGCTGTTGTTGGACCAGAACAAAAGTTGACATGGACTGTTGCAGACAAAACCGGTGTGGTGCGTCTCCTGACTATGCTGTCTCCTCATACTTGTCGCTTTCTTTCCTCGCGAAGAGCCGGTCGACAACAAAGACCTACAGACTGACTTCTAAGCAGGCCACTTTCTACTTCCAATACCGTGGACCCTCCTCTCAGTACACCTGGGACTGGGTTTTGGCACTCCAGCCAGGCGAACGCCGAGCACTTCCCCGCATGCCGATGGTGGAAATCAAAGAACGCAAGACCGTGCGTGTAATCAAAGCACCCTTCCGCACCGTCGGCTTTGTTGTTGAAGGCGTAGGCCTAGCAGTCCGTTCTGTCGGTCAAGGTGTCGTGAAGCTCGGCGAGTTGGGCAGATTGGGCAAGAGTTCCGAGTGGGTTGCGAAAGAAGACGTGGTCAATGGCAAGAAGGTTGATTGGCCTGCGGTGTTTGCGAAGGAAGGGCGGGCCAAGGACGCCAAAATTGAGCAGGGATGCAAGTGTACCACGCCAAAGGTCTTCAACGAGAAAGGTGAGAAGGTCTGGAAGGACGACGACAGTACTGCCAGTACCACTGGGGGAGATGACGCCGTCGACGAGAAGGTCATCAAGGAGTTCTGCTGAACGAACAGACTACTCACCACGTCTTGTCGTTTGTCGGACTGCTTACATCCGACTGCTCTAGACGGCTGAGCAAGCATACCACACCGACAACAATGGGCTAGAGTGTGACTCTTCATGGCTCGGTTCACAGGTTCACAGATCAACCTGACATTCTTACGAATTCGAATTCGCTACACCCTCCCAAACACCATCGGAGGACGCATTGGTGAGCAACAATTGGCTTTCTTGCTTCCTTTTTCTTTGCTACGACGATGATCGACATCAGCACGAACGGTACGGGCGAGGCTGGCAAGCTTCAAGGACTGATGGAGACGGTGGACAAGGACCAGAAGTCACAGTGACAGGAGTTCCAGGCGGCGCCAGCTTCAGTTGCACTTCCTTACGTCCGGTCCCCATTTCCCAACAGGTAGCTCGGCCTACGTCTTAATGGAATGATTCAGTACGCATGAACCTGAGCCTGAGCCTTGCGATAGTCGAGTAGGATTGCTGCCTTGTGTCCGCCCTGCCACGCTATGCCCATGCTATCTGTGCCGGGTCCTGCCTTGCCTTGGTCCTTGTATTCTGCCTTGCAGAAGGAAGGAAGAAAGTCTCTCAAGCCGGCTGTCCTGTTCCCACTCAGGAATACACATACAGTGGTGCGGCATTGGAGCACAGGCTTGCTTCGTGCCCTACCTAGGCCACGCATGACCGCTGCATAGTGGCTACCTTTCCATCCTGGAACCAGAGCTACTTGTCCTGACGTGCTAGGTGTTTAGCTGAACAGTGTCGAATGTCGAATGTCGAATGTTGACTGTTGAACGGACTGGGCTGCCGCGGCTCAAAGTTCGCTCTCTTCCTCTTTGAATACTCACTCCCCATTCCCATCCCCATCCGCAGTGTCCAAGATCGTCCGGATCCTGCTTAATTATTAATCAGGGGCTCAGGCATCCATCAGACCGAACAGGCAACCCAGCTCCACCGGCACCGGCATTTGGAGCCAGAAGGCAAAAGGCAACAAACAACAACAGACTCCGTACTCGATATCTTCTTATCTAGGATGGATGGGGGGACAGGCAAACCGGTATTACATATCATTTATGTACAGCAGACATCAAATACATCCAATCCACTGTGCCGAGTACTAGTCAGTTTGGGACCCAGGCTCTACAGCTTCACCGGTCAGCCTCGCCTCGCTCTGCCTTACTTTGTCCTGTTTTGGCCCGCCTTGGCCCTGAGCCTTAGCCCTACAGTGCGGATGCATACGGAGTACATACAGTAACCCCACCTTTCTCGGGACTTACATACAGTAGATACTCCGTACAGTAGTATGTATCCGTCCCTAAGGTTGCCTTGCCCTAAGAGAAAGAGTGGCAAGGAAGGGGTGGGAACAAGAAGTAAGAAAGACTTACGGAGTACATACTGCACGGAGTACGGTTACGGAGTACCGACAGCAGATCTATAATAGGTACAGTACGGATACCTAACGGAGTACCTACCTCTAGGTCCCTGAGGTAGCCACATGCACCTAACATGGAGCTATGAGTATCTATCACCCGGTACAATAGGGCAATAGGGCAATAGGGCAGAATTCAGGCTTACACTCCTAGACTCTGAGTCCCCGGGTAGGCTTAGGAGGCCTGCAGAGTGCCCCGACCGGTGACAAATTCAACCTTGTCCGCCCGTGCCCATTACTCCGGATCCGTACATATCTCCCAGATCAGGACTCCTCCGACACGACATGACATGGCACGCGGATGCAGAGACTGGCCGACAATGACATAGAGTAGGTTGACCAGGTTGACCAGGTAGGTAGTGTATGACGCTTATGGCAAATGTGAATGTGAATGGTCTCGGGGAGCAAGAAATAATACGGATAAACCAATATAAATATACACATACATGACAGGCACTTGATGCGATCAGGTACATAAACAAGCAAGTACTGGCTGTCAGTAATGCAAAACAGCCTCCCCTCCTCTCGACAACCGTCAACCGTATCGACCCAACACTGAACCCGCCACCTTGACCATCGCTGAACTCCCGTTAGACGGAATCCCTCATAGTCCATCGTTCCTTCGTTGTCGTTACCCCCGTCATATCGCTCCGTTGAAATCGTGAGCCGCATCTGTGCTGTGTTGTGTCATACCTCCCGTCTGGAGCGTTCCTGGTCACCAAATCCGGGTGACAATGCTCGCTCGATCAAAGGCAGAAGAAAGTCAACTGCAGCTTGGTCATGACTCCCGCTGACGCGCTTGTGACGCATGCAGAGCATAGCATTCCATTGCACCAATCCATACTGCTGGAAATAGGTCTGTAGAGCCTTGACTGGAACAAGTGGATAATGTAGTCACCTGCCGTGCCACCCCATAGGGAAATGCAGTAGGAAAAGACAAAAGGCACCCTCTGAGTGGGTTGGTGCAAATCATCTCTGTGGACGCGAGCCACAACGCCAGAGACGAATAGCAGATGAAATCATAAGCCGTGGCCGTTAGTGTTTTGTTGCTGTACTGGCTCAATGTCTCCGTGTGCTGTACGCAAATAGCGGAGCTCGGGAGACAACGTCGACACCTCCGACCCCAAATCCTGTTTGGTAAACGCCGTGCGATGCTGTCGAAGGTGGCTTGATGCTGACAGTACGTGGTATCGGTGAGTAGGTGTATGGTTCTGTTTTGGCCACTTCATAGCCGTGGGAAGCTCGAGACCCGTAAGAGCCGTACCCAGAGTCGTAAGGTTCGAAATGATCATAGGTCGTGTATGTGGTCGGAGCGGGTTTGTATTTTCGAGAAGATCGGGAGCTGGGGGTGCTTTCAAAACTCTCCTGGCTGTCGTGTCTGTGTCGTCGCACTGGTCGACGATTGCTTCCATGACCATGGTCGGGCACACTTCGTATTTCGATATGGAGCGGCCACTCCACCGTGTCTCCCCGTCGTGGCTGCCCATAGTACTCATCACGCTCACGGCGGTGATGGCTATCATCATGCTCGTACTCATGTGCGCCTCGGGCTCGACGAGAGGGAGAATAGAAGGCGGTAGATGCCTGGTCGGGTATGGCACACGCAGACATTGATTCTCGAATCGTCTGCAAATCTGAATTTCTCTCCACATGCTCTTCCAGCCAGGCGTCGTCTGCCTTTTTTCTGGAAGGGCTGTGCCATTCTTTCTCTCGCTTCAAGGGCACTGCCCATGGACTTATGCCTCCCCCAATTTCCAAGGGCGAAAGTACACGGTCGTCAGAGGACTCGCTGGCGCCTTCCGTTCGAGCATGTCTAGAGATCTCTTGTGCATGACGACCTCTGCCTTCCCGGCCCCGGGTCACTCCATCGCCGCCTAGTTTACAGGTACGGCAATCACCTTCCCGAGGGTAATGGTACCGCTCCAGGCCTTGACAGTGCGATGAGTGGCACTCAACAGTGGTCTTGAACTCGCATCCACATCCGTACGAGGTTTTAGTACGTACGCACATGACTCTGACAGGACAAGAAGCGCTGGAAAATGAGGCTGAAGCCTTTTGTTGATTGTCTTGATTGACGGATTGATGCTTGTGTCTGTGTTGCGTAGTGGAGAGTGTGTCAATGTCTTATGCCCTGACCGAAGATCCAGATTGTAGTACAGGGGGAACGCTTCACAAACAACAGGCACAGATCGATTGTTTCAGGCACAGGCGAGGCGGTGAGGTTTGTGTAATCTGTCTGGGACAAGACCGTATTCATGTACACTGCAAACTGTAGAAACTGTAGACAGGACACAAGCAGGTCACGCAAACAAAGGTCTCAAAAAGCTCTCGACCGTGACGTCGAGGTACATCCGAGACCAAATCCCGATTGCTACAGGGTGGTAATGCAATTCATGATGGCAGTTCCTGTCTCACGTTGTCGAAGGAAAGGAACGGCGGATCTTGATCAAAGACAGCAGAAAGGAAGGAGCTGGGCCGGTGACTTGCTCGTAGACGCGCGTGGAGTGATCAAGTTGTGATAGAAAGGATATCCCGTGATGGTGACCTTGAGATATTTGCCTTGGAGAGACAGGAGACAGAGGTCCAAGGTGGCGGGCCAGGTTACTTTGAGTCTTGCCCCCAACAGAACGTCCGGCAAGATGCATGGTGCAGATTCCTACCCATCTCGCCTCAGGTTCACACTTGCAAGGGCGACGGATGCGAGGGAAAATGCATGGCTCGAATGAATGAGATGTTGCACTTCTGGGCGTGGAGCCCAGGTGCAGAGACGGCGCCGACTAGAAGCCCATCTTCAGCGTATCTGGACCGGTGTTTGGACCAGCGCAGGCACCTCGGGCGCCGGGGGGCGGCCCTGGACGCCCGAAAAAACAGGGGAAATGGTCCAGTGTGAGAGATGGTCGGCTAACGGCCGCAGATGAGTGGCCAGGACGAGGAAATGCCGCCCTGTCACAGGCGGTTTCACTGTCGGTATGCACGCCCCATTGCTTTGTGGTCTTCACTCCCTGTTCGGTGGCTTCCCTTAGGTGAGGTGTGGTTAGCACGTTTTGCCTCTTTGATATGCGCTACCTTGTTTGTTGACGCAGAGTTGCTCTCCACTGCGGCAATAGTCAACATTGGACGGTGATGCTGATCTTGGGGCTACGAATTGGGACTGCATGCAGAGGGGAAAGTCCAGTTGTAAGAGCTGCTCAGTCGTGACCTGGCAAGCCTGGAACTACCCCTTGATAGCTGCAACTGTCGTCATTTGCAGCCGGCAGAATCCACGTAACACCGAGCCATTGGATTGGATTGTACACTTGTGTGTTAATGCTGACCGAGCTTGGTTTCTAACATGATGCAGCAGCCCAGCAGCCCAGCAGTCGGTCTCGTGCGGTCTGGCTGGCTTTAAAGAGAGGATCGTCGAGGGAGGAGGACTAGGAGTGGTTTAATCATCGATACAACGGACGCAGACGCAGACGGCAACGGCTGCCACGGCTTCGGTTCGGTTCGGTTATGCTGGAAGAAGCAAAAGGGACGGTAAGCACCGACACTGACGGCGACAGCAACCTTCGATTGCTTCCACTGTCCGAACTAAGAGAAGTCGAGCAACCAGTCAGTCAAGGACTGACAGACACGCTCTTCTCACACAACAGTACTCCGTACACCCACTCGGTCTGTACAATGGATGTTGATAGGTCAAAGGGCGTGTTTCCACGGATGCGACGGCCACCTGGGCAGAAGCCCAAACTCTGTTTCGACCACTTGGGATCCGATGAGTGTCGAGACCATGTGCAAGAGATGGGCTGGTGAGAAGGGCCGAGGAACCTTCGTGGTTCGTGCGAGAGATGCACGGAAGAATCATTCGAGCAGATGAGGGCCTGAGTCTCTGTCCTGAGAATGACAGGATGCTGGTAGACGATGAAAATTGGCAGCTTTGTTCTGGGTACCTAAGTACTGGGTAAAGGCAGACTGTGGTTGTATTTTCCAGGTGAAAGGATACACGTAACTGCAACTGCAACTGCAACTGCGGCCGTCCTTAACTGCGTCTTTAAACACTTCCTCCTGTCTACTCAATCTTCCGTTACCAGCTAATCTAGCACTATCATACACCACTTTTGCATCTGGTCACCATTTCTCTCAGCCATCAAACGATGTATCACGTACGAGCCAACGATCCTCCACCGAGATCTTTCCCGCCGGGCTACATGGCACCCATAGCAGTTCAGTCACTTAGAAAGTGCACCCGATGGACATATGGCGTCCCATATTTGCTGCAAGTGCGAAGTGATACAAAAGAGGCACAAGCTGAGCGCTAAGGAGCCTACATAAGTGATTGTCCAGTTCATGGGCATAGACCGCAGGAGTCCTCCTCAGCCAATACATATCCTTACCTGACCCCTGCCTCCGTCCGTTATGCGAGGTCAACTCTCAGCTTCAGCTTCAGCCTCAGGACTGCCGACAATACACACGCGTTGGGTAGGCAGCAATGACAACGAAGCAGCCTCCATCTCGCCTTCTACGCCGTCTGAGTTGACCTTTCTCACCCCGGACATTCTAGATTTAAATTGACATGTTTACTTCCTCACTCCTTTCCACCTTGCTTTTGGTCGGTAGAGCCTGGGCACTCCCGATCGGCGGTGCTGTCGACTCCAGTTACGATGCATGGGCCACGGCATTGTCTGATGTCGGTCCTTTGATCTTACTCATCGGGGAGCGCAGTACCAAACAGCTGCTCCGAGATGTCAGGAGTGTCGCCGGTGCCTTCAGCCTCGCCGGTGCCTTCAGCCTCGCCGCTGCACCACTTGGCCCGGTCTCCATTGTCACCAGTCTGCTACGAATGTCTGGCTCTGATCGAATCCGCTCCTTCTTGGGTTACGAGCAAGAATCTCGAAGTGTCGCTGCACTGGAGATGTCTCGGGTCAATTGCAATGCTGTCCACCCGGAATTGATTGAGGGATACTTGGTTCGGACAACCGCTGCAACGTCTGCGCTGCACGCAGGCGCCGTCGGGGTATCTGCCTTACAATCCACGTTGACTGCGGCGTCTATAGGGGATGTTGTGACCCAGTTGCTCGCCTGCCACTCTTATGAGGCGGCGAAAATCCGTTTGCGAGTCCCCAAGACAGATGCGAAGTTAAGGTGGTGCTCCCAGATTTTGATCGCCGACACCAGGAGAGATGGTTTGAAAGACCAACTATTTGAGATCCTTGCCGCTGCTTTACAGGTGAATCCGTCCCAGCAGGAGGCAGGAACATTCCGGAAGCAACTGAAGCATGCCCTGCATATCTCTGAGAGTCACCCCCAGAGCAGGGGAAAAGACCGAGGACATCAGGGTCTCTGAGCTTGGGGAAGACACCCTCTGCTTCGTCCTCACCTTTGATGCGATTTCTGAATACTGCACGGCCTATGTAACGTCCCGAAAGATCTCCCTGCTTATCGGCCTGGGCTCGGCACTGCTCATCGTGGGCCTCTACGTGGTCGAACTTCGATACAGCCGAAACTGGCAGATTTCCACCGGGTGGCTTCTTACCATACTGGGGTATCTCGGAATCGTCACATTCGTCACGCTGGCTGCCCGACATATTCAGCGTGCAAGCCACTCCATCCCGCTTCGATCGAAGAACACAAGGCTATCCCAACCCTGGCAAGATGGACTGGCGATAGCGGCACAATCCGACAGCAAAGCAGGCGCCGAGTTTCTGATTGCTGCAAATGGCGGAGCTCAGGCTTTCGAGGCCATATGGCTGAAGCCTCTCACTCCAGCGGCATGTATCAAAGCCGATGCGATCGGGATTTTCTTGACTCTTAGCTTTTTGTGTCATTACCTTGGCCTGCGATCTTCTTCATGGTGGTTAGGCGTCTGCGAACTAGCGATCTGTATCTCAGCTGCATTTGCTCGGAGCTTGACAAAGAGCCGGCCGACAAGGCTCCATCTACCGTCAGATCACAAATCTCATCCGAATGTGGACTGGCGGTGTTGCACTACTGGGCTCATCAACATCCCACACTCTAGCGAAGCGGAGGAAGCAACACGACCAGATCCACATCGACTTGATTTACGCATATACTCCTCTGATGACGGAGTCATGCTCCCGGCGCCTGCCGAGAGCATTGCCTGGCATTCTGCGGCCCTATGTGTGAAAGACCAATCCCTGCTATCCTGGGTCCTAGAGACCACCGGAATGAGGTTGAGTATCTGCAAAGGCCACAACGGAGCAGACAGACGTGCAATTGTTGTCTCTTTCTCTGCAGGGGTTCTATGTCAGGAAGGGCTTGCCTTGACAGACGTGAATACATGCGTGGCTTTCTCTTGCCAACTAAAAAGCCTTAGCACCCCAACTCCATGGCTTGCCCGGGCAATCATGAGACAACCTTCGTGGAAAGCTGATCGCGACATGTTCGCGGGAGTCACTGACACTATTGGGAAGGTCCACGTACCCTCATTAAGCTCACTCATGACCTGGTGGACGATGAGCGAATTGAGGAATGCTCCTCGGGACAATCAAGAAAACCTGCAGTGGGCGTTTCTGTTGCTTAACACATCCTTCTTTGCGCTTTTGCAATCTGCCTCCGCGTCCGATCCAGCGATCCTCCAGAATCTCGCAGGAATTCATGGCGCCACCGGGCCCAAGTCTGAGAGCGCAGCGTACATTTTTGTCGAGAGGATCAAGGACGAGCGCTTGAAGTCGTTGTCTCGAAGCTCAAGGAATCAGCCAGGGACTCTTGGGCCTTGACCGTGTTTGCTTGGACGAACTGAGCGACCTGATGCAGGGATGACTCTATCGGTATTGTTTCTAAGTACCCTGCCTCATAGTCTAGTGGGGTTGTGCAAGATCTTCGCTTCCTGGCCATCAGAAACCGTCCTTGACCCCGTTGGTACTTTCTTGCTGAAGTCTCTCATCATTCATCTTGTGCCACCAGAGATGTGTTTCATCTTCTGTCTCTTCAGCCTTCTCGTCCCACGGCTTGGGACTCAATATATAATGGATATTTTTCACCTGGTCATCCCGCCAGATGACGTCGTGCACACCTTTCCACCGAAGCGTCTTCAATGCGTTGTAGATATAGGGCAAGCCCACCCAGCGTCCATGAAACCGGTCACCTAGTAGACTCTGATCGGCGAAGTCGTAAGCAGAGGTTATGTCGCCATTCTGCATAGCTTCAAGAATCTTGTCATACGTCCCTTGACTGGGATTGCACACAACAAGCCCCCCATTAGGACAAGCAATGCCCGCGGTGGGCGAGGGACCGATGGTTTGCGCCTCATCAGGAGTAGTGTGTTGAGTTGTGAAAGCACAGTTCTCCGGTACCCAGTGTGTAGGGTAGTGTGGTTTCTTCAGAGGATTACATGCACAGGCATGACTGGCCGCATATACTCTGTTTCCGTCGCCATTCAACTCAGGCGCATCCAACTCCATTTCCATCAGCTCATCCATGTTCTGGAGCACCATCATGTCACTGTCCAGTTGCACTACCCGGTCATACTCGGTGAGACTGAATGGAGTGAGCTTACTCCAACAGTCGTAGAATCGCGGGTCGTTGGCATAGTCCTTGGAGACTGAGGGGAGAAGGTACAGGATCTTTTGGGCTGGAATTTCTCTTTTTCGAAGAGCTTCGAGTCCTTCGGGAGGGAATGTGTCGGTGTACAGCGCAACGAGAGGATACTTTGAGCCCGCCTTTTTCAGGGAGTAGTCAAGAGTTAGGAGCCCAGACAGATACTGGGTGTTGGTGATGAGTGTGGTCCAGACTCTATTCGGCGCTCCCTTCTGCTCCTGCGGTGTCGGCATCGTGCTGTCGGCGAGGAATCCCTGCGATAAAAGTGCTGGAGGGAAAAGCTCAGTCTTTCCCTGGCGGCGGACTCGTGCATATGGAGTACAGACCTGGCCTGGCGCGATCCGTTGGCAGTGAGTGGCACGGATTAGATTAGTCGCCGACTCGCTGTCAGGTACCAAATAAAACGGGCCGATGCTTATCTAAGAGAGATTCAAAGGCATACCAGGCACCTACCAGGGCATAAGGCACTGGCGGATCGGGGAGTCTAGTTGGACCCCGGACGACCTTCAGGCCCCTCCGTCAAACTGCCCGCAGCCCACAGGTAGAGATACTCTGTACTCCGTACATCTCCAACTTCCTATTTCCTTTGATATACAGGTGTCTAGGGGTCGTTCCGATGGTTGAGACGAGACTGTTGGCCCGCCTGGTTTATTAGTCGGTACGGTCACCGTATGGGTGGAATATGTCGGCCAGGTTGAGCAGGTGAGTTTTCTGCCTTCCATCACGATGGGACTTTCATGTATCCATGCCAACAAATTCGCAGTTCTCGAGATGACGCTGTTGCCGGAGGCTCGTCCCCTGTCACACACCAGACTCACAACGATGGTAGTCAGAAAGTGGCCACAAAGTCCGTTGTCAGCAATTACAAAGGATTCGTGGCAGGAGTCTTCTCCGGCATTGCGAAACTGTCGGTCGGCCATCCTTTTGATACGATAAAGGTTCGATTGCAGACCGCCGAAAAGAAAAGGTTCAATGGACCGCTGGACTGCTTGCTGCAGACACTAAGAAAAGAAGGCGCAAGAGGACTTTATAAAGGCGCAACGCCGCCGTTGCTGGGATGGATGGCTATGGATTCGGTCATGCTGGGCAGCTTGACGCTCTACAGACGGCTGCTGCATGAGAACGTCTTCACGAACCCGATGTTGCGGCCGACAAAGTCTGCCGCAGAATTGGCAAAGGAGAAACTGCCTACAGTCGGCCATGGAATCGCTGGGATTATGGCAGGCTCTACGGTCTCGTTCATTGCCGCCCCGGTCGAGCACGTCAAGGCCAGACTACAGATTCAATATGCCGCCCATAAGAAAGACAGGCTGTATAGTGGACCGATTGACTGCACCAAGAAGATCTTCAAGACGCATGGGATTCGTGGCGTATACCACGGCCTTTGCGCAACGCTGATATTCCGCTCGTTCTTTTTCTTCTGGTGGGGAAGCTACGATATCATTACCCGGGCTTTCCAGAGGCGCACTTCCCTTTCCACTCCTGCAATCAATTTTTGGGCAGGCGGACTGTCGGCCCAAATTTTCTGGCTGACTTCTTATCCCTCGGACGTCATCAAGCAGAGGATCATGACGGATCCGCTCGGTGGCGCGCTGAATGATGGGACTCCCCGTTTTCGACACTGGAAAGATGCTGCTGTTACGGTATACACAGAATCTGGCTGGAGGGGATACTGGAGAGGCTTTCTGCCCTGTTTTCTACGGGCGTTTCCCGCAAATGCGATGGCGTTGCTGGCATTCGAAGGCGTGATGAGGGCCTTGCCGGACTAAAGTGAACGGCCAAATGGGCCGATGTGATATCCCGGGAGGTTTTAGCAACAATGACTCTATCCATGTCGTGATACCCCCTTGACTATTTGTTGTTTGTGATAACTGATGTTTGTGGCCTTTTCAGGCTCGGCCAGGTTAAAGTTTGGGTCAGTGCAGGCTGGTGACTGTTTCCTTCCACCATTCTCAGCTCGTTGACCGGATTTCATCTTGCTAGACTTGCGCGTGCGATTAACCATGTACCTGCTCTCGACGCTGTGGCCTAGGCTGGCCTGTCAAGGCGGCATGTAAGGGTCCGGCACTGACACTTGTGACTGCCTACCGCTGTATCTATATCTCTCACTTTCCTCGACGCTTACTACTCATCTCATACTTTAAGCTAGGGTAGATGTACTGTACTACCTCACTACTTGGTCGGACGTCATATCATCACCGTGGACAGATTGCCATAAGGCAGAAATCAGCCACGATTCACCGCGCTCCCAGACATTCACAGCCTTGCCAAGCCTTGCTAAAATTTCCACTATAAATTCTTACTCTCCCATCCTCGTCACCACCGGCACCACCACGCAACCATGTCCAACACCATGGCCATGACGGAGTCTCCAAAGGCCATCCTCCATACACTAGTCAATGCCGATGGGTCTGCCACATACACCGCGGCCAACAACGGCTGTCAGATCATCGCCGGCGTCAACTATCCCGTCGAGGTGCCATACCGAAGCGATGAGATTCCAGAATCTACGTTTATTCAAGTCAATCTGAGACCACACAATGGGGTGGGCATGGTTAAGGAGCGACATGTAGAGGAACTCATCATGCGGACGCTGCAGACTGTTGTCCTAGGCGATGAAACCCCTAGAACGATGCTTCAGATCACCCTGCAAGTGGTGAGTGTCGAGAGCGACGAAAGCCTGCCCGGAGGGGTGAAAGGGGGCGGGCAAGGTGAGACATATCTCGACGTCCTCACCTCCGCCTTGAATGCTAGTATCCTTGGCTGCCTGGACGCTGGCGTGCAAATGAAGGCGGTCGCAGGAGCAGCACTGGTGGGAATCAGTCAAGATGGACGATTGATTGCCGGGCCTAGTGTCGTGCAACGGAAGAAGTGCACCTCGTTGCACGTGTTTGCGTTCACCAGTGACGGCAAGACCGTGTTGATGGAGAGTGAAGGCAAATGCAGTGTGGGCGACTGGAAGCAAGCTCAACAAGTTGCCAGGTCGGCTGTGCTGGGAACTGTCAACAAACAGCACAACGGAGACGTTGCTATGAACGGAACGAATACTTCGTCGGAATACTCAGGTCTCGGCGTGCTTGATGTGATCAGAAAAGCACTGGAAGCCCGGGTGATTAAGGATGGAGGCCAGCGACACGAGTCACAGGACTGAACATGTTACGGTTTTGTGTGAAAGCTGAAACCCGTCAACACAGTCACAAAATGGGCGGCTGACTGGCACCAGACAGTGGTGAGGTGCCGGGGTGGAGCGTCGGGGGCTCCTTAGACAGGCTTACATAGGCCTGAGGCCTCCTAAGCCCCTAAGCCCTTTTCCACCAGGGACGCCGAGCATTTGGACGAGGACAGGGGGCAGTTTAGGCGATTAGCACGGGGTCGGGGGCGCTGTGAGATGGTGCCGCAGTGGCTGGCAGAGGCATTTCTGTGGTTGACCCACGCCTAAGAGCCCACCGTCCGTCTCCACGTGCCTGTCTCAGACTCTCAGGGCTTAGGGGCTCGGTACCAGTCACCAACCGACTCCTGCTTCTGCTTTTTCCAGGGGACATGTGCTTGGATCTACCTCCTGCGTACGGAGTATGTATCCTGAATGTACCCCGTACACAAGCCACGGCTAAGGGGTGCTGGCCGATACAGCGTGGCCTAGGCATTTAAATCATGGCCTCCAGCCCATCGCCCAGCAGGGAAGAAGAGAGTCCTCTCAATGCAGCACTTACAGGTCACTCACTGGTGACATCTATCTACCACATCAACCTTTTGACGAGACTCGATCTTCTGTTCAATTAGCCGGTGGCCGGACCGTTGAGTCTTACGGAGTACGAGTACAAAGTATCTACATCGTCATACCTACCTAGGCAGCCTAGGTACAGAAGGAAGTCGGTTTCCCGTTAACTCCGGTGCCTGGCATCACTGATCGAGTGATTCCACCCGCCCCCACGCCTGTGCCTGTGCCTGTGCCTGTGCCTGTCTGTGCCTGCGCCTACACACAGGGTCACTAAGCTGCCGACTGGTACTCCGTACTGCTGCTGTTCTGTTCTTTCGGCTGCAACAGACCTCGGACTCCGAACTCCGGGTTTGGCCTTTTGGTCGTCCCAACACCAATGGCCACCACTCGAACCGATCCGACCACCACTCCCGCTACCGCTGCCGCCGCCGTCAATTCGAACTTGATCACCAATTCCAGCTTATCCTCTCCCACTACATCCGAAGCGACTAGTTCCAGCAACTTCTCTCCTCCGACTCCTGCACTACTTGATGCCTCTTGTTCGCCCTTCTCCCATGGTATGACCACCTCCAATTCAAAGGTCACATTGGGGGAGGGTATCCTGCGCCAATATGCCCAGAATCTAGACCCCCTACATACCGATGACCACACTCACGCTGTTCACGATATTCCCACGTCACACACCAACCCTCCTGTCGATGAGACAGTGCTGACTTCCGTCGACGGGCCTGGCTTCAGTCTTGTGAAGGCCCCCCTCCTCGATCCTCTGCGCGGCTCCTACATCGCCCACCATCCAACCGTCCCAGTACCGAAACCTTTGCAATTACCAAAGTCCATTCTCTCCCACCGGAAGAACGCAAGATCAATAGACATCCCCAGACAAACTATACTGAAGGCATTGGTTTCTCGACGACCCAGTATCGGGTCCAACGCCGCTTCCATGGCCACAAACCCCGTCAAGAATACCGCCGGTGGCGATGGAGAGTTAGAGCAGCAGAACAACCTCTCTCCGTTGTCGTGTCCAACAGCAACCTTTACAGCCTTGCAACCCAGCACCCTTTCAGGCCATTCTCCCATTTCAACGAGTTTCCTCCGTTCACCCTGCTTTTTCCACCAGCGGTTCGAAGGGGTCGTGGATCTCCAGAAAGTATTGGAGGAGATGGCGGATGATGACTACTCACATTCGAGGCTGATGCAGACCGCAACAGGGGTGCGGGAAGTTTCCAAACAATTACAGCGCAAACCGCTTAAGCGCGCGGTGCGAAACGTTATGATCGTGACCAAAGCCCGCGACAATAGCTTGGTTTACCTGACGCGCGACCTCGCCGAGTGGCTACTTTCCACACCTCGGTATGGCAGTGATCTGGGCGTCAATGTTTATGTCGACGCCAAGCTGCGAAATTCAAAACGATTTGATGCTGCCGGGCTCGTGAGAAAGGAAACACGGTTTCAGCACATGCTGAAATATTGGACCCCGGATCTGTGCTGGTCATCGCCGGAGAAGTTCGATCTTGTGCTGACCCTGGGTGGTGACGGCACTGTATTGTTCACGTCCTGGCTGTTCCAGAGGGTGGTCCCGCCCGTCCTGTCTTTCTCCCTCGGCAGTTTGGGTTTCTTGACGAATTTTGAATTTGATAAATATAAAGAACATCTCGATCGCGTCATGGGCGATTCTGGTATGCGCGTCAATCTGCGAATGCGCTTTACCTGTACGGTTTGGAGAATAGACCGCTCGCCCGGTGCTGCGAAGGGCGCAGTGGAGGAGGGCGAGCAATTTGAAGTGTTGAATGAGCTGGTCATCGACCGCGGTCCTTCAGCCTACGTTTCGAATCTGGAGCTCTATGGTGACGACGAGCTTCTCACCATCGTCCAGGCGGACGGGTGTATCTTTTCCACGCCGACAGGGTCTACCGCTTATTCTCTGTCGGCAGGAGGGTCCTTGATACACCCATCCATTCCTGCCATCTTGCTGACACCGATATGTCCTCACACTCTCTCATTTCGTCCTATGGTGCTCTCCGACACTCTCGCACTGCGGATAGCTGTCCCTCACAAGTCTCGGTCGTCCGCTTATTGTTCCTTTGACGGGAAAGGCCGCATCGAGCTCAAACAAGGCGACTATGTGACTCTGGAAGCATCCCAGTACCCATTCCCCACCGTTATGACCGGTACCAACGAATGGGTAGAAAGTGTTCAGCGAGCTTTGAGGTGGAATGTCAGAGGGGCTGTCCAGAAGGGTTGGGATGATGGGGCTGATGAAGATAGTCCCCATGTGGAAGAAAAATGGGATATTGACATGGATGCCGGTCCTTTCAGTGGCACCGACAGCGGCATCGGTCCAAGTGAGGACGGGGACAATGCTGCAAGTCCCATGAGACCGCAGCTGAGTATGTTGACGATGTGATGGTAGATGGTTTGCTTTTCGATACACAGCGCCGTCAGATCTTGAATGTGCACAATGACCTCCATTTTGAGCTTCCTTCTTTTTGGTAAGCCTTGCGCACAGTGTCTATATGCCTCTCTGCTTTGTCGATGCCGTTAGTGAGTCGTGTGCTCTGTAAGGCCGTTGGGTGTTGTGCTTCTGGTCTGTGATACTAACACATGTCAAAGGATCTGAACACGAGGAGCTGTTCCAGTAAAGACTCACGATTCTGCCGGCACTTTATCACTAACGACCACTTCGACGAGGACGACCCCGAGCAAGGGGATTAAATCGAGGAGGATTTCGCCCTCGACAACCTCAACCCTCACGACCGTGTCGTGGAAAAAGCATCTTCGTGGTGGCTTCGGTCACCTGGAGCAGGCTCGGGTCGAGGTCGACGCCCTTGAGGGCCGTCTCCTGCAGAAGTAACTACTACTACGAGTACAGCTGGAGGCCCTCTCGAGCAACCCCGGCCACTTCCCTCGAGATCTGGAGTTTCCCCCACAACTGGCGAAACGCCGAGCGAATCCTGTCCTTCCACTCAAAGGGCCGACGTGTTACGCCACAAAGATTCATTATGGGCAGCAATGCAAAGAGATGGATTGAAGAACAATGTTTAGAGCTGCCTGAGGCTTTCAGAAATGGTATTGCCATTGTTGGCCGCGGTGAGGGCGCCAGGGACATTGGTGGCATTCATGTTAGATGTGCGGAGAGGTCTTGTCACAAGTATATCGCTAATATCAGAACTTAACGAATCGTCACTGTCTTCTGGGAGGGTGAATGTTGCAACGAGGCCTGTTGTCGCCCCAGCTAAGGTACGAGGGAGAAGAGCGGCACGGCCATGGTGAGTTGGACGAGATGTATCTGGTCTCTGCTGAGCTTCAACACCCTGCGCACGAGAATTGGTTGAGGAGGCCATCTTGAGCGGTGACGACACCAAGACGGGTGAAAATTGATGGGAGCCCTGCGGGGGCGGAATACATCAATTTAAAGCTCGTGTTCTCTTTCCATTCCGTCGTTTTGCTTGTTCGTAAATTTTCTCCGTCCCGTGATGTGGCCCAAATCAAATGGGCGAACAAACAACGATAGCAGGAATGTCCGAAACCATAGTTCCAGCTCATGCTCAGCCTCGCCTCGTTTCGCAGGCTGAAGAGACGGCGAGGCTGAAATTGGTCGATGACGCTGATTGGTCAGCATAGCCTCTGCCAAGAACGTCAAAAGTTCAACTTGAAGTTCAAGTTCGCCTGCGTGAAGTGTGAAAGCATCGAATCATATGTTGCACGATCTTCTTTCAATCAACCTCTACACCAGTCATACTAGTACTCGATTTAAACGCCAAAATGGCCGAGGGCGGCATTGATCGAAATGCAGATGGTGAGTGCACCACGCAATACGACACGATACCTTGCTAATCCAAACCGCAGAGCGAATGGAGTTTTCCACCTCGAAAGAGGTGACGGTTGCCCCGACCTTTGAGGACATGCATCTCAAGGAAAATCTCCTCCGTGGAATCTATGCCTACGGCTACGAGTCACCGTCCGCTGTTCAATCACGCGCAATCGTTCAAATATGCAAGGGAAGAGACACCATTGCACAAGCCCAGTCAGGTACCGGCAAAACCGCCACCTTTTCCATCAGTATTCTACAGGTCATCGAGACCTCAGTTCGCGAGACACAAGGTACGTACAGGCCACGCCGTCTCCGAAAGATCGGGGCTGACTTGTTGCAGCACTGGTACTGTCACCCACGCGCGAGTTGGCGACGCAGATTCAGAGCGTCATCATGGCCTTAGGAGACTACATGAACGTCCAGTGTCATGCCTGCATCGGTGGAACAAATGTGGGCGAAGATATCAGAAAACTCGACTATGGACAACACGTCGTTTCCGGCACTCCAGGCCGGGTGGCAGATATGATTCGACGACGAAACCTCCGCACTCGAAACATCAAGATGCTGGTCCTCGATGAGGCCGACGAGCTCCTCAACCGTGGATTCCGAGAACAGATTTACGACGTCTACCGTTACCTCCCACCTGCGACGCAAGTCGTGGTCGTCTCCGCAACCCTACCATACGATGTGCTTGACATGACCACAAAATTCATGACCGATCCTGTCCGGATTCTCGTCAAGCGTGACGAATTGACCCTCGAAGGATTGAAACAATACTTTATTGCGGTTGAAAAGGAGGAATGGAAATTCGATACGCTCTGCGATCTTTACGACACCCTCACAATCACCCAGGCTGTGATTTTCTGTAATACTAGGCGCAAGGTTGATTGGCTGACGGATAAAATGCGCGAGGCCAACTTCACCGTCAGCAGCATGCATGGCGAGATGCCGCAAAAGGAACGCGACAGCATTATGTCTGACTTCCGTCAAGGCAATAGTCGGGTTCTGATCAGCACCGACGTGTGGGCTCGAGGGATTGACGTTCAACAAGTTAGTCTGGTCATCAATTACGACTTGCCCAGCAACCGTGAGAATTATATCCATCGAATCGGCCGGAGTGGTCGGTTTGGCCGTAAGGGTGTTGCGATCAACTTCGTGACCAGCGAAGATGTGCGGATCCTTCGCGACATCGAACTTTACTACTCCACGCAGATTGACGAGATGCCCATGAACGTCGCTGATTTGTTGACTTGAGGCGACTTGCGGCACAGTCATACCAAATCTAACTACTGAGGCTTGTTCAAAAAGCGTTTGCTAAAACGAGTATCTTTCAAAACCTCGCCTTCTTTTGACGAGGTGATCATTGTGATTGCGCCGACCTACAGCATGCTGCGAATTGGTCTCAATAAATCCCCGGGCGTCAGGAGCCATGACAGTTTCGGGATCAGTCATCTTGTCACCCGATGCCGACATCTTGCGGCTCTCTTGCAGAAGGCATTGCATTGCTGGCTCGAATTCTTCCGTTTGTGGTTGCGCTTCCTAACCGCGACATCTGACACGGGGGTGGACAGTGAAGGGTTGCGACAGGGACCGGCGTCGTATCGCTTGTAGCGTTGTATCCCGACTTCCGGGACAATAAGGATGGAAATGGGCTGAAATCCATAATTGTGGGTGTTCCCTGTATCCGTACTTAACATTCCTCGGTCATCAGAACTAACAGTTGTCCAGAATGCTCGATGCCAAATTGATGACTTGTTATACCGCAATCTCGAACCCCTGGATGATCTCCAAGTATTTCATTTCCCACTCTAGCCTCTCGAACCCTGAATCAGTCCTACAGCCCGGACCTTCACTTTCCAGCCAATTCTGGCCACCAAAAGCGGAAGACTATTGTTCGACCTTGCAACTCGACATCAGGAGAAATCCTCTCTATCTCGTCTCCAAGCACACCTTATCAAGACGTTCCCGCACCAGATCAAGGCTGCGCAACACCAGAGAAAAGATCTACCTAGACTTCATTCCACGGTCTGGTGGGTTGCCGGCACCATAGGCTTTGAATTTCCGGGGCGAACTCGGATGCCTCGTTGAATAGCGCTTGGCTCGTCCATTGATCTCCGCCTGTACTACGGTGCAATGAATGCGTGATGTGGAATGCAGACAGACCACCAGACGCTACCTAAGGTACGGATACCTTGACCTTAGATCAACAAGATCCGACGCCCCATCCATCAACGAACGGGCTCCCACTCACTCGCTCCCTCCCTCCCTTGAGCACTCGGTTGATGCTTCCTGTGCACTCTGGCTCTCGAAGCACGGGGCGGAAAGATGTTTCGTATGGACGACTTCATTCTTACCATTTCTAGCCTCATCATGTGATCTTGATCTGGATCTCCTCTTCTCTTCTCTTCTCTTCTCTTCTCTTCTCTTCTCTTCTTTTCTCTTCTGTATTTGCACTGGGCCGTGATAGGGCAAGGGGAATCCGACTCCCAACTCCAATCCCGATATTGATATTGATCCCCCCTGCCAAGACTCGGCCTTGCACAGTACATGTACCTAGTATTACTGCTACTATCTTTACTACTGCCCACTGTGATGCCAGTCAGGATTTGGAAGTTTACTTGGCTTGCATTTCATTCCTATGCTTGATTATCGATCTTGAGACTCGACATGGCAACTACAGTATGCCATTGTCCGAAGTTCCCCATCTCCTGGGTCGTTGAATCGAGCGCATGACTTTCAACAAAGACCAGATATGCCAGATCTGGTTGTGCCGTTATCCAACGGCACTGGCACCCACTTACAAACCCCCGATGTCTTTTTGGTTGTTTAAAAGAAAGAAGGCCGAGAACGGGCTGGAACAGATTTCTCTCTTTGCGACATCTCGACAACCCGCTGTTCCCAGCTGGTCCGTGGGGTACCTCTCTTGTTTGAACCAGTGTGAGAACCACGTCATCGAGTACGGAACATTTCAATTGTCAATTGTCGATGGCTTCGTATCTCTCAGCTCTCTTTATTCCTTCTCACTTGGCTCTCGCTCCTCCTTGATATACGAGGTAAATGTGGTACTGGACTCGATTATGGCTTGCTGTAATGAGCGGCCGCTGCGGACTAAGCCGACGCATGCTTCGACACTGATGCCCAGAATGGGACCCAAGACGTGGCGAAGCAGATCTTGAAGGATGCGCTCCTCTCGGCGTAACCCTTGTTCTTGCGTCTCTAGAACCGCTATTCTTTCTTGGAGCTCGGTGATGCGCGTCTGCGTGCCAACCTCGCGAGTCTGGAACTCTTGGAGATGTTGGGAAAGGAGGCGTTCTTGGTCGGCCAGGCCCTCATTCTTCTTCCTCTCTTGGGCGAGGTTTGTCGAGGCAGAAACTTCAAGTGCACGAATGTTGTCTTTGAGTTCGCAGACGATCGCAGTATGGTGTTCGGCGAATTCCGACATCAGCCCTGTGTAGCTTTGGTGCCGCGCTAGGATGTCCTTGATCTTGGCTTCGGCGTCTAACGTAGGCGAAGTGGTCGCTGTAATTCGATGTTGAGTGGCCGAGTGCGACAAGGTCATGATTGTGTCTCCATCTTGTGTATCTGACATGGCGGAAGCTGTGGTACCCGTCATAGATGTTGCTGCTGCTGTGCTTGACGAACCAAGTCCAGTAGAAGCAGGAGAGGCGTTTGGAGGAGGATTCTGAGAATTGTCATGGGGCGTGGATTGTTCTAACCTGGACACTGTACTTGCAGCCCGGCTCGTCATGTTCGGCGGCCTAGTAGTCTTGGCTGCCTGGCTACTTCGTGGTCTCTCATATCCTTCTCTTTCGGCGGAAGCAGCATCTCGGTACTGGGGCTTGTAGGCACTAGATGACTCTGACTGTGCTCTGGTGGAGGTTCGCTGTCGCTTGTTGGCTTCTGGTGCTGCTGCTGCAGTTCTCTTGCGATTCCGGACGCTAGACTCGCCACCCCAGTTATGCATAGTGGACTCGAAAAGGGCATCCATCTGGTGGTATCTGCGAGAGTATAGATGTCAGATCAGCCACGAACATTCGGTAGCGCCAGCTTCTGCGACGCTCTAGGGGGTACTTACGAGTAGGAGATGGATGCTTTGAGTCCGATTTTGTGACGTAGCCATCCTCGAAACGTTTCTGCGTGACTTATCTGGCGGAATTCAAACAGAATTCGGCGCCCAGTGGAAGGGCCTTTTCGTTGGCTGGTGGCATGGTCATGCTGTTTCCGCCAGGGCAGATGTAAGCACATCCTTCGTGGACCGTTGTTCTCCACAGAAATGGTGGAGATTTGCTGGACAGCTATGGTGCAGCTGGCTTCTTCATGGATGATGTTGAAAGAGGAGGCTGCATTGACCCATCGCACATGGCTAGAAGCATAAGCCTTACTGGTGTCAGTGTCATAGTACCATGCAGATCCCAGAGTCATCTTGAAGGTATAGTAGGCGAGGTCGCAACCGATCTGCAAAAGGGATGATGAAAGGGAAGAGGACCCAGTGCCGGCAGTCTGGTCAAGGGTGGGCTTCTAGAAGCCTTGCGCTGTCTTCGTCGATCTCAGGCTGGACTCATCTACACAGTGTGTATGTGCAAGGAGTGAGGTGAAGGAAATGCAACGAAGTTGAAGATTCGGAATAGGTTGGATAGGTTAAGTGTAAGGAGTGACGAGACTCGTGTCTTGTTCACCCGAAATCGCGAGAGAGAAGTGACAGAAAGTGAAGGGACTGATGCGACCGTCGAAGCTGATGTTGGTCAGATGGATGGTAAGCAGGAATGAAGCAAAATAGTGCTTGCACCGGGCGGTGTCTTGCCGTCTCCCTCATGGACCACTCCAAGGTCAAGTTCGGCTGTACCTTGTATTGTGCCTCGACGATCCGGCCAGGTTTCTCCCCTTCAACTTCGAGCTCCTCCTCCAAACGAGAGTTGTGGCTTCGGTAGGACTTCGAACTCGCCGTTTGTGCCTGACTCCAATGCAGGCTCACAAGTTGCTGGGCCTTGGATCTCTCCTCGCGTCTTGTCTGCCAACGCCCAGTGGGAAGCCTCGGATCGTAGGAGCGGGTGGATGAGATGAGCAAGAGAAGGCGAAGCAGACCCTCTGTATGCCAGTCCTGTCTACACTCGTCATCTTTCAGGACAGCGTAACTTTCTCTTCACTCCTTTAAAATACTTCCGAGAATCCTCCCGAGCACACCTCTGACACGACGGTCATTGCCCATCCTCAATGTAGTCATGATCAAGGCAACACTGGAAGCAAAGACGGCCTGCTCTCGATAGATGTATCGTTTGTCATATACGCGAGGAAGAATTGTGGCCAACGCCCTTGGGGCGACAAAGAAGGCGATGTCTTGTCGTCGACTGGGTCTTTCCAAAAGAATCGTCCATCCGCACGCAAGACAACCTGCCAAAACACACAACCCCGAATCCCACATCTGTGCTGTCACGGTCTTGTACGAGAATAATCTTGGGCCAAGTCGTGTACGTGCAAGACATACGGCATAATAAAACAGGGCGACAAACGCTGCCAGAAAAGACGACGACCTCGCTGCAGATTTCAGGCCATCCAGGGCTGCCTTGCTGTTTCGGGAGCGGAGCCGGGCCAGGACCTGCAGAGGGACATATATCTCCATTGCAAACTTCCAGCTGCGCCAGAATCGTGAGATTGCGTGGACTTCGCAACTCGTACTGGTCCCGCAATGATAGACCTCGCAGGGCACGGGGATTGTCTTGGTAGGATCGCCATATTCTTCTGGCAGGCCCAAGTCTCGGCACATCCCACCCAGAAACGGCGCTTGCCCAGTATCTTGTCCATAGACAAAATCACCCTGGCGAGCCCGTCGGAGGAGCTCGATGAGACGGCCGTCTACATCAGCCGCCTTGGAGATCCAGCGGTTGTACGCTCGAGGCAGACGTTCAGGCGAGTAGAACCACGACCACATGATGATGGCGGCCGAAGCGGCAAATATCGAGGGATCAGCACTCTTGCGCAGGAAGTTGGCCAGAGTCGGACTCCTGTGTTCCAGATGCCATGGCTTGGAACGGGTTCGTGTCCAGACGGTGATAACAGCAATGTCCAAAGCGCGACAGAAAACAAACAAGGTAAAATCTATGGTCTTCCCCGCGTAATGAGGATGGTACGATGGTGGAGGGAGATGGTGTTGGTTCGGTGACTCGAAATTACTCATGTCGACCGAGGCAGCCGTGCGAGATTTGGCCCGTTTACGAACCCAAGCCTCGTCCCGATTGAGCAGGCCAAAGGCCAGCCAGGCTGAAAGGAAAGAACAAACGAAGTGGATACGATGGTTGAGATTGCCGCTGAGCCGGATGCCCTTGGTCTTGCTGAGGGCGAAAAGGAGCCATTGAAGGAGGCTGCGGGCGAGACGAGGGAGTACGGTTGCACCTGCGACGATGAGTGCGGCGGCGGCGGGGAAGCGATTGACCTGGGTGGAGGTTTTGAGGATGTTGTAGAGGATGGCGAGGTTCTCTTGCGCAGATCGGTGTTTCTTCCCCAGCGTCTTCAGGAAATCGAGTAGCCTGGGGCCGGTGACGGTGAGATATCCCAAGGCATAGGCCCGAAGGAGCGGCTTGAGCGGACGGAGGTCAACACGTGGGGTCGCCTCCATTGTCAGTGACCAGCCCCGGGCTTGGGCCCTCATCGGCGCCTACCAGATGCCAGGTCGAGAGAGACCGTCAGACCGTCGAGAATGTGGTAGAGTGTTGCATCCTAGGATAGATGGGGAGCATATGCAGTGCAGTGGGGGTTGGTGTTGAAGGAGGCATCGACGCGTGGTTGACCTCACTCGCGCACTTCTCACTCGCGCACCCTCCTGACAAAGTTCAAGTTGCCTGCACCTGCATCTGTGCTTGGCCGTACAAGATACTCACGCCGCTTTAACACTACCTGCGCTTTCGCCATCCCCGAGGCTTGCTGGAGCTTTTTCGTGTACGGATATCAAGAACATGAGGAACCGGACCTCGAAGAACCCTCGTTCCGCGACATGCATCGCTGCCATCAGCGTGTTCTCTGTTTCCTATTTCTAGCCTCCGCCGAAAAGTATGGGCGACCGCGGCAACCGAAACCAGCCCGTTGTTCATATTTGTTTCAAGCATCGCTGCAAGGCTCATCTCTCCGGGGTAGTCGCAAGCAGTTTCATGTAAACACGCCTCGAGGCGCAAGGTCTTGCAAGACTTGCTCCCATCCCATCATACCTCACAATTCATCACCCAACCACAGCGACTGGGATTTTTGCTGCCGTCAGCCGTCGGTCACCCCTGGCCCATCTTGCAAGCCTCTGGTCAACCACCATAGCCGATGTGTCAAGAGTACATTAAACACATCCAGCACCTTCATTCACATCTCGCAGGCGCCGGTAGGGTGGCTGGGTCAAGAGGTCTGCAGTCTGCCGCTGTGTCAGATCCTCCAGCAGCCGCTTCGGCGGCTCGTTTTCTGCGATTTTGTTTCTGCCGACGTCTTCTTTCGGCCTTAATGTTCCGGTGGCTGTCTACATCAATGTCGACGCTATTGTCACTTTCGTTGCCGTCCTCGTTTCCGGTATCTGGTTTCTGCTCTGTAGCGAGGGTTAGTCAAGGACGACTGCTTCCATCTTCAGATCAACTAGCCTTGCCGGAGAGCCTCTGCTGGGCCGGCGATATCTATGGTCGGTCCCAGAAGTACGTTGAGGCGTTCTGCTTCGGTAATCGCACCCTGAAATAGCTGTGCGATCTTCTCCTTGTTGCACACAGTCCAGATCTCGACGTGTTGCTGGAGACGGTCCAGCGTATGAAACTCGGTAGGCATTTTTTCACGCAGTTGATGTTCTACCTGCGCCCATTTATGCGTGGTAGTTGTCTGGTCCCCCGAGAGTGCCTCCAGCCGATATTGATCTTGCAGCAGTCGGACTGCTTCTTTGCGCAGTTCTGGCATCTTGGACTGGGCAAGGTAATACCAGGCAGGCTTCATGCCGGTCGTCTTTTCTCTCCGATCCTGAATGATTTCGTGGAGTGGTCCGCATTGTTGATGCCTCTTCCGATCGGTAAGAGATTCCATCTCGGGTTCTCCGTGTGTTTGCCTGCCTTGCCTACCGTGTGCAATGCGTGCATGGATGCCAGATCAAGGGACGAGGTCATGGTTGCGGAAGACTAGGAACTACACAACAGGGACTGCTTGGAGGGACAGTGACGCGGCGAAGCGGCGAAATCTTCAATAGATAATGGCTTGCCGCAAACAGATTGATGGGAAAGCCTTGACAAAGCATAGGAAGAATAGAGAAAGAAACTGTTGTCGTTCACACTTCCCGCTGCCTTTAGACTCGGACAATCACCACTTTAACCTTACACAGTCCCGTCTTTATGTCTGACTCGAAGCATGTAATGTGACACATGGAGGCTCTTCTAGCAGTTGAGATGAAGTCAATGATCTTTGGCACTGACAATCATCTGGATTCTGGCCATCCTGTTGACCTTCCAGAGCTTACCCAGGTCGAGGAGATGTTGATTACTCGTGTCCACGCCTTTACTGAGATGCGACTAGTTCGTGATGTGCAGTATCGCTACAAAGAGTTTGACTAGTTTGACGACCAGTGCCTCCTGAAGAGCCTCGCACGAAGAGATCCAAAGAACCTCCTGCTGCCCAGTAGGAAAGACACTGTGATCGCATAACACACTGATACCAGGATCAAGGACTGAATAAGGGATGGAATAACCGAGTCAACATCGGTCATGGGTCATGTTCGAGCAGGCCATGACAGTTGTCTGACAGCCGACATTTATCCCAAAGTGCCACACATTGCAGGGGGTTCAACGTGTCAAGGCTGCTGTCAGACCCTGAATATCTTCTGATGCTTCCCCAGTTTAATGACGCAGCGCGTCTCCAGTGGTGTCCGCCATTAAGATGAAAAGGAGACAACTGATCGGCAAGCGACAACGACAGGTTGAATCAGATGTAAACAAGGGGAATTGCCTGTTGTCCAAGCCTCAAGCATGGCCAGTCACTTTGTTTCCGTCCAGACGTCGTAGATGAGAAGGAAAGCTGTCCTACCAGGGGATGCTGCGAGGTAGTCTATACGTGGGGGAGTACAGTAGTAGCTGCACGCCCATAGGCAAGTACAGAGTTACGGCTACCTATCGGGATCCCGAGACGCCTAATAATAATAATTGCCCGAACCCTAAGCGTGAGTTACAGGTGCCAGGGATTAGGGAACCTTTCCCTAAACACGCCTAGCCGGTAGCTCACGGTGCCTGTCGATCTGGTCCCACCGCCAACCAAACCCGCTACGCATGACGACTGCGCCTTTCCCTTCTCCACACGGCAGCCTGCGCCGTTGACTCGTTGAGCGCAGTGCGGGCAGTGAATACTACTGGACCGCAGGTACCTTAGGGATTCAGGTACGGAGTACAGAGTACATGTATCTGGACTTCTTCTCTGCACCTAGAAGACCTCAACCTCCATCCTCCATCCTCCATCCTCCTCCCTCTCCTTCTCGCTTGGCTCTTTCGTTTTCAGTTTCGACGCTCGTTATGTTCGTTGTCTCCTTCTTGTTGGCCGCTCTGGTCACCCTCCAGTCTGTCGTTGCCTCGCCTGTCAACTCCCGCTTCGATGATACCATCAAGGAAACTCACAATGTCCCTCCAAAGTGGTCAAAAGTTGGGAACCCGCACCCTTTCCACCTGTTAAAGATCAATATCGGTCTCAGGGCCAACAACTTTGATCTGCTTGAGCAACACTTGCATCAAGGTGAGCATACCATTCAAGCTACACCGGAATCCCACCACTGACTCTCCTCCCAGTTTCAGATCCATCTCACCATCGTTACGGCCAACACTTGACCCAACAACAGGTCCATGAGCTTATCAGCCCCTCTGATGAGACCACCGACCTCATCGAAGAGTGGCTGTCCCAGAACGACATTGATCCATCTCATTGCCAGTACAATGCCGCCCGGGATTGGATCACGCTGACCCTCCCCGTCGCTCAAGTCGAGCGTCTTCTCCACACCAAATACTCGGTCTATCAACATCAAGACGGCACCAAACTTGTCCGAACCACCCAGTGGTCGCTACCACGCTCACTCCATGAACATGTCACCACCATCCAACCCACCACTGCCTTCCTCCGTGCAAACCCCAAAGGAGAGACCGTCCTAACCGTCCCCACCGAGGTCGACCTTGACCAACTGACTGCCGCCGCAAATTCCAGCTCCCTCAACCGTGTTTGCAACTTCGCCGGCATGACGACTGCATGCCTCCGCACTCTCTATAATACCGTCAACTACTCTGTCCAAGCTTCCAGCAAGAACCAGATCGGGTTTACAAACTACCTGGGCCAGGTTTCCAGTCGCTCCGATGCCAGACTATATCTGCGAAACTTCCGCCCTGAGGCTGTCAATTCCTCCTATGCCGTAAATCAAGTGTCTGTTGACAACGGGCCTCTAGATAACGCCACTGCTGAAGCCGGTGTTGAAGGTAATCTAGACCTCGAAACCATCCTGGGCCTCGTGTACCCTACACCGGTGACCTTATATTCAACCGGCGGGTCCCCCCCTTTTGACCCGGACCTCTCTACCACCTCAAACACCAATGAACCCTATCTAACATGGGTCCTGTACCTACGGGAGCAAGACCCAAACACTGTTCCCAAAGTCATCTCGACCTCCTACGGCGATGACGAACAAACCGTGCCCGAGCTTTACGCGAAGACTGTGTGCAACCAATTTGCCGCCCTCGGCGCCCAAGGCATCTCACTCTTCTTTAGCTCAGGAGACTACGGTGTCGGGGATAATGATAGCTGCATTTCCAACGACGGACAGAACCGTATAACCTTCCTCCCTGCCTTCCCGGCCTCTTGTCCCTATGTCACCACCGTCGGTGGAACCAGGGACTATCCTGAAGTCGTGGCCTACGACGCTCATAACGGGTACGCCTCTGGATCCGGCTTCAGCAATTACTTTACTCGACCATTCTGGCAAGCGACCGCTGTGGAGAGATACTTAGACACAATCGGCGACCAGTTCAAGGGCCTGTACAACACTGCTGGCCGGGCATACCCCGATCTGGCCGCACAGAGCTACAGATACCTCGTCTTCGTCAACGCCAGTGTGCGAAGCGTGGACGGAACGAGTTGCGCCTCTCCCACGGTCGCCAGTATCTTCTCCCTGGTCAACGACGCCCTGGCCGCCAAAGGCAAGCCGCCGCTAGGCTGGCTGAACCCGTGGCTATATCAACAAGGCTTTGCGGCGTTCACAGATATTGTGAACGGGAGCAGTGTCGGTTGTAACAGAGCTGGCTTCAGTGCGGCTGAGGGTTGGGATGCCGCCAGCGGGTTCGGAACACCAGATTTTGAGAAGATTCTGGATGTTCTCGAGATTGGGACGGGAAGTTCCTAACTAAGCGGTCCTCCTAGCTCGAAAACGCATCACTTGAAAAGTAATGAGTCAAGTCGGTCTGACCATCTTGGCTGGTCCAGGAACACTGGCAGGACTTGCAGATTCGACTGCTGTCACCACTGCATAGAACGATTGTCCCCACGCCTACTAGAATCCTGTTGTGGAGCAGCGAAATGTCCCCGGCTGCCTACCAAACTGAAAAGAAAAGACTCGGCCTTTACCTCCTCGACTCCATACCGAACTACACAGGGATTTCATACAGCTGCGGACGAACAAAGCTGAAAGACCACATATTTGCTTTTCTCGTCTCGCCACAGCGGCCACTGTAGCGAGACCGAGTGCGGGAACAAAAGTCCGAGCTATACGACACAAACTGCGCCTGGTGACGCGAGATAATAATGTAAAACATAATTAATCCATCAACCATTCCAAGCGCTTTCCTCGTTTCCCTGTTTGCGATGACTCTCTGAAGCCGTTAGTCATAATAGTTGGTGTTACTATACATACAGCCTTTAGTAAACGAGTAGTCGGTCTGCCCCTACCTCAGATTCTATCAAACGAAGCTCTCTGGGGGCCCAAGTCTGAGTCTCAATCTGAACCTGAATTCGAGACGCAAGTTCGAGGAAACAACATGGTTAGCATTGTATTACATTGCGCTGTTAGACAATCACATTCCTCCTCAGATCAAACTTTGAATTGGATTGGACTGGACGGAGTTGAGAGATCTGCTGTATCCCGCACTATGGCTTGTAAGATATCCCTCTCTGTGCTTGATATTGGTGTCGAGCGCACCACGTCCATCAAAGTGGCCATCAACCCGACAAGCAAAAGGAGTCTACGGCAGCCCTGACAGAAACTCGTATCCTCATGCTGACCGTTGCTGAAATGGGCGTAGACGCCAAAATTCCCTTTCGACCCGCCTCCCTGTGCCTGAGGACGTCGGCTTGTCCAACCACCTAACTGACTTCAACGCGCCATCAGCCATCAGCCCGGCCGAGAAGGTCAATCTCGCTGGTTTCGAGGATTTGATTGTGCTCTTTTGTAATCCGAGTACAGGTGCTCAGATGTCTCTTCCCTCGCGGTCTGAACTCTACCTCGGGCTGAGTGACAGTGACGACTCAAGTAAGCCGCTGTCCAGGCATGTAGCCACACTGGACAAACCAGTCCCCAAATCATGGAACGCGATTGCTGATGCCAGGCGCTGTACGCCTCAAGCTTGCCATTATCGAGACACTCTTCCGCAACTGCGTAAGTCGAGCCTTGACCAGATCTACGCCATCCCAACAGAATCTCCAGCGTACCAAGCCGAGGTGCACGAGCGGCTACATCTGCAGTATGACTGAGTCCGTGGCGAGAAGTGGGGTTTCCGCAGAGTTTAGATCTGCCGACGTTTAAATAGTAAGAGAAAGGTTCTGAGGCAGCCGACAATTGCGATCCAGGACGGCCAGGTAATCAAGTGGTAGTATCCGTCTACCCACCGGACCATAGCTAGATGACATGATTGAGTGGTTGAAGCGCAGTCGGCATTCCTCGACGGGACATGAGAGTTTACCTGGCGGGGCTCGGTGCTGGTTCCAGTCGTATATGGCTTTGCATTCAGTCCTGCACTCCACACTATGCCGGCGCCATGGCCATGGGGATGGTGGTCAAGACCCCATTCTTGTCATATCTCGCCTTGAAAAATGTATAACTCAACGTGATTGTGTCAATGCCCTTCATGGCCGGATCCTTGACAAATTCCGGATCGATGAAGAAGAACACCGGCATGTCCACCGTCTCGCCGGCGTTTAGCCGTTGCTCTTCGAAACAAAAGCATTGGATCTTGCTGAAGTATGGCGCCACTTGCGCAGGTGTCACGGAATATGTAGCCACCCCGATAATGTCTGCCTCGCTTTTGTTGGTGGCAGTGTAGAATGCCAATGCTGTTTCACCCGGTAGCACACGGACTTCGCGTTGCTGCGGCGTGAATTTCCAGGGCAGGATATCGGAAACCGAGCCATTGAAGGTAATACGTAAACGGCGGTGGTCTTGGACTGGTCTTAATCGTAGGGCAGGATCTCCGTTTGACTCGTGAGCTTTGACAGGCTGGCCAGACCAGCCGGTTTGTTGACATATCTGAAGCACCTGTAAGGTTTTGAACAAGGCCTAATATGCGTGTATCGACTCACCATTTTATACAAGGGTACGGAAGCATAAGACAGGGCGACGAGAGTTATGCCGACACTCAGCCCGTAGAACCTGCGGTGAATGTGAGCCTCTCCTGTATCTGTCCCTCAAGTTTATCCCTACATTGTAGTTCGATTCTTCTGCTTGGCTTCAGCTCGAGCTGCATCCCACTGCGTGGCATATCGAGCCTTATTGGATGTCTGTACGACAGTTCGAATCTGTATTCTCGGTCGAAACATTGGAGAGGGTATATCGTGGTATGTCCTTGTGAGCGGGGGGTGTAGATTAGACAGTCCTAGCCTAGAAGCACAGCATTTGGAAGCCATAATGCTGTCAAAGGCTTGGAGAATAGAGACTTGGGAAAGCAGGTCAGAACCAAGCTTCATCAGAAGCATGAAAATACTAGTCGAGGACGGCCTCAGGTGATGTGATGGGTCGCGCTCACGCGCTCACGTGATGTGATACCGCCGAGCATTCAGACCCTCCTGATGGCGACGTTTCGGGCACCCGCACGGGATCCATTAATAGAGTCTACAGAGCAGTCTGTACGGATACAGTAGCCTACAGTAGCCTCATCAACGCACGGTGCGTCCTGTTCACTCTACAGACAGACATGAAGACGCACAATAGAGCACACGGTATCAGTACACAAATACTAAATAAATTTGGGTAATTAGATTTGTGGAGAATATCGGACTTCGGCCTCGGCATGACCTGAGGACTCGACACCATTCTCATTGGTGCTAACTAACAACATTTATCGAATCCCAACATCACTCACAGGCCTAGTCACGATAAGGCTCAACAGTATGCTGGACTCCACCGGTGCCTGGAGCCGGAACAGGAGCAGAAGCAGACGCGATGTCACTGGTGTCCGTACTTGTCTTCTCCAACGGAGCCGCTGGGGTCGACAGGCCATACACAACAATGAATGCCATTCCGAGGAACGCACTGATGCAGGAGAAGACCAGGGCCACGATTCCGCGCGCGGTGAAGCCTGCAGGGAGAAAGGGCTGCTGCTTATTCTGGCCATCAAGGTCCAGAAGGTCTTGTGTGTGCGCAGCGGCGTTACCTTCGAATGGCACACCACCGGCCCGGCAGACATCGTAGTGCTGCTGCGGGATGTGGGTGGTCTCTTGGATCTGCAGGGGCGCTTCAATAAACGACATGGCCAGGCCCTGAGCCAAGTGCCAGTCGATGTGGCAGTGGAATAGCCACACGCCGGGATTGTCGGCCACAAAGCGAATGACAAAGTATCCCTGGGGCGGGACGACAAAGGTGTCTCTCCGCGCGGGGATTGCCGGGAAGGCGGTGTGGTTGGCCGGGTCGAAAGTAAGAGGATCGCCGTCGGCGTAGTCGTTTCGGTGTTCATTGAACGGCGGCGCACGTTCAATGACCTGGAAGTTGTGGCCGTGCAAGTGGAACGGGTGGGAGCCCGAGTCACCATTGTTGAGCACCACTTGCACTACATCGTTGTGCTGCAAGACTATCGGGTGGGTGAACTCGCCGTAGACCTCGGAATTGGTGGCTAGGTCGCCCGCGGACAGGACGGTGTAGAGGGTTGGCACTTTGGGCGCGGTGTAGGAAATGTCGTTGAAGAATGCGTAGCCGAAGCCGTTGTAGAGATTGTTCATGGTCACCGTGACATTGATCTCAAAGTCCGGTTCTGGCAGCAGTTCCATCTGGTCGTGAGGGACGAGGGTGAAGTCGTCAAACGGCACGAGGTCCGCAGAGGCTTCGACGGTCATGACGGCATCCTCGTGAGGGGCGTCAGCATCGTACTGCAGCCAGTTGGTGTTGTTGAGCTGAAGCTCGGGTTCAATGACATCAAGCAGGTCCGAGTCGGCGACGGTCACGATGGCATAGTTCTTGTCGGTGCTGTTCTTGGTCGTGAGCAGAATCGAGTACCGCTGCGCCACGGAAATGTAGAGCAGGTCGGCCTCTTTCGGTTCGACGTAGACGCCGTCGATCTCGACGATCTTGAAGGTGTGGTCCTCAATGTAGAAGTATTGTGCGACAAAGGCCCCGATGTTGATGATGCGGATCAGGTAGGTGGTGTCTGGCTTGACCGGGATGCTGGAATGCTGGGTGTCGTTGAGGAGGAACGAGTTCGGGACGGGCTCGGCACCGGTGGGATTGTAGAGCGACAGGAACTGGATGTCCTCGACGAAATCGTGATACCAGTCACTGATGGTCCAGGTGAGCTCCTCCTCATAGTCGTCGTTGAAGAAGGCATCACTATCGTGCACGATCAAAGCCTGGCGATAGCCGTCGGGATAGCAGAACTCGGTGTGGCAATGGTACCAATACGTCCCGTTCTGGTCGACGGTGAAGTCGTAGGTGAAGTTGTACCCGGGCGGAATGGGGCATTGGGTGGCCATGGACGGGCCGTCCATGTTGTTGGTGCCGTTTTGGTACATGCCGTGGAAGTGAATGCTGGCGTTCTTGTCCCCCAGGCCGTTGTACATGTTGACGACGAGGCGGTCGCCCTTGTCGACCTCGATGACGGGCAGCGGCCACTGGCCATTGATGCCGACGACCTTCCGCTCCATCAACCCATCGGGGTTGGCGGTGACCCAGCTGACGTTGAAGTCGTAGGTGACAGTCTTGGCTGCGGCCTGCCCGACGGCGACGGCGACGACGAGGAAGACGAGCAACAGCAGGTGCTGCTGCAGGGAGGAAGAACCAAGCATCGGCATGGCGGAAACACGTGGGCTTGCACAGGCTTAGCAAAGGCTTGCGCAGGCACGCAAGGCGCAGCTCACTCTGAACTCTGAACTGTGAACGGTGTCGATTGATCCTGTTGGTCTATCTTTATCCTTCCCACGCCGCACAACGCAGAACAGCACAGAACAGAACCACGGCCAGGACAAGACGCTCGCGAAAGAATGCTCGATGAATGCTGGCCACGGTGCTGGCCCTGACGGGTCCCCACGTTCCCTATATGCGGCCGGTCGAGCTCACGCGACGCACGACTCAAGAGGAGGATTCCACACCAGCGTGGCGGACGGGCAGCGCTGCAGCCAGCTCTCCTACATCGGCCTCGTGCAAAAGTCGCTTCCCTGCGATGTGCTTGTTGCTCTTGTCCCAACTCGCCAACTGTATCCCTTCGCGCAACCGCCGTCTCCATCCCCAAGGGTCGTCCGCCCGTGCAGAGATTTTTTCTCCCTCCCCAGCTCAGTCCCACCCGCCGGGCCCTGAGCGGCCTCGATACCAATCGTTTAGCGAGCTCGCCCGCCGTCGCCCCCTCCGGCTGCCATCTTCTCCCGCTGGTCTCACTACGCTTGGACACACGAGGAGGTCTAGGGCCCTTAGACTGGTTGCCCAGCCCTGGCACCTTGCAATAAAGTTATCTGATGCTCGCTTCAGGAGATTGTCCACCAACCATAGTTCTCGTCGCCATCCGTCGCACCCGATAATCTTATCAAAATGGAGTTATCAGATGATCATTCCACTTACACTATCAAAACGCTGAGAGCGTCCTGCCCATGCAACAAGCCCCAGCACGAGCAGACTAGAGATGCGCCGTCCCATTCTCTCCCTTCCGACGTCGGGCTGAGCAACGTGTTTTCCGACTCGGCTCCAAATCGGGCAGTCGAACCACCCTCAAGCTGCTCCTACTAAAGCTTCACCTCGCTCTTGACTTTTGCTTGTCTTGTCCTCCAGCCTCCGAACTCTCCCTCTGGCCATTGATACTGGACTGCCACCCCGGTGAGTTCCTCCGCCCTCACCATGACCAACGTCTTCGGCGTCCAAGTCTTCTTCATCATTTTCCGAGAAGCTCTCGAGGCGGTCATTATTGTTTCCGTTCTGCTTGCCTTCCTGAAGCAGTCCCTCGGCCAGCCGCACCAAGACCCTATAATATACAAACGGCTAGTCCGTCAAGTATGGGTCGGGTCGCTGGGTGGCATTCTCATTGCCCTGGTCATCGGCGGTGCCTTCATCGGTGTCTTCTACGGCCTGGGCCATGATCTTTGGGCCGAGTCGGAGGATCTCTGGGAAGGCATCTTCTACCTGATCGCCAGCATCATCATCACCGTCATGGGCCTGGCCATCCTGCGCATCAACAAGACCAAGGAAAAGTGGCGAGTCAAGATCGCCCAGGCTCTTCTTGCCAAAGGCAAACACCAAACCACGACCAAATGGCTCGGCGATTGGGGTCGCCGACATGCCATGTTCCTTTTGCCCTTTATCACCACTCTGCGGGAGGGTCTCGAGGCTGTCGTCTTTGTCGGCGGTGTCTCGCTGGGATTGCCTGCCACCGCGTTTCCGATCCCCGTCATCACTGGCCTGCTCGCCGGCCTGCTGATTGGCTACCTGCTCTACCGCGGCGGCAATGTCATGACGATCCAGTACTTCCTCATCGCATCGACCTGCATCCTTTATCTCCTTGCCGCGGGCATGTTCTCCAAGTCTGTGTGGAGCTTGCAATTCTACAAGTTCGCGCAGAAGGTTGGCGGAGACGTTGCCGAGTCAGGCGATGGGCCGGGATCATACAACATTCGCCAGACCGTGTGGCATGTCAACTGCTGCAATCCCGAGCTCGACCACGGCTGGGATGTCTTCAACGCGTTGCTAGGCTGGCAAAACACCGCGACCTATGGCTCCGTCATCTCGTACAACATGTACTGGATCTTTATCATGGTGGCCATCGCTTGCATGCTGTACGAGGAACGCACGGGCTCGCTGCCCCTGCAGAGACCATTCCTGGCTTTCATCGGCAAGATCCCGGGATTCCGACGATACGCTGCTAGGAAGCTCAACGCGCCCAAGCCGAATGCAGACGACCTCGTCAGTCAGGTCGATGCTGATCTCTTCAGCCATGGGATCGCCCAGCGGCCATTGGCTGAGAAGTAGTGGTCCATATTCTATCGGCGTCGGTGTTGGCGGTTGTGGAGCTGGCAGAAGGAGGAGAGTTCGTGGCTTAAAAGGCGTCCCGCAGCGACGAGCAGTGTGTCATGTGTCATGGGAAGATATCTCTTTGATTATTCTCAAGCTAGATAGACGGATGAGCAGAGTGCGGACCAAAAAGTGATGGATCCAATGGATCCACATAGTTCTGTGATTCAAGCCAGACTTTGATTCCAAGAAGCTCTCGTGTTTTCATTCCGTCCCCGAATAAGACTGGGGTCCGCGTGCCCGTCCCTGTCCACTCTTGCCTCTGCCTGACTGTCCATCTCCTCCTTCTTCGTCATGGTCGCCGTCGCCGTATCTGTCTACGTCTTCGCCTGCTTCTCCGTCTACTTCCTCGTCTACTGCCCTCAGCAGCCGCAATCTATCGTTTCCGGGCTGGGCAGGCTCCGACACACCGGCATGTTGGAGGCGACTGTAGACGCCGATCCCAGTGCTCGTGCCGCGCCGGCCTCGGTCCCGGTCTGGATCTCGGTCTGCTCGCAAGGCCATGTCGACGAGATGCTGGAGGTCGCAAAAGTCAGCCCTGGTCAGTTTTCAAACCTTGATTCCTTCCCCGCCTGGTCCATGCCGTGATGAAATTGGCTGCATCCGATCCAGTCACTGGCGTCGGCGTATCTTCAAAGGATCGAGCATGCAGTGCTTTGCGGGGAGAACAGACAATAGAGAACAGAGGGCGGCACATACCGCCAGGAGCCAATTCACCAGACTTGCCACGCCTACCATAACGGCCACGCGGACCTCGTGCCGACGCCACGGATCAACACATCGCCTATCATACCCCAGGGCGACCTCACACGCGTGGGCGTCGACGCCACGGCTCGGAAACGGCCACGCGCGATCATGCGGCGAGTTGAAGCCGCAGCAGTGCAGGGCGGTCTGGATGGCACGGATGGCGCGCTCGTCTTTGCGCCGGAACATTGCCGTCCATTGCGATTCTAGGGCGCAGGACATCATGTTCAACGACGAGGGCGTCGCGTCCGCGTAGACCAGAGACAAGACGAAGAAGGAGAAGGGGATGAGAGGTCCCACTTTGCGCACGAAATATACCAGGTTGGAAATGATGAAGGCCGAACTTGACCTCGTCGGTGTTGGTGTCGACGTCTTGGTTGGTCCGAGGGCCAATCTCGCTCTGCGGGCAAGAAGACCCGTCGCTAGGGTAGCCCCGGCCAGTATGAGCGAGATGAGGATGTTAGAGACTGGTAATACGAGCGGGCAGGGCAATGAGAGGGTCGTGATTTGGGACCAGGAGATGCTGGACGCAGCACACTCGGGTCAGCTTGAGCAATGGAGGAATGAGTGTACAGCTAGGGGAGGACAGAGGAAAGGAAGATTGAAGAGGAGAGAGTTGGTGTTTGAGTGAGTTGAGAAGAAGGGCATGGCAAAGCGGAAAGCCCGTACGCTGAGAGAACGATTGATGCTGTGGCGATCTGAGAGGTCCCCGGTATTCCAGGAGTCAGCAACCCAGATCTAACGGTCACGGGAAGGAAGATTGACTCGCGACGAGAGAGCAGAGAAGCAGCCGTCTGGCGTGAGCGTCAGATCCCAGGTCCATTGTGCAGCTAGACTGCGCTGGAGTGTCGTGTAGTGACACGAATGCTGGTGTCTGAGATGGCAGTCTGATGAAAAGATCGGGCTAGGACAGAAGGAAAGAAAGTTGAGCTGCCAGGCAGACGTCGAGGCGATGAGTGCGAGTTAGAGGAAGACAATAAAAGGAACGTAAGGACCTTAGGCTTGCCCCTCCCTCACCCTCCCACACTCTTCCCTCTTCATCATCACATGTTGTGTAACCCTGCGGCCGCGGACAGGGGGCAGGGTTTCCTGAGTGGACGATGGCAAATGGGTGCATGGAGGTCTCCCTGCCAAATTCTTCTCATCCTCTACACCAACCAGGATTTGGATCTATCCACCGTAGCCCCCAAATTCTGGTGCGGCCGGTGAAGCAGTCCATGGGGCACTCGAAACCAGTCTTTGCGTGGATGATATATATACCTAGGTAGATATCTAAGGTAGATACGGAGTATACACTGCGAAATGAAGTTGAAGGGCAAGGCGGCAGTGGTTGTCATGATCCACCGCACACACCTGATCCGGTCATATGCTCCACCGGGCTGATAGTGAGCTCTCATTGGGTAACGTCTTGGTTCATCCAATCGCGCCAAATTGCACTTCAAGATCTTGCTCCATCACCAAGGCACAAAGGCACCTTACGGAGTAGTAGTAATACTGACGTCAAAGCCCACCTTGCACTCACGAAACCTCATAGTTTCCCTCAAAGCACAAAGCATGGTTGCCCTGGGGCTCTCACATTAATGGACTTATTCCACGCGATCACCCAGACCGTAGATACTGTCCTGACCTGTCACTGGTACGACTCCTTCAAAGGCTTCAAAATGGACAATTCTAAGTCCGACGATAAAACTATGGATACAGTGGCTGGCGGCGAAAGTACTCAGTATGTTGTTGAAGCCCGTCCCTTCCTGGTGTCTCTGGCAGATCATGGCTGAGGCATGTAGGTACGAGTCCATCAAGACTGTGACTCAGCCAACCGAGAAGCAGAGGGGACAAATGGGTTGTATGTCTTGCTAGCACTCTGATCATGCTTTCCAGTCCGTCAATCCTAATATCTTGCAGCTGGCCCAAACACGTCCGATACACCGCCAACTTCCCAAGACCGTGGCCGACAGTCCGCAGACAACATCAGATACGGGCAAAACATTTCCGAGTCTGGTATGGGTGGCACAACAACAACTTCCAGTGGGGTCGCATCTCAGGGAGCCGGATATGGTGGAACTGCAGATCAATCTGAGAGTCAGAAGGACTCCCGGCCGCAGCAGGGATATGGTTCAGGATCTGGAGTAGGGGCATGAGAGTGCTCGCATTTTCGTACTGTGTAGAGTATTGAGGAATGTTGATGCATTCGGGAGAGCATGGGCGGTCGTTAGGATCTCACCCAGCTAGGTGGAAACTGTTTGCTGGGGCGTATTCGCCACGGGCGGTGTCATCAGTTGTGGCTCCTCCGTTTTATTCTGAGGTTCCACTTCTCTTTTGGCCTCCTTGAGCTTCTCCAGGGTTACTCCGTTGCCCAGTTTCGTGATGCCAACAACAGGAGGGTCGCCTTTCCTGACAAACTCATACATGCCCGGCAGTTTGTTGCCAGCCAGTCTGAAGGCGTCTCTTACCACCTGTTCGTGAATTTTGCCTTTGACTTCGAAGATGATTCTGCTGACAGGTATCCGGGCAGCCCAATGGTCGAATTTTCCTTTTCCTTTGCCCATACGCACATCGTTTCCCTTAACGTAGACGCCGATGTTTGCACTGACTCTTTTATATAGTTTGTAATGCTCTCCGCGCAGTCTTCGATGTATGGTCTCTTCGCCGGTTTTGAGTTGTTTTGCTGACACTCTCCGGTCGTGATCTTTCATCCTCAGACCGTAATCGCCCCAGACCACAGTTGTGCCTCTGGTTGAGCCTCCCGTTGGCATGCGCGGTCTTCCAGTCATGGATTTTCTCGTTTCCGGGCGCTTCGGCGTTAACCAGTCTTGTCGCGCTGGCATTGTAGAGAATGATCGCCAGCATACTGACGAGGCCCGAGTAAGGGACGTTGGTCGTGTGGAGGAAAACATCGTTGTTGACTGCAAGCATCGCAGACAAGCCGCTATTCACAGGTCAGTACCTAATGTCCAGAAGGAGCCTCTCCCGGAGTGAGATCATACCAGCCGGTTTGATCGATGGACCAGCCATTGCAAGTACGAAGACAAGAACACGCAGCTGCAGCTCGCACAAGTTTCACTCTCCCAGATGGAGAACGCGAGCGACTGCGGCAACGGCGATCGGATTGGGAGAAAAGTGCATTCAACGAAGCTGCAGCCCATTGGCACACTGCATCAGCTGAAAGCGGAATTGCTTCTTGGCGGTTCAACGGCGAACTCACGAGGGCTAAGGCGCCCATATAGGTGGGCTCAAGGCGGCGTCACGCCCGTCCCAATTGGGTCCCATTATCCATCATCCCCTTACACGCCCAGCGCGTCCCCGTGCAGTGTAGCGCGTCATCCTCGAGACGAATTGCAGTTAGACACTCAACACTGCATGCGACTTCCGCCCACTTGTAGCTCAAACCTCAAAGCTGTACCCGTCTCCTCTCCATCACCCATGTATTATCTCAGCCGGGCCTGACAAGCCATTTCACATTACCCTTTTCTTCGAAATAATGCCCGACATTAGAAGTTTCTTCGGCGGAGGAGGTGGAGGAGCAAAGGCCGCAGCGAAGGGCGTCGGGTCGGAGGCAACTAAGAAAAACATCGTATGCTCGATTTTGTGCTTGATCCACGACCCTATAGGGCTAATCTCCAACAGTCGACCTCCAAGCAAAATTCCAAACAGCGTGGGCGTGCTCGCAAGGTCGTCTCAGACGATGAAGATGATGATGAGGTTGTCGAAACCAAGCCCAAGAAATCCTCAACGCCGAAAGCGAAGCGAATCGTCAAGGAACCTGTAGAGGAGGAGATCACAAGCTCGGCTTACTTTGCCTCCTCAAAAGCCAGCCGCAGTAAATCCACCCCGATCAAAACCAAAGCTGCGAATGCAAATGGAACCGCAAACTCTCCCTCAAAGACCACGAACGCCGAAACTCCCTCTAGCGGTCGAAGATCGACGAGGAAGACTACAATGAAGAACTATACAGAAGATGATGCAGAAATACCAAACACTGTGCTACAAGACGACTCAGAAGGGCACGACGATATCTTCAACGACTTCAAGAGCAGGAAAGTTGATGATGATTATGAAGAAGGCTCGGATGCCGACGTTCTGATGCCTCAAAAGAAAAATAACAAAGCAGCAAATGGGAATGCGAAAAAACCACTACCGGACGAAGACGACGATGATGTTGAAGTGGCTGAGATACCTATATACGATAGACCCGGTGACCGGAAAAAGAGGTCGGCAGCACCATCTAATCGCAAGCGGAAATCCAAAGACCTCGACGAGGATGAAGATAATGATTTCCTGGACGATGGCGATGCAACTCCCAAGAAGAAGCCGAGAAAGACAACAGCCACGACATCCACAAGACCCCGTGCACCCGCCAAGAAGGAAGAGCGAGAAGAAAGCAAAGAGATACAAGATATTCTATCTAGTATTCCCACCGTTCGAGCTCCTACTCCACCGCCACGAGACGAGAATAAGAAGTTTACCTTTCAGCCTGGAGGTGGAAATGCCAGTGTTGCACCACCGGCAGCAGGGACGGCAGAAATCCCTGTGGGAGCAGAAAATTGTCTCACTGGGCTGACCTTTGTCTTCACTGGTGTTCTGAATGCCTTGGGCCGAGAAGAAGGACAAAACCTTGTGAAACAATACGGCGGCAAGGTTACTGGCGCTCCATCAAAGAAAACAAGCTATGTTGTCATTGGTAGCGATGCAGGGCCAAAGAAGCTCGAAACCATTCAGAAGTTGGGGATCAAGACCATTAACGAAGAGGGTCTTTTCGAACTGATCAAGCGTCTTCCTGCCAATGGTGGCGACGGGAAAGCCGCCGAAGCCTATGCGGAGAAGCAAGCCAAAGAAGATGCCAAGATTCGCAAAGAAGCAGAGGAGATGGAACGACGAGAAAAGGAGAGGCAGCAAGAGGCAGCGAAAGTAGCGAAAGCCGCTGCTGCTCGAACCGGCGCGTCGGTTCCGGCCGACAAGTCTCAAGGACGAAAAGTTGACGACCGACTATGGGTGGACAAGTACGCTCCTGATTCGCTCAGCAGTGTATGTGGCAACAAAAGTGCCGTCGAAGGTTTACAGAGATGGCTTCGCAATTGGCCAAACAACGCAAAGTCCAACTTCAAAAAGGCCGGCGCCGATGGAAAGGGCATCTTCCGCGCCGCCTTGCTTCATGGGCCTCCGGGCGTGGGAAAGACGACGGCTGCTCACCTGGTAGCCAAACTTGAGGGCTATGACATTGTGGAGAGCAATGCGAGCGAGACCCGAAACAAGAAATTGTTGGAGCAAGGCTTAACCGGGGTTCTGGACACCACATCCCTCCTCGGTTATTTTGCTGGTGATGGGAAGAAAGTCGACCCCTCCAAAAAGAAGATTGTCTTGATTATGGACGAAGTCGACGGCATGTCAGCGGGTGATCGTGGTGGCGTGGGTGCGTTAGCTGCCGTTGCCAAAAAGACCCATATTCCGATGATTCTGATCTGCAACGAACGCAACCTGCCAAAGATGAAGCCATTCTACCATGTGACTGCCGAATTCCAGTTTAGAAGGCCGACTACGGACATGATCCGGGGTCGAATTGCCACGATACTGTTCCGCGAAGGCATGAAACTCCCGCCTCCGATCATGAATGCTTTGATCGAAGGGTGCAATGGAGACATTCGTCAAATCGTCAACATGATCTCGACAATCAAGCTTGACAACAAGGATCTTGAATTTAGCGACACCAAAGCCATGTCCAAGGCTTGGGAGAAACATGTCATTCTCAAACCATGGGATATTGTTAGCAAAATTCTCCGACCACAGATGTTTGCCCCCAGCTCCACGGCCACCTTGAACGACAAAACCGAGTTGTACTTCAACGACCACGAATTCAGTTATTTGATGCTTCAGGAGAACTACCTCAAAACTCAACCTAGTCTTGCAGCGTCCTATCATGGTAAAGAACGGGACATGAAAATGCTGGAACTCATCGACAACGCTGCCTCCAGTATCAGTGACGGTGACCTGGTTGATCGGATGATACACGGCTCACAGCAACAATGGAGTCTCATGCCTGTGCATGCCATTTTCAGCTTTGTGCAGCCAGCTAGTTTTGTTTATGGTAATCTCAACGGACAGGTTAGTTTTGCTGGCTGGCTTGGCCAAAATAGCAAACAGGGTGAGTTGGTTCGATGGCCCCCAGCTGATTCGGATACTGACCATCTCCAGGCAAACTCTCTCGCTTCATCAAGGAAATTCAAGGCCATATGCGTCTCCGTGCAAATGCCGATCGCAATGAAGTGCGCCAACAATACCTCCCGGCTCTTTGGGACAAAACAGTCGGGACACTCCAAAACGAGGGCAAGGAAGCGGTTCAGGACGTCATTGATTTCATGGATTCATATTATCTGACCAAAGATGATTTCGATGCCATGCTGGAATTGGGCGTGGGTCCCATGGACCAAGAGAAGGTGAAGCTCGAAACGGCGACAAAGGCCACGTTCACCCGGTTGTACAACTCTCAGAGCCACCCCATGCCATTTGTCAAGGCCAGCAATGTTTTGGGCGTAGCCAAGGGGGCGGGCCCGAAGGAGAAACCGGATCTGGAGGAGGCAGTCGATGAATCCGAACCCGACGAGGTTCTCGATGTTGAGGCTGAAGAGGCTGAAGATGAGGCATTGGACTTGAAGAAAGACAAGTACATCAAAGCACCAAAGAAGAAGAGCACCGCAGCCGGTGGCGCGAAGGGAAAGGGGAAGAGAAAGAAAGACGGGGAGGATGCGGATGGCGATGATAGTGAAGAGCCGCCCAAGAAGAAGAGAGCTTCGGGCGGTGGTGGAGGTGGAGGTGGGAGGAAGGGGAAGGGAAGAGCTTGAACCCACAGGCCTTTCTACTGGCATATGTCTATGTCTACAGTACCTTAGGTATGTACTCGGTATGTCCACTACAGGGTGCAAGCACAAACATCGGTACACATAGGTACCTAGTACCTACCTAGGTATGTAAGTTAAGAAAAGTGAGTACGTACCTGCCTGATGTGTAGGGAGTATCCGTACTTCGTATATCCGTACTCGGTGTCGTCTGTGCAAGCATGATCCTACAGTCCAATCATGTTCGACGGCCAAATCCTAATGATAATACTAACTCCATGTGGCAGTACCTAGGTACTAGTACGGAGTAGGAAGTACTAAGTTGTGCACTGCCAAGGAGATAGATGCCTTAGCCTGCCATTGTAGGTACGAGTACGGAGTACTGGCAATAATTGATGGCACTAAGTTGATCAACCCTAACCCTAAGTTGGTGCGCCCCTTAGCCTACATACTCCGTACTAACCTTGTATATTCACGTACCACTGGACATGCCTGGCACCTACCTCATGTACTCCGTAACTGGCAGTGTGTCCTCCACGTACCGTGCAACAAACACATGGAGCAGACGGCCGGAGGGGTTACGAAGTATGTGCCTTACACGTACCATGTCAGGCGTGCACGCTGTTGGGTTTTGGCCGCACCTGCACTTGCATATCTTGATGTACATGTAGGTACTCTCTCTGCTCTCCCTTTCCCTCTCTCGCTCCATCTAACTCTTTTGCTCGTACACTGCGAACACCCTAGCTTTGCTAAGGTACCTACCTAACACCACGACGAATCTCTACGGACCATCGGAGGCCCTGTCACGGTCTGCTCTTGACGTGACCGCCGATCCATTTCGCACCTGCTTGCAGGACCCTTGGCCATGGGGCTCACCAAAGCTTACAACTCGCCAGGCCTGTCCTTCGAGCTTGACACCCCAGCATTGCTGTACTATTCTCCCGGCGACCTGATCAGTGGGCAGGTCGTACTAAACACCACCGATCAGGCTGCCATCGGCAGCGTGACCGTCTCGTTCTGGGGTCGTGCAAAGTCCCACATCATTCAACAATACGGGCAGTCGGGCACCTCGGAGCGCGGCCGGACGCAGTTCTTCCAACAGAACAAGATCCTCTATACTGGCCATTGCACCCACAAACCTAGCTTCCTCAGTTGGCCGTTTGAATTCGTCGTCCCCGACCAAGCCGACCCTGTATGCATCCGCAGTGGTAAAGCATGGAAGATCCAAGAGAATTACACGTCCACGCAAGTTCGAGATCTCGACTTGAATCTCCTACCGTCCATGTTCCAAGGGCTCACAGCACCGCCCCAGCAGCAATAAACATAGGCTCGCTCTATGGTCTGCGGCTGGGCAACGCCGTACTTGGTTTTCAGGGCGAAACACCACTGTGTCCCAGTTTTACCACGTATAACGTATCCCGTTCGTACCAACTCACATGGGAAATAGAGGTCGAGTGTGCCGGGAAGAGACACAAGGTCTGCTCAGGGCGCAACGCGCCAGCTTGTGTGGTCATCTTGCCCGCCCCCAGAATGACTTAGGGCACCCATTTCAACACCCATTTCAGCACCCATTTCAACACCCTCTCAGGGCACCGGAATACTCAGACAAGCCGTATGGCAACCACCCAAGGCCGTCAGCAGCCTCAACGTCAAGTGTCTTCTCAATACCGCCAGAGGCGGAGGCCTTCAGGGTCCTCAGCATGGAAGAGATAAGAGGAACCGAGCCATGTCAGCCCCTCGGAACGCAACGAACCTCGGAACGCAACAAACCCGGAACGCAACAAACCCATATGAATTGGTCAAGATCGCAGTGGCCAACCTCAAAGTGCGGCTAGGCAGATGGCAGGTTGCTCTCTATTCCCTACTCGTACTCGTACCAGGACGAGACTCATCGCCTCACAGAATTGCTGATCGAGTCCCAGAACGAGGCTGCTGCTGCGAGGGAGTGAGCGATGGGGGCCTGGGTTGTCCTTGTTCTCGTCGGCAGTGTGTGGAGGATGGAGGGGGGGAGGAGGAGGAGGAGGAGAGTACTCCGTACTGTACTAGGTGCCGGCGAAGATGAAGCTGGACAGACTCCAGCGGGAGAAGAGAGGGTTAAATACCCTCTCAATCCTCTGCTGTATCCTCTCGACAGACGCGTTCCGACACGGCTTGTGCAAGTACCAGACTCTCCTAGACAATAGGGCAAACTGCCCCTCTCAATATAGACTCAACACAGCAAAAGATGCCTTGGAGGACTCTAGTTTTAGGTTTGGTGTTGGCGCCCAAGAGGATATAGGTAGCTGGAGCAGTCCTAGACTGCCCACATAGCGTGAAGCCCACCAGATGTCTTTCGTCCCTTTCTGCGAGTGTAAGCAGCGGGTCTGATACTGGAGGATCTTGGTTCGCGTCTTTGACGCCAGAGAGTTCACTGGATGGCCCTCCTACCTTTTCTGCTTTCCTACCTTTCTTGTAAGCGTAAGTACTAAGTCCGACACGGTAGGATCTGGGGTCGCGCCATTGACATTAGAAATCTCAACCAGACTCCAGCAGTCGCCGCGCATCTTGCTTTTTCTCAACCTTCAGCGGAGGACTACAGGGCGCAGTGTCCGGTGCGGCAACCCAAGCCCCGTTCGCTCTATCGCTGCGCCTGCGAGGACATCCGGTCGGTATACAACGTAGATACCAAAGAGCGAGTACGAGATGCTAGGAGGAGTGGTCGGATGGATGTTGTTTGCAAGGGTGTGTTGGGCGTCATCCCACATCCCACATCCCACCAGGACTCCTCGGGCTCACATTTCAGATGTCAGGAGCAACGGAGTGCCGGAGATGCTGAAGGAAAGGAAGATCCGTGTTCATCACCAGGGTCACCAGGGCCCCTTGATTGTGGGCCGAACATCCATTGTCGAAAGTTCTGCGAGAATCAGACAGAGTGGTACTGGTGGTACTGGCGGTACTGTCAATATAATAATAGCCCTAAATAGTCCCGCCCCCCGATCTCGGCCAGGGTCTGAAACCTTGGCTAAGGCTCAATCCTCGTAACCTCGTTGACCGCGTCTGTTTCACCGGGGACAGGGAAAGATGACGCTTCGAGCAGTGCGGCAATTTTTCGTTTCCCAGACGTATCTCAGCGATACTGGTTAACCCACCGCCGCAATCGCACTGAGCTCTTCCTGGACACTCGACGCTCGACGCTCGGTGCGGCGAGTCGGTCCGGTCCCCGCGGCCCCAGGGGCTTGGGCTTGGGCTCTAGCTCTAGCTCTAGAATGTCCGACAAAGGGTCTTATGTGGTCGGGGTGGACGTTGGAGGTAGGAAAGCAGAGTCGCAGTCGCAGTCGCGGTCGTGTGGCTTCCGCTGGCCCTGGATGGCTGGATGGCGGGTTGACAGGTCTGAATAGGTACCAACACCGACTCGGTTCTCCTGGACGTCTCCAAGACGGGTGCCGCGGCCGTCATCTCGTCTCACAAGGCTGCCACGACGTCCAACGTCACGCTGAGCGTGCGCGAGACCCTCAAGGTCTTGCTGGCCCAGTCGCCGGTCGACCGAAAACAGGTCTCGGCCCTCGCGATCGGAACCACCCACTTCATCAACGCTCTCATCGAACGCGACTCGTCTCGCGTGGAGAAAGTGGCCGTGTTGCGACTGGCGTCCTACAATTTCTCCGCCGGCACCCCGCCGTTTGTAGACTGGCCTCCCGCCTTGGAGGCCATCATCCATGGCTATTCCGCCATCATTCCCGGCGGATGCAACATCGACGGAAAGCTGATTGCCGACATCGATGCTGCCGCCGTCCGAGCGCAGGCCAAGATCATCAAGGCCCGAGGGCTCAAGACCGTCGTGATCGTCGGCATCGGCGCGCCCACTGACCATCACTACCACCAGGAACAAAGGGTTCGCGACATCCTCGGCGGGGTTTTCAGAAACGACGACGTGAACATCATATGTTCGCGAGATGTGGCGGGCAATGGCTTGCTCGCACGAGAGAACGCGTCCATCCTCAACGCCTCGATTCTGAACTTTGCCCGCCGCGCAGTCCGCTCCTTCATGGCCGCCATGAGCCAGGTCGGCCTGCAGTGTCCCCTCTACCTGACCTCCAATACAGGCCACCTCTTGACCTTTTCCGAGGCCATGCAGTTCCCCATCCGAATCTTCTCTTCCGGCGCCACCAACTCCATCCGTGGTGCCGCCTTCCTACTCGGCTCGGAGATTGGCCAGTCGGGCTGTGTGGTCGTGGACATCGGAGGGACAACCACTGATGTCGGCTATCTGCTCCAGAACGGGTATCCTCGTCTTGCGAAAAGCTACACAGATCTGGCCGGAGTCAAGGTCAATCTGGAAATGCCGTCGGTCGAAAGTGTCGGGCTCGGCGGCGGCTCGATTGTGCGGATTGTGCATGTGAACTCACCTGGAGAACAAGAACAGTTGCGCATCGGTCCAGCCAGTGTCGGGCATGATCTCCAGACAAAGGCCCTCTGTTTTGGTGGGGACGAGCTGACCACGACTGATATCGTCGTTGCCGCTGGAGACGTATCTTTAGGGACGCAGCCGGTCGAGCTGTCCCAGACGACCATCTCGTCGGCCAAGGCCAAAATGAAGCAGACGCTGGAGGCATACATTGATCGCTCGAAATCATCTCCCGATCCCTGTACCGTCATTCTCGTTGGAGGCGGCTCAATTCTGTGCCCGAGGGAACTCAACGGGGTTGAGAAGATTGTCCTACCCGAGCATGCTGGGGTGGCCAACGCGATCGGAGCAGCAATGGCAAAGATCTCGGGGTCTGCAGAACTGATTATCCAGGGCTCTGATATCCCAGCAGGCATCGCCAAAGTCAAGTCACAGGCCATCCAAAATGCCGTGCGGAAAGGGGGAGACCCAAGCGCAGTCACTATTTTGAACGAGGAGGTTGTCGGAGTGCCTTACGCACCGAACCAGACGCAGATCAAGGTCGAAGTGGCCATGGCAGCGAACCACGACAAGGTCCGCGACGACATGTCCCGGATCGCCTACATGGATCTCAGTGAGGGGGATAATGAGCTGTTCGAGGAGACAAAGACACATACCGCGCCGAACGGTGAGCTGTCGACAGCCGAACACATTGATATCAGGACCTACCGTCCACAGGTAACGGAAAACGGTCTCTGGATCCTGTCTGAGCTCGACCTCCGATTCTTGTCCATCGGGTGCTATATCCTGGGGGTCGGTGGAGGAGGATCCCCCTACGCCGTCTACTTGCAGCTGAAACAACTCTTGTCCGAAGGGGAAACCATCACCATCATGAGCTGCGACGACTTGAAGGACGACGACCACATTCCAACCATTGCTGGAGTCGGAAGTCCAGCGGTTAGTATCGAAAGACCAGGCGGCAACGGCATCATACATGCGGTGAAAATGCTGTCCAAAGAGCTGAACATCGAGTTCACTCAGCTCATGACGGCCGAGATTGGCGGCGGCAACGGCCTGCAGCCACTGATTTGTGGCTCCTCCAAGTACTACAATCTTCCTACCGTCGATGGGGACCTGATGGGTACGTTGGAAGAATGATGGCGGTGGCGCAGAGCAGTGACTGATCTTCCCACGCAGGTCGGGCATACCCAGCTTTTGAGAATGTCTCAACATACGTTCTGTCGAACTCGATCAACGCTCTCCTTCCAGTCACTCTTTGCAGTGGCACCGGCCAAAAGGTTCTCGTCCCAGCCAACCAGACGGATGAGAAGGCGCCGGGTATTATGATCCGAGATGCATGCGTTGGCATGGGGTAAGTCCCCCGAACTTGCGGGCTAGAGAGTCTATTATTTCTAACACGATACAGGTCCGCTTGTGGAGCGGCCGGTGTTCCTTTGACAGGCAAGCAAATGCGGACCATGGGCATTCCCAACACCCACTCTCTGGCGTGGCGGCTGGGTAGGGTCGTGTGCCTTGCGCAACAATTAGCGTCGTTGTCCACTCTTCCAGAAGCCCTGATCGAAGAGTGTGGCGGAGATCGAACGGCCCGACGGCTGTTTCAGGGTAAAATCCGTCATGTTGAAAGCGCACTTACCACGACAGCTCACAGCCTTGGGAAGGTGACCATCGAGTCCCTGAGTGAAGGCGAGATGGAAAGTGGTGTAGACAAAGCCGGAGACTGGACAGAGATTGTGATTCCATTTATGAACGAAAACCTGGCCGTGATCGGCAAGAATGACCAAGGTAAAGAGATGGTAAGTATTCATGCCCGCCTTGTCCTTGCCGATGAGGGCACGGATCTGGATCTGCAGCTGACTATCCCAGGTGCTTGCGACAGTTCCTGACTTGATCTTTCTACTGGATGTCTCCACGGGGGAGAATATTGGCGTCCAGGAGTATCGGTGAGCCGCTTCCGAACGGGCAAAGGAAATCCACGAGAAGCTGACAGACCATATAAGATATGGGTTGAAAGTGACGGTCATGATTATGGCTCCTCATCCAGTCTGGACCACAAAACGAGGGTTGGAGGTTGGTGGTCCAAGTGCCTTCAACCTGCCCTACGAATATGAATCAACCCTCGAGTACACCAAGCCCAGAAGTGTGATCGAGGAGTTCCGGCCCGGGGGCCACGGTTAGAGCCCTGCTTGGGCTCTATTGAACACGCCGATCCCACCAGAGAGAGAGAGGATCTTCTGAGCCTGTGCATTGGGGAGGATTGTCCCAACTCTTGCCAGTCCAATCAATACATGCCAGGGTACGTTATAGCGAAGCTGCTTACAACGCGGGTCCCGAGGACTATGGTCCGAGGCTGGACGCCGATAGAAGGTCTCGCCGAAAAGAACTCGTCGATGCTTTGTGGTTTGACTCCCGAGTCACGGCTGTGGACTCCACGTTAGTAGTGAGACCGAGACAACTCTAGCCATCAGATGCCACCCCTGTGCGGTATGAGGTGTAGGGACCCGTCTGAGGGCCCCTGGCTTGCCAACTGCTTCTGAACCTCTGGAGCGCTTCCAACTTCCAACTGGAGTAGGCGGACAGCAGGCGGCGTCAGGGTCGGTAGACTTAGTAAGCCTGTCGAATAGTGAATCAAATGCCTGTGCAAGATGACCATCAACATGGTATGTGATTCTTCAAGGAGACGAGAACGCTAAACGGAGAGCAACGCACTTTGATGCCCCAGTCCCTGCTGCTGCTGCTGCTGCTGTTCCTCGCGAGGTTGATATTGCCATTCGCAGTGATATGCTCCGCCGTCTATCAAAGCTTGGCTGCGGACTTTTTGAGCCTCCCAGTAAAGTTGAAGATCTTCAACTTGTACAAACACACCTTTTCTGCGCCGCTCCTCCCCAGTTGCAGAGAAGAGGCATCTCAGAGCCCAAGATCAAGATGATTTTGGAAGAGCAAAGATTTCTCCACGAGGACCTGGAGCGGCTGGAGCAGGCCATCACCGAGCGTGTCGCGGACGACCCCAGAAATGTCAGTCGCTTGTCCTTGTCCTTGTCCGTGAAACACCTCTCACGTAATGTGGCTAATCAACCTTTGCACAATAGATCAAAGAAAGATTAATCCGTGATCACCAGATAAGTGGGTTCCTGGCACGCATACAAGAGCAGTCGAGGCGGTTGTTGGACATCTACAAAGACACCGAAGGCTTGCGCGCGAAAGAGCTCCAGAGTCTTTCGACTGGTGACCCGTTCGAAGAATTTTACAAACAACTAGACGATGTCAGGGATTTCCACCGTCGCTATCCCAACGAACCGGTCGAGAACCTTGACCGCGCATACAAGCGCCGGCGGCCCGAAGAAGGCGAAACTCTCACCACCGAAGTCGACAACATGTTCACCGGCGAAGAGTCCAACGGGCGGTTCCTGGACCTGACAACCTTGCATGAAGATTACCTGAACCTGCCGGGCGTCAAGCGCCTCACGTATCTGCAGTACCTCGACAGCTTCGATGCTTTTGAGCCACCGCGCATGCCGCTCAAACGCCAGAACAAACTCACAGACACATATCTTAAATACGTTGCGGATCTCGATGGGTACCTGGAGAGCTTTGTGCGGAGGACCAGACCACTAGACGACCTGTCCAAGCTGTTCTTGCAACTTGACCGAGACTTCGAGACGGCGTGGGAAGCGGGGACTGTACCGGGATGGACGAAGGACAAAGAGGCAACAGACAGCAGCACGACGACGACAGCAGGATCAGGTCCGGCAACCGAAGGAACCGGTTCCGGGATATGGTGTCGCGAATGCGAAAAAGAATTCAGCAACCAGAACGTATACAAAGCCCATCTCACAGGCAAGAAACACGTGCGCAACGCGGAAGCCAAAAAGGCGGTCGCGGGCGGATCCACGGCCACGGACGGCTCGACATCGGCCTCGGCGCCACTGACAGCGCTGGCCAGCGCACGCCTACGGGAACGCGTGATCGCGGCGCACGAGAGCCGCATCCGCGCACTGGCAGACCTCTTGTCCAACGAGCGCAGCAACACGCGGGTCAACGTGGAACGCAAACAGGGCATGACGGAGCGAGAACGGCAGGCGGAACTGGACGCGCTGTTCGCCGAAGACAACGCAGCGGTGGCGGCGGCGGAGCGTCGCGCCGCCGGCGAGCACGGGCACGGGTACGGCGAGGATTCGGGCTCGGAGTCGGACGGCGACGAGAAGATCTACAACCCGCTGAAGCTGCCGCTGGCGTGGGATGGCAAGCCTATCCCATACTGGCTGTACAAGCTGCACGGACTGGGCGTCGAGTTCCCCTGCGAGATCTGCGGCAACTTCGTCTACATGGGCCGCCGCGCCTTCGACAAGCACTTCAGCGAGGCCCGCCACATCTACGGCCTCAAGTGCCTGGGCATCACCGCCTCCGCCGCCGGCGGCCTGAGCCTGTTCCGCGAGATCACCGGCATCCAAGACGCCCTGACCCTGTGGGACAAGATCAAGCGCGAGAAACGCCAGAGGGAGAACCAGGACGACGGCGTCGTCCAGATGGAGGACGGAGAGGGCAACGTCATGCCCGAGAGGATCTATCTCGACTTGCAGAAGCAGGGCATCCTGTAGGAGAAGGAGAGGTTGGGAATTGGATTGCGAATGCGAATGCGAATGCGAGGGTTAACAACCTCATTCTTGACGGGAATCGAGGAAGGGCGGTCCCGGACGGCCATGAACAGCCGGGGCGCCCATCTCAACCTGCCCGCGTGCATGGAGACTGTAACTACTACTACTATACTACTACGAAATGGCCGGACAGTGCACCCTCGTGGTTTCTGTGGCTTCAAAAGATTGGATTCGGCATCATGATACCCTTTGAGATGAACATGCATACAGCGTGACAGGACCCATCCAAACAAGTCAAGAAGACTGAAATCAGAATCAGAATCAGAATCAGAATCAGAATTGCATCCAGAACAGAATCGCGTGTCTCAAGCATCAACGCCCTCACCACTGACCCTCCCCTCTCCGGCGCTCCCCGTACTGATTCTCATGGTGGACGTGGTGGTGGTCACAGGTATTGCTCCGCCATCCCTCTCCTTTTCTCTCTCACCCAATTTGTCTTTCGGTCGATCGACCATGACCGCGTTCTTGACCTTCTCCAACAGCTCCCACCCTTTCGCCGCGACCTGGATGGCCCGTTCGACAATTTGATCAAACAGCTCCTCGTTGTCCTTGTAGAAGCCACAGAGCATGAGTTTGCACAGACTGGTGGTCGCCGTGGCGCGCACTTCGTCAGGAAAGCTGTGTGCCAGGGCCTTGATGAACGGCGACAGGAGAGATGTCATATTGCTGCCGTTGTTGCCAGTCGTGGCCGTGGTGGCATTGTTCGTGTCAGTTTCCGCACCGGCGCCGGAGGAAGCAGACTCGCCCGGTGCCGGTTGGGGTTGACTCGAAGGACTCGAACCTGACGGGCCTCGTGCAAGCAAGATGTCACACAGGATCTGCAGCGCCACGACTTGCAGCGTCTCATGGCCCTTCTTGAGCAAGAGCGTGAAGAGCCGCATGTTTTCGTCCGCGAGCTTAGGCTCGAGAAGACAGCAGAGTCCGAGACACTGCACGCCGCGTTCACGGATCAAGACCTCGTGCGAGCGCACCGCGGGAATGACCAGGTTGTCGAACATGCTGCGTAGGTGGACGTTGGATTGTAGATTCCCCGTCACGTTCTGCAGCATGCACTGAGCGATGTGCAGGCATTTCATGTTGATGACAATCTCCTTGATCGCCTGAGCTTCCTGCTCTTCTTCGGACAGCTGCTTGTTCCGCCTGCTTTGGCCGCCACCTGCAGCGTGTTTCGGTGTCGAGTCAGACGAATGGTCGCTGACCTCGCTGCGTGCTGACACAAAACTGTCCTCCTCATGATCCTCGGCGTCCTCCTCCATGTCGGAAGCCGCGATGTTATCGTGCACTTCCGCAATGGCTTCGAGCACGACCGAGGCAAATTCCCTCTCGCCGGCCGCATCAGGATTGCAGACCAGCCGCAAGGCTTCCACCGCAAGCCGGGTGCATTCTTCCGGCAGATCGGCCATGGACAGCGCGTGGCGGAGAAGAGAGAACATTTTCCTGCGCCCGACTTCGTCAGTGTAGTCCAGAGTCTGGGCAATGTAGAGGAGTTGTTCGACGATGAATTCTTGCTCCGCCTGCTCGGCGACTCGGTCGTCCGTGTCGGATTCGTTGGCGCTTTGGACCTTGACCAGGAGCTCGTTGATGTGTCTTTGCAGGTGAAACCCCAGCCGGGTCACTTCGGGCATCTTGTCCTCAAGCATGGACGAACATTCGGGATCTTGCAGACAATAGTCGTTGAAGGTGCGGGCCATGAAGGCGGACTCGGGGGTCAGCGTGTCCCAAAACTCGTCGTCGAAGGTGACGGCTCCGCGATAGTCACGTCGCCCGGCCCAGAACTCCTTCATCGCCTCGCGGGCAATGCCAGTCTCATGGCCAGTGTTCAGGGTGTCGATACGTTCTAGCAGCTCCACCAGGGCGGGAATGCTGGGTTTGTAGAAGCCATTCTTCTCGCCTTTGGATGAACTGTCGGCCTCGTCCTCATCGACCATGGCTTCGACTCTCGATCCCGCACAGTCCTCAATCCAGTGCTCTCTGAACAGCTTCGCCGCCGCCCTGCGGACCTTCTCGTCACGATCTCTCAGACCCCACCTCAACAGCTTTTCTCGCATGGACAATGATAGATGGCGAAAGTCACCCAGCGACGTCAGCACATGGGAATACAGTGTCCTCCGAGTAGGTCCGTCTCGGTCTCTGGCACGCTCCAGGAGATAGGGCAAGGTCTTCGCGGTGACGGGCAGTTTCAGAAGCGCCCTTCGCACGTCCGCGTTGGTGTCGTTTTGCAGCACGTCCAGGAGCTTGTCCAGCAAGCCGGGAGCGAAGTCTTCGTCCGAGCCCTGCTCCTCCTCTTCGTTGTCCATCTCGTTTTCCACCAGCCGCCCGAGCGCCATGACGGCCTCCAACCGGATCGCAGGGACTTTATCTCGCAGTCGCTTGATCAACTCGTGCCTGATGACTTTGTACAAATCGTCGTCAATTGTGCCCAACACTCCGAGGATCTGGGAGATGATTTGCGTCGCTCTATACCGCACCGTCTTGTCTTTGGCGCAGAGGTAGGGAAGGAGGGCCAACATGATAGAGGACGTGGTGCGATCCGACCCGTCGGCAGACTCGAAATAAACGGTGAGGAACTTGATGACTCGATTGCCGGCAATTTCGGACTTGCTGACGTCCAACAGACGGAAGATGCATTGCTTGATGTGCGCTTCAAAGTTGGGCGTGTTTTCGAGCCGACGCAGACGCTTTGCCAGTGTTTTGTGGCCGACCAGGGATCGCTGCACGTCCGCAAAGACGTCTGCTACGGACATTGTGAGTGGGATCGGAACAGCAACAGCAGTCTTAGCTGACTGGCAGTGGGGAAGGGGGAAGGGGAGGGTTGTCGCCGTAAAGAGCTTGTTGTAGAACTTAACTGCCAGTGTCTGTATGCTGGTCGCCGTGTTTACTTGGGATGCAAGTGGATTGGCGTACGAGATAAACAAAGCTAGTCCCGAAGAGGCATTATCTGGATTATCGTTTTCCCGTTCCGGCGCCCCCCAACTCACATTAATTGGAGACTTGCAAAGTATGTGTATTAGTTGCTCGACTCCCCTAGTCCCAACATATGTCATATGCAGTACCTGGTACCTACGTCCCTCCATTAAATCCCTCGTGGCCGTTGATCTACAGGCCACCCACGACAACAGGGCCCAGGCACTCACGATCATCAGTCGATCGCCCGCACCAGGCACCAGGTAAGTGTCCTGACTCCTGATCAACGTCGCGGATACCGGATGGCGGATGACGGAGGGCGGAAGAGTCTCTCCGATCCCTACCAGTATCCTCAAGGCTGAATCAATTGACTAGGTGCCCGGGTTTAGGAGGCTACGAGGTCCAGAACGGCGGGATGTGGCAGGCTAGGTCCTAGGTACGAGTACTCGCGATGATCGTTCCCTCCCGCCACCCCGGATTAATGCCATGATCAACAAGGGTGGATATTCCATTAATTGAGAAGGCTGCCGCGTGCAGGATCTTCCTTCCTCAACATTTCAACCGCAGGTCTCGTTCGTGGAAGACCAGACCGGTGGGATCCTTGCAGGCTGACAGTGCAGCGAGAGACAGTGAAGCTGCCTCATGGAGCACTCCATCGTCGTCCGTGACGCATCCGCCGTCCTTCCGTCATCCGTTGGGCAGTGACAGATAAGCACTGGTGGCACATTGGAACCCTGATGCTTCGACATCGACGCTGTCGCACATGGATTGAGTAGTGCGGACCCATTGGGACTCACTCTTGCTCGAGGCACGACGCATCCACCACGAGTGCTTCATCATCAGAGACAATCGATTGTCTCTCATCCTCCACCACCGGCAGCACGGTATCTTCATCAAGGAAGCAACAGACCACACAGGACGGCTGGTGAACAGACGCTGTTGCTGTTGACTTCTCCATTTCCCGCCACGACCAACCGCTCATGTGTGAAATGATCCCATGTTATTCATGTTGGCTCGCCTTGGGCAGACACACCCTCATGCCACAGTGTTTATGGCCTAGGAACGGGGACGGCCAGGATGGCAGTTCACACCGCTGCCCACTGGCTGCAGTATCTGCCGTGGTCCTGGTCCTGGTCCTGGTCCTGGTCCCGGTTCCGGGTCTTCACATCTCATCTTCTCTCCCGCACAAGAAGGATAGCAATACGTAGTTGGGCATAAACGACATGAGAACCTGCAAGTTTGACAACTGTCCGGAAAACTCAGAATGCCCCTAAATACCCGGGTTCCTTGGGCGGCATCCAGCTATGAAAAGAGCATGCCATGGGACGGTTCCGGTCAGGGTTTCCAACCTCGGAGAATTAATTGACTTCCATCTCGTCTTCCGCCTTATTGCCCTATGTCGCTTAGCAGCTTGCTCGCCTACCTGCCTACCTGCCTACCTTCGTACCTGCCAACTGCTCCTCTTGCCACGGTGATGTGATACGAATGGGAAAGTGTATATCAATATGATGAGAATGAGCACGAGTATGAGCATGAGCATGATGCCACCATTGGTCCCGGTCTTTGCAGTTCCCCGTCTCATCATCGACGCAGTGGCCTTTCTTCTCCCACTATATATGGCGCGTTATTTGAGTCGAGGCCCTTGACACCATAATGCAAGTCATCGAGTCAAGTGGAGGCTTGTACCACCATGCAATCGCATGTTCATGGCCTCGCAGGGCCAAATGCAGGTCTACAACCCCGTCAGAGCACGTCGGCCCAAACACTGTGTTACCGCATGATTCCAGAGACTCCTTCAACGGCGTGAGGTGGACAGGTGGACGGGTGGACCTTGGACCAACCCAACCCTCGCCAAACAGCGCCGCCATGCCCATGTGCTTCGTGTGATTGAAGGGCCTCCGGCGTCCGGACACTTTGTCACAAGTGACAAAGACGCCAGCTTGGGGTCGCGCAGACCGGGGCACCGGCTTGGGCAGCAACCGAGGTGAGACGAAGACGCTGAGTCGCCAGCCAAAATGCACGCAGACGTGCGCCCGGCCCCAAAGTGAGGCGGCCAGCAAACATGGCTGCTTGGGGGGTCGACACCAATCAGGGCCCAGACCACGCTGGCAACCGACATGGAAAACGCAACCTCCAGCCCGGTCGTCTCGTCTCCTCTTCGCTTAAAGCGTTTGCTGAACAGCTCCTCGAGTCTTCGGAGGCGGCCAATCGAGATCGACAGGCCTAACGTGAGACCGGCGGGTCCATTGGTCAACAGGCTGACAGGCTAAGGGGCTCCATGTCTGGCACCCCGGCGGCGGTGCCATGGCCGCAGGGGGTCGAGCCGCGCCAGCTGACACCCGGGCATGCCGCCGTTCTTGTCCGTCCATCGTCCTAAGAGGCGTTGCCTCAGGCCTGGGCGACGCTCTTGACTCCCAGAGTCCTGAGTATGCGTACTGCCTGGTGCTGCCTGGTAAGCATCCTTGGTCCCCCCCCGGCTCCCAAGCCGCCAGGCCGCCAGGCCGTCAGACCCTTGCGAATTAGTACTGCAACTCCCTCCCAGGCCAACGCCATGACGGGACTTTCTGCAGCCCATGAGCATGGAGCATGGAGCATGCGGCAGAACATGTCACAAGCTCCACGATCCGCAAAGCCTCCGACGTTGGCGTGCTCCTCCTTCTGCTGCTCTCTCTGCCCAGTTCAACGGCTGGTTTGCCCATCCCTTGTCCCCCGTCCCCTCGGGATCTCTGATCTGACTTTGGGCAAAAGACGTTATCCTGGCTCCCCACGCCTCTTCCAAAAGCACAAGCATCCCGACATCTGATCGCCTTGTTCGAGGATACGGGCAGACAGCAAAGTCCCGGTCTCTACGGAGTATATCACCCTCCCCATCCCACCCGTATTCTCTCCTGACAGCCTTTCCCACCACATTTCCCCGATTGCTGCTTCACTTGATTCCCACACGGTCCCTGCTCTTGAATTTGCAGGCTTTTTGTTGCACTCTTCCCGCCCGATTCTGATCGTCTCCAGAGTAAAATGTGAGCATTGGGTTTGACGGGGAACATTGACTGACGTCCCGGGTCTCAGCTGCTGACTGCACGTCTAGATTGGTCATACCACCCCTCGACCTCGTCTTCGTCCACCACACACATCCATTGGTCTTCTTGCCCTGTCTGCTGGACAGCCAACAACATGGATTCTGGTGCTCTCCTCGAAGTCCTCCGTTCGTGTCGAGCAGTCTACCACCAGGACCATCAACATCTGTCCGCCGCCGAGCGTGAAAAGGGTTGGTGCCAATACTGGGATTCCATCAGTAACGCACTCAAGTATCCGCCCTCGACTCATGATTTCGGGATCTCCATTCCGCAGAAGCGAACCGCATCGAGAGCGATGGTCGTTGGTATGGAACCTGCATCCAAACGGACTGACCCTGTATGTCCTCCCGCTGTCCCTGCTGCTTTCTTGTTTGACGGGTGACGCAAAAGGCATCCCTGGCGTCCTCGGCCCCTTCGGCGCCCATTCTGGAGCGCCACATCTCAGCGCCTGTCGGTTCGGCTCCCACAAGACATCAACCAGGCCGGCCGTCGGTGTATTCTTCCGCCTCGGTCCCCACCTCGACAACAATCGGACCCATGCCCATTCCTCGCCGTCAAAATGGACAACGACGAACCTCTGCGGCTGCATCCTACCCTCATCGGTACAACGGACCCAACCTGAACTTCATCCAAGAAGTCCAGGACATGTCCCCTTCCGACTTTCTCGCCCGATCATCGGAGGACTACCACCCCGCCACCGTCATGTCGTTGACGCCGCCCTCAACTCAGGAGCGTGGTGAGTTGCTGACCAGCCACATCGCTCAGCTCATAACACCGTATGCTTCGGCAATAGAATCACCCGGGGCCTATACCCCGATGACTGCCACGAGCGATTCGAGTCTGATGGCTGGATCGACTGTCATGTCGGAGCCGATGACTCGGACCAATACCAATGATGTTCTTTGCGAAGGCTTTGGCATGTTTCGCATGGACTCGGTCTCCATGTCGAAAGTACCCAAAGCCTCTGACATGCTTGCGTCGACCTGCCCTACAGTCCCCGACGTTGATCAAGCGCACTTCTTTTCTTTCTCTTCCGTTGGAACCGACTCCGGTTACAACAATGTTTCTCATTTGTCTTTCCATGATGATGATCTTCAGTCATCGTCTCCTTCTAGTTCTGAGATGAAGAATTCGCCTTCCGCTGGAAGCAATGCTTCGTCCGTCTCTGTTTCTTCTGCTTCTCATTTACCAACGCGGGGCCTTGCACAACAGGAAGGTCCTCGCACCACTAACAAAGTCTCCCGGCCTCTCGCCCCGAAGATGGAGCGGTCCAGAAACGCTTCATCGTCGGGCCTGGAGCTGCCAGAACCAAAGCTTGTGGCTATTCAAGCCGAAGATGGCACAGTAAAGCACAAAGCCGAAATCACGCGCACCGTCCGCCAACAGCCTCCGCGTAAGACAACCTTTTGTGAGTTCTGCAACGATCAACCTCAGGGCTTTCATGGTGACCACGAACTGCGTCGACATATCGAGCGCCACCACAGTCAAGTTCGGCGAGTCTGGATCTGCAAAGACGTCTCGCCCGATGGCAACTTCTTGTCCAACTGCAAGGCCTGCCGTAACGGCAAGACGTACGGCGCCAACTACAACGCTGCCGCCCACCTGCGTCGCGCCCACTTCAACCCATGCAAAAATCGACGTGGTGGCCGCGGCAAGAAGAGTGAACATCGCGGTGGCATGGGGGGTGGAAATCACCCTTCCATGGAAGTACTCAAGAACTGGATGTACGAAGAGCTGGAACTGAACGTCAATGGCCGGGTCGTCGTGCAGAATCTGCCTACCGAAACGACGACATTCTCGTCCGCGGCGGTGGACGAATTTGCGAACTCGAATCCGGACGACATGGACACTTCCGACTTTGATTTCAATGGCAACATGTCCCAACCGGGCATGTCCATGGCGGGTCTTGCCCCCGACTCACTTTATTTCGCCAACACTGGGATGCGTGCGAACACCTACCTAGGCTCCCCAAGGCCGTTGAATGTTGGCTACGACGCTGCCTTTCCATACTAATTTCGACATGATTGACGACAAGTACACACGATGGTGAAGAGGCCGACCTTTCGCGTCACATTGACCATTGGCCTCTGCTCGGCCTTTTGGGCTGGGAGTTTTCACGTTTTGGCTCTGTACAGTGTACACAGATCTTCAGGGAGGAAGGATTTCGAGGGTTGAAACCAATGAAAGCCGTCGCAGTGGACGGTATATTGCAAGACTAGCTTGCTTTTTGGATGGCAACTTTATAACCTGGGTCTTGGTCGCTTGGTGGTACAGCGTTACGTGTATTTTTGATCAAGTTCTGGAGGCAGACATTGTTGTCGGTAGGAGTGGGCTCGGCTTAAAAGTTTTGCTGATACGAGAAATATGAAGCTGATACCGTCAGTAGACGTTCTATACCACTGATTGTGAACTGTATACCCTGTAATAGGGAGTATTGCCTTGGTCCTTCTCCTTTACCGTAGAGGCGAGCGAGCACAGTGGCTGAGACAAGGGGGGCTGTGAGAGATGTGGCTGAATGTTTCGGTGGCATGGGACGACGCGCGTTCCCCGAGATCCAGTGACAGTTGATTGGTTCTAGACGAGTGGCGGTCGTTTCAGTGGCGTGGATTAGCAGCCAACGTGTGGATGTTCGTTCAGCTGAAGGGGACGTGGACGCAGGGATGAGGAAAAAGGACAGTGTTGAGCCACACTGGCGATGTCGTATTGTATCCTGTACGGATACTTTTCAGCCGGGGAAAGGCTCAGGAGGCTGCTGGATGGGAGCTTCGACTCTCGGACAAGTCTGTAACAAAGAGGCAGAGGCACCAGCCCCCTTGACGTGGCAGTGAGGAAGTCCACATCAGCGAGTACGGAGTACGGAGTACTAATTAGGTATTATTAGGTACCTGGCACCTGCCTGGGTACGTAGTTGATAGTGGTGGTGACCTAGGTCGCTCTTGCCTGGCACTCAGGCCTAAGACTCCCCTTCTCTCCTTCCCCAGGTGCCAAGCGCAGTCATATCACTTGCTGTAAATAAGCCTTTCGTCTCACTGGCAGGCTCATCAGCCCGGCTCCTGGGTCGCTCCAACTCATCAACTGCTCACCACTACTCGTATTACTACTACTACTACTACCACCACTGCTGTTGCAGCGCCACAGGCCAACTCTCTCGCTGTATCTCACATCTGCGATCCTTTGTTCCTCGCTTGGTCTTCTGCAATCCATTGCCCAACCACAAAGATCAATCACCCGCATCTCCCTCCAGCGATCACTCTTCTCTCAGATCAGACGCCATGGCGAGCCAAGATTACTATGGTGGCCATCACGGCGGCTACCCTCAACAACCTGGTCCAACGTGAGTCGATTCTGGTCATTTCATACCAAGCCTCTGGATATCTTTTATCCAAGCGAGGTCAGCCTCGTTGTGCTATCACGCCTGCAATGCATTTCCGCTGACATATCTATCCTCACAGTTACCAACCTGGCTACGGCCAGCCACAACCTGGCTACGGACCACAACCTGGCTGGGGTCCTGGCTATCAAGCACAACCGCCTCCGCAAATGCAACCACAACCACAAACCGTCTATGTTCAGGAGCAAAGAGGCGGGGGCGACCGAGGATGTTTGGCTTCATGGTGAGAACACAACTTCACCGCTAGATTGCAAATCTGAGAGTGTCTGGCTAACAAACCCCTGACAGTCTTGCCGCGCTGTGCTGCTGCTTTGTCTGCGAGGAAGGATGCGAATGCTGTGCCGATTGCTGCGAGTGCGCTGAGATGTGCTGTTAATGGCCAGTTGATGGACACTTGCTGGGCGAACATTCGAGAAGAGAGCTGTATATCGGTCTTGGGATTCCTTGTCCGTCACACAAACTGAGAAGACGCGGCGTCCCCCTTGGATGGGAACCTAGGTTTACCACTCAATCGGTATTCTCAGTTCGAGCTGGACTGAACTCTGAGTACAGATCAAAGCTCGTGCTACACGTGAGACAATGGGCGGTGTGATTGTGGTGGGGTGGTCCGACCTGCCTTAGAGAGTGGCCATCAACCCAGGGCGAAGACGATCTGGTCTTCAAGAACGTGGTTAGGTTCAGTGCAATACGATATTTTTATTCACAACATTCATAGCAGCCTGTAATGCTCGTCATTCGGCGAAATTGTCACATGGTCTGGGGGAAAGACCGACGACAGCATTGCAATAGAAGCTTCGGCAGGAAGGGAATGACTGCGTGCAAGCTGGCAAACTCGGCCGACGAGACACACGACTTTGAGAATCTGACATTGAATGCGTTATATCATGTCCTCGTCGTTCCTCATCGCCGCCCCCTAAAGGAGAACCTCTTCCACTTCGTGCTTGGCGGGAATGCTGACACGAAAGCGCCATATCAATATCTGTACAGTGCGTTCTTGAGGTGCTTCTCCATCTCTCCTTATGTTCAAAAGAAGACCAAGGTGCTATCTCTTCCGCTTTTGCAACGTGCCCGCCAAAGAAAAACTAGGCCACCATCAAATGGGTATATAGAACGGATTTCCGCACCGGTATTGACGCGACCCTCCAAGTTCCTGGCCGCCGTACCAAACATTAGCAGTCAGCCTTGTCCGCCAGGCACTCTCGGCCCAGGTTGTGCTCTGCTGGGGTTATATGTTCATTAATGATAGTAAAAGATTCGTCCCAATCGACGTCAACGTCGGCATTGGAAACTCTTTGCTGTCCCTCAACTCTCGGTCGTTCAAAGTCCTACTTGAGCAGACTTGCTGCGGCTGCAGCGGCCGCCAAGTCAGACCTCCCACTCATACTTCGTTGACCGACAGCCAATCTCGTGAAGCTGGAGTTCGAGGCAGAAGTTGTCATGGCTGCGTGAGAAGCCCGCTTCGCTTGCGCCGTAGCCTGGGACGCTGCTGCGCTCGGAACCGCGGACTGCCGCCTTGCCCCGGGTTTACTGGGTGATGTCTCGTGCCGGCTGCCAACCGGCACCTTCAGATTGGCTGTTGGAGGCTGCGGCAACGGCCTCGTACCGCCGGAAGTGGTCACAGAGTTCACCCTTTTGATCGGCGAGTTCACACTTGCGGTGACATGTCTCCTGGCTGTGGTCGAGCTCAGTTTGATGCCTGTGATAAATTCATGCTTGTTTGCCTCCTGCGGGTTCATCCGTCGTGATGGGTCCCATTTCAGACACTTCGCAATAAAATCCAGGAATGCCTCGTCGTCACATTTCAGGACTTGTCGGAGATCCTTCGAGCTAGGCCGTCTCCTCTTTCCTTTTGAGGACACCGTTACTCGAGGCTTGCCCATCGAATCAAAGAAGAGTTTCTTTCGACTGCTCTTCTCGATCAGATGCTTTTCCGGTGGCCCAAAGACTTCCATGATGCAGGCCAGTTGTTCCTGTTCGTTCTCACCAGGGAATATTGGGTAGCCAGTAAACAGCTCGGCTAGGATACAACCGAGACTCCACATGTCGATTGGCATGCCATAAGACATTCCAAGGATGACTTCGGGGGAACGGTAAAACCGAGATTGGATATAAGTGTACACCTTTTCATTTTCAAAGCAGCTCGACCCGAAATCAATGACCTTGATCTCGGAATGGACCGGGTGCGCGAGGAGGATGTTTTCCGGTTTCAAATCACAATGGATGACCTTGTGTTGTTGTAGGAGGATCAGACTCTGGAGGAGTTGCTTGGTAAATCGTCGAATCAACTTCAGGGAAAATCCTCTGAAGTCGTGGGCCTTGATGAATTCATAAAGGTTCATGCCTAGGAGATCTGTGGAGATGCAAAGGTGGCCCCGGAAGTAGAAGCTTTGATCGAAGTTGACAACGCTGTGCATTTTCTGGGGGTCCTGCTGTCGGGTCAGAGTTGCAACGCCAATCCATACTGTTTCTGCTTACCCAATCTCTCAATTTTTGTAGAATGTTTACCTCCACCAGTGCCTGTTGATGAAACCTCTTCTTGTTGCGAATTATCTTGACGGCAACAAGAATTCCCGTTTTGTGGTCCACACAGCGCACGACCTGCCCAAAACTACCTTTCCCAAGAAGATCAACCACTTCATACCGATAAGCAAGGTGGTCGCCTTCAACAATATTGTAGTCACCTCGTTCATCATCGTATCCGAAGTTTGATGCCGCCGACTTGAGGTCGCCGATGATTTTTCGAGCGCTAGGAGTTCCGGTGAAATAGACGTCGGGGTAGTCGACAATTTCACCTCGTTCGAAAATATTCAATTCGAATATCTCAGTGGCTGTGCTAGCCGACATGTGACGAGCTGGACGAGCTCTGGCTCGGAGAGCGTCAAGTTCGCGGGCAGCAGATTCGAAATCTTTCCTCTTAGATGCGAGTTTCTTCATCTCATCTTCGGCAATCATGTCGTCACGATCAAGAAGGGGCCCTTGCTGCCGCGGGCCCAGGGTTTTATCCGCAAGAAGATTATGTGTGCTCGCAGACAAAGATCCCGACCGGTTGGGATGCATCGTCAGTGTCCGGCTTGCTTCTGTTGAAGGACGGCTATTCGAAGCATGTGAAATAGTACTATCGTAACTGTCCTGACGCTCCGGCCTATTGGTCGTGCTTGAAGTAGAGGTTTGTCTTCTCGATCGGATGTATGATGGCCTCTGAGAAGGACTTCCGTTGCCACTCTGGGGATTGGTCCAACTTGCAGAGGCTGGCAGTTTCGGTGGTGGCATATTGTCATATTTGGCAGGATCTTTGCCCTGTGGAGCTGGCTCTGCAGCTTTTTGATCACTTCGTTTACGGCTCAATCTCCGCCTCAGTGACGTGGAGAACACTGATTCGCTTTCCGAGTTCTTCTCGACAGGACTAGGATGGGCTTCAGCCTTCGGCGTGACAGAAAAGCTCGGTGCCCGAGGTCCATTTGGCCGCGTGTGACTTGTAGTCCTGTTCAGCTCTGTGACGAAGTTGGGTCGCATAAATTTCGAAAAGTCGTCGTTACTCTTGGGCAAGGATGAGGAGACAAAGGGGGAAATATTGCGATGGCTTGCCTTTTCCATTTCAAAGGCAAAAGCAGGAAGATTGGGACTGATATCACTGGGAGGTCGCAGTTCGTCCGACCGAAGAGCATGATGTGAAGTGCTACTTCGAAGAGCCAAAGTCTCTTCCGTGGCCTTGTGTCCTCTGGGGAAAAAGCTTGCTTTCGAGGCTGTCATCGGTGTACTCGGGGTCTTTAAAGCTCCACGAGTCCCTGGGGGCGTGACCGCTTTCTCGCTGGATTCGGACTTGGCGTGAAGCGACTTTATCTTCGCAGAGGTAGGGGTGCTCAGGGGTAACAAATTCAAAGGCGGTAACCTGAGCGCTTGAACGTGCATTTTACTTGATTTGCGTTGCGGCTTGGGCCTAGGTTCCGTTTCAACGTGTGGTATGGGACCAGAGATATGTGAGGAGGTACTGGGGGCTCGGGGGGTTTCCAGCGCATCCATAGCGTCGGCTAGTGTCGAAACCCCAGGACTGTTGGAGATGGCTTCATCAAAGGGTGGGAGACTGGATGACCGAGCCGAGAAGAAAGGCTGGTCCAATTCACTCCCTGGAGACTCATAGGCCTTGGGTATTGCAGGAACTGGAGGAACTTCCAGGCCCTGAGTAGTACCGGTGGACGTATCAAGCCGGGGTTTGGGAGCCGGCAGCCTAGAAGAATTCATGGTCTGAGATAGTCTTGCGGCGTGATTGACCGTGTTGCGGACCGAACTATAACTAGTATTCGACGACAAAGACTGGCCAGAGCTGTACGACTTCCGGTTGGGATCGGGGGTGGTTCGTGAGGAGGACGGCGTCAAACTTTTACGAGTCGGGACAAGGGGCGACTGTAGATCAGGCTGAGGCAATTGCGGTACTGGTTCGGGTTGTGGTGTCGGGGGAGCTTGAGAAATCCTGTTCTGTGGTAACGGTGGCGCCGGAGGAACGGTCGACATTCGCTTCATGCGTCGTGCGTCGGTTGGACTTACAGTTCGTGCGCCCAGTCCCGTGGCATGATGGGGCATGGCAGATACGCGGCGATTCCGATCTCCATTTGCTCCAGGCGTTGTCGTCCTCCCAGGTGTTCCGCTCCTGCGCGTAGGAGTATGATGAGCGCTGCTAGAAGTGGACTTAGAGAAGTCTGGCGTCCTTGACGGCGTCAGCAAGTCCTTTGACGCTTGCCGCTTCGCAGCCAATGATGGCCTTGACCTGACAGATCCAGATGTCTTGATATCTTCTAACCCGTTCTCTTCTGCTCGGTAGCCCAGACTCTTCAGCGACAGGGCCTTTGCACTTTCCGCGCTAGACTTCCTTCCGCCAGCGCTCGGCCGTCTCTTCACCGTGGGTTTCTCTGATGATTCTGGCGGTATGAACGTTCCTGGTCCCACAGATTTCCTTGGGACTTTGACACCGCTAGTGGCGTTGTTGAAGGAATTGGGCGGGAAATGGCTTTGTCTCCTCCCTCGGAGGATGGATGTTGCGGTGGCAGTCATTGAGTCGGACTTGATGGAGCTACGGGATGTACTGGAAGCGGTGGAACCTTTGCGAGTCACTGTCGTCACACCCGGCCCTTTGCGAGCGGGTACCGGGATTGCTGGTTGGGTCACGGGCTTCTTGTGGTCGGTGCTGGGTGTGTCGGCCGAAGGGGAAGCTTTGACGTTTATTCCCCGGCCAGGAAGGGGGAAATGATTTAAGCTAGGCTCCGTGCCAACAATAGTATCTTGAAAATCGTCAAAGTTGAAGGTAGGCTCGAGGAAGTTGCCAAAATCCAGCGATCCATGCTCTTCCCCTTCTGACGGTTGTCTCGCTTGTATTGATGCAAAACTGAATCTTGAGATATCATTGATAGACAACTCGCGGGTATATGGATTTTGGGAAGCGACGGCAGAGGCCCCTCGAAGGGAGTTGAACTGTGGAGTCATGGGATTGCTGGCAGACCTAGCAACAGGCAGGAGTTAGCTTTGCAGACAAAGTATGGAAGCCGCGGCTACCACCAACCTTTTTCCAGTCCCGTAGTCCAGGGGGCGAGGACCCATGGGAACTTTGGCGTTGCTGGGGATTGACGACTGTCTTCGTCGTGTGGTAGAGGCCGAACTGGAAGAGGCATTTTCACTAGCAGCTCCCTTCGAGGAAGTGTTCGTCGAGGTAGTAGGAAAGGAAGACGGTGGTTTCTTCGACGGGAGGCTGTCTTCCACAGAGTGTGACAGCGTCGGTTGGGACTGGTTCACTGCAGATATCCTTTGCGTCAAGTTCGTACCACCCCGGTCCGAGTCATCGGCCCTGCCAGAAGTTGTATGTTTTGCCTGATTGCCGGTGTTGGTGTTGGTGCCAGGAGCATGTTGTCGGAAAGGCATGGTAATAGTGACTGCTCTCCTCAGACCCTCAGACGCTCAGGTCGTGCTCTTCAAGTCCCAGCGTCTTTCACATGCAGCACCGATGCATCGACATTGAACACCATGTGGTGGTCAATCCATTGCAGCAGCAGGTTTCCAGTGAGGGAGAAGGGTCAGACAAGGCCTTGTCGCGACCAGAATCGGATGGACCAGGGTGTGTCGTAATTGACAGAGGAGAAAGGGAAGACAAGACAGGCGACGCGTTGTGCTGGAATGCCGTCAGGGAGATCCGATCTTCCGGAAAACAGGGGCGAGGAGAGCGAGACAGAGCAGCGTTCTCGTCGGGGGTCTGTCGAGTACAGAGCTATGGCACGATGGTCGTGGAGATATTCTCGATGCGTGGTCAGGGTGAATGTTGCGGGTGACCATCACCACCTGCTACAGTGTGGGAAACTAACTTGCAGTGCAGTGCAGCGCAGCGCAGCGTAGCGTAGCCGAAAGCCAGGTTGCGCCGGACCTGAGTTGCGGTACGGGATGCGGTGGATGGGCATGCGGCGGCGAACAGGGAGTCGGGGACAGGGGCTGGGAGGTGCCTTAGGAGCCCCCGGTAGGTGCACAGGTACCTGAGCTTGCAGCACGGCAGCTCTATTTGGTAAAGCCGGTTTCTTCTACGGGCGGGGATAGCAGGCTAGGCGTGCAGCAAGCCAATTCTCCAGCCAAAAGGATCGACTGTTAGGGGCGTTGGCTGCAGCGGTGGCTTTTCTCGATTGGGGTTGTTGCTGTTGGCTTTGTACTGAACTGGCCTGTGGTGGGTTTGGCTCCTTAGGCCCTGGCCATGGCCCGCGACGCTCCTAGCGGTGTGTCGAATTGCCTATAATCTCTCATACTCTAATTAGTCCTGCGCGCGCAATTTCGTCTTGAACGATTAATGCTCGATGCTCGGTCTGTTCGAAATCTACGGCCAGTGGAGATGCGAGGCTAGTGTAACTACGAAACATAAACATTCAAGCACCGCACCCGCTGCAGAGAAAAGGGCTAAGGAGGCTTTCAAGTTTCCAGCAGTCCTCACTGAACACGGGCTCTCTGTCCGGAGGGTGTCACGTGACAGACATCTTCCACCATGCTTTCGTCACGTGTGCCTTCCACATGTCAATATCAACGACATGGCAGATGGCAACCTACTACTGTTAGACTACTATTAGGCATCGTCACTCGCAATTGAGCATCATAAATTAGGTACGAAGTACACATATGAGGAATCTGAGTGCCCTCCCAGTCTTATGCCCTCCAGAATGATTGCCAGATAGCCCGGCTCCAGACTTTCCAGTATGGATGAATACACTGCCGACGCCTTCGCCAACCGAGATGAGCCCGTTCCCCTCATCACAGTCTCGCAAAGTGACCTTGATGATGCCTCTTCATCCGAAGCCGACACTACAACGCAGAAAGGAAGGATCAAGAGCCGCCTCTCTCCATCCCGCTTGATGTCCAAAGGTCAAGAACTCGCCGCCGCTCAGATTGAGAAATATGGATCGAGTCCAGGAGCCAAGGTGTCTCTCCAGGACAGGTTGTTCTCCAAGTATGGCAACCGCACATTCCTGCTGATCCTTTAACATTTTGTGGTGTACCTCTCATAGCCCGATTTCTGACCGCCATCTAGACTCCTTCAACAAGTCATACCTCCCGAAGATGTGGATGACCAGGATGACAATTCGCCCGTGGACCGACGCTCGTCGAACTATGTCACTCGGCCTGCCTTTAGCCTGCCTCTGATGACGAACAACTTCCGTCGCTTCAATGCACGCATCGGTATTGTCTTCGTCTTTCAAAACCGACTCATCCGGCTCTTCACCTGGCGCTCACCCACCCACACCTTATCTTTTCTCGCCACCTACACCTTCGTTTGTCTCGACCCGTACCTCCTGGCAGTCGTCCCACTTGCGGTAGCTTTGCTATTCATCATGGTGCCAGCTTTCACATCGCGACACCCACCTCCGCCACCACAAAAGACTGTGTCCAGCACCACGCCGTACTACCAACAAGCCTATACCGGCCCCGCGCTGGCCCCAGCCCCAACCATCAGGCCGGCCAGTGAGACATCGAAAGACTTTTTCCGTAACATGCGAGACCTCCAAAACAGCATGGCGGACTTTAGCAACATTCACGATGCTATGGTCAAAAGCGTCGCACCTGCAACCAACTTTAGCAATGAGACCTTCTCATCCCAACTCTTCCTAGTTCTTACTATCCTTGCCACCCTGTCATTCATCACGGCGCACCTTCTTCCATGGCGTCTCATATTCCTCCTGTTTGGTTGGGGCTTCATAGTCTCCAGCCACCCGACAGTGCAGATATGGTTGACCAAAATGCAACAGCAGGCCGAGAAGCAAGCGACGCAGACCCTAGACGAAGATCAGCTCAACCGCCAGCAGTACTTGTACGGGATTCCATTTCCTACCACTGTAGTAGCGATTCAATTCGCATTCACTTCATTTTCCGAAATCACGCTCTCAAGTAATCCTGAGATGCGTGAAGTTGAGATATTCGAGCTCCAGCACCGTCCTCTGCAGTCGAGCACGAGCGGCAACTCCGCGGTTGCTTCAGAATGGCAGCCTCACATGTTCACGCCGTCGCCATACGACCCGCTTTCGCCGGCCCGTATCGCCGGCGACCGGCCACGCGGGACACGGTTTTTCGAGGATGTCACGCCGCCTGAGGGATGGGAATGGGCGAGCAAGAAGTGGGAACTCGACCTCGAGCCCGGCGAGTGGGTGAACGAGCGCCTCATAGTGGGCGTTGAGTACGACGTGTTGCAGCAGGGGCAGGACGTTATTTCCGACGACCCACAACTGACAAGAAAGGACGACATCACTACCACCGGTACCGCGACTAGTGCCGGCACTGGCATTGACATCAGCACCAACCGCCGCGACAGCGTCAACCTGGACTTTGGCGGATGGGTGTGGGATCTGCCTCCGGCGCTGGGGAGCGGAGTGAACCGTGATGACGACCTGTGGCTGGCGTACGGCGACTACGACGTCCCATCTATTGGCGGGGAGGACGAGAAAGGAAGGAAGAAAAAGGATAAGGATAAGGCTCGCAAGGCGAATCGGTCTAAAGACTGGGAGGAGGCTACGCGGCTAGACAGTCGGGGCCGCACAGGTGAGTGGCGGCGCAGGAGGTGGGTGAGGCTGGTCATGCGAAAAGCTGTGGATGGGACGGAATGATATGACTCTCTTCTACCATATGAGGATTCTCGGCGAAGAGGACCCACGACATGACACCACCATAATTCTTTGACTTATGCCCACGTTCGTGGATGCAAGGAGATGTGATACGCTGCGATGCTCGACTCATAGGATGAAGAAATTAGTAGCAGGCTGCTTCAATTCAGGCTCAGTTTTACATAATTCTATTTTTTTTCTTTCGATGCTGTGGTGTGACTGAGATAATCCCAGTGCCGTGCTCAGCCGTGCATATGATGTTCTGCGTAGCCCAAGCAAGTAGCTTCTGTAATCTTCTCCCGCCTTATTGCTATCCGTATCTGTCGCATCGGGGTGACCAGATCAGATTCGATTGAAATCTTCAGCAATTGACCACAAATCTTCACTCAGCCCTGGCATGGCTCAGTTTCGTATCAACCAGCACAAGCACAATTCAGCACTCTAGGTGCATGATTCTCAGGTCCATCCAGCACAAACTTGACTCGTTGGCTCGTCCCGCCTGTGACCGTCAAGCTACTGACATCCGTCCTCCTCTCGCATGCTTGATTCTCCCAGCTCACATCTGATCCACAATCGCAGAGGTGGAGATAACATGGCCGCTGAGATACATTCAGACCATCTCTTCTGAACTGACGTGGGTGGTATCAGCACGATGACGGTTGTCCTTTCCATGAGCTTTGCTGTTTTTGTTGCCGTGGTCATGCAACATGGAATCGGCCTCGTGACCCGCAAGAGTGTCAAGGGAATCGATGAGGTTGAGCTCGCGGTCGATTTGGCTGCAGACAGACTTGCGTTGCGCGTGACCCTTGTCAGGGGAGGCGTTGAGGACGTAGGACTCTGGTCGTGAGCCGGGAAGAGTACCGTTGGTCAGGGTCGGGGAGCGATCGAAGGGACTCGGGCTGGGTTTGGGGGGGAAAGAACCTTTGTGGGTCTCCGCGTCTGCAGAATTGACAGTCATGAAGAGCGAGCCAAGCGGGAGAACCACATAGACCGAAGGTAGGAGCATGATCTCAGGTAGCATCACCCCGCTGCTGTTGGGAATGACCTGCAAGATGCAGAAGATGACTATTTCAGAACTGGTCAGGAGCTGAACAAGTGAGGACAGGGTGGCTTTTATACTTACAAGGCACGATGAATGACTGGGCACATAGCAGCCCGACCAGATTCAACGCCGAAGCAAAGATGTTGTGGCCCTTGATCACCTTGGAAGGTCGTCGCCAAATGATGTCCATGATCGAACAAATTGAGACCAGCGAGAAACTGCCAATGCTGATTGCGTATGTAATCAAGTAGGCGTTCCGGAGACGAAGCAGGGTTGTGCTATCTTCCAGATCCACTGTCTTGCCAATGTACAGGATCTGCTGGATGTTAAATGCCATGCAAGTTGCGAGTGCAATCATGGATGCCATCACGAGGTACATGAGGATGACCTTGTAGACGATAATGAACCGGACTCTGACGCCAGTCATTAGTCCCTTTGCCTGCAGCCACAGGCAAATTGCTGCGAAGACGAAGGCGATCCATGACGCAACTGCGCTGATGGCGTAGACTGCGGTGTACTTGCGAGGCCAGACGCTAGAGGCGATGTCGAGGGTGACATAGGTGTAAGCAGAGGTAGTGTTCAAGCCAGGTGTGAGGGCCGCGATGATGTTTGTCATGAGATGCAAAAGCATGAAGACCAATCCAACGAGAAGAAAGCAGTGGAAAGGTGTAGTTCTCTTGTGGCTGGGGGTCAGGGCGAGGAGGTAGATCAAGGTTGCCCAGCCCAAACCGGCTGCTAGCCCTTCGCTGGAGGCATAGTTGACGTTGACATGATCCCAATTGTCGAGAAGACGCCAGGTAGTCTGGTTGAAAGCAGCGCTGCTGTAGGTCGGGACGCCGAAGGCCGTGTCGTAGTAATAGCCGCCGACTCCTGCGGTGGGATAGCTTGTTGGGGCGGTGAGTGCCACGGCCGGAATGGTGCGTTCAGCCATGACTGATGGGGGTGTAGGAGGTTGAGAGGAGATGAAGTAGGAGCTGGAGAGGAAGACGAGCTCGTCGTTGACGAGAAGGGAGGGTCTAGCTGTTGCTTCTGGGGAGCTTCGGGGTGGAGAGATGATGAGGTGAAAGATGAGTTTGTGGTATGAGTGAAGATTGGAAGTTAAGGTGAGAGAGGAGGGAAGAAGCAGGACGACAGGGAAAAGTAAGATGAACACAGGGAAGACAACAGAGATTTTGTTGACGTCCTTGTGTGATGACTGAATTTTTCAACTTGAAGGTCGAGCTGAGCACAAGACAAAAAGGTCGCCTGGCCGACGTTCAGTCTGCCTGCGCCCTCACCTTCCTCGCTCTTTCCCTCGCTTTCACCACTGGCATGGGCTGCAGGCGACGGACGAGCTTGTCATGGCCCAGAGCACAGCATCATACCAGATCCCGACTGTCCACTTTACCCTCACACTCACGACCAGTCTTATAGTCAAACATTGCCACTCTGCATCCTCTGCATCTTATCTGCGCTTTCAAACATCTCATTACTTTCCTCTCCTGTTTCAGCCCGCCCCTGCTGCTGTCCACAAGGCGAAAGAACCAGGTGTTTTCATATGAGACCTCAAGAACAATACTAAGGCCTTAATATTGTTCCCCCCCTGGCTTCCACCATCTGCAAAGACTTACCAGAATCAACAGAGGCCCCATGGGCCAGCAAAGCTATCTGATGTACTGATGAGCATCTTCGCAACCGGTCTTGGTTTTTGGGGGGGTAGCGGTTGGGAAGGATAGTGAACGTGCAATGATAAACAACTGCAGGGATACTTCGCCCAAGGTATCACAACTTCACCGTATTGGCCGCTAACATATCCTATACTGCGGAACATTCCCCGTTACTATGGCAGCTGTCAACGACTTCCTTGCTATGAATCCTCCCAGAGAATACGGCATAATGCACTCACTCCTAGAACCTGAAAAACTGTCGACTCGGCCATTATGCCACCCAGAAAGAAAATGACAGAGAAAAGAAATCAAATCTAGCCCAAACCCAGACTAGGCTCACTCGATTGTCAGCAAAGCCTCTCCTGATCGGCCCCCCCCCCCCCCCCAACGTCTAATCCATCCCATCTTTCTCTCCTAGAAAAGGGACTGTCCTTCCCTCCGCAGTCAGGAACACGCGGAAGATCTCCTCAAACTTACTCCTCCGCCCGTAGTGCGAAAGGCTTCTATAGTTCGGAATTTATTGAAATTGGGATCAAAGACCTGGACCATTTGTTCACCTTATTGCTGAGCACTTTGCCAGAAGGCTGGAATTGGATGATGCCAAGGCTGGGTATCACTGGCAGTCACCACTGCACTGCAGTGCGTACATGTACCTGGTACTCTACCGAGCCAGGGCAAGTAGTCCTTGGTATATGTACTGTAGTCAAGGACAGGCAGAACCGGGACGCTTTCATATTTCGTGTAGCTCACTCTCATTGTCTGTTTGCTTTCCACTTCAAGTCTCTCTGGTTGCTGTACGCCTTGTTTGGATTTTGTCGCCTGTCTCAGAATGGTTGCTGTCTTTCTCATTTACTTCACTGCCGCAGGAGCTGAGGTCCTAGCCGGACTGCCTCTGGAGGGCGACTCAAGTACCTACTACTTACCAAACAGACCACAGGACACTGAGGTTAATCTGGCCTCAGATTTGGATCACGACCATTCTTCCCTCTGTCTTGGTTTGCAGTCAACATCTTCGAACTTTCCAGAGACTAACCAACGCACCAGAGATCCATTCTGACTTCGTCCTCCTCCGTGCATTCAACGAGACCGATAGCCCTTGTTCGGTGCGCCATGAGAACGGTTCAGAACTTGAAATCCCTCTCTCATCCTCGGAACACTACAAATCCCTAGTTCTCCGAAGCGATGAGCATTTCTTTAGCCCCGCGGGACGCTGGGCAATACGTTGGGACGATGAACAAGGGACAATCTCAAATTCTATGAGGCCCCCGCCCCTTCCTCTCGTCACCAGGTTCCAAGTTGGTGAACTCGAAGAGGAAGACCTCAAGGATAGCCTGCACGAAAAGGCGGACACGTGTCTCACGGTCAGTCCAGGCCAATCGACTACTTCTACCTTTTGTCCATCTCCATCGCCGGGGAAGCAGCGGGACCAGACCAACATTTCGACAGAAGGCACTGGGGCTTCAGAGTATTTGTCAAGCCAACCAGAAGATCTCCCGCCTACCGAGGAGATCATCGGAGTTGAAGACAAGGAACATATCATGCAGACAGAGCCCGAGAGTCACTCAGACGAAGAGCCGGGGCGAGAGGGTCCAGCACCGTCTATCGAAAGTGTAGAAGAGCTTGCATCAACTGCGAAAGGCCCAGAAGGATGCCATACGTCTGAACAAGATGCAGATACTGCGGTTGAAGCTCTCTCCTCTGCGGTGTCAATACCACCAACGCAGGACTTGCCGCATGGCACAACTCCGTCTCCATCAGACTGGCTGACAAAGAAGCGAAAGTTCGTGCACAATGAAGAGACCGACCTTCAGGTCGACAACTCGTACGGTCAGCTTCGAACAGCACAGCGAGACGTAGTCGGTGACACAATCGAGGTCTGGACTAGGTCAAGGCGCAAGGCAACCATGTTGGCACACAAGTCTCCATCCCCGGTCGCTCCAACAAAGACGACGTCGCCCGCAACATTTTCGAGGTCACAGACTCAGGATCCTGACGAAATGGGTTCAGGTCGTCGAGGTGCCCAAGACAAAAGCCCACCACAGTCAACAGTGGGGCCTCCTGCTCGAGAGGATGTCGGCCGGGTACCGGTGGTAGTATTCAGCAATACGAATATCCAGGAGAACAAGACTATAATGAGATCCTTTGCATCTCTTGGAGGCCGCGTCACCACCTCGATCAATAAAGCGACGATACTTGTTGTAGGAGACGGGCCTCTGAAAAAGACCGGAAAGTTGATAATGGCAGTCTCAATTGGACTTGACGTGGCCACAGAACAATGGATCGTAGAAACAGTTAACAAAGGACAAACCCAAAACATTCGTCAGTTTCTTCCCAAGGATCCCTCTCGAGAGCAGCAGTGGGGCTTCAATCTAGGGCAAGCGATAGACCGGGGAAAACGTGGACTCACACATTTACTCGCCGGTACGACTGTCTTTTTCACGAAACAACTCAAAAGAGAGCTTGGCAGCCTTGACCGAGAGATATCTCAGATTGCGACTATTTTGGGTGCCGAGGCGGTGAAACACCGATTGCCGGCTCTCAAGAACAAGGGGCAGTACAAAGAAAAAGAGCTTCTAATAATAGGAGCTCCGCAAGATCCTCAGGGTGCGCACGCCGGCCGTCTGGGACAAAAGTTGTTCAGCAAGGATATCCTCACGATGGGCGCGTTGAGGGGAGAGATTGACAGGGAGTCTAGCGAATCCATCCTCGAAGTACCTGTCAAGGACGAGGAGAACAACTGACACTGACAGTGGTCAAGCTGACAGGGGAATAATAGCATCGCCAGCTGTCCGGTTGGCCACGTTCTCCTCCACGGTGGGTTGATGTTGTTGAGGTGAAATCGAGAGATTGGCGGGCGAGCGGAGCTGGTCGATTTGTTAAGGATGCAGAGTGAGTACGCTCTGCTTTATCAACCAAGTAGACGGTGTGTTGCAGACTGATACGAGATACAGGACTACCACCCACTACTAGGTACGGCAGGAGGGTTGTCGATTTGAAGGTCCACCCTCGTCGAATCCACCACTGCCTTGTGGGGTACATATGTACCAGTATGCAAGGGGTGATTGCTCAATTCCCTCCTAGATAAGAGCTTGCAAGCTGCTCGAAAGCATCGTTCAACTCAGCATTCCCCAGACAACGGTCGGTTTGCTGAAGGCCGTCAATTCGGCATCGATGTGTGCCAGGGCAGGTTCTTCTCGATCCTTCTGCATACCGTTACATGGCCGTGCGGTGGCTCAATTCTGAAACACAAATCTCTCCCCTTCTTAAGATCACTTCGACCGACTCCCTTTACTCACCACGACCCTTCTGAAACAGGCCGGCGATCTCGTTTGCAGCCGTTAACTTCGCTCTACTGTCCCCGATCCTCCATACTCCGTTACTCGGCGCATGGGATTCTTCTCGACTAGACTGCTCCTGGTAGGTGCCTGGGATGAGATCCATCGTCAAATCTGCTTTCAGCCACCCAAGGCTGGAACCCCCCTCCCCCCCGCGGAGCATTCCCATCAAGCGAGCCTCAGTCGACTCGATCAGCGAGTCGGCTCTCAGTCCGGAGTGGAACAAATCCACGCGAGACGGCGACACGGTCACTTTTCCCTTCTCTTAACTTCAGTATCATGCAAGGCCAACTGACATTTAGGATGCTCCCCCCAAAAACGTTTGCCGTCCAGCACATACCTGCAATTTCGTGCGCGAGCCCTTGACGATGGGGGCAAGAAATCAGGCACATTGACAGCATTCAGTTAACGGAGTACAGAGTACATATCCCCTCCTCGTCCGGCAGGTCTCCCCAGCGTCTCTTTTCATTGTTGCTCGTCTTCTCTCTTTTTTTTTGTTGCCCATATCACGTTCGTTTATCGGCTAGAGGCCGGTGACCTCGCCGTTCGTTCTTTATTTCGTGTGCGAGTATATCGTACACACAGTCCTTTGTCGCACTCTCCTTTATAGCTCTCGTTGGTCGCTCTTGGAAGTCCCATTCTCCGCCTGAGGTTCAGTTCGCAACTCTCAACCATACCACAATGTCCGTTCTCCTGGCTACCGGCCTTATGGCCGCTCTTGCTGCGTCGCCCGTCTCAGCATTCTGGCGACTGCCTTGCAAGTCCCCGATCGTCGTTGAGCGGGCTGATCCCATCATCAGTCCCGGTCAAGTGTCGAACCATCTGCACACAATCATGGGAGGCAACGGATTTGACTTCACGATGGACTACAACTCTACTCAAGAATCCACTTGTTCGTCTTGTACGGTGATTGGGGACAACAGCAACTACTGGACGCCCACGCTGTTCTACCAACACCAGAACGGAACTTTCGAGAGTGTCAAGCAGATTGGCGGCGCGACTGTCTACTATTTGCAGCGAAAGGGGGACGGCGAGACCTTGAAGGCATTCCCTCCCGGATTCCGCATGGTTGCAGGCAACCCCTTCAAGCGAACCGGTGGCGATGACTTTGCTAGTCAAGCCGTCAGCTACGCTTGTCTCGACTACAACGGCCCTGCAAAGGCAGAAACCCCCATGTTCCCCAACTACAACTGTCCCGATGGTCTCCGGGCCCAGGTCTTCTTTCCCTCCTGCTGGAATGGCAAGGACCTGGACTCTCCGGACCACACTTCCCACATGTCTTATCCCACGGGCGCTTACAACGGTGGTTCGTGCCCTCCCGACTTTCCCGTCCACCTTATCTCTCTTTTCTTCGAGGTCATCTGGGACACGGGTAAATTTGCGAATGAGTGGTACGAAGACGGTCAGCCATTTGTCTGGTCCATGGGCGATCCTACTGGTTATGGCGGCCATGGTGATTTCGTCATGGGCTGGGATCCCGAGCTGCTTCAGAAGGCTGTCGACCAATGTACCAACGACAGTGGTAGAGTCGAGGACTGCCCTGTATTCGACCTCATTCCTGATTCTCAAGCCGAAGGCTGCAGGATCGAACCAGAAGTGGACGAGCTTGTCAGCGGCCTCCTCGATGCATTGCCCGGCTGCAACCCCGTTCAACCCGGGCCTACAGCAACGCCTCAGAGTGGCTGCGGTGCTCCCACGGAGATCACCCCATCCAATGCCACTTTCTTCACCGATCTCACTGGCAAAGGCTGGTCCTACACTGGATGCGGCACTGACAATTACTACAACCGGATCCTCACCGGTGCTAGCCAGGCCAATGACCAAATGACCAACGAGAACTGCGTTGCCTTCTGCGAGAGCAAAGGATTCTCTGTTGCGGGCACTGAATATGCCAGTGAATGCTACTGTAAGTTGAGAAGGACCCCTTTCTGACAAGAGTGAACCATGGGTGCAACAGTCGCTAACTCGTACGAAGGTGGCAATTCCATTCCATCAAGCGGTGCACCTGTGCCCGGAGTGGTCGGAAATTGCCAGATGTCCTGCAAGGGTGATGACTCCGAGTTCTGTGGTGGCTCTGGCACCATCTCTCTATACCAGAAGTGCACGGGAGACACATGCACGAATGCTCAATTCGGCAGCTCTCCGGCTCCTGTCCAAGTTGCCAGTCCTCCTGCTTCTTCTGCCACCGGCTCTCCAGCCTCGTCTGCTCTATCAACTTCGCCCGCTTCGGCCGCCGAATCTCCTACTACGCTCGCCACGGTCACGACCTCCAAGGTTGCGGCGGTGACTACCACGACAGCCTCCGAGCCACAGGTCCAGCCAGTCACCACTACTTCGGTAAATAACTATTCTGATTCTGAAACTGACTCACCTTCTACTTCCTCACCAACAGACGCAGACGCAGACTCATACTCCGGCGCTGCGTCATCTGCGGCGATATACCCAGGTGATGCCGCCGCCGCGACAGCACCCAGTGTTCCTACACCATGAACCACCAAATCCTTTCGCTATCTTTATCCTTCCTCCCCTGTCCCAGCTATCCCTACATCTTCCTGAGACTGATCTTCCCTTCACTCTCCGGCATGAAATCCCTTTGCCCGTTCTTCATATGCCCTCCAAAGAAAAATCAACGACCAAAGTGCGCGAAAAAGTGTCTAACACAGCTTTCCATGTCTTGTCTAGCCAACATCTTCGGCATCCTCCACCCCCGGCTGGACCTACAGCGGTTGTTTCGTCGACACCGTCAACCCCCGCACCCTGCCACAGTGGTCGAATTTCAACGGTGGCAAGGTGACCAACGAAGCGTGTGTCTCGTTCTGCGAAAGCCGCGGCTTCGCCGTGGCCGGCACGGAATACGCAGGCCAGTGTTTCTGCGGCAATGACATTTCCTCGCCTCAGCTCGACGAAGACCAGTGCAACATGGCCTGCACAGGCGCGGAGGATGAAGTCTGCGGTGGACCTGGGGCCTTGAGTGTGTGGAAGAAAGGCTCCTCGAGCACCAGGTTGATGGCTAAGAGATATGTCAACCATCTGCGCCGGCACGGGAGGAAGGCCCAGTCCTAATTCTGTTTGGTCTGGTCGACCACTGTTCATGTACCGATCTATTTATTCTTTATTCTTCACAATGTTGTTGATATGTTCAACCCAAGTCCTCTCCTCCTCTGCGACCCATGGACACAACTTGGCTACAAATCCTCGTAGTCTACAAGACATGATTCATCTTCGTCCCCCCCTTCCCCGTGTTCAAGGTGAACTTGATTTTTCGCCGCAAGCTTCCATTGTGCTTGGGTTCCGTGCCTGCGCCTCGAGGGGCCTCCCGTCCTCGTCCGTGTCCAGATCTGTCGGCCTTTCCGGCTCCAAGACGGACGCCAACATCAACAGAATACCCTCGCTCGGCCGTCTTCGACTTCGACTTTGCCCCTGTCTTGGCCTTGTTCTTCTCGAGTCCAAGACCAACGTCGAGGAAGTATTCTTCCTGCTGCTGCTTCTCCTTCTCTTTCGCCTTTGCCCTGCTTTTCCTAGCATTCCCGAATCTCGCCCAGACTTCGCGCAGCGCGGTCGAAGCACGCACCTGGACTTTGACGGTGAAGGGACCGCATCTGCGGCAGTACTCGTCCGTGCCGCACAGGCAATAGCGGCCATTGGGCCCGTCGAACTGGAGTGTATTGAAGTAATTCTTCTTGCATTCCCAGATGGCAGAGAGGATGTCGCGCAGCTCGGCTCCCTCGACCATGAAATCTTTGGCCGCTGTTCTTGCCGTTGATGATGACAACGACGATGACGGCGAGAACGATGGTGCTGTCTGGTTGGCCCTCGCAGGACAGCCGCATGTTTTGCCGTTGGCTCTTGCCCCAGTCTCGGAATTTAAAACGTCCGGAGTCGATGGCACCGTCACTCCTGCTCTGCTGCGGCTCAGGCCCTCGGTTAGTGAGGGTGCCAGGTCCTGCACATCTTCAAGGAGTATACGCGCCAGGATGCTCCAGTTCCCGTCGCGCGCCATGCTCTCGGCGGTCCACTGGTTCTGCTTCGGTTTCGAACTCGAACTCGAACGCTCCCTTTCCCTTTCCATTTCGTGCTCCATGTACTTCGCGTACATTTGCATGGAGGTCTCGAGCTGCTTGCGCGACACGCCCAGTTTGCGCGCAGCCTCGGCGAAAACGCCGCGCAAATGCCCGTTGGGCTGTTCCGAGTAGACTGCAGCATCGTCGTCCACTTGGACGGTGATCTGGACGCTAGGCTTGACGATTCTGACCCTGGCCCGGCGTAACAGGTTGTCTTTCAATCTTTCCAATGCCCCGGTTTGATACACCTGCATTTCCAAGTCGACTCTGGGCTTGCACCCTGGCTGGTCGCGTGCGTTTTCGTCCTCGTATTGCCGCCATGTCTTGACCACGTCAACGCGCTTGAGTTCTGCGCGGATCGCGGCGGCACATGTATTGATTTTGACTCGTACATCTGCCGCCTTGTCCGTCGAGAAAAAGGGGCTGTAGAAGGTGAGCAGTTTCCAGCGGATCAGGTCCTGCCCGATACGAACGAGGTTGGAGATTGTGAGTGCATCAGGCGGCCGGCTTGAAGAAGGCTGGCACTCCTCGGAACGACACTGCTGGCTGGTACATCCTTGCATCACGGTTGTCCTTGGACTCGTTCACTCACGCCCCTAATGGGCACTGTCAGCAGAACAAAAGAGGCGACGAGAGCTGTCCTAAGACACGAAACGGTTGTTTTCCGGCAGTTGGTTGCAAGAAGTCGTCCCGTCTCGTCTTGTATAGAAGAAGAAAAGTGCAGGGAGACAAGATGGAGAGAAGACAGAGAAGACAGGGAAGAAAGACTGCAGGAGCGAGGGAATTTTTCGAACACGGCTTGCTCTCGCGCAGCCGGTGTCAGCTATGGCCGTGTGGCCCCTGGACTATTAGCACAAGGACAGTCAACAGGTTGATCAACAGGTTGATTTGACGCGATCCAAGTAACGCCCAAACTGGACCGCCGATGAGGCATGGGGTTTCCACCGGGGCAACTTGCGCCCAGTAGACAAGAGGTGGTCGGCTGCTGCCACTCTTTTGTTGGCCCCGTAACTGTAACTGTAACTGTAACTGCGAAAGAGCGATGAAGAAAAGTGAAAAGGTGAGAATTCTCCGGTCCCGTTTCCCCCCCGGTCGCTATATAATGCTACACTGGAATGGCCAAGGCAAAGCATGTAGAGTTGTGGTGGTCGTTGGTATCAATTACACGCCAGTCGCAGTAATGGCGAACACCTTCGTTGTTCCATTAACGAGGAAAAAGCTTCTTTGCAAGCGGACTTGGTCAGGTTATGCTTTTTATTCGGTCGGTTCGCCAATCATGCTCGAAGTCCAAGTAATAACCCCGTGTTCTTGCCCTTTCCGTTTTCTCCGTCTCCGCCACCGGGCAAATACGTGACATTTGGATTGCTGGCCAAGGTCTGCGCAATATCTTTGCTAGCTTCAATTCTTCTGATCTGGATCAGACCATCGCCAGCCTTGGCCACCGCTTTGCTGATGATTTCGGCGGCCTCGGCTTCACCCTCGGCGCGGATGACGTTGGCTTGTCTCTCTTGCTCAGCCTTTTCGACGACGAATCTCGCCCGTTCTGCATCTTGTTGTGCAATCTGTTTCTGTTCAACGGCTCGTGTGAATTCCTTGCCAAAAGTCATATGCGTGATGGAGACGTCCTCTAAGGCAATGTTGAACTCCGACGCTCGGAGCATAAGGTCGTTTTGGATCCGCTGCGACACTGCCTCTCTCTGAGTAATCAACTCTGCGGCATCGAACTGGGCGACAATGGCTTTTAAAACCTCGTTGCCGATGGACGGAAGTACCCTCTCATCGTAGTCTTGACCGAGGGCCTACAATGATTCATTTGTCAGAGAAGGAACATAGACCGAGTCTCAATCATTCAGTGGCTCACCTGGTAGATCTTTGGCAGCTTCTGCACCTCCGGTCGATGCAGTACGCGCAGAGTCAGGCTGACCATCTGCAAGTCCTTGCTTCCGGTGGTGGTGCTGATGTTCCTAGGCTTCGTCCGCACGTCGTAGATGATGGCCTTCTGCAGCCACGGAACCAGGAAGTGTGTGCCTTCGTTGACCACCTGATCTTTCACACCCCCAATCCGGTCGAAAATGACTGCCCTCGTCCCACCTTTGACGTCGTATATTGCCGCCTGGCCCAGCGACACGGCGATGAAGACGGGAACGGCATATCTAGAAATGGCGTTGAGTACGTTAGGCGCCGACATGGTGAGAAGATTGGCTGGAGGTGATCAATGGAGCACCAAGGTGGTCGGATTCTGTGCGTCGTTGCTATTGCTCTGTGAAAGCTCCAAGATGCACTCGTGGATGTCATGCACCGATGACATTTTAGGTGCCAACCGCAGCTTGGGGACGCTGCGCCAAGCACAAGTTTGCGCATCAATGCTCCGCCGGACAGGAATCTCTGCCTACATGTCTAGATTTGTACTCCGTCGTACTCCGTACTCCGTCCGGATGGCACCGCTACAACAAAGCCAACCTCGTCGGGTAAAATATCTAGGATAGCAGCCCTTCATGCATGACGTTATACTTAATCAAGGCGACAGCAGTCACTATTTGGACCAACTGTCAAGTACTTCTAGGATGAATCTCAAGTTTCTCCGTAAGGGTACTAGGTCGATCGTTGACCAATCAGGAGTGGTATATTTCTGTTACATAAGCTGCCAAGCACTCCTCAAGTCCAGCTCTGTCGCAGCTTCTAGCAGTACCACCGGCGACCGTGATTTCTCGCAGTCTTTTGGACGACAAAGAACCCCATTGAGCACACGACAGAGTCACTGTTTCTAAAGGAAACCTTGCGAGATGCGTCCGACTCCGGCTTTGCGATTGCAAGCTACGCGGTCCCTGCGACTGCAAGCAACTAAACCCTTGCGAGGTGGTCATGGTCCTGACCCCAAGAATGGAATGTATGTCTAGCACCGACTACAACTCCCTCATACCCCCCTATGCTGGGTTGTTTCTTGCAGAGCTGACATGTTTGACACAGTTACATGGGATGGTGGGGAAGTTTTGGTACGATATGCTATCCCATCAATCCGAGAGCTTCAAGCCCGTTGTATCCAGACCGAGAAGCTCCGTTCCATGACACAGCGCCGCTGACAACCTCTATCTGAATAGGCTCGCCAGCTCAGAAAGGTGTGGTCACCTACACGCTTTCCCCGAATAGATACAACCCTATGGCCGGAGCTTTGAAAAATGCCGTCTTCAACACCTACCGCCGCACATACCACCAGATTCTATACTGGTTGCCTCCTTTCGTTTTGGCATATTTCCTGATGCAATGGGCCATTGAGAGGTAAGACTCCGAACCAAAAACACAATGTATGAGTAGTCAGGAATTGACTGCCCGGACAGAAATGAATATCTTAACTCGAAGCCTGGGCGAGCGGAAAACGAGGGCGAATAGACATGGTGGTGAGGATTCAAGAGCGGACGAAAGACTGTACATAAGTGGATAAGCAACAACACAGCGGAATTTTCATCTACGAAATCAATTCGCAGAATGTTCAGTGAACTCACATCGTGTCAAGCTCCGTTCGACTGCTATCCCGTCCAAAGACACGGCAAATTTGCTACGAGACAATCATTGGTGACCTTGAACAACGATCGACCACGCCAATGATGAACTTTGACAACCTCGAGTATATAGAGCGAGGAACCCGATAATGCTTAGGCCCGTGACCCAGAAGAAAATAGAAAAAGCCACTGGAAGTATGGTCTTTACCCAGGCCCGATGCGTGGCATGTCGTGGTGTTCACTGAGGCTGCTGAGGTAGCGATTCAGCTCCTCGACTCGCTCTTTGTGCGTCTTGATGCCTTCCCGCCTAAGCCGTTCTTCCAGCTATATGGCCGCCATCGAGTCAGTCGTGTCAAACAAAAAGAGTACAAAGCAAGACGAAAAGTGACGAGTGCGACCAACGTACCCTTTTCCGTCTCTGCTCTTCGTAGCGTCTCTCTGCTTCTGTTTTGATAATGACCCTGTCCTCGTCCGACTCCGCGCCGGTGGCTGGTGCGACTTGCTTGCCGTCTCTGAGGCCGCGTTCGTCTTTGGCAAATTGCGCGTCTTCATCTTCCAACTTCTTCAACATGATCGACTTGTCATCAAAAGAACCTTCCTCGGCCTTGCTGCCCTCCGCTTCGTCCTTGGATTTAGGCTTCTTTTTCTTCTTCTTATCCACTTTCGAGTCTTTGACGCCCTTGAGCTTCAGCCTCCCGGAGCCAACCGAGGCGTACTCGCCTGGCGCCATGTGGGATTGGACTGGGTAGAGAAAGCAGATTTAGCAGGTTGATGTCGACTCTAGCGGAGGATGTCTAGAACATACCATGTTATATCGAGGCAGTTATGGTTACCCATATTTGGGTGGGTAGGTTGTTTCTTATAGCGGCGGGACTTCGGGCGAGCATTTAGCCAAGCATTTGGCATCTCCGACTTCAATCTTCAAGTTCCGGGATTGAGAAAGTCGACACTCACTGTCCAAGCTGCCAGTGCGGAAGAGCAGTCCCGCGACCGACTGCACATACATTTCGCCAAAAGCAGAAATCCTTGCCGTCCTCTACTTGATCGTCCAGGAAAAAGAGCTGCCAGGAGAACTGGTCATTCCCGCCCACCATGTGTCGCATATGCGGGCGCATGGTCAAATGCATATTTGATTCCATGCCATCGAGGCTGCCTTCACAAGCTTCAAAAAGGTATTAAACATGTGTCTATCCTCACTGTTACGGAACTCTGGATGTCTATGAGTACTCGCTGACCTGATTTGCAGTTATGGCACTCTCCGGCAACCTCCTCAGCACCGGTCTCACCATATCTCATCACGAACGCTGGTCCGCAGTGCATTGGATATCTCGGCACGCACATCCACGATATCTCAGCCTCCAACGTTTCTCCTCCCTTTCCGTGCGAGCCTACACCAGGCATCGACGCAGCAAGCTGTGAGCCCAACATCGCAATTCCACAACACTCAACCCGAGATCCCACCCCCGCTGCTTCAGACGACGGATGTGAATGCACTCTCCCCCTCTCCCGAATCCTCCGAGAGCACATCAATCACCACTGCTCCTTCCACGACGCAGTCTCTCTCGCAACCGCTCGTGCTGTCTCGATCTCTGCAAGAATTTCTGCCCAAACTGTGCGTGCAGAAACCGCACTACATCGTCGCCCATATCCACCGATTCCCGTACCTGTTAACCGAAGGCGACACACTCCGATTACCTTTCCACATGAAAGGCGTTTCGCCTGGCGACGTTTTGCGATTTAACCGCGCCAGCATTCTCGGATCGCGCGACTACACCCTCAAGGCCGGCACGAGCAACACCGAGTCATACGATGCCAAACGCACAGGCGAGCCCACTTACCTGGATGAACGGCTGTTCGAGTGCCGGATGCGTGTGGTGGGGCTGGAGACCGGGCCGATGATGGACAAAGAAAAAAAGAAGCGCAGAAACAGGCATCGCAAGATCGTCCACAGCAAGCACAAGTACACGGTGCTGCGGGTGATGCAGATCAAAATCAAGAACTTGGAGGAGCTCAACCAAGAGAAGGCCACGCTTTTACTCGAGTCATAGGGAGCGGATGTAAATGGACACCCGCCCTCAAGGAAATATGTTGTATTATTGACGGGTAGTTCTGCGAATATGCGGACAGATTTGGTCATTGCCGGCGAGAAATAAGAATAACTTATGGATTGTGTTAGATAGGATAGGGCCGCGTTACCATTATGCATCGTGCCTCGGCCCCTACTTTGGAGGCCTTTTGAGCGAAAAGCAATACTGAATGCCGCTTTTACTCATCCCATCAGCATTTCCTGGCCAAAAAGCACTGTCCGTCAACATCATCAGCGTTCGTAAGGGTACAAAAAACTAGGCATCGAGTCGAGTTAGGTTAGTCCACTGCGTCGGTCTTTCTGATTGCACCCCAAATTCATCGTAAGTTGGAAGTCCAGGTAGAATTTACTACTGTCTTCCCTCTGTCCCACCAGGCTCAGCGCATCTCGATAGCTGGAAACATCATGCGATCGCGGAGATTGATTCTGAACTCGTATATGCCTTCTTCAGAGCCGGCATATCTACACCAGTCTATCAGCAAACCATCCAAGACCGGCGTGGCAGTTAGAAAGTACTCACAGGTATTGACCATCAGGACTGAAGCCAATTCCGGCAGTCCCAGGTCCCATTTCCATAAGAGCATCCGTAGCTGTTGCCGCTGAAGGTCCCGCTGCAGTCGTGCCTCCGTTCAAGGACGCTAAAGATGATGCGCCTGCCAGGACTCGATGGAGACCTCCGGGCATCCAGTTTCCGTTTCCATCAAGAGTACGATTTCCAGACATCCCAGACAGCCACACCATGCGTGCGAGCCGCCTGTCCGTTTCCGGAACTCGGCCTGCAGTTTCGGACGGGCGATCAATAGATATTAGGTGAGGCCGGTTCGTCGGCACCGGAAGACGACGAGTGGTGGCGCGAGCACTCTCTGACTGGGTCGCGCCAGGTCTGATGGTTGGACCGTTTGCTCCAATTGAAGCCGCTGAGATCCCATCCTGCCGAGCCTCATCGTCGTTGCGTCTCCTGCCACCGACTTCGCCGCCGCGTGTGCTTCGAAGAGATATGACAGTCTCTAGCGCTTCGATGTCTGACGTTGCCTGCGCCACTCGTGTTTCGGCACGACGGACTTGCCCTTCTATGTCCTCAATATGGGCGAGCCGCTGTCGGCTGGACTCTCTATAGTCGGTTAAGATGTGAGAGAGTGTGTCGAAGCGGGAATTCCCAGTAGGATGAGCGGGTTCTTGGGCGGAAGTCGAGTCTGCACCTGTGGTGGTTGAGTTCGATGTGGATGCTGTTGCTGCGGCATCTCTGCGCAACAGCCGTGCTCGCTCCTCTTCCAGCCTCCTCAAGTAGTCTGTTCCGGTCATCAACTCGGCCCGGAGCTCCACAGACCGTTGCTGTGCGAAGCGTTGTTCATTCACCAGCTGTCGTTGCAGGACGCGCTCGAGAGTGGCTTCAGCACGAGCACTCCATTCCCTTGCGCCTGCTCTCAAGTGATCTAACTGGCTTGGATTTTCATTGATGAGTCGTTGTTGAGTCTCGAGCTGCCTTCGGAGAAGTGTGGACAGATGTTGTTCGTCGGCCAAGAGACGCTCGATCTGGACCCCAAGTTGCCTTTCAGCTTCCAACACGGTGTCGATATACATAAGGTTGACCCGGTTGCTATTATCCGATTCCCGTGCTGATTCTAAGGCTGTTTGTATAACATGCCAAGGATCAGATCTAGGGATACGGCTTGATGCTCGCCGGGCATCTGGGATGCCTGTAGTGGTAGTCCCGGAAGCGAGTTCGTGGACTGGAACGCGGGCGGTGTCGCCTTCGTCCTCAATGCGACCGGGAGAGGCTGAGATTCTGCTTCTCTGGCCATCACCAGGTTCAAGGTAGCTAGCCTGATTGGTGTTTCGTTCGGTTGACGTTGACTCGGACATCAAGACTGATGTCCTTCTTCTTGGCTGGTGGGTTTGACGGGCAAATGGAAGTGGTGCCCCTGGGCTCAACCATTGAACTTCGTATTCTCTGACAGGATCGACAGATGGTATAGAGTCCCTGGTTCGCGGCGGAGAAGTATAGTTTATGCTATAAGGGCGAGTGGTGAGGTGGGACACGCTGTCCATCGTTGTCTCCAGTGCTTCGATCACGGATCTCTCTCCTGCATCGAGATCTAAGCCCTGTTGGTAGCTCATAAGATCTTGCCCGGCAGCTCGACGGCTGGTGTCGGTGGCCAGGTCATCAGTGCCTACTTCATCATCTCCACCTCGCGGAGACAATGCTCGCATCGCTCTAAGTCGCGCAAGGTGTTGTTGCTTCAGACGTTCCTTCACTCCTAGATTGCGGTATGCCACAGGTGTTCCATCGTCTAAATCCACCGTGTCGACCTTTTGCCGATCCAGCTCCAGGGTCTGCCGTCTGACAAAATATCTCCTCACGTCGGCTAAACCTATTCTTCCATGATCCTCAGCCCAGGCGAGAATATCCCATGGGGCTGGAGAAAAGGCCATTGCTCTTACGCAACCCCACAGGGATGGTCGAGAGGATCTGAACGTGCACAGGATGGATTTCTCTGGAGCTTGGTCGCAATCGACGAGCTGGTGCATGTCGAAGACGCTGATGGAACCACCCTGCGACGAAGCAGCACACAGATGCCCCGAAGGCGAAAACGCCACGGCAAAGCTGTAGTCATCATAGACAGGGTCTCCCGTAGGTACCACTGGCTCGGCGTGGACTTGCCAGTAGTACTTGGCATATTTGCTGGATGAACCGTCGATGAGATCAAAGTCTTCGTCTAGGCGACGCTTGTAGAAGTACACTTTGTCCGAATCTCCAACTGCCGCAATCATTGTACAGTCTGGCGACATGGCCGCGAAGTTCATGGGTACGGGATGCACTAACGTCGTCAGGATCTGCCGTTGGGCAAGTGAGTAGATCTTGACGGTCTTGTCGTTGTTGCTAATCAGCACGATGGGTTCGTCAGGCCCATTGCCATCATTGATCATGTTGTAGACATTCATCGAGTTCACTATTTCTCCACCTAACAGGTCGACGTTCAATTCATGTCCGAAGCAGGTCGGATGCCCATGTTGGTCCTTCTCCACTTTGATAAATGCACAGTCTCCGTTGACCTCGCCGCCGACACAGACCCAACCAAGGTCCGCTGCAAGACATCTTGCTTCGAAGGGAACTGTGGCTAGGAGGGAGTTTTCATGGGTCTCGAGGTCGAGGACAAAGACATCGTAACCAGTCACGTAGTAGATGAGATTGCCCTCTGACGTGCTGATGAAGTGTCGAAGCTGATGATGCGGTACGGATATCTTGGTAGGGTAGAATTTCTGAGGAGTAGCAAGCGCGTTGGTCGGTGTGAGGCATATTTCACGCTCGGAAACCGTCATTTCGTGGGAGGCTGAGACTCTAGGACAGGAGAGGCATGTCTCAGCAGTGTGCGGGATCGGTCAAGGCGGAGTGCGCTGCGGTGGCGGCGGCGGAGGGAGGAGCATGGGAGGAAGAGGGTGACCTGGAGAGATAGGAATTGATTGTATGGCTACACTAATAGTCGGTCAGGTCAATTGCATAGATGACCAGAGGCCAGCTGCAGATGCGATGCTGCTTGACGCGATTCTTCACGGTTGGTATGGAGAATTCCCTGTTCAAACCTAAACACTACGTACAGTACTCCGGACCGTGGTCGGTGGTAGTGTCAGCGGTGGCTACTATGGTACTCCGTAGTCGCTGTGTGGAGATGCAGTCGATCTCTCCAGCAAAGAGAATCTCGCAGAACATCCGCCAAGCCCGGCCCGGCCTTCGACGTGCTAGTAAGTTCCTCCTGCGACTAATTAATCGAGAGAGGATTTTTATCTACTTCCCATCTTTGCACCTTGAGCTCATCAACACCTCCCCCAATCTTCCGCCCTTTCTCTTTCACTGATCGTCGCAGTCTCGGTCTTTTGCCATCACCTGTTTCCCTTCTCGTGTGTGTTTGTTTTACTAGAGCAATCATGATTGCCTCCAGATTGTCCAGAGCTGTAAGTTCTCACCTCTCCTCATCTTCGCCTCATCTAACGAGGGATTTGTTTAGCTTCCACGCTCGTCTCCCATCTCCCGCATTTCTCAGATTCGAGCGCCTCGCTCGTCGATACTTTCCAGATATGCCTCTACCGATGCGTCCGAGGGTTCTGAAAAGGTCAAGGGCAGTGTCATCGGCATTGACCTGGGAACAACAAACTCCGCTGTGGCCGTGATGGAAGGAAAACAACCTCGTATAATAGAAAACGCCGAAGGTGCACGAACGACACCGTCAGTCGTTGCCTTCACCGAGAGCGGCGAGCGTCTGGTCGGTATTGCCGCCAAACGACAAGCTGTCGTCAACCCCGAAAACACCCTTTTCGCAACGAAGCGACTCATCGGCCGGAAATTTTCAGACCCCGAATGCCAACGGGATATTAAAGAGGTCCCTTACAAGATCGTTCAGCACTCGAACGGCGATGCCTGGCTGGAGGCTCGTGGGGAGCGATTCTCCCCCTCGCAGATTGGTGGCATGGTTTTGGCCAAGATGAAGGAGACTGCCGAAGCATATCTCGGCAAGCCCGTCAAGAACGGTGTGGTTACTGTGCCCGCTTATTTCAATGACATGCAGCGACAGGCCACCAAGGACGCTGGACAGATCGCCGGCCTGAACGTCCTCCGTGTTGTCAACGAACCTACCGCAGCTGCCCTCGCCTACGGCCTCGAAAAGGAGGATGATCGCATCATTGCGGTTTACGATCTTGGTGGTGGTACTTTCGATATCTCTGTTCTTGAGATTCAGAAGGGTGTCTTTGAGGTCAAATCTACCAATGGTGATACTCACTTGGGTGGCGAAGATTTTGACATTTCGCTCGTTCGCCACCTCGTCCAGCAATTCAAGAAGGAGTCTGGCCTTGATCTGTCCAATGACCGCATGGCAATTCAACGTATTCGAGAGGCTGCCGAGAAGGCCAAGATCGAATTGTCTTCGTCGTTGCAAACCGACATCAACCTGCCTTTCATCACCGCCGACGCTTCGGGTCCCAAGCACATCAACCAAAAAATGACCCGAGCACAACTTGAGAAGTTGGTTGAGCCGCTTATCTCAAGGACCATCGAGCCTGTTCGTAAGGCTTTGAAGGATGCCAACCTCCAGGCTAAGGATATCCAGGAAGTTATCCTGGTTGGTGGTATGACCCGTATGCCCAAGGTTATGGAATCGGTCAAGAGCATCTTTGGTCGTGACCCAGCCAAGGCGGTCAACCCTGATGAGGCCGTTGCTATCGGGGCCGCCATCCAGGGAGCTGTCCTCGCTGGTGAGGTTACGGACGTGCTGTTGCTTGATGTTACACCTCTGTCTCTCGGTATCGAGACCCTTGGTGGCGTCTTTACCCGACTGATCAACCGAAACACCACCATTCCCACCAAGAAATCCCAGGTCTTCTCTACCGCCGCCGACTTCCAGACCGCTGTGGAAATCAAGGTTTACCAGGGTGAGCGTGAGCTTGTCCGTGACAACAAGCTGCTGGGCAACTTCCAGCTGGTCGGCATTCCTCCTGCCCACCGTGGTGTTCCTCAAATCGAGGTCACCTTTGACATTGATGCGGATTCCATCGTGCACGTGAGCGCCAAGGACAAGTCGACCAACAAGGATCAATCCATCACCATTGCCTCCGGCTCAGGTCTCTCTGACCAAGAGATCGAGAACATGGTTAATGACGCAGAAAAGTACTCGACTGAAGACAAGGAGCGCAAGGCCGCCATCGAAGCCGCCAACCGGGCTGACAGCGTCCTGAACGACACGGAGAAGGCACTCAACGAGTTTGAAGACAAGCTCGACAAGACGGAGGCCGATGCCATCAAGGAGAAGATTGCTACGCTCCGCGAGTATGTGGCCAAGAACCAAGCGGGTGAGGGCAACGCCACCGCGGAAGAACTGAAGGCCAAGATTGACGAGCTGCAAACCACGGCCCTCACCTTGTTCGACAAGATGCACAAGGCTCGCGAGCAGTCCCAGACGCCACCCAGCGGGGAGGCCGGCTCGCAAGGTGGCGAGCAGAAGCCATAATTGTGAAGAAGGACGGCGCAAGGCAAGAGCGGCCTGTGTATTTTAATGATATCCCTGTACTCAACTTTTTCTAATCGCCTTTGGGTCATGGTCGACCACACCGATATCCCAGTGGTCATGTATGGGCAGATTTGGTTCACTGTGATCTGACGGAGGCAACCCAGGATCAATCGGCCTGGGAGACACGCAGGATCATGGCTTCATAGAAGGAGTCATGAGCGAGCGACAGATTGTGATCATGAAACATTGTGATTTACATACCGGGGGGTTCAAGGGGCATGGGCTGAAACAGTGGGACCAAAAGCAAATGTTTTCAGACAGTGATGCGAGGAAGAGAGCTTGTGTAACTAGTGCCACCAGGTTTGGCATATTCAGTGTCTTGGGGGGTGGAAGAGGGCGGATATGTCGCGTGCCTGAACATAATGGAACAATCTCCGCTCATGATTAGAAGACTTGCATTATTCATGACTAAAACAGTAATAGCTGTATCCGTACGGAGTCGGGAGACTGTGTCAGACTGTGTCAGACCGTCCAACTGGTTCCAACTCCTCGGCAGCAGGGGATGAGGGGCGGGCGACGATGACGGCAACAAGATGAGTGTTGACGCCAGAGAGAGGCAGGAAGGTGTATCCGTATGCGGCCGAGGCAGACGGCCGAGTCCGGCGTGGCTTTGGCAGTTTTGACATGGAGACTTGAGGCTTTTCTAGTGTCGAGGAGGGTCTGGCAGCCGCGGAGGAGACAGGTGAGGTAGTAAGGTAGCGAGACACCAATCAGAAGGCCTCCTGAGCCGGGTCAAGATACAGGTATAGGTCTAGAATGGGTGTAAGCGTCAGCTAGATAAAAGAATTACCTATAGATAGTGGAAAGTCGGGCTAGCCGGGACGCTGGGTTCCAAATGTTACGTAGTCCCCGGATGCGGAAGCTATAATCTGCCATGAACTCCGGGCCCTTGTGCAATGTGGAGCCTTGGGTATCTAGGTAGTAGGTAGGTAGTAGGCACAGGCAGGAGGTAGGTAGAGAGCAGATGAGCACTACGGAGTAGAGATGGATACGACATAACACCACTCTATGCGAATAGTGGGAGGGAAATGCCCGGCAGTTAAATCATAGTGGCGACGGAGAGCGGAGAGAAGAGAGGCGTCAAGAAAAAGCAATACCTCCCCAGCAGGCAGCCGGCGGTGCGATTGGTCGGGAGCTCTTCGATCAGGGAGTTCTCGTATCAGTTCGTGCTTTGGTTTGGCAGACTAGGGATGGGCTGGGCGCGAGAAGAATAGGGGTTGAGGGTTCTAGTGGTTGCATTCAAGTTCTCAGGACGTTTCGTTTCGTATACCTCCCGGCTGAAGCAGGAGCAGGAGCAGCAGCTGGATCTGGATCTGGAATTCGTGATCAGGAATTTTCTTGTCTCGGGAATTGGCCACCCGATCCGGCGGGAAGCAGTGGCCAAGTCGTAGGAGGATCCGTACACTGGCATGTATACAGGGTACACTACTACACTATACAGAGCAGTCCTGAGACAAAGGGTGATGGCATATCTTGTATTTTGGATTATCGATTATCAATGCATTCAAGTTGCCGAGATTACACCAATAGAGCAGCTTGGCAGTGTACCAGGCATCTACCTACCTACATGTACCTACTACCTAGTACCTAGTAAGTACTGACATGACTTAGAGGCAGTACTACTACTAGCAGGAGAAGGAATCGGTCCTCGTATAAGTACCTAACCTAGTTAGGCCTCTGCATCCTGTATTCTGGACGACATTTGTTAGTGCCCGAATACCTCAAAGCCATATGTGATCATTTAGCGGCGCGCCTATCGTGGCCCAGAGTACGGAGTACGGAGTCCCTTACCAGGTAGGTAGGTGGTACGCCGTGGCCCAGGCACCTCTTCCTTACTGCCTAGGTAGTTACTACTAGCACCTAGGTGCAGTGATGCTGCTGTATTTAGGCGTGGTGATCCACTCTCATCTTGCAGTGTCCGGGCAGCTGCTTAGACAAATCTCTGTTAGGTACGGAGTCCGGATACGGATACTCTTTAGATACAGTCCTCCGTACGGAGTACAGGTACCTGCTACGTAACACTTCCTCCCCACCCCAGCCGCGCGTGTACTCTCGGCACGGTCACTACTAGGTACATGTATAGGTAAGGTAGTCAGCTCAGTCATGTACTCCGTACCTGCTGATGGTCCACCAGACGGATACAGGACCTACCCATATGTACGGATCCCAACCAGGTACCTATAGTGCATCGGTAGGTACCTTGGGGTACTACTACTGGGTACGGAGTACTCGGTATGCTTCTGGCCCCAGAGTCCGAGAGGCGCTGCTTTCTTTTGCCGTCCAGAGGAGACATTATTCCTTTAGGTAGTATCCGTAGGTACAAACTGGTAGTACATAGTACAAGCACCTGTGCAGGTGGCAATACGGAGTACACAATATAATATGCACGCGTCCTCTGCCAGTGTCCGACGACGGGAGTAGCTAACAGGTACCTCAGTGTACGTAGTACCCAAGATACCGTAATCTTACCTGGTAGGGGTGTGTTATGTCCCCAGCGCTCCGTATTCACCATTGGATCCAGCCCTCGTTGCCTTTCCGCGCCGGTGCCACCATCAAGCGAGAAGCCGCTTCCACCATTCGTCGACCCTTGTTCATCATCCAGCGTCAGCCATCAGCCATCAGCCACCAGCAAAGTAATCAGCAATCAGCAATCAGCAATCAGCACTCAGCTTCGGCCGTCACCATTCCATTAGCATTATTCACTCAACCTCCGTCCCCTTAACTCTATCGTTCCTTAGGATCCCTCCCTGGACTGACCTGCTGTGGCTTCGCACTAGCCCGCAGCCTCCCTAAAGCGTTTACCCTTTTGATCGTGATCTGCCTTAGCTACCTGCTCCGTACCTATTAGGTACACATCACTACTACTCTGCCGCCGTTGTTTTTTTATCGTCCATCACCACCACTGCACGGCTGTCGTAACCTAGATAGTCTCTTCCACCTCCTCTCACGCTTCCCTTCGCCTTTTTGGACTTTTAACTTCGGTTCTTCCCCATTCCATACCTCGAGACTCGCGTACCTCCAGGTGCCGTGCGCATACAACATCGTCTCTCGCTCCCCTTTCCCCATCTTTCTCTTCTTTCTTGCTCCTGCTTCTTACATATGCTTATTGGTGCGCACATCCTGCCGCCTACTCTTTTTCCACCTCAGCTGTGCGCCCGCATCGATATCGCCAACCTGGACTCACCGGCTGTCCTCGATCTATCTTCTGCCTCCATGCGCCTTTACAATTACGCTTAACCTTGCCGTAATACATCAGTCTCAATCTCCTATCCTTCCCTGCCCTCGGTGTGCCGGCGCCACGACAGGAGGAAGAGGAAGAGGGAGAGGAAGTCGGCCGTTTACATTTGACCTCTGCTCTCCCACAAACATGTATTCGCGTGCGCCGTCCCACTCGCGTAAGGCGTCTGACCTGTCTTCGGAGGTACGTGTATCAGATCTCCTTCTCCTTGTCCTTGTCCTTCTTCTCCGTGATCTGCCGATCGATCCATTCTCGCATGTTGTATGTCGTGGGAGGAGGGGCTTGAAGCGAGCCGAGAGCAATTCCATCCATGGTCGACCAACTCCAAAACCGATCGATCCCTCGCGCTGCGCTGCGCTGCATCACACCACCACGCCGCACCGGCACCGGCACCGTGGCCATAGGCATCAGTCACCGCTTCCACAGCCTCTGCAACTTGCGGCCGTGGCGACTGGGCACTGGGCACTGGACACTGGGCACTGGGCACTCACCAAGCTAGACCGACCCTGGCCCTCACGACGAGTGCTCGCTTGTCCATGTGTTCGATCTTAGGCTGCCTTAGCCACACCGGCCAAAGTTGGTTGGGGGCAAGCGCCTGGCTTAGGCCTCCACAGTTTTACTACCACCAGTGACCACTGGCAGTAGCACGAACTACCAACCTCGGTATCTTGGCACGGCCGGTCTATTCCTTTACAGTGTCTGAGTGTACACTGTACAGCACGCCGTACACCTGCGCTACAGACTGCGCACCCAAACTCACGATCTTCCATCAACCCACTCACCCACCCCTCCACCTGTCAACCATACGAACAGCTCAGCGCTAGCAATGTCGTGGCTCTACTCCTCCCGCGCACTGGGCACTATTGATTACACCCCTCCTTCTGGACCTGGCACCTGGCTCTGCGGACTACTACTACTATCTCGTCCAAACTCCACACTACAATTCCCGTTATCAAATCCACCCGCTCGGAATGCGACAGCGTCAGGATCGATCAACAAAGCAGATGGCATCAACATCTTCTCATCCTCCCTCCCGCGAACGTCGACCTTTTGAGCCACCATCGCTTTGACATGCCCCTCTTCCCGCCCCCCTCTCATCCAATCTCGTCACCCTCTCGCTTACTCCAGCCGTCAAACCTTGGCTTGCTCGTGTGCCATATGGTCTCGTCACTAATCATGTCGTCTTAGCGCCCTCGTTCGTCATGGGAGTCTTCTTATCAGCCCTCTCCGCGGGATTTCCACCGGCAGGGCCAGCGTGCAGTCTCCACGGCTGGTCCTGAATCCATGGAACCCGAATCCTCAGATAGTGATGTCTCAGTCGGCGGAGGGGACGAATACAGGTTTGCGAGTCCACTGACCGCACCAATTCCGCTCCCGCCACCTCCATCCAAACATGCCTTGGAATCCTCCGATGCCGTCCAGGCTCGTCTGGACGAGTTGCAACGCGTCGAAGAGCACAACATCAAGAAGTATGATCTACTCAAAGCCAAGCGCGCACGCAAGGACGAGAAAATCCGTCGCAAGCGTGAGATCCAAGATAAGAAGTGGTCGGCTATCCTGGACGCTCGTCAACGTCGAGATACCCGAATCCAAGCTCGACGCGGGCGAGAAGATGCTGCCTTTTCTCAGTTCTTTGACCAGGAGTTGGAGGAGGAAGAGACCGTATGTCCCGTGTGGTCATTCATCTCCCCCGTTCCTCATACTAACGCGCAATAGAGCCTTCGTCGACGACTGAAGAGGCTCAAACGAGGACTACCCCCGGAGGATTCCCCTAAACCGGGCCCTGCAAAGATCTCCTCCATGTCTATGTCTCCGTCGGGCTCGACCCTCTCGACCCTTCCACCACCAACCAAACGTCATCAAGTCGGTCCTCCGGGCCATCCAGATTCCGTCAATCCAGCTCATTCTCGGCCTTCGCCGCAGTCCAATCTCGCCGCCCCTTCAAAGAGTACTTTCAGCGCGTCTACCTATTCTTTCTTTCGAGACTCGAGCTCCGCGTACGCCCGGCCATATCACCACACCTCATCGTATCCCACCACGCCAAATACCGCATCTTCTACCACACCTGCCAACGGTCTGGCCAATCCTTCTCAGACCTCGACTGAACGATCACATCTCAGTCACTTGGGGCGACCGGCTTCGCCCCTTGCGAGACCCGGCCCAACTGCTCCATCCCCAGCCACCCCGGCGGCAGCTACGAATCCACCGCGCCAAATTTCGTCGAGTTACGACACACGACCACCGCCTACCACCAGCACTGGGGGGTTTGCCTCAGTCAATACCCAGCCCACGTCCGGGTTTGCCACCATCAACCCAAGAACGACTTCGACATCACCTCTTCCTGCAATTGGCTTGCCGAGGCAGTCGGTAGTCTCGGAAGCGAACAAAACACCCACTCATCAGGTTCTCAATGGAGGCATGGAGAGCACTCGCTTCCATTCGTACGCTGTCCCCCCCGGTGGTTCAGCCCCTGCAACTGGCCCGAACAAACGTACTCCTTCCACAACTCACCCATACCAGATGTCCGAGGCTTTTGCGAACAGACATCACCATTGTGAGCGAGTGGACAGTTTGAACCGCGGCATTTGGACATCCTACGGCGTTGGAGGGACAAAGGACAACCCAACAGGTCCCGCCGTCGAAATGTATCTTCGGTGCAATCATGACGGATGTTCACGCATTGACTGGCGAACGGTGCATGGTTTGCAATGTCACATTGTGAAGAATCACGTTCAACCCAAAGGAACCATCGGCAGCCTCGACAAGGCATTGGAAAAATATGGAATTCCCGTCAAGGAGATCGAAGAATATGAACGCACCCACGGAAGAGGTAGCGCCGGCACTATGGCTGATCCGAAGAATCACAAGATTAAAATCAAGACCTTGGAGGCGTCAGGATCCCCAGGATATACTGGAGATCGTGCCCCAGGATCGAATGTTATTGATCCTGAAACCCGATCTGTCGGTTACGGACCCAGCCCAACGCCAACACTTGACAGTCCGCCTGCGCCCGAGGGGAACAAGACGAGTCCTACAACGACGCTATCCAACGGTACACCGAAGAATGAAACACCGGCTGATGATGCAGCAAAAACTTCCGCAGCTCCAGTGCAACCGAATGCTCCCGTACCATTCGTTCCGTCTACGAACTGGCTGAATTCGTACATGACTCCACGAAAATTTGAACCTGAACCGAAAAAGCTCCAAGGCGATTTCGGCATGAGTGAGACGCAAGGGAAAGATGACCCAGCTCCTGCCAAAGTTGCAGCTTTGAATGGTCAATCGCAAACTGCGCAACCGCCTACGACCAAGGTGGAGCCGCACCAGGTGGAGTCTTCCGCCACATCTACAGTAGATGGTCCCCCCAAGGCGGTGAGCGATGGAAGTAAGCCAGCTTCTCGCACGACAAGTCCTCCGGCAGCTCCACCAGTACTGTTGCCTTCGGCAGAATCATCCGCAAAAGATGTCGAGGTTGGGCCCAGACATGAGAAACCACAAACTGGCGACACTGGCTCCGAGCCCACGCAGGACGTTCCTCAACAGCAAGACAAGCACCAGGATGTACACATGAGTGGGACGGTAGAGCAGAATGTGAAAGGAGACGAGAACGCCAAGGTCAACGGGCGGCCCGAAAGCGAGGCGACGGAAGAACCAAAACGCGACGAAAAGCCAGAGTCTACAGGACCAGCACGAGCAGAAGATGCTCCAGATCATATCGAAACCATTGTTGTTGATGGCGACGCGAGAGAACAAGATGCAACACTCAAGAAAAAGGCTCCTCCGTCACCCAGCATGACAACCAAGACTATTCCGGCCACAACACCTAGCAGTGGGAGACGGCTCAGCCGGCGATTAAGTACGACAAGGCGATCGGTAGATGTTGATGGCGATGCTGGCCCTGCCAAGGAAACGAGGACGTCGATGATCACTGAGGAGGGTAAAGACAATAAAGAGGTCAAAGAGGAAAGGGAAGTTGGCAAACCCGAAACACGACGATCGTTCAATGTGCGAGTACTTCGACGAGGGAGGGTGTAGGAGATGGATCCTTCCGTGTGTCTTGACTCTGCAGGAGACTTGTGGGATTCACAATGTTGGTGGCGTTGCGGTCAATTTGACAGAGTCCTGGTGACATCAAGAAGGATTGGAAGCGTCCCAAGCCAAAACCTTGGGGGACGTTGGCCGGAAGGACGGTGGATTCATCGATGGCTGGGCCCGGAAAATGGAGCGGGACGGGATGGGAACCAACTTGTTTGTGAGAGCATGAGTTATGCTTCATGTGTTTCACGGGAGGTAATCACAGCTGTGGAATGGGCCATACAGCATTTCTTTTTGTCTGCAGGTGATGACCGATGTATACTACTAGTGCCTACAGCAACCTTGGTAATTGTCATTGGGATTGTGATTGGGATTGTCTTCGGGATGGGGATTTGGATTTGGGTTATTAATTTGGTGCAGCGAGGCCAAGGTTCGCCATGATACCTACCTACCTAATCCAAGCTCATGCCCGTTCGCGTTGTTCTCAATATTACAGTATATGGAGGAACATGGAGTAATTTGATCAAGGTTAAGGTCAAGGTCAAGGGAGCACAGCACAATTGTACTCCGTACATGAGCGGAGCGGAGGGGTTGCGAACGGTCAAACGCCGAATTTATTATTTATTAGTCCAGGATCCGTACTCCGTACTCCGTCCAGCTTCGACAACCCGTCCATTAGCTACCGGCGGGATTCGGATTCTCCCTGTTTTATTTATTTAATTAGTTCTTGTATGCCAGTGTTACTATCTTACAGTCCTTGAACCTTGAAAATTGGAAGTCGAGGGAGCAGCTTGGAATCCACCGCCGCCGGGGCCGGAAATCCAAGAGAGAGAAAAGTACAGTGGGGTGGTCAAGCCCATCCCTCAGGTAGCTACTATGTCCATGTCCATTGGGTTAGGGTTAGGGTTAGGGTTATGAGGATAGGATGGTATGGTGTGGTATGGGATGGGATGGCTTTGCTGTGCGATGAGCAATGGCATTGACTGCCGGGCAACTGCACTGCACTGCCAAATCCTATAGATATACACATAGACTTGGTATCCCTTTTGCCTTTCCTGGGTCCTGAGTGACCTTGACGCCAGATGAAGCAGCCATCAAACTATCATCAACAGTACGGAGTATTGTTCGCGACATCAGTAACAGCAGCTTCAACCACACTGCACACTGCTTGGAGTAGAGCCAGAGGCTACAACAACGTCGGCCTATGGCCTCTCTGCTCTCTGTCTGGGATAGAGTAGGTAGTCGTCGCCGTGGTGGATTTGAAGTTATGGCTTTACAATAATACTCCTCAGGGCTGTGAGATTGCTTTACTTCATACGGATACCTATACCTATATTCTGTATCATCCAGTACATGTCTACCTACCTATACGAGTACAGATCTCCTGGTTTCGGGACGTTGACCAAGGCAGTGAGTGAATGGCCAAGGTCAATCCAATATTCATCCGCCCCCTTCACCCCGGTTGATCGCACCATCTCAGTCAAGGTGCCGGACATCAGATATCAATGATTCTACCGCGTAACCTCGCTGGAAGACCCGAAAAACGACTTCGACCATCATGCTCACGACTCAAAACTCAACATGATCTGGACAACGGTGTTGGTGCTGGTGTGGGAGTGGGTGTAGCGGGCGGCGGGCGGAATGAGAACACAAGCTGGTCGCTACATCCGGCATCGTGTATCCACTGGTGCCTATGGACTGATGGCTCGAGCCGGCCTAAGCCGTCAGAGACACCAACACCGTGTGGAATCTGAAGACTGGGAAACCGGGTCCTGACCGCGACCGGGTCGTCAATGGACCAGAGTCTTGTATTCCGAGTCGGAGGACTGATCTCAGATGTGTTTCTTCAACCACGCGTCATAGGGCGAATCTCTGCTCCATATGGTGCCTTTGTTCCTTCTGTCCCTTCTGTTCCTTTGGCTTTGCTTTTCTCCTTGCCTTCTTTTATCGAATCACACCACCAACTCCGGCCCATCCCAGAACAAAGCCGCTCAACGCCTCTGTGAACAAGCCTCCACCGAGCCAAATCTCTCTCCAGGCGCCGCTGCCTTGATTGCGCCCCGGCCCTTTCTCATTCAATCCTCGGGTCCCAGCCGTCCCGGCAAAGTATTTCTGCGGCTTTGCGCCCACCAGGAAGAAATAGAACAGCGCCGAGATCAGCATGTTGGAGACAAGGTAGAACGCGAACCCCCAGAGCGATTCGAGCCCCAGGATTCCGGCCGCGATCCCGAGGAGGAGGCCGGAGATGGATCGGATGTTGGAGAGAGTCTGTCCAGAATTAAACATTAGCATCCATCATCGTTCCCTTGCCTCGGTCCACGAATAGTAGGAACTAAGCATGGACGGACGCCAAACAAGAACACAGGCTTCGGCGAAGGAGGAAGAAATTTAGCAGCGACACGAAAGAGGGCCATGACATACTCGAGTGTTGTGCGTTAATGAGTCGGGAACGAGAGGGTTGAGGAGCAGCGAGAGCTCGTAGGGCGACGGAGCCATGGCGGGGACGACGGTAGACGGAGCCGGTAGACGGTGTTCAAAGTTCGGAATGAACCCAGGCGCTGACCTGACACTTATCGGCGCCAGAGACAGGCGTGAGAAGAAAGAAAGCGGTGTTGCTGGTGATGAAGTTCGATATCCCTCGACCTCGCACGGGATGTTGTATGTTGTTCACCTTGGTCAAGTAATCCGTACAATTAGCAAGTTGAAGTCGTGGTCCAAGTCAGAAGTCGGATGCTCTCAACTGGAGACTTGGCAGTAGCTTACTACTTGCTGCTCCGTACTATCATTAGTACCTACATACTGTCAGGGTGCACGGATAACGCGCAGCCATGTATCCACTTCAGCCTTGCTCAGTCGATGTCTCTTATTACAGAGGTGCACTACTAGGTGAACATTGCTGGTCAGTCGTCTTGTACATCGGCACGCTACTACGAGGACTACACGAGGACTTCGAGTGCAAATGCACCTTGGCCTCCTTTTCACATGGAAAAATCGTATGTTGAATATCTCGTCGTGCTAAATAAACCGTCGAGGTCATCCATCCATCCACGTAAACTCGCTCGGTCAATGACAATTAGAGGAGATCTCGAAGGCCGTTAGTCTCACTAGATGAACTTCCCTAGTTGTTGTAGAAAAGTTTGCGTGGTGCTGAGTTGTGAGTTGCGTTTTCTGCTACAGTGCCAGCTTTGAAGCAGAACATGGTCGAAAGAGTGTCTCGTGGTAACGAACCAAGACCCTAATACTTCACTTTTTTTTCAAGGGCAAAGGGCTCCGTCGTAACTCATCAGTCTACTCAAACTGCTCCCGTGCACGCACCCGAAATATTCACAGGAATGACGAGTGGCCCATGGACTTTCGTATCTTTGAGCAAACATCTTGCTGTAGACGTCTGTTGCACATGATTCAAAGCTTGCCCTCGGCTTGAGCTTCTCTGACTTGTTCGAAAACCTGAAATTCATCAGCAATTGTCTGAGTTTATCATGGTCACGGACAAAGACAAACCTTGAGCATCTTGTTTCGGGCACCCAGAGCATTCACTCCACGAGCCTCCAGTCCCCTCTCATCTAGCTGGACCAAATCGTCCCATTTCAAGTCTTTCAGATTGTCCGTGTATTTGTGCAATCTCAAAGATCGTAGCCATGCCGGAATATCCTGGAGCAAGCTGGGGTCGGTCGGGTCTTCCGGAGGCTTGGAGCTACCACGCCGGCCACGAGGAGAACGGCCACGAGCAATTTCCGAATGATCTGACAGATAGCCTTCGCTGCCCAAGGGTCCTATCTGAGGAATGAGTCCTGCCATTCCCGCTCCCATCATGATCGGGGCACCCTCGTATGCAGCCAAGAAGCCATTGTGCTGAGGAGATGCAAAATTGGACTGGCCTAGAGGGGTCTGTAGAGGAATGCCTGGTGAGTTTGGCCGGGAACGTCGGCCTTGCGCAGCAGCAATTTGCTGGGCTTGAATGGCGGCCACTTGTTGCACGTTCAGAATCTGGCCGTGATCATTCACCATAATTGTGTTGATTCCAGGAATACCCGATGCCGTGACACCAGGTGTCAATGTTGGCTGCGTGTGAGGTTGTGGTTCATTGGATCGGGCGCGTCGATACTTCTTAGCATCGTCCAAAGCAATGCGATTGGTCACGGTGGAGAGAGCCGCAAGTTTCATCGCAGTAGCATTGGCCACCATATCACTGTGAGTCGCAGCTTGACTAAAGTTGGGGACCATCGGAGTGTTACTCATCGAGGCCCAACTCTGATTTCCCACATTGTACGGCGACAGGAGAGGCATGTCACTGCCCACGGGATCTGGCGCAGTCAGAGTCGTGCTCTGGATGTTGCTAGACTGTCCACCGAGCGGTCGGGGAGATCGAAGACCACCAGACGATTGAGGTTGAGTGAAGTGTCCCATGGGCTGTTGGTGCTGCTGTTGCTGACCGGATGATGATTTGGGTCTGGAAATGGGAGGCTGTTGATTCTCCCCACCTTGACGCCAGCTCATGGCATCGGTCTTGGACTCCCTCGGAGCAGATATGGTAGGCGCAACGAGCGAGCTACGATCTCCAATGACAGTGCTGTTTCTGTTGGATGGAGGGGGGTTGCCAGTTTGCTGGGCATATTCGGCCTTTTGTTGTTGTATGGCCGCCACAGCATCCGGGAACATGGCATGAATGGTCGATTGGTCCAAGCCTGAATTCCGTTTGTTCCCGGCAGGAGACAGTGGAGGACGGCCGAGCGATGTTCTACGGTCTTCGACATTCAGCTTCGACATTGCATCGTTCAAGCGGCTCGACATGGCATCCTTCTCCCCAAAGTTGGCGGGCGACAGAACGCCGGAGATCGGATGACTCTTGGACATCTGATTGAGGACCTGCGCAAAGAATCGTTGCTGCATTTGTGTGGTCTGTTGGATGAGGGCGTAGGTGGCCGCAGTTCGCTCAGCCTCACTCAAAACCCGGAACCACTGTTCGATGGCGCTCAACTCGTCCTTGAAATCTTGATCTAGTGTCGCGGCAGCCATCTCTTCCAACATGGTTTCGTATTGCTCGATGTCTTGAATCCATTGCTCACCCAGCCTGCTAGAATCATCCAAGCTGCCATGCTGAGACTGTTGGTTATAGAGGACCTCCGAGGCCGGACGGATGGAACGCGCTGAAAGGGGAGAAGCGAACGACATGTCGGCGGAGGAACGAACAGTTTGCGTATGTGTGCCAGAAGTACCGATTGTCCGCGAACTGGGAGGACGAAGTGAGGTTTTCGAAGCCTCTGGAGTGCTGTTTCTGTTGCCGATGATGTTGCTGGCCATGACGACGACTGTTTTTATAGGCAGCCTCGATGGCAAGGTAGGACGAGGAGTCTAAGAGGGTGGCAGCACACACCGGGTCGAGGACCGAAGCTGAAGACGCGAGTGGTTCGGGAGGTCGGCTGGTCACACAGACTGATCTAGCAAATCATGGAGGCGTATTGAATCGTGGACAGAAGATGCGGCGTTCGTCAGCGCGGATTGGAGCCAGTCCAAAAGCAGTGGCAAGAGAAAAGAAGGTTGAGGCGGCGGTTCGTGTGTAGTAGAGGCGGCGAAGCAGCGATAGTAAGCGGAGAGAGGTCGGGTTCGTTAGATGTCTCAGACACCTACGAGGCCCAGATAGGAATTAGGAGACGCTGCCACACGCTATAGGCGTGAACAGGAAAAGCCGAATTTTCAGACAGCCGGTGAGATGAAGCAGGGGACAGAACCGAAAGACAAGAGACAGGGACAGAGACAGGTGGAAATTGGACTTGGTGGGAGAAATAATGATGGAAAAAGTTCGCGGGCAGCTGAAGCAAGCTGGAGGCCACAATACATACGTACTAGGTACCTAATAATACGACGGGCACTAATCATTTAGGTAAGAAGGGTCGCCTAAATCCTGCTCGGCTGGGTGACAGGAGCTGAAACATGGCCTTTTGCCATTTCCCTAGGTACCTATAGTACGTATTGTACCTATCCTTATAGGTGCTTAGGGACACTGAGATAGCTTAGGTAATAGGTACCTTAGGCACTGGTGTTGATACTTAACGTCTGATAGATTACCTATAGGTGCCTATACGATACATAGCGGGAGGTCTGAACTAGGGAGATGTTTGGTATATATGCCGACTACCTCAGCCAGGTAGGCTATAGCTACAATACCCTACCAACATTATCATCTGGCCTTGTTACTATAAGGCAGAGTAGGCGCTGGTATCAATTCTTAGTACTGCGTACTCCGTATATGTACCTAGGTCCCGTCTTCATGATACCTGCGTTCTAGATAGTATGTACAGAGCAGCACCATTCCAGTACCTACCATCCTCTGTGCTGATTACACTTTACTGGTAGTAACTGTCACATCGCAGCCAAGCCGCCTAATAAAATCAAGCGGTAGCCTGGGCGCCGTATGTCGCACCCCAGTCAAGTTCGACGTCTCGTCTCGTATCCATCATCGTATCCATCATCGCATCCATCGACGCCTCTTCCTCCCGCTGTTGCTGTTGCTGTTCTTTAATTCGCTTGTCCTCCTCCGCTTCACTGTGGCGTTCGCGGCGGTCCTAAGGCTTCCCAACCGCTGTTCTTACTGGCCTATGAATTCAGACCCCAGCTGCAGAGTCTACATCGTTCACTCCTGTCGACGTCCTGCACGACCATGTTGGCATCGTTGCCTTGAGTGGGCTGAAGAGTCTGGCTGAAAGAGTACCCTCGATGATATGCTGCATCAAAGCATCAGGACAGTCCTCTTGTCAACAAACCACTACCATGCGACTACTAGAGACCCAGACAATCGCTCAACATGAGTGACCAGAATGAGGAACAGAAACAGAAACCCTTCGACTCACCATTCGCCGCACACAATGACCCCATGTTCAGGGCGCCATCTTATCCTTGGATGGCCCATCTCCCACCTGTGCCACCTGATCGCTTTCCTGTCTTTGAAGGTTACGTACCGAATTCTGTTTCTACGATTCCTGCGGAAGCGTCAGCGCAACCAGGAGGGCCACAGTATCATGTCTTTCCTGCCCAGCCAACACCACAACCAAGAGGGCCACAGTATCATCTCTTTCCTGCCCAGCCAGCACCACAACCAGGAGGCCCATATTACCATGCATATCCTCCACCGCCAGCACTCCTGACGCCTCTGCAAAACAATGGACAATATCCTCAGGAAATCCGACCTCAACATCAATATGCTGCTCCGGGTGCTCCTGTGGGTCCATTCCTGCCTCCTCCACCAGGACCGGATGTGCAGTTCAACTACTCTCCTTACCATTCCGAGAGATTCAGTCAGCTTCCACGTGGACAGCAGGCCGATGCGCAGTTGAACCAATTACCACCGACACAACCATTAGACGGACACTCGGACCCCGTACATTTTCCTCCGGAGAAGCTGGATCAACTTCATATCCAGCAAGAAAGTCGACGTGTCCTCAAGGCCAACGCTACGGCCCGTACTCGCCAGCAAGACGTGGAGGCTTCTGCTGGCGAAGATGAACTATCCATGGACGACGCTGAAGACCCTGAGCGCCCGCCAGACGCGCCAGAAGACGCTGCCTCCACCAGCGGCAGGTCTCGGAAACGCGCTGCGGCAACGCTGTCTGGGGCTGAAAAGCCTACTACAAAACGACGTAAGAAGGGTCCAGGCACTCGTGGCGGCTGGAGTAAAGGCCTGAAGATTGGTCCCCGAAAGGCCGTTGAACCCGGTGTGGAATTCACTGAACTTCATAAAAAGGCCATGAATGCCTTCATTGACGACCAAGATACCGACAAGGCGCTTGAACTAATATTGCAGGCCATTGCAGTCAATCCCGAGATCTACGCCGCCCATGCTCTTCTCTCCGAGATATATTTCGCCAAGGATGAAAACGAAAAAGCAATCGCCGCTCTCTTCAGTGGTGCTCACAGTGCTCCAAGAGATGCTGAAGTGTGGCATCAGGTGGCGAGCGCATGCGTACAACGCTCCACAGGAGATCGCCAGACTGCCTTACAGCAAGCGAGTTACTGCTATGCCCGGATCATACACAACGACGGCAAGGACTTTGACGCCCGTCTCCAGCGCGCTGCTGTACAAAGAGAGCTTGGGAACTACACCAAAGCAATGAAGGATCTAGAATTCATCCGGGAACATATGCCACGCAACTCTAATGTCTTGAGGCAGATCGCCGAAGTTTGCATCGACACTCGAGATCTTGACAGAGCTAAATCATTGTACGAAGAGGCACTCTCGTACTACCGGGAAACGGGTTTGCAGGATGAAGAGTCCTTCACTTGGGCTGACGTTCTGGTCTACGCTCAGCTCCTCGCTCAGGAAGAGCCTCCCGATGTGGCCTTGTCAAATGCTATCAGCACTCTGAAACGACTGTCTCGATGGCTGCTCGGGCGAGATGATGAGACCTACTGGGACGAATACTCGGACGATGACAGGGAATGGGACTCTGAAGACGACCCACGAAGAACCATTGTTGATCAATTCGTTCCTGGCAAACATCCGCCCGATGCCTACGGCTCCGGACTACCATTGGAGCTTCGAGTCCGACTTGGTGTCTTCCGCCTGAGGCAAGGTCAAGATATGCTGGAAGAAGCTTTAGCACACTTTGAGTGGCTGGAACCGGAAGCCAGAGATGAGGACGCGAACGTCTACGAGTATCCGGATTTGTTCTTGGAAGCCGCTCAGGCGCTGAACGAGGCTAAAGAACATAATCAAGCACTCAGATACTTCGAAGCTTTGAAAGATCTCAACGCCTACTCTGACGTGGATTTCTGGTTGGGCGTTGCTTCTAACTCCTACATCTGTGGCAATAAGATGCAAGCTATCGAATGCTACGAGGAAGCCAAAGCAGCTGACGAAAACTGTATTGAAGCCAGAACTCAGTTGTCGAAGCTGTACGCCGACCTGGGAGAAAAGGAAAATGCGATGGAAAACGCCCGAGAAGCGGTCCGTCTTGCCGATAACTCGATCCGCAAAACCGAACGGCGAAAATACGAGCGCAAGGATCAACGTATTGCTCGAGAGGAGGCGGAAAGGGCGCTCAAACAGGCCTATAAGCTCCCGGGCCCTTCTAGTGGCGGTGCGCCGGTCACCAGGATTGAGGCGCGCCTTGAAGGGACGCGAAGGAAACAGTCAAAGAAGCAGAAGGAAGCACGGAAGGAGCAAAAGAAAGGGGCACAAACGGATGTACAAGGACAGGAGGACGAGACCGTACAGGCGGCGGACACAGACAAGGATCCTAAAGGCGCTCGAAAGAAGGAACGTCAGACCCTGCAAACCAGGTCCAAGCCGGGTCCCAAACCCAAACGCATGACAGCAGAAGATAAGGAGGCCCACAGAACTGAGAACATCAATCGACTCTACAGGGACCTGGTCGCCAGCACAGAGGCTATGAGGGAAGGCGACGAAATCGCACGCAATACTTGGATGGATTGTGCCGAGTCTCTCACCACTGATTTCCGGAGTAACCGAGTTTTCTACCCTGCCGAACGACACGTGGCTTTCACGGGATACGATCGTGAATCTCGCACTGCCAACTCCCGCAAGAAGTGGGAGAAGGATCTAGGGCAGGTTCAACATGAAGGTAGCACCGACCAGGACTTCCCCCTTCCGTCTGTCGAGTCGTCCGTTCCGACCGAGTACCGCGAGATTTCTTTCTCAGATTGGCTGGACATATTTCTCGAATATGCTTTGCTCCTGGCCAACTCTACGGAACCCGGATCCCAACATCGATGCTACACTATAATCACAGCGGCTCTTGATTGTGCAGTCTGGCACCATGATCCCCAGGCGGTCCTTCAGATCTATATTACCTACTTCACCTGTGCCCTCGCCCTTCGTGATGCACACACCTTGTTCAATGTTGCTCTGCGGTGGTTTATGCGCAAATTCCGGTTCTGTACGGATGCATATCGACTTTTCGCCGGGCTGAATCTTTTCTATCCCCACGCTCATGAAAAAGGGGGAAAGGATGTTCAGATGGCTAATGCAGCCTTCCGGACCGGGCCATCGCAGAAATTCATGTTCCGGCAGGTCATGACCTTGGACATGAATCTGCCTCAGGACTACAATCCAGAGAGTTACGGTCCAGTGCCAGACTTTATGCGGCACAGCCGCGCCCAGCTTCAGAAGGAGGATGCCGAGGATGACTTGTTTTCCAACGCGAACGGGGAGGTCATCACGCCAAAGGAGATGGATGTTGTGCTCCTCACCATCTACGGACATATTCTCTACGCTGGCGGAAGCTTTGCCAATGGTCTGTCCTACTTCTTCCGCGCACGTTCACTCGATCCCAAGAATCCCGTGGTCCTACTGAGCATTGCTCTCAGCTACATGCACGAGCTGCTTAAACGACAAAACGACAACCGACATATGTATTTTCTGCAGGGCTGGGCGTTTTTCGAAGAATACGCCGATGCGAGGCGCGACTGGGCAAAGGCCAAATATGATCCAGACACTGACGCCCTCATCGAACGGGAGATCGAGTTCAATCGTGCCAGATGTTGGCATATGATGGGCATGTCTGACCTGGCCGTGAGAGCATATGCAAAAGTGCTTTCCTGCGCCGCTCCTCAAGGGCATGCAGACGAAGCCAAGTATGCGGATTACACCATGGACGCAGCATATGCCATTCAGACCATGTATGCATTGAGTGGAAATCCAGCCATGGCCAGAGTCATCACCGAAAAATATCTGGTAGTTTGATGGTTGGCATATGGAGGCACAGTTTTCATACTAAGACGGTGAGGGCACCAGATAATGAAAATGGATATGCTCAATTGGACTGCTTCTGAGCTATTTTATGTACAACATTGAACCAATTCACCGTCTTCATTCTTGACTGCTTAGCTTTCTAAGTGTTTTGGCCCCTGTCCTACATCTCCCCGAGTCTGATCCGCACGAGTTCATTGAGACTTGCTTGGGCTGACTACCAGCTTCTCCACATCAGCCACACTCTGCTGGAGGATCTGTTGCAACACCTTGGGGTTTTCGAGCTCCTTGGTGACCTTGGCGATGATGCTGTCGGACAGCTCCTTCTGCTGGCGTTGCTTGACCTGTCCTTCGTAACGGACCCACGAGTCAAGGACGGTCTTTGCTTCGGCAGCTAAAGCGGTCTTCTGCTCCAATTCAAAGGCCTGGGATTCGAGTTTGGCAGTTTCCTGTTGCGGTCCGAGTCAGCCTTCGATTTCGACACACGCGAGAATTCTTTGCATCCGCCTTGCGTTCGACACAGCAGCAGGAAGCACCGAAATTCTGGGGATGCGGTGATATGTACCTTTGAAACCTCAAACAACTGCTTGGTGATCTCGACAACGTTGCTCAAGGGCTTGACGTCCTCGATACGTTCCTTGACGGCATTGGCGTGGTTGCTTCTCGCCTCGTTCAGGATGTCCTTGATCTTCTGCACCTGGCCGTCCGCCCACTCCTTGTACATAGGCCCACCATATTTGAAAATGCTGTAGAAGACGGACAGCAGGCAGAAGGCAACCACGGATTCCTCGTTGAGCACGTACAGCTCGTTGCTGATGGCCCAGACGGATGCACCGGCGCCGGCGGACAAAATCGCCGTCTTGCTGGCGAGACTGTTTCCGGGGAGGGCGTCGATGATCGATTGCGCCTTCTTCTTGGGGTCTTCGGCCGGCACATTAGACGCATATCGCACCGAGGTCAAGGGTGTGGTGAGCGCTGGGAGGCTTCGAATTGCGAGGGATGTTGGGCGGAGTTTGCTGGCTCCTGCAACAGGGATACAGTGGTTAGTTTATCAGTCTGCCTCTCGCGCCGGTCGAGGCGTCTTGCAAGGGGGAAGCTTACCAGCCGCACTCCTCGCCAGTCTGGACGCCATGATTGTCGTGTAGTTACGGTTGCAGGACAGACTCGTGGACTGGCGAGCTTCATTCAGTTTGCTTCCGATGCAGCGAGGAAGATGGAAGCTTCAAACGCTAGGGACAAAAGAGGTCTAGTGTGCTTGGCAGACATCAGTGCGTGCTAGTATGGAGAAGTTGCAACAAAAAAAGTCGCCCACTCGAGGGGAAGCAGATACAACAGATGCGGTGACGAAGACGAGTGTGTATGACTCTGCAGACCTGCTGAGCGCTGCTGCTGTTCAAGATGCCTTCCTCCACGGCCATGGACTCGTACGCCTCTCTGATCGCGGCGCCCATGACCGTCGCCCAGCGCAAACACCTCCTCAAACAACTGCAGTCGCCCGCTACCATCTCTACGCTGCGTAGGCCGGAGATCCTGATGGACTTCTTCACCGACAGTCTGGACATGGGCGACCTGGGCCTCGCGGTGCCTGCTCTGCAAGGCCTGTTCCATCTCATCACCTCCCGCAACCTCGATTACCCATCCTTCTACCCCCGCCTGTACGCTCTATTAGACAAAGACCTCCTCCACAGCAAGTACCGGTCGCGAGTGCTCCGACACTTGGATGTGTTCCTCGCGCCGCAGAACCATCTCCCCGCCGCGACGATCGCCAGCTTCATCAAACGGCTGTCTCGGTTGTGTCTGTTCGCGCCGCCCTCGGCCATCGTGGCCATTGTGCCTTTCATCTACAACCTGCTCAAGACATATCCCACCACGACCTTCATGATCCACCGCCCGCCCTACCCTCCGTACACAAAGTTCAAACACAATCTGGGCAATGACCCCTTCAACCCGACCGAGTCGAACCCGCAACTCACCAACGCCATCGACAGCTCGCTGTGGGAACTCGAGACCTTACGTTCACATTATCACCCGACGGTGGCATCCATTGCCCGCATCATCTCTGAACAGTTCACCAAGCAGCAGTACAACCTCGAGGATTTCCTTGACCACGGGTATGCCAGCTTACTGGAGAGCGACTTGACAAAGAAAGACAAAAAGCCGCCGGTAGTAGAATACAAGATTCCCCGGACGATTTTCTCCGAGGAACCCAGCGACGACGATGCTGGAAGTCATGAAAGGATGGATAGGTTGCTGGACATCTGGGATTTCGAGTGTTGACAACCTCCAGCATTGCCTCTTTCAACAAGGCCAGGCTAGATAGGGATATGACATGATATGAGACATGATGGATATGTGGCCGGGTACAACGGGAGCCCTGATGAAGCGTTCTAGCGGGTCGGTGTTTACAGGTCTGGATTTCGTTGGCCACCTTGGGACGATAGACTCGATACGACCTAGAGTCGGGAATAATAAACTTGCCCTGGGACTTGAGATAGAATAGAATGCAATGAAACGAATGCATGGTGCCTTACTAGTCGAGCAAGAAATCTTCAACGTCACGAAATCGTTCTCCGTCCAGAACACAGTGGTCACTTCAACCAGATTGGAGGGAGTTTCAAAGTCAAGCATGTCAAATAGAGAAGAAAACAGCCGCAGCCGCAGCCGCACCCGCCCGGCCCCCAAGAAAGTCCGGAGTCCAGAGGCCTGAGCCCGTCCGATCAAAACCGTCTCCGATGGGCCTTCTTCGCTAGATGGGCCTTCTTCGCGCTCTTCCCCCTCTCCTGTTGGTCCTTCGCCCTAGTCACGTCGTTCTTGGGCTTCGGCAGGGCGCGGACCTTCTTCCTACCGGCGACGGGGGCCGAGCTGTTCATGACCTGTGCAATCAAGTATCCGTTGAGCGTGTTGTGCGAGTTCTCCAGCGCGTACAGCGGACACTTGCCGTCGTCTCCGTCGCACTCCACCGTCGGTGGACAGCAGATGCCCACGCTGTTCGGGCACGTGTTGCACAGCGCGTTCTCCCGGTCTGTGCCTGGGACTACCAACTGCGAGTTTGCGTCCGAGTCCGGGGACTTCGCGACACCCGTCATGTTGTTGCCCCCGTACGATGTGTACGTCGAGTTCGTGCCGAGCCGCGCGAGCGCATTGTCCATGGGTCCCGGGCAGTATGAGATATAGACTTGGACGGTCGTGACGGAGCGGCTGGCGCGCGAGGTCGTGGTCACGGGCGCGGCGATCGTCGTGCTGTAAGGTCCTGTCGCGACAAACGTGCCGGAGCCGGTCTAAAGGGTTGGAGTCAGTTAGATCGGCGGAATGAGGCGTTTCGGCCTGAAGTGTGGAAGGGTGTGGAAGTCGGCCTCGCCTGCACATACCAAAGTCCCACAGCCTGCGAAGCGACCATTTCCAGTCACAATGCCCGAGGTCACTATTGACACTGCGCCGGCCCCAGCAGCTGGCCAAATTGTGCCTGTACCAGTCAGGGTGCCAGTTCCGGAACCGTATCCGCCTGTGACTTGTTAAGACCGATCTCTGATGTCTCGGAGAGGAGAATGGGTAGAACATACACCCAGTGATTGTTGCTGAGCCGGTGAAAGCGCCCGAGGTAGCTATTATTGTTCCACACCCGACTACCTGTGATGCCGAACCTATTGACAAGTCAATATGCCATAGCCCAAGCTGAGGGGGAAGCAGGCAGACCGCTTGCGATTCCCGAGGCAATGACGGATGTATCGCCGATGAACACCGTGCCTGTTCCTTCTGTATTCCTGTCAACTTCATCCTCACGATCGTGGCAGAGGAGAGAACTAACCGACAATACCACTCCCAGAAGCGGTTCCACAGCCTTCGATAGTGTTCGGAACCGTGGTGGTGATATAGGAGACCGAAGGGGTGGAAGTTATAGGTGTTGCTGTAATTATGGTCAAGGTAGATGGCGTCGATGTTGTTTGCATTCCAAGATTAGGTCCTGCACCATTTCCACCGCTGTTCGTGAAAGTGATGGTAGTGCTCGAAACGATAATGATTGAAACACTCGAATATATCGATCCTGACGGGCTTGTTGTCGAAGATGCCTGAGACAGTGTGACCGACGTATACGGCAGGCTGGAAACCACAGTCGAACTTGAACTTGAGCTGGATGTCGTTTTTGATATGGTGGACAATGGAGTTGACGTTAGTAACACTGTTGTTCCGCTGACTATGGTTATTATACGTGTCGTGCTTGTGGAAGTCGAGACGCTGCCACTGTTGACACTGGACGATCCGGTTCCTGAACGTGAGGACGACGACGACGACGACGATCTGGAATTACCCGCGGTGCTCGTGGCAGTGGTCAAGGAGGCCGTGGACGACGGAGTTGCTGATGTTCTGGTTGTGGTACTCATATTGCTGAAGAACGACATTGTGGTGGTTGACCGGAAGACACCGCTGCTATATGTGAAAGAACTACTGGTGGAGCTGTTCAGCTGACACGACGCTGGGATCGTAAAGCAACATGGCAAGCCGCTCGACGACGTAGTACTTGGTTCAAAGACGCCGCTATAGTCAGAATTATAGCAATAGGTGGTGGTGCTGGCAGGGTCGGGAAACTCGAAGACACCCTATCAGTGACTGTTAATGGTGGTTTGACAACCACACCCCAATTCTGAGTAGACTGACGTGATAGTAATGGGTCATGCACGACGCTGTTGCTGTAGTCGTGCTCGAACCGGTACTGGTAGTAGCGGTGCCTCCACAAGGCGTGCAAGTTGCAATGGGAGGATCATTGGCAAAGACCCCTCGCTTGAACAGGCCCTTGCCCTGGCGTGTTTTGCTAAAATAATGGTGATAGTGGAGGCTGTACAATGTCTCTCTCGTGCCGTTTGACGCAATGGTGATCGAGGGCGCCACGGCCGTGATCATGGACGGGAGTATCTCATGGCGAAGGTCTGTGTCGCTGGGCAGCTGGTGCGGCCGAGGGGTGGGAACATATAGCGGCTCATAGGGCAGAGTGTCATAGCCGAAATCAACAAAAGCATATGTAACTGAAACAGAACACGAGCTTGCCATGAGCAGAATCAGGGAACGAAGGAAAGCCATTCTGCCTGGTAGAGAGGAGGGACAGAGTCAACGACAACGACAACGAGACCTGCCGGAGATGAGGGAAATCACAAGCCTGCGCCATTTTGACCGACATCTATGTCTCTTGTCGCGTTGTGATGTGCACAGACCTGAAGCAGAAAGAATGGAATGCTGCGCAAGCACGTACACCGGGTGCCTGCCCTACCTATTCGGATCTCCAGTGACCAGTGACCGAGATGCTGCATTGCTCGTCGACGAAGGCAAGGCTCCTGCTGCCATCGAGTGCGTTTAGTGAGGCGAGAGGTGAGCGGTGAGCGGTGGGAGTTGGGAGTTGGGGATGGAGGTCGAGAAGCTGAAGATGAAGACGGATATACTCTGTACACGTGAGCGCGGTTCACGTGATCATCCCTGGCTATTAACCCTAACCCTAACCCGAACCCTGAGCCCGCCCCTGAGATCATTCCAACGAATGCTCAACACCGTGCCGCTCAGGCTCCAATCATGCTCAGCTCATAATCTGATTATCTACTGGTGTCTAGATGAGGCTGCTGTCGGAGTCCTTCCTTTCGTCTAGAGGCCGGACTTGGGCCAAGATGACAGGGCCGCTTCATGCTGTGTGCAAGGCTGCAACTGGGCCGAGTCAGGAGTTGCCAACATATTCATCTACGGAGTACGGAGTACAGTACAGAGTGGTGCAGCCACGGCTTCCAATCCCAAACCTTCCTTCCATTTCGAAAACAGTCTATCCTGGTTGGAACCACTGTTGCTCCCATCCACTTCAACCGCCTCACCGACACACTCGGTCTCAAAGCAGCCAGTCCGTCATTGGTCAGCTGCCAATTCAAACAGAGCAATCGTCTCGCAAAAATTGGCCTTGTTGACCGAGTAGGGTACCACATCGGTCCCTTCATAGCTGATCATGAACTGGGACCCTTTGGTGCTGAGAGCCCAGAGATAGATGTCTGTCGAGTTGCGGATGTCTACCATTCTTTCCTGACAGCTCTCCGTGCCCAGACATGCTTGGGTATTCCAGTTCTCGAAGAAGTTGTACAAACCGCCTCCATACATGAAGATGGACGAACAGTTGACGAATCGAAGTCCCCATGTCCTTGCGCAGTTGGCCTGTACACAGTCGTCGTAGGTCGGATCATGCCACGAAGCCTGTGGGGTGAACGGGAGCAGCGCGTTCGGATTGCCCTGGTAATATGCGGTTTCGTGCTGGATATGGCCCATGAAGACGTTCTTTGAGTTGACGAAATGATAGTCGAACATGACCGAATGCTCCGCAGCTGTGCCATACATCCACACCGGGCCGTTCTGGCTTTCGATCAAAAATCCCCTGGCAATCAAATCACGTTAGCCGAGACACAGTCAACCAACATCCTCGCAATGTTTGTGCTCACCCTTTGTTAAAGATATAGATCTGGTCTCGCGTGCCCATGTCCAGTTCATGATCGGCAACCCAACCCCAGATGTTTTCAAAGTATCCATCCGCTTGGGGGGTCACATGGAGCAACAGAAAGGCCCCAATGCAGTCCGTCAGCTTCGAGTTCCCCGATGCTATAGGAGTGCCCGGCGTTTTGATGCAGGTATCCTGTTGCAGTTGCGTCCCAACCGAGCCACCGATACGCCAATGCGCGTCCCACATACCGGCAAGGGCTGGCCCTGCTGCTTGGATATTCCACTCAATGATGATGGCACCGGGACAGGGCCCTTTCGTTTCAAAAACAAGGTCTGAGATTTCCACCGTCCCGACATCGCCCGGGCTTCCTATCTTCCACATCGGCTGGGGGTTGAGCTCGTCACCGAAAAAAGACCCTGTGGCCATGATGATGCTGAGCAGCTCTCCAGTGATTTTGACGTTCGGTGGTACTTTGACTGTGTTGCTGACAATGTACGCGCCTCTGTCAAAGTAGACCACCTCGCCAGTATTTGCCGCCAGATTGAACAGAGATTGCATGGCCACAGTGTCGTCTGCGGTACTGTCTTAGTAGGGCGTATCCCACGGACGGCGACTGTGCTTACCTGTACTTCCATCCCCAACAAGCCCATGCGCTTTGGCGCTCAGAAACTGACTCCACAAAAGCGTCTCATACTGCGGTTTGACACGATACACGTACTGACCGTTACTATCCACGAGGTTAGAAGGTCGAGGGATTGGTGCAAGTTGCCTCTGAATAGTTGTTTCCTGAGCCGAGTATGCAGTTTGGCTGGTATTCTGATATGTACATGTCGTACCGTTGAAGCCCTGGCCGTTTAGTGCCTGCCCAGCTGTTGTCCAGGCATTGCCTTGAGCAAACAACGGGATAAACTGTCCTCCGGCCAGAACGGTTCTTGCTTGGGTCCCGCCAGCGGCTGAAATGGCGGCCGGGCTACCAGTAAAGTCGACGTTTTCTAATACCAAAGTCCCGGCTGCTTGGGGCGAGCTGTAGCCCGGTGCGTATGGTGTCAAAATGCCCTGCGTAGCGGAGATGGTGCTGTCGAGCAGCACAAGTGAACCAATGGCCTGGTTGGAAAAGCCTCCGTTGGTCATATCTATCCCGACATCGGAATTCGTAATGGTGATCTGTGTGAATGTCCAGAGCCAGTCAAAGTTCATTTTTATGGCGGTTGAGCAACCGTCCAATTGGATTTTGCGCGTCGTGAATTGCTGGTTGCCCAGATACATTCCTATCGCACCTCCGGTAATGACCATGTCAGAGAAAAACCCGCCTGAGCCGTTCTCCATGTAGACTCCTTGTTGCTGGTTGTTCACCACGTCTTTGGCCACCATGTTGATCACGATATTTTGCAAGCTGGTGGCCTGAGCCACCTGCCAGTGTATCCCGGCCGTCTTCAGAGGCGCAGTGGTCATATCGATGATAAAGTTCCGGATTTGACGGTAGAAGTTGTTTTGATTGGCATACCACTCTGAGCCACTCCCACTTGGAATGTATATGTCTGCATCCATGACTGCGAGACCGACAATGTTGGTGAAATTTGCCTGGACCTTGATAGTGGGTGGGTTGACCGCGTCTCCAACCATCTGCGTGAAATAGTACATGACAAGCGGTTTCGACACGAGGTATACGCCCGGGGGGAAATAGACCAAAGCCGGTGTTACTGTTGCAGACTGGCAGAATGAGCCATAGGTTGAATTTCCGCCGCCACATCGGTTGCCAGGGGCCGCAATGGCACGATTGATAGCATCGCTATCGTCGAGCAAGCCACCTCCTGGAACAAAGAATGAGAAAGGACGGATGATACCCTGGATCTTGAAGGCTTACCTGTTGCCCCGTAGTCTTTCACGTTGCGAAAGACCGGATAGCTGGGATCTTGAAACGCGACTGTGCCCACGTTGGGCTTGTTTGCGAGCCAATACGTGGATTGAGCCGATGGGCATACCGTGAAAAGCCCGAGTTGTAAGAGTATCAGCGACCAAGTTGTGCATGAGGACCACATATTGGCTGTCGATTTGTTGGAGCAAAGGAGAGACTCTTGCTTCCGCTTCGAGACAGTCCTTCCATACTCGGACAGAAGTGTGATTTAAGGACCAGGCGAGGACGCGTATTGAGTTGAAGCTGGCCCGTGACGCGCCGCATACCACCCTTTCACGCTCAGGAATGTGACTTGGCAAGAATGTGGTTTGTTTGAGACACATCTCTCCTAGGAGTAGAAATCGTCTCTGGTCCACGCATCCCAGCCAGCGATTTTGCGTGAACTACGTGTCAGAATACAATTCGAAGGAGAAGGTACTCACCCCAGCCGTTCCTAGCCATGAGGATCACCTCCTTTCTTGCCATTGGCGTACTCGCCCATTGCACCTCTGCCCTGAGATTTGCTAGAAGGGACGACAGGTGAGAGCAACAAGATGTACAGTACAGTGGACAATTCAATCTGACTCATCCAGTTCGACCAGCGTGGCCGCCAGGGATTTACTGGGAAGCGTTGGTACGGAAACCCCTGCAACCAGCACCAATGCCGATGGAGAATATGATGGTGGTGGAAGCGCGACCTGCAACGAGTGTCAGAAAGATCCAGGCATATGTTGCGCTGTTCAGTGTCAGAGCGGCCTCTGTCCTAAGATTGCCATTGAAAACGGAGGCTGGACCGTCAACGGCGTCAAAATAACGGGTGGCGGAAGGCGGCGTTGATACAACGTCGCCCCCAGGAAGCGTACAGAGGCTGGAGAGGCAGTTAATCTCTGTGTGTCGTGAGAATATCAAGAGACTTTTGTCAGGCTGAAAGCCATTTCACCCATGTATGTTATGCTGAGGAATCAGACTTGTCGCCTATATGTTGGTGGATAGACTCTCATATCACATCAAAGTGGCAGAGACAACGATTGAGCGTTCCGGGGTTTCGGATGAGAACCAGAGACATGTCGGGCATGAGCGGAGTCGAATTGCAGGTAATTATACTATATTTGGGGGATATCATCGCCAAAGACTGACTCCGGACAATCAAGCACACTCGTTGAATTGGGCAAGCTGCACTCCAAGCCTTAGTCGGACGAAATTTCCTGTCACAGCTCTGCTGGCTGTTCGGCCGTATGACATTTGCAATCCAATTCTCCCAGCGGTGTCAGTTGCCGTACGCTTTCTGAATCTCCTTTTTGTAGTGGGCTTGGATCTTCTTCCGTTGAAGCTTTTGTGCGGGTGATATAAAGCCCTAGAACGGTCAGTATCGCCAACTTGCGCGCGTGGTGAAACTCACATTTTGTGGAGTCCACTCCTCGTCCGCTAAGACCACACCGTCGATCAGTTCGATGCCGGCAAGACCAACTTCGCGTCCAGCTTTCTGGACCTCCTTCAAGACAATCGAGTTGAGCTTCTTGTCGTGGACCATTTCTTCCAGGTGCTCTCCCTTGATCCCGTTCGCGGCCGCAAGTTTTTTCAATACGGCTTCGACCGGCACAATGATGGCGACTGGCTTCGCCTTGTCCTCAGCCGCGAAAACGCAAATGTTCCCGACTAGAGGAGAGGTACGATATGCAGACTCCAGCTTCTCTAGCGCAATATACTCTCCGTTCAACGTCTTGACTAGATTCTTCTTCCGGTCGATGATGAGTAAATGACCATTGGCATTGAATTCTCCGATGTCGCCTGTCTTGAACCATTTGTCCTCCGTGATGGCCTCTTTTGTTTCCTGCTCATTGTCCCAGTAGCCTTCCGTAACAGAAGGCCCACGAATCCAGATTTCGCCCTGAGGGGGTTTGTTTGTCGAGAAGTAGCCGGCGTCTGGGAAATCGACCAACTTGATCTCGATACAGCCTGGAATGTCACCTAATGCATGAGGATCCCACGCTAGAGGGTCCTGAATAGCGCCCATGGCCGAGGTCTCCGTGAGGCCATAGCCCGATATCATGGGAGTGATAGCGTAGCTGATGAATTTGATAGTGTCTTGGGAAATGGGGCCTCCACCATTGAAAGCAATGCGAAGGCGGCCGCCAGTGGCATCTTTCAGCTTCTTGAATACAATGGCATCGAGCAGACCAGCCCCAGGAAGTTTCGCTCCGAGAAGGATTTGCTTCAAAGACAAGGCACCCCAAAACATGTTTTTCACAACGAAAGAGCCGCTGTTGATTTTAGCAAGGATGCCTTTCTTGACGCTCTCCCAAACAGCAGGCACTCCAATCAAGATCGTAGGTCTGAATTCTCGGATGTCCCCTTTGCAGTTGCGAACAGAGGCATCGGACAAAGTCTTAGGGTTGCCATAACCCATAGTACCACCCCAGAACAAACAGACATTTTCGAACATGTATTCAAAGATGTGGGATTGAGGCAAGTAAGTCAAGAGCGCATCCGCCGTAGAAATGTATGGGGCAACTATGCTCTGGACGCCGGCCATGGCAGCCACCACCGCCTTGTGTTTGATGGTGACACCTTTGGGAGGGCCCGTGGAGCCGGATGTATACATGATGCAGGCCAGATCTTCAGGGCTCGGCGGAACAGGCTCAACCGGGTTATCGGCGCCGGACTTGCGTAATTCGTCGATGCTGAGAACTTGGAGGTCTGGGAATTCCGTTTTCAACTTTTCGAGCTCTTCTGGTTTGGGCGTGGGTTCTGTGTTGTAGATGATGGATTTGACGTCCTTGGCGTCCTTGAGCACTTTGATCACGGCAGGAATCAAGTTCGGGTCCAGGAAGATAGCCACGGACTTTGTCTGAATAAGTGAATGCCTCAGCCCCTCCTCGCCGAGAGAGTCGTAGGCCGTGACAATGGGGATGGATTGAGAGGCTGCGGCATGGGACATGGCGAGCCAGTGGGCGCTGCATCAAGTTAGCAAGGCGAGATTGGACGATGGAGAATTACATACCTGGTGGCGCCGTAGAGGTGCATCTTGTTCTCCTTTGTGATTCCCAGGTGCCGCAGTCCAGAGCCGTAGTCGTGGGCCAGCCTTTCGTACTCGATGAAGCTGATGTAGCTGTAGCCGCTGAGCTCGTAGTAGGTCCACTTCTTTTCCACTTCCTGTTCCTGGCCGTCCACGATCTTCTTGATCTTTTTGTTCTCGACGTGAGTTCTAATGATCTTCCTCGTCCCAATGGCTTTTGCATTTCCGAACTTGGCAGAAGCACGGGTGAGATTCTCATATATGGTCGTGACATCGTCCGACGGTATTGTGATGAGCTTGTCCTTCGCTAAAGGGTTTCGTCGTGGGATTGTTTCACCCTCCTTCTTCTCGTAGCCCGGAACTTCGACAGAAAAGGGCGGTTTCCTGACCAGCTGAGGTTGTACATGACCGTCCACTCTGGGCCGGGTATCGTTGCTGAGCGACATGGTGAGTGCGGATAGGAGAGGCTCAGGTGACTTGTCGAGTTACAGGAGGTCAGGTCAACGGAGGTGTAAGGGAGTCGCGACAGCGAGCAGTCGAGCTGTAGTGAGGGGAGCTTTGTTGGGGCTCAGCTGGTATGTTACCCTGCGGAGACTTTGCGACAAGAGAAGCAGGATAGTAAAGCCCCAAGGCTTCGAGTCTGGTTAGGGTCGGTAGACTAGGAGTGCTTGAAAACAAGCTAACAGATGGGATGATTTCTTCTCGCAGCTTTCTGGGGTTGGGGGTTGTCAACGAGGCACTCTGTAAGTGTACGTCACGGTGGCTGTGCCCGAACGTTGTGGTTTCCCAGGTAGGTGCCAGGTAGGCTGCCTGCGGTGCTCCCACTCGCCTCTTGGCCCAATCATGTTAATTGGTGGGAGGGCTTAGGGGCTAAGGGGCTTAGGCTCACTACTGCAGGAGCTTGGCTACTTAGTAATCTTTGGCTATTAGGACTTGTATCAGTTGGGTGCTACCATTATCGGCCTGTTATGTGTCTAGTATTGCCTGCGCCGCCCATACTGGTGGCGATTACTATCTACACCACAGACACCAGACTCACCATATCTACCAACTGCCTCTTGCCTCAGACACGTATTTCGCATCCTCCCGATCTTCTCCAAGCTTATGCCGATTACAGAGTACTCAACATTGTGCCTGGTCAACCCTGGTATCTCCAAAGCAACTATTAAACAAGCCATGGCCAGTGCATCCGTACACATTTGCCGTCTCTGACTGGGTTCTTCTGGCATCTCTTGTCTGGTGAAAGAGCCTTTTGAGGGACACTTTTCCTGTCGGATTTCAGCAGAACCGGGCTTCGACGTACCCACTGAGATTGCACTCTTTCTTGCTCGCGAGATTGAGAACCCGAAATGCCATCGGGCAAGCTCCAGACCCTCTTGGGTGCTCCGATCCAAGACGCTGAGGAAGGTACTGATATTTCCTTTTGATAATTTGACAGGCTCGTTGAATGCCCTCTTCCTGACCTCTATGAGTAGAAACTTTCCTTTTGTTTAGTCAAGACTTTCCCAGCAACAATCTCGGCTTCATCGATTCCAAAGCCGAGACTCTTGAAATTGACATAAGGGGCCAGGACTATTTTCTGCGGCAGTCTCCCGGTCTATTGACTTCTAACAGAAGTGGCGGGACTACTGGCGCAGTCTTGTGGAAAATCACGCCGTTGTTGGCCGCTTGGCTATCATCTCTGCCTTCATTCCTTTCTGATATCGGCGCTTTAGGCACCAATGCCATCGTGGCCGAGTTGGGTTGTGGAGTGTCTGGCCTGGTGGGCTTAGTGCTGTCTCGCATCGTGAAGTGCTACATTCTTACGGACCAACACTACGTGATGAAGTATTTGAAGGAAAACATCTCCGCTAACACGGCAAGTCACAAGTCGGATGCGAAGGCATCGAAAAAGAGAGGCAATCCGCCGAAACACAGATCAGAAGGGATTCTGAAACCGATACCACTTGATTGGGAAACCGATGATGTTGAGATCCTGAGAGCTGCTCTGACACCCGATGTCTCTGTCGACCTTTTACTTCTCTGCGACTGCGTTTACAACGATTTTCTTATTCCACCTCTCGTCCAAACGTGTGTTGATATCTGTCATTTGGGGTCCTCATGTGGAAAGACCACCGTTGTCCTCATAGCTCAACAGCTTCGCTCTGATTCCATCTGCGAATCGTTCTTTGGCACGCTGCTGAAATGGTTCGATGTATGGCGGGTTCCAGACGACAAGGTTTCGGCAGAACTACGTCTTGGTTCTGGCTATGCTGTCCATTTAGCAGTGTTGAAGGAGCAGAACAGTAACGCGGAGACGCGAAAATAGACACGACAGCACACCGGCCAATACATCAGGGTTTCTCACACTGGCTTCGATCTCACGCTTCTCCGCCCTCGATGAACCCGTGATTGGGAGGGAGGGCACGGCCTGACTCTGGCTCCAGCGATGGAATCTTGTAGACCTGACCGTTTGGATGGGAGACTTGGTAGAATCTACGTACTACATTGTTCCTGGGAGAAAGCACTCGGCCATACTCTGAACTTGAGAAGGACAAATGCAAATACTGTATCGCCTGCGCCACATCAACCTGCCACCTGTCAGCGGCAGGTTGAGGCGCTGACTCTGGCAGTGCAGAACCGAGTCTTTCTTGGCATTATTCGCGGTAAATGTTTTGGCTCAACCTGGTGCGCTCGAAATACTCTATACTGGTAGTATCTCACTCGCTCCAAGCACCAAGCAGTCGTTTCGCTGTGGGCTACTCGTGGATTCCACGCTGTTTTGAGGCATCCAGGCATTGGCCCTTCCGAGGGCAGACGTCGACATCATGGATTTACGCACCACCATCCAGTCCACCTTGTCACCCGAGGCCACCCTCCGTTCCCAGGCTGAGGCTGCTCTCAAAGCTGCTGAGCAGCATCCCGGCTTCATTGGAGCCCTGCTTGATGTCCTTCAATCGGAGCAAGACCCTGGGATCCGGCTTTCGTGCTCCATCTACCTCAAGAATCGAATATCGCGAGGTTGGCCGACCGAGAACACGCCTCATCAACCAGTCTCCGAACCCGAACGAAAGCCTTTCAGAGACCGCCTTCTCCCCGTCCTGTCGACCTCTCCTCCTCTCATCCGAGCACAATTGATCCCCATTTTGCAGACTATTCTGCAGTGTGACTTCCCTGCAAAATGGCCCGAGCTGATGGACATTACCCTCGGGCTGATGAACACTCAAGATGCCAATTCAGTATATGCAGGGCTACAATGTTTACTGGCCGTCTGCCGCACGTATCGCTTCCGTGCTGGAGAAGAGAGGGCGAACTTGGACAAGGTCGTCAATGTGGCTTTCCCCACCTTGTTGGGCATCGGGAACAAACTGGTTCATGAGACCAGCCCGGAAGCGGGCGAGATGCTCAGGATATGCGTCAAATGCTACAAGCATGCCGTCTATTATGGTCTTCCGCAGCCCCTTCAGTCACATCAGGCAACGGTGGATTGGTGCACGTTGTTCCTGACCATCATCTCCACCGCCACCCCTGAGTATGCAATGGCTGAGGAGCCCGAGGATCGGGAGCGCAACCACTGGTGTAAGGCACGGAAGTGGTCGTACGCAAACCTGAACAGGCTTTTCGTCAGATATGGAAATCCTTCCGGGATCTCCTCCAGCCAGGAGAAAGAGTATGGGGAATTCTCCAGAAATTTCATCACGAATTTCGCACCCGAAATCCTAAAGGGCTATTTGGGGGAAATCGAGAAATGGGTCGGCGGAAACCACTGGCTTAGCAAGCCTTCTTTGTCGTATACCCTGATCTTTTTGGAAGAATGTATAAAACCCAAAGCAATGTGGGACAAGCTCAAGCCACACATGGACAGCCTGATCAAGCACTTGGTCTTTCCTGTCCTTTGCCAATCTGACGAAGACATGGAACTGTTTACTGAGAACCCCCCGGACTATCTGCACCGCAAACTCAATCTTTTTGAGGAAGTCTCTGCGCCAGATATGGCCGCCACCAATTTCTTGATTGCGTTGACCAAATCTCGCAAACAGCAGACATACCTTATCCTTTCATATGTCAACGAAGTGGTCACACGCTACGAATCTGCGCCTGACGACCAAAAGAACCCTCGGGAGAAGGACGGCGCTTTGCGGATGATTGGCTCGCTTGCATCCGTCATATTGGGCAAAAAGAGTCCAATTGCCGATCAGGTTGAATACTTTTTTGTACGACATGTATTGCCGGAATTCAGGTCTCCACATGGGTTCCTCCGAGCAAGGGCCTGTGAGACCATGGAAAAGTTTGAACAGCTGGACTTCAAAGACCCAAACAATCTCATGATTATCTATCGAAACATACTCGAGTCTATGGCCGACCCGGAATTGCCAGTCAGAGTCATGGCTTCTCTGGCTCTGCAGCCGCTTATTAGGCATGATGCCGTTCGCTTAGCAATGCAGTCCAACATACCTCAGATCATGCACCAACTCCTGAAGTTGATGAATGAAGTCGACGTTGACGCGCTGTCCAATGTCATGGAGGACTTTGTGGAAGTGTTTGCAGAACAGCTCACGCCTTTCGCGATCGCATTGAGCGAAAATCTCAGAGACACTTACCTTCGAATCGTCAAGGAAATTCTGGAGCGCAATGAGGCAAAGGCAGCAGAAAGTGGTGATGGGCCTGGATACGGTGACTATCTTGACGACAAGGCCATTGCGGCCTTGGGTGTCCTGCAGACGATTGGTACTCTGATCCTTACGCTCGAAGCAACGCCAGATGTCCTTCTTCTTCTAGAAACGATCCTCATGCCAGTCATTACCATCACACTGGAGAACAAATTGTACGATCTGTACAATGAAGTCTTTGAGATCATTGACTCGTGTACCTTTGCATCGAAATCGATATCGGACACGATGTGGCAGGCATTTGAACTGATGCACAAGACCTTTAAGGACGGTGCAGAACTGTACCTTGAAGACATGCTTCCAGCGCTGGACAACTTTGTTTCATACGGCCAGCAGAGGCTGATCGATCACCCTCCTTATCTGGCAGCCATTGCAGGTATGGCACGAGACATCTTTACTGACCCCAAAGTCGGAGGCGTCGATCGTATATGTGGGTGCAAGCTGGCGGAGGCACTGATGTTGAACCTCAGGGGTGGTCCGATCGACAGCTACATTCCAACCTTTGTGAGCCTCCCCATGGACGTCTTGACAGGCCCGAACCAGAAAACGATCATGAAGAGCTACAAGATCCACCTGGTTGAAATGGTCATCAACGGCATTTACTACAACCCCATCCTTGCGCTGCAAGTCCTCGAGTCGCATGGCTGGACGAACAAGTTCTTTTCGATCTGGTTCGGCAGCATTGACTCGTTCCGCCGCGTTCACGACAAGAAACTGTGTATTGCCGCCATCTCGGCCCTCCTCACCATCCGGGCCGATCAAGTTCCCCAGTCTGTACAGACTGGCTGGCCACGCCTTCTCACGGGAGCAACGTATCTCTTCCGTACCCTCCCTGCCGCCCTGAAGCAGCGCGAAGAAGCAGTCAAAGCCTCGGACGGCGTCTCGGACACGCTTTCCGAGTATGCCTCGGATGACGACGCCGAGGACTGGGCGGAGGAGCCAGCTGGCGAAGGAGCCCCGGCAGGAGAATGGGGCAATGTCAATGCTGCTTCTTTGCCCGACACCAAGGGCGACATCAAGGACGAGTCGCAGGCATACTTGGACTTCCTTAGCGAGGAGGCCAAGAAGTTCGGTGCACTGGCTGATGATGATGACGACAGTATACTCGACGAAGGCAGTCTGCTCGAGAGCCCGCTGGACAAGTTCGACCCGTACGCTGCGTTTAGGGAGGCGCTGGGCAAACTGCAGGCTGAACAGCCTCAGTTGTATCAGAACTTGACCGCGATTCTAGACCCCGCTGACCGCGACGTGCTGCAGGGGGTTGTCAACTACGCAGCCGAACAGGCGCAGGTGTCGGGTTGAAATGGACCCGGCACGCGCGAAAGCGTAATCGCGCCACACGCCCAATACATTCCTTTCGGCAGGTATTGATGAAACGAAGGCAGGCTGTGAATACAAATGCAAGCGAGAACTGTAGTGGACCGGTCTGATGATGGTCTCACCATGGAAAGGGGGTTTGTTGCATCTGGCAAGCGTACCTTGTAAGAAGCGTGTACTATTTTCAGCCGGGCGAGGAAGTGCGGATTGATTGTGTTCTTGAGGCTCTCCGGCGGCGGGCTCCATGACATCGACTCCCCTTTTACAATGCCTTCTACCAATGTGTCACCCCCTTCTCAATGGCCTGGCGCTTTTGACAAAACGCACCGTGGTGTGGGCACAAGCATTCTGCATGCAAGATTGGGGTTTGCCCTGGTTGACTGCAAAGACGAGCTGACCTCGAGTCTCACGTTCATGATACTATCCCCAATACCAGCACAAGACAGCAAGCGCAGACGTGTGCAAGAAAAGAAGCCAAGTCGGCACCAGCTTAGGTAGTTCCATAGAATGAATGTCTCCCAATGCCCAACACCATCTTCTTGACTTTACGGAGTAGACAGCCTAGACATTCCACGGTTGAAAGAAATGAAATTTCTTGATACAGCCTTGACAGGTAAAGTAATAGTAGATACCAATTTTGAAAATCCCTCTGTGCATTTGCCATCTCTCTTCCCTTGCCGCGGTTCCACATTTCGACACGTTGGAAAAAGCCCGTCGCCATTATCATGAGCCATAGTGTAGCCTCCAGACACATCTCGCTCCTTGGGTAGAGTCCTGGGAAGCGAGAAGGCCCTGGTGCTCCATTGTTCTTTGTTCCGTGCCAACCAACATGTCTGCAAATTCGTCCCAGTCCAGTATTGTCACGCTCCTTCGCTATGCGGGCAACAGCTCATAGACACCCATACCACACGCACAACGCACAACCCTCCAGATATTCTTCCTGTACCAGTCACTTTTCTAGACCTTGATGCCCCGGTTCTTCCCTGCAATTGCTCCCTGACAGTCTCAACACCCACATCATCGACATATTGAGGTCCCAAGTCCGCGGGCCGAGAGAGAAAACAAAGCCAAGGGTCTAGGTCATCCATCATATGCAAAGATTGTCCCATTGCCATCGAGCAAGAACATCCCAGCCAGCCAGCCTCCAGCACCGCCCGCCATTATCCGCGATACAAACCAGGAAACAGATGTGCATAATCTGCAAGAGTCAAGTACATAAATGAAGAAGCAGCAAACACCTTTGCTCAACATGAATATGTCATCGAAGTCGTTAAGAGGGCGAGAACTCCAAGGATGTTCAGTGAGCAATTCGGTGCTAGAGTCCGGGTCAGGTCTAGGCTGGACTTTTGGCACTTTGGGGACCGCCATTCCGACGAGGAGGCTGATTTTCGTCACCGACGCTGAGGTTGCCTAACCCAGCGGAAAGGAACGCGAATGGATCGTTGTTAGATTCATTTCCGTAGAATCCGTTTTGTGGAAGATTGCCAGGGGTGGTGGTGTCAGCCGCGCCACTGAAGGCAGCTTGAGCTGCTGGGCCGAAAGATGAATGTGACATGGTGCTTGACGCATAACCAGGAGTCATGCCACCCATCTGGGGAAAACCGGCTCCCGGAGCTCCCAAACCGGAGGGGATGCCGTATTGATTTGGTGCTGGTTGAGCGAATGCGGCAGCCGAACCATAGGCAGGAGCACCAGCGCCATAAGGAGCCGGGCCGGGGTTGCTGGCCATCCCGCCGAATTCAGACGGAGGCCCCATTGGAGACGGATAAGAGGAGTCAACCACGACGGCTGCACTAGAACGAGGAGCACCACAACGCAGGCAATTGACATTTTTGGCGAAATTGTGATATGAGCACCCTTCTGCACCACAGCGCCAGTCGCCAGCGCGGAAGGGAACGACGCCGGCTCCACCTCGACCGTGATGCCCCATACCATGTCCGTGGTGTCCAATGTGAGGAGGATGACCTATTATATGGGGAGCGTAGCCGTAAGCATTGTATCCGTAGGGGTCACCAGCTCCCGAGCCCGCAGCCGGGAAGGAACATCTGAAGCAAGCGGTACGGCGTTGAAAATTGGAGAAACCACAAGAAGGACAATTCCAGTCACCGGGCCGTGGACGGTTTTTGCTTGGAGGGAAAGGAGTGAGGATATCGGAGGCTCTATCGAGGACTCGACTTGATGAAGGCGAGACCTCGATGGCCTTCTCGTTGAGGGCGCGTCCGTTCATGCAGAGACTTTCGGCGGCCTGAAAACGAAGAAATATTAGATGGGGGTTGAGGCTTTGCTAGGGAAGGGGGAGGAGGAGAGGGAGCTCTAATAAGGGGCATGCAGAACTGAGACTCCTGGAGTGAGACATACCTCCTCGTGTGAAGAGAACACGGCAAACCCTGAACCGGTTGGCTTATGCTGATCAGGAGTACGAAAGGTCCAGAAGGCGATTGGTCTCCCTCCAAACTGAGTGAACCAGCTTTCGAGTTCCGACTGGGTGGTGTCGTGTGGCAGGCCGTTCATGTGGAGGACCTTGCTACGCTCCTTCAAAAAGGCATTAACATCGGCTCTGGCGTCCATCGGGCGAGTGAGAACCTCCGGGTGTTCATGCGCGGGCTGAGACTTCCGGATGAGTCCTCGCAGAACCCTGGCAAGGGTGACCGCCTCTTCCATGGCACGACGAGGGGAGGCAGGTGCCAGGGCCTGCAGATGGAAAGGCAGATTATGCTTGATTGGGGCCGACGATTGCACAGGCTCCACCTCCAGAGCTGCACAGATGTTTGCTAAGGAGCTGGGCCCAAATGGCAGGGACTCTGGGTGGTGCTGTTGCCACCGGGCGTACTCTGAGCGCAAGTCGAAGGTTCGGGAGTGTTGCAGGTAAGCTGGTAGGACGACGGACTTGTCTCGAGCCTCTCGGGGCAACTGGACCCGCAAGTCCCAGGCATCCAGTGTCACAAAGGAGAACTCCAGGTTCTTGGATATAAGATGCTCTTGGGCAAAATGGTCAAATCGAGCGATGGCGTCCCGGAAGGATCCGGCGTTGCGAACATGCTCCCAGGTCAAGGTGGTGAGGCTTGCTGTGATTTCAAAATCAGACGATGCAAATCTCCGACATTCCGACACAGGACTCACTGCAAAGGGGTGTGATAGGAGTGTTCACAGGCTTGACGAGGACACTTTCTCGATAGAGCTGGATCATGTGTCAATAATCTCTTCTCTCCTGCCTGGTCTCGTTTCGGTCCGCCTTTTCAAACTGCACCGCCAGTCACATACCTCATCACAAGTCTTGCTATCAAGGAGAATCCAGCCCAGTTCAATCACTTCCGCAGAATCTTTTGTCACATATACACCATGTTCATCGCAAGTGGTCGCCACGTGGATGACCACATAACGGTCAAGCTTGGGAATGGGCGAAGTAGCGGCGGCCATGACGGATCGATTGGACTTCCGTGGGTTTGGGGTCGAATCAATCAGCGGGGAGCAAGGCAACGGCAGTCGACTGGAGGTGGACCGAAGCAAGAAATCGACTGTGCTATGGTCTGGTCAGCCACACATCCCAGGAGTCGGGGACAGTAAGAAAAGTCACCAGAGAATAGGGCCAGGACGAAGAGCTCCGAAGTCGAGTCAGAAACAGCAGAATCCCGACCAACTCCAGCAGATCGGGGATGATGCAAAACAGGTCGAAGACACGGCGGCAGACCTCTCTCAACCAATCCCTGCAAATAAAGATACGGATGAAAGAGAGGCAGTGGTCAGAGGATGCAATAGGAGGTGCTATTGACTGCGAACAAGAGGAATGAGGAGAGTGGAAGCAGATGGAGTTCGAGGCAAATTTGGAACCAACTGACTCGCCTGCTGCTTCAAGCGGATTTTTTCTGGCCTGCTTGATTATTTCCCACGCCGCTGCCCCGGCATGCACAGGCTGTCACAATCACTCCCCCGGGGCCCCTAGGCCGCCGCTATGGCGGTCTTTGGCGTTATACTGTCCTGGATGATTATTATGCTCCTCGTTGGTTTGGCATCCCGCCCGCATTTTTCATTTATAACTAGGTATCCCGTTATTGCCCATTGTGTACGGAGTACGGTGTACATCCTTCCAGGATGCTGTGTGTGGCTGCTGTCACTCGGACCCTCTTGCGCACACAGCGTGCTCCGTACAGCACAACCTACCCAACTCCTATCCTGACTTGGTCACCTTCGGGGTTCTGAAGGCGGGCAAGGGACCGTGGCTTTCGACCTCCATGCCGTCCGTCCTACACGTTCGATTGACGCCAGCGCAGAGTAGCAACAACCAGCCCCAGCCAGCCTGTTTGCTCGCAGACACGCCACTCTCCTTTATCAGGCGTCGTCCCCTTTTGCATTGTTCCTCTGGATGTCTGCAGCATTGACACGCTCTTTCTCGTGCAGGTAACCGAGGCGAAACTCGTACAAAAGGAGATGTCAAAGTCCCCATTCTTCGCTGGCCAGCGGCGTGTTTCACGCCCCTAGCCGCAGACCCAACCGCTGTGGAGCATGCAAGCCTACTGTAGCTCCATCGTCAGCTGCCTCGTGGGCTAATAAAGGACACTCAAGAATCCGGAAACGTGGAACTTGCCCAGAGCTCGGGAGGGAGCAGTGACAATAACTGCACCCTCGACCATGTTACTCCGCCAAAAGAATACTTGGAACACATGTCATGTACAACCCCATGCAGCGTGGTTGGACCTTCACGGAGACCGAGGGGTACGGGTGGCGCCCGGAGAGACAAGAGCTCTCGTGAGAAAGACATTGATGGCTAAATACGAACTTGAATGTGCCTGTCTGGTGGTCCGCCTCGCACAGATTGACACCCGGAGTCACGCCATTCCCGTCTGCCATGCCTGCCATTTATTAGTCTCCCACTGCATGCGATACGGCATTGCGGTACCCAGCTCCCATTCTACCCTTCAGCCCTTGCAGCCTAGAGCCGGGCCTCTCCAACGCTTCGCTCCCTGACCTACTGCACAGTGCACAGGACTCGGGCGCCAATAATAAGGAGGTGATGAGTACGGAGGACAGGGATCGTCCTACTCGTACCGTGAATCTTCCATGCCCCGATGCCTGCGGCGCATCCTCCCGACTTCCGTAGACGAACCCCGGTCTGACAGCCCAGGGCGCAGGGGGTGGCATCATTAGGCTAGGCAGCACCTACTGCACCTCAAAGGGTCGTTGAAGCCCACCTGGAACCCCTTGAATCACCAATGGGCAGTGCCTACACTAGAGAACGGCCGAATTCCAGTCAACCCACATTTATCCTTCAGACCCAAGGTGCCGATATGAAATGCAGAAACAGAACAGTCTGCGCACAAAGTTGATTCATAGGGTCGAATTACAACGAAAACGTACCGATGCCCAAGTTGTGACCCAAAGGTGAATAACAGAGGCAGGTTTGGAAGACCTGTCAGTTTGACCCCCCGTCACACTGTTGATCGTGGGTGTCATGGTGCTTAACAGGATACAGTCAGCGCCCAGAGTAGGGCCATATGAACGTCCTGATCCCTTCACAAAAGCTGGGGACAACTCCAGCCACTCCTCTGGTGACCTCATTCTCCCACGGTTATACAATTCATTCCTAATCTTTTCTCTATTAGACGATCGTCAGATTGAAGACAGCCTCGTACCCATTGTAAGCGACTCCTCTCAAGTTCCAGGGCGATCTTTCGTGGATTTGCTGATTGCCTCCAGCATCACTGGCTTTGGCAAAGATTTTCCTACCCTCGCCTCTCTCCATCTGAATCTTTGCGTTCCACAGAACCCAGGTCCATTTGCTTGCATCTTTGCCACCGCATTCAAGACACGCATCCGTCCAAGTCTTACCCGCATCTCCAGAAACTTGTACCCTGACAACCGGACCCTGACAACCTTGAGGAACAGCATAGCCGCGCACATCGATCAAGCCCGAAGCCGGCAGACTGATGGTGGAATCAGAGGTAGGCCAGGCAACACAAGAATTGATAGGCATATCGAGCATTGACGGACATTGGGCCCAATATTTGTCCGCAGTTTCGGCATCAACTGCTTCTGCTGGTAATACTTTGTAGTCACGCTGCTGATAGAAACAGGGCGACTCCTTGTCCGAGACTGTGACGCGATCGAGCCATTTCACAGACCGTGCCCCAAGCACCCCCGGAACGATGGCGCGGACGGGGAAGCCGTAGCGCGCGGGCAAGGGTGCACCATTCATCTGCACCGCAGGGAACGAGCGTCAGCAGGGCACAACGGCCGGACCGGGGTCTTGCAGACTTGTTTTCTGTTCCTACCTTGACTGCCAGGATCACATCCATGTCGGCACGCATGACCCTACTGAAGGGAACGCTGCCACCATACCATTCATCCTGCTGGGTCTTGCCACCATAACTGGCAAAATGGACATGCTTTGGTGGGACGTGGTCATGCAGGGCTCGACACTCGTCTACCCCGGCTGCGAGTAGGATGTCACGGACTCGGGGGCCTTCCCACACACAGTTCATGACAGCTCCGTCGAACCAATCGATCCCGATCACCTCCTTGATGCGGGTACGCATGGTATGGCGACGATTTCCAGCACATTGCAGGGTGCACGTAACGGAGTGCTGAGGGAAGTCGTTGACTAGCTGGTCGATGGTGAAACTCAGTGGTTTAGAAACGAGTCCGTCGACCTCGACACGGTGATCACCCCGGATTCTGTGCTGAATTGGACCATGATTTCGGTCGTAATTGTCGCTCCTGGTGACGAAGCTGTTTACCCGGTGAGAGGACTGCCTTCCGGCTCCAGCGATGTGACTTACCTGGAGACCAAGTTGATCATATATGGCTCTCGGTTGATTGGATTTTCGACTGTGCCGTCATCGGATGGACAGATCATTGACTGTCTCGCCGGTTAACCTCGATGGTCCTTAGCATCACACCAGGAAATGATGTTTTCTCACAGTCGGCATTCTAAAGCATCCGTACGTCACTAACTGATATGATCAGGGCGAAAGTTGTCCACAACGATATACAGCTGAGTTGGCGAAGAAGAGATCTCCCAGGCCAGCAAAGGCGGTGGAAGGATGGAGGATGTGGGCGGTCCTCTTTCCACCGCCTCATGTCTACCTTATGCACGTTGTTTCCCGCACCCCCGAAATGAGGCAGTCTCATCGTGCCACTGGTCGAAGGTAAGTGCGGGGCATCGCCGTCCACCTGTTCTGCATGTCATCCGCCTCACCTTCGATGAGAAATACTCATCGTGGCCAAAAGAGCTGCATCCACCTTCCTCAACTGTCTAGCAAGGCTGAGCGTATAAGGATAGCTGGTCAATGCATGCCATTGACAGGAATTCAGGGGCTAGAGAATGAGATGAGGACCGACGAATCAGGAACGGTCTTTCTGCGCCTGCATCGATCACGACATTTTGCCATACAGCGCCTAAGAAGTGCCGTAGAATTGCGACCCCGTACTCATTTGGTCTTTATGCTTCACAGTATTTGGCCCCTTCAGTAGCGACGTTTCCGCTTTTACGCCAAACCTCAATGAACAGTCCTAGTATTCGTTTCAACCTTCTTCCCATCTTCAAAGTCCAGAGTACGTAGTGTGGCTCGTCGACCCCGAGTCTAACGTATTTGCTGGAGCAGAATCGGCTATCTATCTTCTCCGGACTATTTCGACAACCAGGTTTCCAGTGAGGGCAATTCCAGGTTGACCGCCCCCAAGATGACGCTGTGGTCGTGAGTTCTAGCCCGACCACTCCCTCGGTCAACCAGGATGGCTTCGAGCGACTAGGACGAATCTCACTGACTGTGGCGGCAGCTCATACAAAGCTCTTGCCCCAAAGACACGGGCCATAATCGGTGTCGCACTCATGGTCAACGCATCGGCAATGCTCTTGTTCTCCGACAAAATCGAAGCTGCCTTGGGATTAACTCCCCCTCCCGAGGATGAGATAAAGCTCTTCAAGGTGTATGGTGTTGAGCGCGCGAGCAAGGGCTGAGGCTGTGATGGGATGCCCTTCGATGGGTTCTTTGTGGAACCACGACTCGGTTGTCTGCTGGTCAGATGATCATCGCCACTTCTCAGTCGTCAACCGACCACCGAAACCTCCTCTCACATTTGAGACATGCGTTCTCTACAGCTGTATGCGGGTTCATACGTGAGAAGAGCGGAATCTGAACTGTGGTCGAAGCCCCAACATGTGGCCGAGGATCGAGAGCTTCCTTCACCCAAAAAGGCTTTTCTCCGAGGTCGACAATATCTTCGCCGACCCGGTTTCTCTGAGGTAGTCCAAAATACGATTATGGCCAGGCCAAGCGATCACTCTTATTCTGGGATATCTCTACTAAACCCAGGATGCGAAGGCGTTTTCTTCCAGACGACTCGAGCAGCAATGTTAGATTGTGAACACACCTCCTGCATATGGTGGTCCTCCACGCCCGACTGTTTTTCTGCAGACCTGTCCTTGCAGGGCAGAAACCCTTCTCGAGCGAATAGGGTCAACGAAGATGGCTTTGGAGATAGTGCAGATCCTGATTCTTAGGTGTGGCCGAACACAGCAGTCGGGCGACTGTGGCATAGAACGATGCAGCCCATAGGCGGACAGATGATCAGACTTCGTTCTTCTATTTCTATTGGTATTGGAGATGGGAGCAATCTACAAAGGACAATCAATGTCAATGCTGTTCCGTGTACGCTTGCCACTGATTATTTAGACCTAGACTGCTGGTTGACTAGGTAGTTGCATACAAGTTTGGTTACTAAGGTGGATTGTTTTGGTGTTTTAAGTTATGCCATACCCCCTCGTCTGGTCGGACTGTTCCGCTTGCACCTCATTCGGTCATAGCCCTGTGGACGTCGACTTGCCAAAGCAGTGATCGTTCAATTTATCGACATCAATTTCTGTTTAAGCAGAACACTATGTTGAGGACTTTAAGGGAAGCCCTATGAACGTGTCGCACTGCAAACAGCCCGAGAATTGTAAGAATACCCGACCATGAGAACAAGGTCGTGCTCGGTCTTGTGCCGTGCAACAACATCCCGAGGTCATATATTGTCGCCTAGGCGGACATTCACATCGTCGTTGCGGCCGCGCCTGCGTACGACAGAGCTACTGGACTTTGGCCTGACGAACTTGAAAGTCGACTCGGACCGACTATGGGAAACCATCCATTCTACGGCCAAGTGGACGGATGTGTCAAGGTCTCCATCCCGTGCCGACGATATCAGAACGGCTGGCCTCTCGCGGCTCACTTTGAGCAATGAGGACAAACAAGTCAGGGACTGGTTCGTCCAGACTACCGAGTCTCTGGGCTGTAAAACCTTTGTCGACCAGATCGGCAACATTTTCGCCATTCGCCCAGGACTCAGCAACGATGATGTCCCCGCCACATTTGTCGGAAGTCATCTCGACTCTCAGCCGAGCGGGGGTCGATTCGACGGTGTGCTGGGTGTCGCAGCCGGGGTCGAGATGCTAAGAGTCCTCAACGACAACTGGATTGAGACCGAGGGCCCCGTCGGCGTGGTCAACTGGACCAACGAGGAAAGCGCCAAATATCCCATCAGCATGATGGGAAGTGGAGTTTGGGCCGACCGCATTTCTTTACAGGACGCGTGGGATGCGAGGAGTGTGCATCCAGGCTCACCAGTGACAACGGCCAAACAGGAGCTGGAGCAGATAGGTTACCTTGGGAGCGTACCGGCCAGTTATAAGGACGGGATTCGATTAGGTGCGCACTTCGAGATCCATCTTGAGCAAGGCCCGAAGCTGGAAATCGCACGACAAGCAATTGGCGTGGTCGAGGGCGTCCAGGCGTACAAGTGGTTCACGGTGACGATCACCGGACGAGAGTCGCACGCTGGGACGACGGACTTTTCGAACCGGGCTGACGCCCTGTACTCGGCAGCAACATTCATCACGATGGTCAGAGATGTGGCGAAGTCTCTGGGGGGACTTGCTACCATTGGAATGCTCACCGTGTCTCCAAGCAGTGTGAATACTGTTCCCGGCGAGGTCAAGTTGAGCCTGGACATTCGACATCCCTCCGACGAAGTTCTAGACAAAATGGTGAGGACGATCCAAAGTGAATCTCAAACGTTAGCATCTGCTGCCACAAATACGGCCCAAGGAAGACACCATCTGACTAAGATTACCATTGGCATGAAGGAAGACTTCTCCAGCAATGCCGTCAAGTTTAGCCCCGAAGCCATCCGTTGCGTCGAGCAATCTGCTGCACACTTATTGGGTGACGAAACGAAGATCAGGCGAATGACAAGCGGCGCCGGACATGACAGTGTCTGCACCAACATGCATTGTCCTACAGCCATGATATTCATTCCGTGCAAGGATGGAGTCAGTCACAACCCTAACGAATGGTGCGAGAAGGTGGATTGTGCGACTGGTGCAAATGTGCTGTTGCATTCGGTCTTACGGATGGATAAATTGCGGAAAGGCAGGGGAAACGTTGGGTAGTGGATGGCCGGAATGTCGAGCACACATTAGCATGATTCGACGCTGACCCAAGAAGCGATCGCACGGCATTGAAATTCAAGAGAAAGAAGACAAGGCAGATGGAGAGTTTATTTTGATTTTGAGCCACAAAGCCAGAAGGCCCTGCCGGCACTCCCACCACCCCATCATGGACCGATCCTCTTTGCAGTCCCTGTAAGACGCATTGCCATGCAAGTCCAACCGCGTGTAGGTCAAGACCATTTAGCTGGCAGGAGGAGCACCACGGCCACGGCCGAATCCGCCCCGGAAAGTGGGAGCAAACTCGCCCGGCGCTCCGCCTTCCTTACCCTCACCGGCATCCCGGCGACGATATCCTCCCTCACGGTCACCTCTTGGTCCACCACGGCCGCCGCCGCGGCGCTCACGGTCATCACCGCCCATCATGCCCCGAGGAGGAGCGTGCGATCGTTGTTGCTTGATGTGAGTTGCGGGGACGATCTCGGCAGGCAGGTGCAACCATTCGCGAAGGTAGTCAAGGCCCTCGGGGGTCAGGGTGTAGTAGTAGTATTGCCATGAGAACTGGGTCTTGAGGTAGCCGCGCGAGGTGAGAGACTGGGCAGCCTTGATGACCTGGTGAGAAAAGATCAGCATTGACTTGATATAAGTGAAAACTGGGCATCCACGAACATAGAGGTTCTTGGTCTCAATGTCTTGGTGCTGAGGAAGGTTGTAGTCCTTCTTGGCCACGAGCACACCCTCGCGGAAGAGGTACTCGTGGATCTTTTTGCGGTCTGCCTTAGGGATAAGCCTGCTTCAGATCAGTACGTTGTCAATAGCGTTGGATACGGATGTGGAACGTACATTGTTGCGAGTTCCTGGCGCTCTTCGGGGAATCGCACACAATGTAGGAAAATGTCGGTGGAAGGTTTGGTGTTGAAAGTGCGAACAATCCGAGATGCGACCTTTACCTCGCCAATCCACCTCACGGCGGGCCTGTGTGTGGAAAAATTGTCTTGGCAGACAAAGTCTTGGCGCCGCACATCCGGCGCAGGTTTTCGGACGTAGAGACCACCACTGATCAAAGTCGCTTCCGCGAGTCGACAACCATTTCTACCCTACCAACGTCAATTCCTCGAAAGTATACTCTCGTTGCTCGCTGAAGAGCTGGTCACTATCAGGTCAGTTTGAGTCTGTCCATCTGCACACGAATCCCTATCCAGCATCGATGAGACTTTGCTGGAACCAGCGCCAGTTCCATCCAACCTCAATCACGCAGCACTCAGACAACTGCTCTTGCGAGCCGTGGGAATTTACCAGGCTGACCATCTCATCTCTCTACAGTCCTCTTCGGTTCCGCAATCATGGGTATCTCACGAGACAGCCGCCACAAGCGGTCCGCAACTGGTGCGAAGCGCGCCTCCTACCGAAAGAAGAGGTACATAAAAGCCCTTTCCATTTCCCAATCCCATCGAACAAGTGAAACGAATCGCAGGCACGATAGACATTCTAACATGATCACACAGAGCTTTCGAGAAGGGTCGTCAACCAGCCAACACCCGTATCGGCAACAAGAGAATCCACCTTGTGCGCACTCGAGGCGGCAACACAAAATACCGAGCCCTGCGTCTGGAGAGCGGCAACTTCTCATGGGGCAGTGAGGGCGTCGCCCGTAAGGTCCGCGTGATCGTCGTGGCCTACCATCCATCCAACAACGAATTCGTCCGCACAAACACCCTGACCAAGTCGGCCGTCGTGCAAGTCGACGCGACCCCCTTCCGCACCTGGTACGAAGCCCACTACGGCACCACCATCGGACGCAGACGCCAGGGCCAGAAGGGCGCCGCCGAGGTTGAGGAGGGCAAGGTCAGCCAGAGTGTTCAAGCCAAGCGGGAGGCACGTCTGAAGAAGTCCGGCAAGATCGAGACCGCGTTGGAGCGTCAATTCGAGGCTGGTAGACTTTTTGCTGTTGTCAGCTCGAGACCCGGCCAGAGCGGTCGTGTTGATGGATACATCCTCGAGGGTGACGAGTTGGCTTTCTACCAGAGGGCGATCAGGAAGTAGGCGGGGATGACATGCAGACGGGGATTTTTGTGGGTTGTGCATGCGTGGTTATCCATGGTCTCGGGATGCAGAAGTCGTGGTTCTACAGATGTGACATGGAAATCACTGCTGAACATGAACTCGGATGGGTGTGAAATGCGGCCATGATGCGCTGAGTCGGTCATTGCTCGACCTTTACACTTCTAGCCTTGGGGCGTCATGATTTACGGGCATGATCGCAAAAGAGGCGCACTGGTTGCATGCAGACAGTGCCGGAAGAAAATGACAGAAAGAGACAAAACCACCCTACCACAAGGCTAGAAAGTGTTTCAATCAAGCTTGATATTTCCAGTGGTTTTCCCTTCTAGTTACCATCGCGGTGTCTTCACCATGGTGGGTATATCCTGCGGCCTTCACTGCCACCTCCAATGCGACTGATCCCAGAACACGCCGAATCGGCGAGGGTCTGCACCCAGGTCCTTCCATCTTGTGCCCATGCCCATTCGTAGTCTCCAAGCATGGCCTTGTCAACGTCTCCCTCTTCCGCCGAATCGACATCAAAGGCCCCGTCATCGACGGTGGCCATGTCGCGGCCTTCACCATCTAGTCCTTGGACGATCTGAAGCTCATATGGTCAGCAGCGAAAACTAGTTGTAGGCAATGGATGGCGCTTACTGTTGTCAAGGTTGGCCGGGCTCTGCTTCTACGGCGAAGCAGGCACTGGACACCTCCTGAGTCCAATCAACCACCGAGTTTTCCACCTGCGGGACATGCGGTGTCATGCCGGCCATTCCCATCTGTCTGGTGAGCGTGGCCTCGTTGTGTCCTTGGGCAGCCGCTAAGGCAGCCGCTCTCCTCTCCACGGCCTCGCGTCTGCGACGAACCGCCTTCTCCCGGCATGCCTTGAGCTGCTTCTCGGAACGTTCAATGGCAGCGACCAGTTTGCCGTGCTGCTGGAAGAAGCCCTTGGAAGCCTTGAAATCGAACAGCTTTTGGGCGGCGGCGCGGGTGTTCTTGACCAGACGCTGCTTTTCGGCCTTGGCCATCGTGGTGAATTGGTCACGGTTGCCGGTGGTGTAGGTTGCTATCTTGTAGGCGGCATCCGGCACCATCTTGACGACGTGGTCGACGAGCTTCTTGTCACCGTGGTCGATGAAGAGGACCTGGTAGAACTTGACGTACAGGTCAAATGTGGCCATTTCGGCCGCCGCAATGGCCCAGCGACCCTGGAGCTGCAGAAGTTGTTTGTAGAAGGCCATGAGCTTCCTCCCATGGGGCGAGGCGGACAGGAACGGGCGCAACGCAGCAAGGGCCGGTCGGAGGTTCTTGTACTCGACCTTTGGACCCGGCTCACGAGTCAGAAGGTACTCCATGACCCTTGGGTCATTGATCACTCCGTTGAGCGGGAGAGGCGCCTTATTGTCGATGAAATGGGCCAAGCTGGCCTCATTGTCCTCATAGAGGAGAGAGAAGATCGGGTCGAGTACGAGACTCGGTGGTGTTGCGACTCTCACTGGAAGACTGAAAGCCATTTCGACTGAAAATCGGGGCGGCGACGAGCAATTGAGGGCGGGAATGGTATGTGATGGTAAGAGGGGAGGAGTACAAGCGTCCTGGAGATGTCTTGATGCTTTGCAAGGACGGAACTGGGAGGAGGTGGTGGAATTGGAAAGTTGAAGATTTGAGCTGAAGTGAGACGAAGGTTGAGAGAAGTGAGAAGATGGATGTGCATGTGAGGTAGCGCGCAGAATTGACTGGTGTCCCGTTCCGCTCCCTGTGTTGAGAACGACCGGTCGTGGTGTTGGACTTCGCGACGCGTTGCTCGTGCTGGAGGCCGCCTTGGTCCATCGTTTCTTCCACAGAGTCGCGTCTCTCCCTTTTCATAAGATTGCTGTCCGGCTCACTCCAGTCATCCCCATCACGGAGTTTCCATAACACTGAGCTCTCACGACACGCCTTCGCGCTCGGAAACGGAGGAGGTCATCGAGAGAACGGTCTCTCCGCCGACACCCCTGAGAGGTCGCAGCGAGTAGGTCAGTTTGTGAATGTGCGCATCTCTCCACGTGTTTTTCTTGGATTTTTCTATATGTACTCATCGTGTCGAGAGCCATAGTCCCTGTTCGAGTCGCCATGTTCTGCTCCACGACCGCAGGCCCCGATTTCGGGTCGTTTCTTGCAATTTGACTCAATTACAGCACATACCTGTCCGCCTACCTTGAGCATGGACGGCCGCCGAAGTCGACGGCCTCGGCCAGCCCGCTCGCATCTCCATGCCCATAAATGCAGATGCATGTCTCCATAAGGTCCTCATTACCAAAAGAACAAACAACCACTCTCGTGGGCTGGACAAGCATACCATCGGAGTCGCCGCAGTTCGAGTTTGGCGCCAGAAGCCAAGGGGGACGAGATCAGTCGACATGGCCTAGATAACCTCTGTGAGAGAAACCCAGTTCTCCCGAGGCAACCCTGAGCCCTCATCGATGGACACGCACAGCCTGGGAGAGACAGGACCAGGAAATAAACAGGGACGGAGAAGAATCCCGCTTTAATTTGAGAAGGCCAATATTTGGCCGGTGAAATGCAGGAATATATGCGGAGTATGTGTACCGACCGCATTGCTCTACGTTGCCCCTCTTTTTATTTCGTCTTCACATTCCAGCTCTGCGGATGCTCATCCGGCCGTGCTTGCTCTAAGGTTTCAGCGTACAGCTGACAGTACGTTAAATTGACATGAATGACAGATTCTATCTCGACGGACCGGATCGATTTCCATCCCGAACACGACTCCTATTGTGGCCCTGCACTACCTAGTGTAGAGAACGCACCGTCGGCACCAATAACCCTGAGGCCTCTAGTCGAAAACGATGGCCGCCTTGATGGCACTCTTGTTCTTCATCGACTCGAGACACTCGGCCCACTGGTCCAGCTTGAACGTCTTGTTGACGATTCCCTTGACCTTGACCTTGCCGGAGTCTACCCAACCCTACCGTTAGCGGTGTGATCCAAGAGAAGAGAGGATGTGAGGTGTGAGCGGATACATACCCAGATAGTCGATGGCGGCGGGGAACTTGTATGTCTCGCTGAAAGAACCGAGGATGGTGATCTCGTCACCAAAGATCTTGGACGGTGGCCATGTGACACGGTCCTTGCTGCCATACACACCGTACACGACGAGCTTGCCACCCCTTCGGACATAGTTGATCGCGTCCTCGAGGATCTTGACACTGCCCGTCGCCTCGACGACAATGTCGAATCCGTACGGGTTTTCTTTCTTGAGCGTCTCGAACTGTGCGCTAGGGTCCTTTCGAGAGAGCGCGACGTATTCATCCGCAGCATCCAAGGATTTGGCAAGATCCATCTTCAGACCCTCGGGCGCTGCAATGACCACCTTGCAGCCACCGTTCTGACGCAGCATCTGGGCCAACACCAGGCCCGTAGGTCCCGCACCAAACATGAGCACAGTGGAACCCATCTTGGGAGAGATCTTGTCCAGACCGTGAGCAGCGCAGGATGCGGGCTCGAGGAGGGTGGCGTCGACATCAGAGAGATTCTCGATGTGGAAAACCCGCTTTGCTGGGTAGGCACAGTACTCGGCAAATCCACCGTCCATGGTAACACCGTGAGCCTGGAAGTCTTCACAGAGCAGCTCCTCTCCACGACGGCAATAGAAGCATTCCCCGCAGAGTTCAGAGTTGTCGGCGACCACGCGGTCACCCACACTGAAGCCCTTGACGTGGGGCCCAACCGCAGCAACGACGCCGACGGTTTCGTGACCAGGGATCAAAGGGAACTGCGCCCTGGGTCAGTTGATGTTTCTGACACGCACGAGCTGTCCAGCATACCTTGGCCAGAAATTCACCTTCATGGATATGCAAGTCAGTGCCACACACACCGCAAGCCTTGACTTTGATCTATCCGCAACTGTCAGCACCTTCTCCTCTTTCATTGGGCCTTCGCTCGGCGTACCAGGACGTCGTGGTCACGCAGTTTGGGCAGGGGAACTTCGACGACGCTGAATTTCTCGGGCTGATCGTACTCTGTCACAGACATCAGTCATCCGTCTTGAGATGCGACTCCGAATGCTCTCTTTCACGGTCGGAGGAACGGCTGGCGGGGCATATACATACTCAGCGCCTTCATCGTGGAGGGAAGCTCTGAAGAACCCATTTTGACTAGTGTATCAGGAGAAGATATGGACGATTCAACAATGACAGGAATGTGAAGCGTGAAGAGTGTACAAGTCGAAGAATGAAGGGCAATCAGTATGGAAAGGCAGGATAAGCAAAGGAGGACGTCCGACTGCCTGAAGGAATATATGGGAAAATAAATGTTGAGGGGTCTCCGGGCAGCTGCGTCAACTCAGGGGGCCCATAGGCCCGCCGTGCAGCATGGGGCTCCTAACGCTCACCATTGACCAGGCCGAATGCGGGGCTAAAGAGGCGTTTCTCGTTGCTTCGAAGACCTTTTGGCCGCGGGCAAGAGATGTCTGGACTCTTTCGGGATGCATTGCTCGACTCCTCCGATGCCCTGAGGCCCAACCAGATTGCAGAGCAAGCGTCGACCGCCCTCCGAGATATCATCGTTCGCTGCTATCGGTGTGCCTGAATGCCTGAATTCCACCCCCAACCTCGCGGACCACCGATAAGCTTTGATCCTAAGTCAGCTCCCCGGCGCCGCCGTCGCCGTCGATGCAGCTTCATCCAGCGTCCTCGCGTTATCGATTGTTGAAAAAACGAGTCGGTGAGTCTAGCTCTGGTTGAAGATTCGCAGATCTGTCTCATATCGCATGTCCCCGTCGCGCCGTCAACAACAATCCCACCCGCTCACTGGCACATGATCCGGAGTTGGGACCTCTAGACCTCCCCAAGCTCAACCGACACTAAATTGATTTTTCCTTTTGTTTGCGTCCGTCCGCTTTGGTCCTCTTTCCCCTTGACCGACTTTCCTTTGATGCTCGTGCGCACTCTCTATCTAACAGTATTTGGCCATCGGACCGCCGGCGCACGGAGGCCCCCAAGCCAGGTGGATTTCCGCTGCAATGCAATGCATTGTGTTCTGTCAGCCCATGCTAGTACGGAGAATTCTGTATGGTGGTTGTTGCGTCACGAGAACCTCCAGCAGTAGGTACGGAGCATCCGTACAGGGTACAGGGTACATTGCAGGTTACAGGTCGCCACTGCGTTTCCGCCTTTTGGATCCCTTATCACACGATGTTTCCTATCACAGAGCAGCTCGCCGAACTCTGGTGCCGTAGCTGGCGTGCCGGCGTGCCTGAGCTCTTCTGACGCTTGTGTCATACCAGGTACATAGTCGTACCCCACGCGGGAGGAATTCCCACGCGGGAGAAAGGTGGCAGGTGGATAGCGACCTGAGGTAGTAAATAGTACAGTAAGTAGTACAGAGTACTAAACAGTACAGTAACATGGCCGCAATGAGCATCTCTAAGGATCTATTGTCTCGCTCTCGACAGCTGGCTTCTATTTTCTGCTTCTTTCGTGTCGAGTCGCAGGGATGCTGGTACCTTATGCTCATATGAATGCTATGCTGATGATGACACCGATCCCCATGATGGTGCTCCTCATTCATGCCTTGTTTTATCGTCTTCCCATTCGCATGCGATGCAATCCAACAATTAATGGTTCCAAGCATCGTAAGCCATTCGTTTCCCTGTGACCTGCCAGACCATACACTCCAACCCTGGGATGCAATATGGGTATCTCTTCCTCTAGAATCCCTCTCCCTCTCTCCAATTTGAACCTCGCCGGCGCTCATGCCGGACCAGGGTAATCGTCGCAAGAGTGTCTCCCTCCACCGCTCTATTTTAATCCGAACCCCTCGCTTCCTGTAACTGCCATCCAAAGTTTGTGCTCCAACTTCTCTCGACTGCTGTATCGGTATAGACTGAGGGTATTGAAACATGTCCTGGCGATCGGAAACCGTTCGATTTCAATCGGCTTGCTCATCGGCCGGCCGTACGCATCAAATTCGTCCTTGCTCCGAAGTAGTTGAATGCGGATGATGAGGTTCGTGGCCCCCATGGCAGGAATCCGGTCGCTACCAGTGATGAAGCCCAGAATCTTCCTCTGGTCCTCGGCAGAGACTCGGGCAAAGAAATCCCAAAACCACACCACTTGAGGCTGCTGTTCCGGCGGTCCATCGTTCTTGGGCCACCCTTCGTAGGTTGCCACCGCTCGGAGACTGGCAATGTCGAGCGGCTCATCCGAACCTCGCACAAGGAGTTCGATTTCTTCGGGCCGGAAGAGCGAGAGTGCATTGCCGCCGCATACGGTGAAAAAACCACGCTTGAATGGTTCATACTGGCGCGCGACGGCCGTGTCGAGAAGGTAGCGTATGTAGAGATCCACAAATTCTCGTCGGTTCGCGTTCGTCACCGCCCGTTTCTCACCGCCAGGACATAGCGGCACCTGCACGATCTCGCCGTAGCGGTCTAATTCGGCGACAAAATCGCGACAGAAAGTCTCCTCGACATCGCCTTCAAATTCCAGGAGCTGTCTGAAGCCACGCGCCAGGGCAGGACGGAATTCAGCCAAGTCCTCAAGGGTGAACCCATGGCTAACTTTCGGCGTCGATGTCAGCTTATCACCGGTCAAAGGAGCGGACGCCAGTAGTTTCTTGAAGACAAAAGGCGGAAATGCCACATCCAAAATCGTCGAGTTATAGATGGCGAGCCCCAACAGCACACCAACCAAGAAGAACTGCTCAGAAGATTCGAAGCAAAAGGGATTGAAATAGCAGTACTGAGAGTCGTCATCGTAAACAAACAATCCATGGTGAGGATCAAAGATTTCCCTGACCAAGAGCAAAAACCATTCTTTGCGAATGCCACCCGCGTCAATGCCTTCTTCTCCTTGGAAGTCGATCCGAAGTCCTTTCTTGATGTCGTTCCCCCCAGATCCCACAACCTCGGAAACACTCCGGAGACTATCTTCGACGAGACAATCCCGTCGGACCTTCAGAACCAGATACTGGCTTACAGCCTTCCTGCTGAGTATGCTGTCAAAAAAGGCCTCTCGGGCTTTGACCTCCATCTGGCGTCGGGCGTCATGTTCAAGAATATGAATTTTGGCATATATGCTGAGGAAAAATGGATACTGACAGAACGTAAACTTGGTCTTTGTGGTCTCCCAGGTCTCGAAGTCTGCAACTAGGTCTGCGTAGTCTAGCATTGTGTTGTAGAAACAGCTGATCGGAATGATCTGCCCATGAGAGGACGCCGGGTATTTTGCGTTGTGCCCCAGACCCTGTGACCGCTGCTCGTGGGAGCCGGACCCATCTCTTTTCTTCCCAGTGTGGCCGATGTTTGCCTGGAAGAGTAGAGCCATGACCCTTGCGGCCGCCCGGATCTGCCAATCTTCGCCATATGAAGAAATCTTTGGCTTTCCGTCGGATTTGCTAGCGGAAGTAGAAGAAGGTCTACCTCCGAGCGCGGCGTGAATCTGGGAAGCATGATGCAATCCAGAGTCCGCAAAGCTAGGCACCAGACCTTCGGTTGGATTGATCGGCTCGTGGACAGGCCGTCTTTGCTGTCGTGCCAGTCGGTAAGTCACGAAACTTCCCACCATTTCCACCGTCCGCTGAAAGTGCCCATCCGAGTACCTAGCAAACCATGACACGAGACAGTGGTGGACGTCATTGGAAAGATTGGCCATTAGACCTATAATTCGCTTGATAATACCTGAATGGTGTCCGAGACTCCCGGGTCGTCTGCCAGAACTCGGGACACGTTTCGAAGGCGAACCTCGAAACCTGTCATCGAGCGGCTTCCCGGATGATGAGGGAGGGTGCGGCATCGTGGCACCAACCATCTTCCCAGCCTCCAATCTAGTTGGAGTGAGTAACGGGTTGGACAATAGTATCAGCAGAAAACGACAATCTTCAGGGTGTTTCAAAGGTTGTCGGGGTCGCTTCAGGAGGTTTTCTGTCACCTTGAGCAAGCAACGCTGAAGGTGGGTTCGAGATTCTATGACATCTCGCTGAATCTTCTCAAGAGGCACGGATTGCCAGGACTTTTGGGACGCCGGATCCGTCCATCGCGACCGGATTTCTTGCCATGTCTGCTCCCAGAGGTCGCCGGCATAGATCACGGCTCTGTACCACTCAGCCAGCTCAGCCCAGTTGATTCTAGGATTTCGCACAGTAACCAATCCACGCCCCCTGTCGGGCGACCTGTCTCGTTGTTGATGGGTGTCTTTACTTGATGCCGCAGTTCTTCGGCTGGGTGCACCTAGCCACCATGAACCGTTCTCGGCAACGTCTCCAAGCAGTAAAGTTTTGGCATCTAGGTCCGACAAGAAGACGTCAGCGTCGAACACGGGTGTGGGAGCCGGCTCAGATAGCTGACGCCTTTGCTGTGTGCCTGAGGTCGACCTTGGCTTGGAACCTTGCGGTGGCTTTGGCAAGAGGAAAGCCTGGTTGAGTGAGGCACAGCCGACAAAGGTTCCAGATATGTAGTTCTCAACTGCACCGAATATATCAGTCCTCAGGTCGGCAGCAAACCCAGATCCCGTGACGACGTTAACAACATCTCGTCCTTTTGGATCTTGGCTCCTGTTCTGTGAAGCAGACGGTGAGAAGGGATCGGTCGAGCTCCCTTGAACAAATGAGGAGCCTGGGCTCTGTCTAGAGGGAACATCCGGAAGAATTCGTGCTTTCAGTGCCGGACGTGGTGATGGCGGAGGAGAGTCGTGCTCGTCGTGGACTTGACCACATAAAATACCATCCGGTGGCGTGCCCTCTAGCATAAACGACTCTTCTTTCGGAGAGTTACTCTCAAATGCGATGGCTTGAGACTGTACCTCATCATGTGCCAGGTGAGATTCCAGGTACTGTCTCAAACAGCGATCTATCAGTGTGGTCGTCCTCTCGAGCGACAAAGGTGCAATTCTGCGCTGAGGTGATGCTCCAACTGCCGAGGAATTGAAATCTGCCCCGTTTTCTCTGTTGTCTTCGAGGTCGTTGATGGTGAGACAGGTTGTACATCGGAACACTTTCAGCCCCTGTGGCCATCGTACAGTGGAATCGCAAGTCATACATTTGCCAGTGACGAACTGACGATCAACCCGATGCGCAGCGCTCTCAGCACTGACGCTTTTGCTGTTGTTTTCTTCCTGACGTACATCACGGCGTCCAGCCCCACCGGCTTCCCCATCACCGCGGGCATTCTGTTTCTTGTCAGATTTCTTCGACCCGAATAGCGAAGGGAAAGGATGGCTGAATGAGCGGGTATGGCTATTTTTCGTCGAGTTTGATTCGGGAGATTCGGGGACGAGCTTTCGACGGAGGGATGGAATTTCGTAGCTTTCTGCCGAGGCAGACAACGGAGGAGGTGGCAATGGTCGATTCAGGTCTGCAGTCGTCGGCCGTTCATGATTTGTATTCCGCCCCGTCTGTATGTTGCGAGGCAACGGCCGACCGGCTTGGTGATGCGAAGAAGGCGGGTTCGGCGCCATTGTAGTCATGTAGAGCCGGAACCAAGCCTCAACACAGGTCGATCAGACAAGTGGCTGTATAGAGCACAAGCAAGTCATTCATGGGAATTGGGCGTGTAAGTCCGCTCGATGGACGGTGTGATGGATGTTTCAGAACAGCCGGTTCAAGCGGAAGGCCCGCGCAGGGTTCGGTCGATCTATCTTGTCGATACGATGAGGGCGAACTCTATTGGAGGCGATGCGCGTTCGAATGGGCGAGGGAAATCAATCTCCTGGAATGGTATCGCGGCCTGTGTGGCATGAGTGCCTGATCATATTGTTCATCACAGAGGGGAGGTAACGGCTTGCCGGGGGCGGGCAGGCGCGAAGTAGGCAGTCCTTAGCAGTAGTAACATGAGCCACTATTACTACGATCGACGAAGGGGGCAAAAGAGGAAGCGAGTGCGGCCCTTTGTCGAACCGTGACAGGTGAGTTGAGTAGAGTAAGTGGTTCGAGTAAGGGCCGGTGGTGGTACTACGGGTCGGTCACCTACTCCTCCACAGAGTCCATAGTCCATACAGTTTGCTAGAGACTTGAGTACGGAGTAGGTACGTACTATGTAACAGCTACAGATAAACTGCAGTAACCTAGCTGGGTCAAGCATGGCCTGCGGCTGCCCTGCGCTGCGTTGGATCACGGGCCCAGGGGTGACGTGCCAAGCCTGGAGAAGACCAGGCTCGTCGAGTAAGTACGTACCTTCCTCACCATGAATCAAGCTAAGGGAGTCCGTCTCCTGCATTGATCAATTGATCACTTCTACTACGTTCTGTGTACTATTGATTGTACTTCCATCCTTGTATATATCCCACGACATACCTATGGTGTACTATCGAGCAGGACCATTCTTCCTCCAAGCATAGTCAGACTCCATTCCTGTGCCACCGAGGTCAACGCTGGGCATGTGGTTCCTGAAGGGATTGGACACTGGACAGTCTGCCTCGCCTCGCCTCTCAAATACGCCCCATAACCTCCCGATGAGGTTTGTATCTATTTTCGGCACACCCGATACTCACACTAAGTATCAGATTCCACTCATGCTGAGTTATGATCGAGTCATCATGTCCCGATCCTGCCGGTAAACTGTTCAACCCTCGCACCTGTGCAAGCAATTTTCCCAACAACCCCATCCAGCTCCACCCTACCTTTTGAAGTTTGTCGTGGTTTCAGAGGCAGTTCATAATAATGACATTCAACAGAGAGAATGAGAGTTTCTCCACCAGGAGATCATCATGTGGTGTTCTCGTGCGAGGTGTTCTATCTGCCGCCGTTAGACCTGTGAGGTAGGCCGCATAGGCATGATAGGTCTTCGACTTCCAAGATCTGCGCGTGATAGATGTGAAGCGGTCATTCCGATTGCGCTCGTCCACCAGTTTCAACGCTGAACTGGACGGAGATGCCTTCTTGCAGCCCTTTACCACGATTGCATTCGAGCCCGGTTTCATCAGAATTTTGACAACACAGTCCCTAGCCTTACCTGGGTGCTAATCAATGGCAATTCATTCTGCTACCAACCGCCAGCTACTGGCACTGAGACAATATATTTCAGACCTAATAGTGATCCATGGCCACTCTAGAACTGACCTCCGATATTATTTAACAATGTATGTTCAGCTCTCCTGTATACACATAGGCCTAGTCTATTTGATCGGAAAGAATCTTTGCATGGGCAGGTAGAACAATGTAAATACACGATAGACCTATGCTTTTTGACATTTCACCATTTGTTCGGCTCAGAAGGCGGTGGTTTTGGGGGAAATGGATTAGTATGACAGCTTCATTACGGAATATATTAATTGTACGCGTATAGGTACCGTAGGCAATTATTTTAGGCTTTTGCACACTACGGTATGGATACTAAAGCAGCGCATCATTGCAGCCCCGAATTTGAGATTTTGTCTGCCTTCGTATCATGTTGTTGTCCTCCCTCAAGTCTCTGTGAGATACTGACGAGTCCTCAATCCGCAGCATATGGAGATTGTGTCTCGAGTGTGCAGACTTTCCAGACCTGCTTGCCTGAGGACAATCTCGCCAGGCACTCTCGCCTCCGCCAGCAGATTTATCCCGCACGTTGGCTTGCGGTTGAGTCGCCGTCCTTTGTCAACTGATACTGCCGGCGTGCAGACGTCTCCTCTAGGAACTCCGTCTCTCTTGGATCACGGACAGATACCTTTCCAGGCTCCACGTTCAACCTCAGCGCCACGAGGTTCTGCTGTCAAACCCCCCCGTGGCGCAGGAAAGCTTCCGGTCTCTTGTCCGGGTTGCGGTGCCCTAACTCAGGATGTTTCGCCTGATGAGGCAGGGTTCTATACACGGTCGAGAAACACGGTAAAGAAATATCTCAGAGCCGTTGAGCATGAAGCTCGTCAGGCGCCCAGGCAAGATGGAACTGTTGAAGAGGAATTGCCCCAAGAACAACCTGCCCTTGTGAATGAAGATGGCGAACACTTTGAGCGCAATCCCTCTGTACCTAATACACCGATTCCTCCTCCGGTCTGCGATCGCTGTCACCATCTGACCCATGACTCTCGCGGTGTCCCTATCGCTCATCCTTCGATCGAAGACATTGCAGACTCGATTGCAGAATCGCCATTTTCCAAGAACTACGTATATCATGTCCTGGACGCCGCAGACTTCCCTATGTCTCTGGAACCTTCGATCTACAAAAGCTTGTCACTAGCCAAACCTCGAAGCCAAAATCGCCGTTCGCAACACCCCTTCTCTTCGAAGCCCTCACTCTCTTTCATTATCACGCGATCAGATCTGCTTGCGCCCACCAAGGAGATGGTTGACAGAATGATGCCCAAATTGAATTCTATCCTCAGGACATCTCTTGGCCGCAGAAATCAGAAGATCAGGCTTGGGAACGTCCATCTGGTTTCCTCGAAAAGGGGGTGGTGGACAAAGGACATCAAGGAGAGTATTTGGAAGCGAGGCGGGGGAAACTGGTTGGTTGGTAAGTTCAATGTGGGAAAATCCAGTCTCTTCGAGGTTTTGTTTCCCAAGGGCTCTGGTGATCGGGCCCCGGTATATGCAGAGCTACAACAGCAGCAAGAAATGGATTCTATCAACGATTCTATCCTGAACAACTTCATCCCGGAAACCAGTCTACTTCCTCCGCCCCAACCAGAAGTACCATTTCCATCCATGCCGCTGGTCTCAAATCTGCCGGGAACAACTGCATCTCCCATCAGACTTCCGTTCGGGAATAAAAGAGGAGAACTTGTTGACTTGCCTGGCCTGAACCGCGGCGGACTGGATCGATTTGTTCGTGAGGAAGACAAGCTTGAACTGGTCATGGAACACCGGCCAACGGTCATGCAGTACAAGATCGGTCCCGGTCAGTCTCTCCTTCTCGGAGGTGGACTTGTTCGCATCACGCCCAAGCTGGATGAGAACGACCCGAGTACAATAATGATGGCATATCCATTTGTGCCCCTAAAAGCCCACGTTACATCCACGGAAAAGGCTATAGGCGCACAAAAGCAACAACTTGGCACCGGCATTGACTCGATTCTTGCCGAACAAGCAGGAGAGACCATGGCCTCAGCTGGCAAATTCTCCCTGCAGACAGACGTCACAAAATCTCGGGCAGGGCCCGTGATAAGAGCGGGTGCCGACGCTGCGAAGTTGCCGTTCCAAGTCTACGCAACAGACATTCTCATTGAAGGGGTTGGCTGGATAGAGCTCGTGTGTCAAGTCAGAAAAACTCGACGCACATCACACCCTCCTGTTGAAGCAAAGTCTCTGGAGGAGCACCACTCAACCGCTTCGGCCGTACCCAAGGCCGAAGCTGTGTCCATTGAGTCTACCGGATTTATTCCGTTTGGAGGTTCCATGACAGTACCTGACGCGGAGAGTCTTGACTTACCAGAAGTCGAAATTTTCAGTCCAATGGGTAAATTTGTCGGCCAAAGGCCTTGCTTGGATGTATGGCAAACCTGGAATACAGGGAAGCCTCAAAAGCAAATTCGGAGTGCTCGTCCACGCAAGCCAATGAGCGGGGCAAAGAAACATGAAAAGAAGCTTCATAAAGCTGCACTTTGACCAGCAATATAGCATCTCCTAGGTTGCTTTAGAGCGACGTCGTTTACTTGATTCGGCTATCACTGCGGCGTTGCACGATACCTACCAATTGTACGAAGCTCATAATCACTTCTGGATGCTCATCTCGTCGACAACTGGTTGATACTACACTCAATTATGTTCTTGCATAGAAGCAGAGGATATCGCAGATGCCATTTTGAGGCCCAGGCAACCGGTCCAGATCTGCCAGTCTCAGCCTCCGGTGTCGACGGATGCTCCTTGCTATGGCCTTCTCATTCCGTCGGGACAACGATCTTGCCACGTGCCAGGTTCTTTTCCATGGTGTCGTGTGCCTGAACAATCTCGTCCAACTTGAACACCTTGCCCACTTGGACCGGCAACGTTTCGTCTTGGATCTGCTTCAGTAGGTCGTTCAGGGGCGTCTCCTTGAACTCTTCTGGACCACCCGAGTATATCGTCAGGTAGACTGTGTTTGGAATCGCATCCATGGGGGCAAAATGATCGAGAGACCATTTATTCCCTAGAGAAGAATCAGTGAATCAATCAATGACCATGAGGCTGAAGCTGTCTGTGGCCACTTACCGACGATCCCCGTCATGCAGACAATCCCAGACTCAGCCGCACATTGCAAGGAGTCTTCCAGAGTGGTTGTTCCAATCAGTTCCAAAATCTTGTCGAACTTATTCGCCCTGACCTGTTCAGCTACTTTTCCATCGTCGATGATGACCTGGTCCACTCCGGTCTTCTTCAACAGGTCAGCGGTCGACTTCGCAGAATTTCGGCTGGTCGACGCCACATAGCAGCCATGGTTTTTGGCAATGGCAGCTGCTGCAAGGCCTACCGAAGTCGTCCCTCCGCGGATGAGAAGGCGATCCTTCGTGGTCAGGCGCAAGGCCTTGAACAAATAGCCGTATGCTGTCTGGAGCATCTCAGGCACTGCTCCAACAATGGTCCAGTCGAGCTCAGTATCCAGGGCCTGCACATTGCTCGCTTTGACGCACGTATATTCGGCATATCCCCCGTCGAAATCTCGACCCAACCCTCCCATGGCAGTGGCGACCTTCTGGCCAATCTGGAACTGACCTCCGGGACACTTGTCCACCACTCCGGCAGCCTCGATCCCAAGGACGCGAGGCAATTGGACCCCTGGACTGTGGCCTTGACGGGTGAAGAGTTCAGAGCGATTAAGGCCAAATGCTTTGATTCGAATGAGAACTTGATCATCCTTTGGCGCTGGGATTGGAAGGGTTTCGAGTTTGAGTACTTCTGGGCCGCCCGCCTCGTGCATCACCGCCGCTCTCATTGTTGCCATTGCGCAAGGATCACACACATGTTCTCGCAACCGCGGCAGTTGTAAGGGAGAACTTTTGGTTCGACAATGATATGGCCGATGCTGCCCGTTTGTATCTTTACCAGCCGACTGGAAAATCAATCGAGATATATAGCCCTTTGGGCCCACAGGCTCAATTACAATCCAGATCTTGACTCAGTTCTGCGCATGTTTTCGGCCCCCTGTTTTCCTAGTCTGTCTAAGGTGCCGACAACCATTTACTCCAGTGTTTCTACGAATAGGAGCCCCTCAGCCATTTTCGGGGTCCAGTCTTTGCCGCTCGTTCTCCAACCAAACATGAGCAAGTTGCGCTGCGACAATGGCAGCATTGCCTAGAGACGTCAACATTCTGCAAGCACGGCACAGATCGCCAATACTTGCCAGCCAGGCATTGGGGGGCCTGACGCACCCTGCATAAACCCTGGTGCTTGATTCCATAATCTTGGAGCAGTCTTGAGTTTCGACGAGACTTGAATGGGTTCCATCCCAAATTAGGTTAAGGAGTCGGTGCAAGGAGGTAATATATGCACATGTGCACATACGTATCTTGATGACTCAGCAATGGCTTTAGCAAAGCCATTGCTAAAGCATTCAGCTGTGTGCGTCCTGGGCTGGGTCTCTCAGGGAGCGGAATGTCAGGGAGATGGATTGGGAAACACTCTCAATTTGATGGTGTGCAAACTGACGTACACCATCTATAAGGTATACAAGGGTCCAAAAATAACCAATTAGGGATTCTTGAGAGTAACAACCCCAAGTTTGTTGCCTGAGTCAACCAGGTCAACGATCTTGACCAAACTCCTCCCGGACGCCAACCCAGGTGATGTGATCCCAACCGCTCACGTCCTGGGGTATCTGTGGGTATAATCAAGACGATATGACCATGTTGGGAAGACCGAGCACGGCCGCCGAAAATGGTGCGATTCTCATGTTCATCTTGACTCTACTTCCCGCGCTGGCGAGGATTTCTGTGCATCGCTGTCTCCGCTGCTATAATCGGCATCATTTTCGCCAGGAAAGATTGAAGAGACTGGTCGTCTTCGCGAGGTGCTCGAGATCTCAACATGGCGGTGGTGCTTCGACTCGAGTGTCCTCAGTTTTTCGTCGGTCTCGCGCAACTTGGCATCGAGGTTTTCGAGTTGATAGCGCTGGGACTGGAGTGTGTCCTTCCTATAGTTCATCTCGTCAATCAAAAGGCGTTGGCAGAGTGGCATGCTCTTTACTTTTGTTCGACCGATTCCTCTAATGCTCCAACGCCGTTCAACTTGAACAAGTCGTCCAGGGTAGCAGAGAAGTCGCGAGCAAGGGTCCTATCTCGGTGTCAGTAACAAGACCGTGTAATCATCTTTCGACCTTGCCGCTCACGATTGAGGTCTGCCATTTGCCTTCCACCCAGCGTCGCCGTTAGTGTCGTTGGGTGCGCTCATTTTGGGAGACGGCGATTCAGGATGGTCAACGCGAGACGAAAGCAGGGCAGAGCAATGGATATATAGTAATTCAGAAAGGACACAGGTCCAAGTGATGTGATGTCAAGTGACGAGGATAGCAGTCGACGAGTCAGTCATGGGTCAAGTGCTCAAGTCTGAGCCCCAGGCTGACTGGGTGCGCGGACGACAGACGACAGTGGTTGCCCTGTGTTTACAAGAACGTCAGTAGTCGGGAGCGCCTGCGATCAGGCAAAAGGGGGTCGCGGTCGCCTGGAGCAGAGATCACACTGCAGTACTAGGCGGGCGAACCAACCCAGTAGGGTCTTATAGGGGCTTAGGGGCTGCAGATCGTGACCTCAAGGCTCCTAAGGCTGCAGGGAACCAGCTCCCAGAGATGCAGCAGCCGTGGGTTTGGCTGGTGGTGGGCATGTGCCTGACGGTCTCCAAAAAGCGAAACGACGTCTACCAAGATAGTACTAGGCACCTATCTAGGTATCACCGTGGCTCCTCGGATTATTTGCCTACCTACTAGGTGCCTACCACCTAGTATCCGTCCTCCGTTGGGTCTGACAATTTTTCCACCCTCATTTCGCGTCAACCACAATTTCCATCATTTCATCTCCTCCACCAACCCGCTGTCTTCCCGCCATTCGCGTCAAGGACAATCATCCGCGCGTTTTTGGCCATCCCTCCCCCGGGGCCTTTGGTTAGCCCTCTCACAGAGCCCTCGTCGCAAACCTGAAGCAGGCGACCCTTGGCCTTCTGTCCTCTCCGCGACGATGGGATGCCTTCATTAACAGCCTACACGCCTTATGAGACGCTTGCCTTCTGCCAGTCTGTTGCCCGCCATGGCTCCGACCCAGTGGCCTTTGAGACCATCGCGAAATCTCTGAACGCAAACCAATTGATTCGCGAGAACCTCACCTACGACCATGCTCGATTAACGGCGGCCGCTCTCGAAGCATTATACCAAGATTTGCTGGTGGAAGAACGAAACGCCGATGCTCTTACGGTCAATGGCGACAATGTCAACCCGCGCAAACGAAAGCTGTCCACGTCTCCTCCTCCTGACAACAATGAGCCTGCCGAGGAGAGAGTACTGCAATCCCTGGTCGACAAGTTGTATGCTCGGTTTCGGGAGCAGACCATCAAAGAGATACGCGCGGAAGAGGAGGCTTATGCAGAAATCGAGGCCCAGATAACCGAGCTCGAGAAGAAGGTTGCAAACGAGCAACAAACGCGTGGCACTGTCGAAGAGGTCAAGGGTGAAAGCCAAACGGCTGTCCATCAAGTCGAAGGCGGTGCGCCCAGCGTCTCAGACCCTCGACCGAGTCCCGACGCAGCGGCAGCTCAGCTACATGCCAGTCTCGGTGCAAGTCGAGCTGAGCCGGTAGTGCCGACAGCAGAGGTGTCACCTACAGAGGCGACACTATCGCCTTCGTCGATTCGAAGTGGTCAACAGCGCCCTGTGGTAGCCTCGGCCTCTCCAGCACCGTCCACGCCCAGTGTCTCTTCCGCCACACAAGCAGCCGAATCCGCTCAAGCTCGAGCCTCACAGCCTCCGGGACATGCTCACCGTAGGTCTCCAGGAGGGTTCCATCGTACTCTTCCAGCACCATCGCCCCAGCGACCGAACTATGGCCCAATCAATCCGCAACATTTCCAACCTGGGCCACAGGGGCATCCGGTCCCAGTGCTGCCGGGCATGCCAGGAATGCCTCACATGCCTCCGCCGGCAGAATTTCCAGGCCAAAAACGGAGCAGTTCGTCGTCTGGTGCTGGCAGAGGGTCCCCGATCCCGATGCCGCCTCAGCAGGCCTATCCAGGCTATCCAGGCTATCCGCCACCTCCTTGGCCTCATCAAATCCCTCCACCGCACCAATATCAACCGCCATACGGAAATCCACAGTACTATGTGCAATCGCCAACTGGACGACCTGGGATCCCATACCAAACTCCCCACCACCCCGCGTACCAGGCGTATCCTCAGAGTGCACCCCTTCATTACCCGAGTCAACCACCTCCACCTCACGGTTGGCATCCTCAGCCTGGTCAGCCATACTACGGGTACCATGGATCTGCAAATGTCACGCCGGTCCCTCGCACCGATGCTAGGCGGCAGGTGTTGCGAGGCAGGTCCTCGACGCCTTGGAAGAGACGCGCGGAGGCATCGACGCGCATTCGCCAGTCGAGCCCTGTTCGACCGGAGAGAGATGTCAGCCCTCTTACAGACACTGAATCTCCTGCCCAACCCCGCAAGGTTCGGAAATCCCCCCAGAGAAAGGGTCGGAGGTCGGGCGGGAATTTGTTGTTGGCACCAGAAGCCGCAACAGCAAGAGGCAGACAGGTGGCAAGTGTTACCCCAGCCGCGGTTGCAGAGTCTACGTCTGGATCAATGGCATCCTTGACGTCAGATCCTCCTCCAGAGAAACGCAAGAGAGGGCGTCCACCTCAGAAGATCAAAGCTGAACCTCCGAGTACACCTGCCCCTGTATTTTCGGACAGTGAGCAGGCGCAGCGCACATCCAACAGATCTCAGAACGGTGCCGTGACTTGGGCGAACGACCCGATCAGGAATACCACTGCTGCTACGAAGCGCAAGCGTTCGCCCGAAAGAGACTCTGTAACTCCTAGGTTACCGTCTCCTGCCCCCGCTCAATTACCACAGCGTATCCCGCGGGACTCTTCGCTGGTCACTGTTTCAAGAAATTTTGCCAAAACCTCTCAACTTCTCCTCAGTGAAATTCTCTCGCATAAGCTCGCGGGAATATTCGCCAAACCTCTGTCAGAACGCGATGCTCCAGGTTACAAGGATCTGGTTTTCCGTCCGCAGGATCTCAAGAGCATCAAAGCCGCCATTTCGAGAGGAGGGAAGGCCGCCTTGGCCGCAATCGAAGCTCTCGATGGTGAAGATCAAAGTAACGAGGAAGCCCCTCCGAAGTCAGCGTCTTCTCCAACATCAGAGGCTCGTGAAGGCCCTGTGGGTAGTGGCTTTTACCTGGTGAAGGCTTCAGAAGACTTGGTCCCGCCTCGCGGTATCGTCAATCCTTCACAACTCGAGATGGAGTTGGTGAGAATGTTTGCCAATGCGATTATGTTCAATCCTCTCCCGAGCTCGGACCGAGGGTTCGGAAGGTCCCTTCGACTCAGGAAGGATCAGCCAGACAAACATTCAGATGGAGACACAAGCGATGACTCGGCATCAAGCGAACAAGGGACTCGCCCCGACGAAGGCGGCATCATCTCCGACACTCGAGAAATGTTTGAAGGCGTCCTCGCCCAAATTCGCAAATGGCGTGAGGATGTGGAGAGATTGGGCGCCGATGACGGCTCCAGGGCTGTGCAGCCTCCTGGGTCGTTTGGCGGACAGCATAGCAGTGCAAATGCCAGTGTCAGGCACTCTAGCGTCGGTTCAGCTTTGAATGAGGATGAAGGAGGGAGAGAAGCTTCAACGCCCGTTCCTACCACAGGTACGGCCAGAAAGAGGAGGCGAATAGCGGAAAGTTGAAAGCCTACAAATCCTAGATGGTTTGCCTCGACTGTGATCCGGATGTGGCTGTTGTACTCCCCGTGTATGTCAAGATATTCGGTAGAGCGAATGGGCTCGGGCAAAGCCCTGTTCAGACTTGCGAATGGGAGAGATGCCATTGTTTCAACAAACAACCCTCTCTAAAATCCGTTGTTTCGCCGGGTCGTTGTCAGTTGCAATGCTACTATATCAATCACTCATCATTAATCGTGTCGAATCCCATCCTCATCTATCAGATCGGATCTGTCTTGCTGGATCTCTAGGCCTGCCAGGCCAGTCACCGGTGTGGGAAGTAGTAGCAGGACTGGCAAGGCCATAAAGGAAAGAAACAGACTTCTTGACAAACCTGAGAGGATATACTCCGTACAGCAGCACAAAGGTGGATTGGGGAATGAGTATATTATCACGATGGGAATAGAGCTTCGAATATTCTTAATTGACAACAACATCAACCACCACCGCCGCCGCCGCCTCCTCCTCATCGTGTAAAAGGACAACAGCACACCGCTACCATGTATCCGTACCTTCTTTCTCAAGGGTTTCCCGGGAAGCACGGCACAGCTCGAGGTCCTCATTTTCCCACTTCTAGTGTCATTAATTTTGTGATCCTTGGCTTGGATATCATTTCTACTCGTACAATTTACAATATGGTCCAGTACTACTAGTATCTCTCAGTTTCAGTTTCAGTTTCAGCCCGAGGTCAGCCCGAAATCAGCCTTGCAAGGACTACGGGGCTTGATGGTTCTCGTCCCAGGCTGCAGTTCCTGGCCATGTTTTTATTACCGGCCTAGCGAAAACCCGCAGGCCAGTTGCACTTTGAAAATCTGCGATTGTGAAACGAGACCCATCTGATAATTAGATGATGGAGCATCCCGTCTCGCCTCGATCGCGAAATACAGTACGCAGTACTGGATACTAGATAATTAACAGGAGAAGGAGAATTGAGCCTTCAGGCTTCTAGAGACTTGGGTATGGAGTATGGAGTATGGAGCCTGCTTCTATTTATATTCTTAGGGGGCACTCGAGGCTTGGAATTGACACACCGTCGGCTTAGAGAGACCCATATCGCTTGTATGCATTGACAGCGTCGTCAAGGGAGGAAATTGGGCTGGCACCGGTCCACAAGATCGGATTCATGTTAATATTAATTAATTATGGCGAACAACTCATCCTTGGGGGTTGACCGACGACGTACTCCGTATACGGAGTACATACCTACCTATACGCAATACAAGTCATTCCACCGCATGCTGACCTCCGAGATTGGGACGGTTGTCAAACTTGCAGATCATCACCGTGTACTCGTATACCTACGGTATCCGGATAATCTGTACCAAGAGCAAAAACAATGTGTATTTGATGTGCAACTTGTCCGCGCTCCGAGCGTTCGTGATCACCAGGAGGATTCGACGTTGCGAATCCCGCAACATTCTCACTGACATGGGTGACGGTTTCAAGTGCTGGGATGATCATCCTCATCTGCAACGGACCCAGCCGTGAGTAGATCGTCGCCAGTTTTGTGCGCAACCGAGCCCAACGGGGTCGAAATGGATGGCATGAAATTGACCCTGATAGTCACCATAATGTAACCGTAGTAGCTGTGCGTTTGCGAACTTGGAACGGCCTTAGCGGAGCGCGCCTCTACGGGTAATGCCCGAATCAAGTTGGGAGCGCCGGGCACCAATATGTTCTTCCATGTGAGTCGACACTTGACCGTCATGGTTCGGTTAAGGAGCCTGTAATGGCGACTGGATACAGAGAGTGGGATGAACGACGCAAGCCAGAATCTCAGTGTCATTCTGTTGTCAAGCGACATGACTATGGTCACGTCTCAGAAAACATCACGAGTCCAAAGTCGAGATCCAGTTAGTTAGCTGATTCTCAGGGGACTGGCCTGCAGCAAGCTGCGAAGGGGTTGTCCATGACAAGCCGCTTGGAGCCCGGAGCACGAGTCTCTGCTTGCCAACGCATGAGATTAAATCGTGGCATTAAAATGATGCATGTCCTGCAGGGAAGGGTGTCATTCTTGGATACCATTGTTTGATTGGCTTGGAATTTCCAGCAACATCCTAGATTGCGAGTCTCGTGATGAGGAGGGTACAGTCCATCGCAAGCTTTCGCGCGCACTTCAACGAATAGAAACAGGAAATTATACCCTGTGACCTTCACCTCGAGAGAAATGCCCTGGATAGCGGTGTGACGAAGCGCCCGTCAGCATCAGCCGCATTCGGATTGAGAATGCTCCAGACCCTGATGAACCTCGTATTGTAGGTTTTTGAGTATTCAGCTGAAGGGACGCCCGATTCCAGGTGAGGCAGCATTACTCCACTCACCAACGGAGGTGATCGAAGTCGCATCCACCCCTGACCTTCGAGCATAATATTGCCCAAGGGGGCGGAAGAACATCTCTGATTGCATAGGTCGGTATGCAAGCACTTTGGACAGACAGCCAATGACCGACAGGCGCACATTTTTTTCTCCCACAGCCAAGTCAGACCAACGGCGACCTTCTAGCCGAGGCTTATCGTTTCGGTTTCAGCGTGAAAAAATGATGTTTGGCTGACGCATGGCTAAATCTGGGGTGCAGCTTGTCTGCTGCGCTGGTCTTATCTCCGTGCTTCAGATTGGCCAAATGTCCTCGCAAGCGAAGGGGCACGACGTCAATGGGACTCCATGATGGTCCGGTTATCGCCCTGGCGCCGTCTAGCTCCTGAAACAGGTACAGTGCTGTCATTTTGGTTATTTTGGTCCGTCTGTGGAGGGGAGGTTGAGATCGGCAGGGAGGAAGGGTGTTATGGGCGCGGCATCCTCGGAACAAGAACGTTGAGAACAGGATACTTCGACCGAGTGCGGATTGAAATCTTATCCTGTGCCGGGTTGGCTGAACATTTGCTGGGGCGCATGAGGCGGACTGGTATTTTGCAGACGACCCTTAGGTGACCCTCAGTGCTGCAAGACACTACTGGGGGGGAAGGTAGTCCGCCCAGACACAGCCAACTGTGCACGGACTCCGGGTGTGCCTGAAAGATTCTGGGAAGATGACAACAGCTGAAGAGCGGTGCCGTGTTGCAACTGGCGTTGATTTCGCCGGAGCAAGGGGATGCCCTGCCGCCTGAAGGTCTAGCGTGGGCCCAGCGGGTTGGGTCTTGGAATGCAATATTGAATACAGTGTATCAGTCATTTCAGGTCATTCTAAATTCGTTGCCCTCGGGCGCAGTCTGGTCTAACCTTGATGAGAGACAAGGGCGCGGCACCGCCGTGATTTTGCTACAATGAACAGTTCGACCTTCTAGACGCCCGGAAGAAGGTAGCACAAGATTGCCGTTTGGCCCGATTGATGAGACTAGCTGTCGTCACTCGTGTGGGGGTCTCGTTGTGTTGACTCGCAGCTTGCAGTGGCAGTGTACGATGTAGAGATGGAAGATTGGATATGGTGCTGGCCACGTATGCTGCCACGCATCTCTCGATCCCTCATTGTGGACGGAGATGCAGCTGGACGGCGCGACGCGACAGGCTGGGCGCAAAGGCGTCCTCCTAACGCGTGTCTGTCTGCAATGCGCATCTTCTGGGTTCCCGATTGTCAGCAGACTTGAATGACAACACGAGCGACAAAATCGGCCTCGTGCAGTGCCCTGAGTCAGGCGCAAGAACGTCGGGAGTCCACCACGGATGCCTTTCCTCGAATCCGGATGTGGGCTATTGAGTCGGAACGAGGTTTTGGGAAATCAGTCATGCTGTCAGCTGAAACTGTGAACCATCGACATGGCATCCGGCAGACTCCGTCAATATGAGACTGTTCTTCTATAGGAATACTAATCGCGAACCCTTTGATAGTATGTGCCTTCCTGCATGAAAAGACCGGGGAATATTACGGCCAGTGTCCGAGCGTGGAGGTCATGATACCACCTCAGTTGGAGTTCGGCAGAGCGGCTTTGTGTATGGAGGAGGGTGAGTGGGACGAAGCAGACGGATGAGAGGACATGGGCGAGTTTCGGATTGGCGAGTGCTCGAGACAAGGCATGGTTTCAACAACTGGGGCACTAGATAGAAGCCCAGAATGAAGACCGATTCGATGGCGATGGCGATGGCGAATCGAGCTGCAAGCGAGGAGAGGGCGAAGTTGGGATCGAAAGCTGGAAGAGAGCGGAAGGGGAGGATTCGCAAGATGGACCTGGAGATGGAGTCATAATTGGACATGGGTTATCGACAGGGACAGCATACCTGAAGTGACAGCTAGAGGTGACAGAACTCACGAACCAGGCACCTACCAGGGGTTCCCAAGGTTTGCTGTTGCTGTAATAATAGCAGATGTGCTCTTCTGGTAACAAGCATGCGGACGGTGATCTCTACCTCAGAGTACTCCCGTAATCCGTATCGGAGACACTCTTTCCACAGGGCTTAGGGGCTGCTTCAGAGCCCCCAACGTCAAAGATCAGCCGGTAGGTACCAAGTATTCAGTGGGTGGTGATGGGCAGGGGTAGCAAGAAAATAAAATAAGCCCAAATGGGGGCTTAGGCTTCGATGGTACGCCTAGTGGTAGCAGCTAGCCGGCGGCTTCCAAGCATGCCTGCTAGGAACGCAGGCTAGGTGATAGGTAGCTCCATGCCCAATGGTCACCCAGCGACCGCCACATCCGAGCCTTCGGAGGGCCAGGAACTTGGACGTCACCCCCCTGTCAAAATCGGCCCTTAGCCTACTACCTGATCTTTTAGCTTCCCCTTGCGTTGATTCTCACTGACAAGTGGAGGCAAAGAGAAGAAAAATACGAGTCTCGACAAGCACCAAGCAGCGGACGAACCGCTTGTCTCCCTTGGTGTTCTACTAACAAGAGTCAGTTCTCAATTGATATCCCTGGTAGGTGCCTGGGAGATATTTGATCTGCAAGTGCGGAGCGTCAGTCAACGTAGTGGTAGTGGCGGGTTAAACACCTGGCACTCATAGCGACGGGCATAATTTCCATCATCCTGGCCAAGAGCCTCTCTCGTCATTACCTGGGTATCCCGCAAATACCGTCTCCGTACACGGCCCCCTTGTCCCGGCCTTTTATTTTTCAGAAAACAGCCCGTTCCACCCTCACATCCTGCTCCTCGAACATCCTCTCCGTCCATTCCTTTCCCACTCTTGCGACCTGCATTGCAGCGCACCATTCGCTCTCTCGCCTCCACTACGACGACGACTTCAAACTACTTACTGCCACGGTTTTCCTATCAGGTTGTGCTGCGCACACGCTTTATCAACCCCCCGGCCTTTAAGCAGACAGCTGGATTGCATTCTGTCTCGTCCCTTCCTTTGTCCAAGGCCGCCTTACCCACCCCCTGCGAACGTACACCAAGCGACCACGTCGCAAGACTCCGATTACTATCACGAACCCTTGTGTGCTCTCGTCTCGCTCGAGTCCAAGTTGATCGCCTACCGTCTGACTGCATGCATCTTGCCCTCTGACCGGTTGCATATCATCCCATCACGCGAGTCTGCAAGTCGCCGTGTCTGCAAGGCCAAACGCCCTACATAGTACCACGACGTCAACACCGCCCACCCAAGCCTTGTCCTTCCGACCTTGCCACCCTGTCTGCATTGCAGCTGCACGAGAACCAACCCACCTTAGTCTTCGTTCCCGTCAGGCGCTCCAGCATGGCTGGTTTCCGGAGCTGCTGAACGTGTCGCAAGACCTCTGTACAAGATCGATCCGTTGCGGCGTCAGAACACCCTCGAAGGGATTGCATAATGAAGCCGTCAAAGCACCATACACAGAGCTGGACTCACTTCCCCCGTCAATCTCGACCATAAGGCGAACCGTGGACAACGCCAACAAAAGGTACAAGAATTCCCAGTTGTCGCCGTCGCCATGATGTCTGCTTCAGCATCGCCCTCCGTCCGGGCACTGCAGAGCCGCGACAGTTCCCCTTCACCCCGTCTCCATCCGCTGGCTCGTATGCCTTCGATACAACGGGTCAACACCGCCATTCCTCAACCGGCCTCGCTCACTCCAGCCTCCGCCAATAGCACCTCGTCTGTGTCGGTGTTTCCGAGCCCGTACATGCCATCCCTTCAGTCCTCACCACTGGTCTCTCAAGTAGGCAACCAGCATCCCCAACTCGGCAACCCTGTTCCTTTCGCGCTGCCCGAGTCCATCGTCTCGACATCCCATGCCTCCCCTCCGCCAAAGGAGCCTTCCGCGGGCTCCAAGTCTGTCGGACTGATGCGGAAACTGTCTCAAAGTGCCAAAGATGGCGTGTCTTCCACCCGACAAATCCTGCGAAGGAAAGCCTCTTCCTCGACACAGAATCGCCGCGACGAGAGTACTGGCCCCATTACCAGACGGCGGAGTGACAGCAAGACCGCAGTCACCAATGTTGTCTCCTTGGAGTCTCCTTCTTTCGACACACTCCCCTTGGACCTGCAATCAGGTTTAGGCCTCTACGACACCATGAGCATCTCCAGCGAACCGGCCACGTTCCTTGAAACGAGTCCTGAAGGACAGGCCCCTTGCGTTCCAGAGCGCCTGGTTGCAGGGTGTCTCCTGACCAAGATCACCAAGACCAAGAAGCAAGAGAAGATGTTCTTCCTCGACGTCGAGGGCTCCCGCGTCTCCTGGAGGGGCGCGGTGACCACCAAAACTTTCCACATAGATAATATCAAGAGCATCCGCATCGGTGAAGAGGCCGCCAGTTACCAGCAAGAACTCCGTGGCGAAGCTGTCGACCCGGATCTCTGCTTCACAATCAACTATACCCCTTCCGATTCCTCAAAGTCGGTCAAGACCTTGCATCTGGTGGCGCACTGTCACTCGGACTTCAAACTCTGGGTCGATACTTTGGAAAGCTTGTCCAAGCACCGGGAAGAATTGATGACCAGCATGGTCGGTTCCACCGAGCGAGAATCTGTCATGCGTGCTCACTGGGCCAGCGAGATGGCAAAACGTCCGGCCAGGCAGGATAGTGACAAGCCCGACGGCCTCGACCTGCCTGCGATCCAGTCCTTGTGTCGGAAGCTTCACATTCATGCTCCTGAGAAGGAGTTGCAAGAGCACTTCAATTCCGCCGATGTCGACAGATCGGGCCTCCTCTCGTACGACCAGTTCAAGGGATTCCTCCGACGGCTCCGTGAACGAGTCGACATCAAGAACATCTTCAACGAGTTGAAGGATCCGCATTCCAAAGGCTTGACAAGGTCCCAGTTCGTGTCCTTCATCGAACAGGTTCAGGGGGTCAGCATTGCCCGACTCTCTGATTCAAGCGTCTGGGAAGAGAAACTCAATCATCTCGTAGAGATCTCGTTTCCCTCAGACCCAGCTCTCCACGCCTCTGGTCTGGTCGATTCTAATGCTTTTGCCTCGTTCATCATGTCGAAAGACTGCCACATCTATGCGCTACCCCAAGAGCCGAAGCCGCAGTTTGATCGTCCTCTCAACGAGTACTTCATCTCCAGCTCTCACAACACCTACCTGACGGGCTGGCAGGTGGGAGGGACCTCTTCGGCGGAAGCCTACATCACTGCCCTACGTCATGGCTGCCGATGCATTGAAATCGACTGCTGGAATGGCCAGGATGGAAATCCTAGGGTGACACACGGCCGCACGAGGACCACCGCTGTTTTGTTCTCCGACTGCATCAATGCCATCCAACGATGCGCCTTTGATGTCTCGCCATATCCGTTGATCATCTCCCTGGAAGTCCACTGTGATGCAGAGCAGCAAGCCAAGATGGTGCGGATTATGGTGGACGTCTTTGGCGATCGACTTTTGCTCCATCCTCTGCCCGGCTCCACGACGAAATTGCCGTCACCGGAACAGCTCAAGCAAAAAATCCTGATCAAGGTCAAGTCAACTGAGCTGCACGCGGATCTTGAGGCTTCTTGCCCGGCTGGATCCGGGCAGCGAGACCGCAGTGCCAGCTCTCCTCACCGGGGTGGCTTCCCGTCGGCAAACTGCAGTGCACCCAGCTCGACCGCCATCAGCAGCCCTACCCTCGTCACACCTCCGGAGACCATATACTCTCCGACCGACCGGTCAGTCACGGCCACAAGTGCCAGCAGTGGCGACGATGAAAGCGACGTCCCCGCCACTTCACTCTCACCTGTCGATAGCCAGCGCCGACCTCCCAAATTGAGCAAGGTTGGACCCTACCTTGCCGCGCTCGGTGTATACATGAAGGGGTACAGCCTACGTGAAGCGAAGGACCTCAAATTTCAGCAATACAACCACATCTTCTCCCTCAATGAGAACCGCGCCATTGAGCTGTGTCACTCTGCCGAGGATAAAGCCCTGTTCGAGGACCACAACCTCCACTACATGTGCCGGGTCTATCCCAGGAACCTGCGTTTCCAGTCCTCCAACTTTGACCCCAACACCTTTTGGAGGCGAGGCGTTCAGATGGTGGCCTTGAACTGGCAGACCTTTGACGCACATATGCAGATGAACCAGGCCATGTTCGCCGCCGGCACAGACGCGTATGGATATGTCTTGAAGCCCGATTATCTTCGGAAGCCTCGGACCAAGCCTGGTGACTTCGAGCACAGGGTGAAGTTGCCGCGCTACAAGACCAAGTTCTCTGTCCAAATTATCTCAGCACAGCAGCTACCACGGGCTGCGAACATGAGCAAAGACACCCCTTTGAACCCATTCATCGAGGTTCAAATGTTCAGCGCCGAGGACAGAGCTCGCGGCATAGCCAATGGCACGGGTGGCAAGGAGACCTATTCAAATGGATACCATGGCATTGGTTCCCCATATCGGCGACAGACGGAGATCCGCTTTGGCAACGGCTACAACCCTCAGTTCGGTGAAACCATTGAGCTGTCGTTGGAGACAAAGTACCCCGAACTTGTCTTCGTCCGCTTCATTGTTTTCAACTCGGACGACGGCAGACAAAACGGGAAAGGGATCCGACAGCTTGCCGCCTTCACCGCCAAACTCGACAGCTTGCAGAAAGGGTATCGCCATCTACCTCTGTACAACGGCTACGGCGAGGAGTTCATCTTCTCTACTCTGTTTTGCAAAATCGTCAAGCAAGAACCCAAGCTTATGCCTTGGTCCCTGCAAGATGTCAACGAAAGGCCCTCGAGGGCCAACATGTTCCGAGGTATCCTATCCCGTGGGCTCTCAGGTGACCGTGGTAGAGAGCATGGTTCCAGCGTCGAAGAGCAGCGCACGGCTCGGCAGGCCACCCTGAATCTGGAGATTGTGGAGAGGGTTGCCAGACGATGAGGCCTACAAAGGTGTATATGCCTAAGCATGGTTCTGTATCAACCATTGGCGTGGGCGTTTGATTTTCGACAAGATACCCGAAAAGCATACCTATATGACCTGATGACATATTAGTAGACTTGCTGTCTGGCAACGGACATGTTTTGCTTGTTGGTAACAATGTCTTGCGCGGAGGGAGCTTGTAACAACCGCTTACTTTTTCTTTCATATGTACGAGTATTTAGAATTGACAAGGCGGCTTCATGTTGGAATATCAATCATTTTCAAACTTCGGCCTATACTAGTATGGACGGTTATGCTGAGGATGGAAATTGAATGTTACTGGGTGAGAAAAGTCATTTTGTCTGATTCTCTGCCTGTTCTTGTGCCGTCATCCAACAATTATATATTCAAGTTCACCGCTTTGGGGCTCAGCTCTTGGCTGCAGCAGCACAACCTAGTACGCCGTACGTGGGTAGCAATCCACCCGCCGCCTGACAAGCTCGAGGTTGCCCCAGCGTGGCTGTGTTCATGGAGCCTTGGGCACTGGGGACATCTTGACAATAATGATGCTGTTGCTGCTGTCTTCCACCTTGTGACGTCTGGCCTGCGTCGTACTTTACAGGAGTCCGTGCATCTTAACCACGGGCCGGCTGATCACGATGCAGTTTATCGAGAGCTACCTTTCGAACAATCAGGGGTTCCAACTTGACATCGTCGGTCAGTACAGCCTCCGTCAGATTGGGGTAGATTGCTGACGAGAATCGCCGTCACAGGTTTCCTCGCCATTCTCGGAGAAGGCTCCGTCGAGACGATCGCGCAGGTTGCCACTCTAAGCTATCTCATCTTTCTTCCTCGCCTTATTCCTGCGCCCCAGATCTTCATCAGACCGTCGCGACCTGAGAAACTCGAAACGACCGCCAATGCTAAAGTGATCGGAGTCCATTCAGGCAACACGGGTGAAGACATACACCATGTTGCCCACGCCTTGCACCGTGGAGACAAGTTGATTCCCAATACCGTCAGTTGCGTGCGGATCAAGGAGAATAACAAGGCTCGTCCGTCAATCAAGCGGTTTGGTCCGCTGGCCATGCTGGCCTTTCTTGGATTCGCCATGAGTGCCGCCCTGTTGGGGCTTTCCATATATTACGAAGATGGGTGAGTGGAGAGACGTGTATCATCTGCTCTGACGCTGAAATCATCTCCGTCAGTATGTCGTTGTTGGCAACACTCCTTCTCTCCACCCTGAGTACGATCACGGGCATTGCCAACAAATGGACACCCACACCTAACGATCCGAAACCCGACCCTCATTCGCCTGCCGGAGACGTTGTCATTAAATATCCGCAAGGGGCCTTCATCGTTGTGAGCTGCGAAGAACGGACTGCTCGGTATCTTTATTTCAACCCAAGCGAGCGTTGCATTTACACTGTCAAAAGCACGGCAATCTATAGAGTACTCTCATTGTTCTCGACCCTACTGCTCATGGGTGGAGTCATTTCTCTGGCCAACGCAAGGATTGAGACGCAGACCGCCTTCGCGGGATCATACATGTTGATCAACATTTTTTACTGGATTGGCGCGGCCTTGCCTCCTGCCCAACACTGGGATCTCTCTCGACTGGAGGTTGAACACATCGAAATTGCGGGAGGATCTCCACCGCGGAAAGCAAAGATCGACAACTACTCGCCAACCTACACCGAAGCCCTGTGGAAAGCCATTGCCGTCACGGGGACCAGTAACTGGGTGAAGGAGGCTGGCTGGGCTCCCAAGACTCCTGCTTGGAGTGACTGGCTCAACGAGGCGGAAGAAGCCGCGCTACAAGAACCCATGCAGGTGAGCAGCAAGAAGATGGAAAACGGCCAGAAAGTGGAAGTGTGGACGATCCGTAACTGGGACAGCAGAAATGCTCTTTCCACCCTGCTCCGGACCAACACAGACAGATTCCAGGGCAAAAGATGAGGATTGGCCGCTGTCCTTGGATAGGAGAGGGAACTGGCACAATTTCACGGGAGTCGGCGATCGCTGCGGTGGCGACGGGCTCATGAAGGAATGAACAAATGACTGATGAATTGACGATGAAATCATGCATGAAAAGATATAGATACCTCTATCTGAACGAAGGTGAACGGCTACAGAATAGATCTCTTCCAATAATGACTGTTTTCCATGATGTTCAACTTGCCAGTGAGGGGACCCACCCACTTCTTCAACATCGGCTTGAGAAATCTTGGCGCGCACACTGCGGTCGAACAGCTTGACCTCCCTCTAACGAACCCAACTGTCGTCTCTTCTCACCAGGTCAACTGTCAAGTCGAGTCGATTTCAATCACTCGGAACCCGGACACGACATTGAGACTGCGCGTCTCTACTCCCCACGACAAGATGTACGAGAGAGTCCTTGCATGTTGCTGCGGAATTGGGTCTGCAGCGCAAAATGCTGATTCGAGGATTTTACAGACAACCAGGTCAATCTTGACGACTTGAGAATTCGAGACCGGCACCATGCCTTTCACCAAGCTGTGAGTCCCCCTTGATCTCCTGCCGAATCCGTTCGTGGTCTAATCGCATCTCCAGTGTCAAGAACTCTCCCTACTTCTCCAGATTCCAGACCAAGTACAAGCGCAGAAGAGCGGGAAAGGTACGAGGGCTGCAGCAATGTGCAATTTGAATACTCACAGTCTACAGACCGACTACTATGCCCGAAAGCGACTGGTGACCCAGGCAAAGAACAAGTACAATGCACCCAAGTACCGGCTCGTCGTCCGCTTCACCAACCGCGACATCATCACCCAATTGGTCACTGCCGAACTCACCGGCGACAAGGTCTTCGTTGCGGCCTACGCCCATGAGCTCAAGAGATATGGTATCCAGAACGGTCTGACCAACTGGTCTGCCGCATACGCCACCGGCCTTTTGCTCGCTCGACGCGCACTCAAGAAGCTCGGCCTGGATGAAGACTTCACCGGTGTCGAAGAGGCGGATGGTGAATTCAAGCTTACCGAAGCTGCCGAGGGTGAGGATGGCGAGGAGCGTCGCCCATTCAAGGCCTTCCTCGATGTTGGTCTTCACCGAACTTCCACCGGTGCCCGTGTCTTCGGTGCACTGAAGGGTGCCTCTGATGGCGGTCTTTACATCCCTCACAACGAGAAGCGTTTCCCCGGCTACGACCCAGAGAGCAAGGAACTCGATGCCGAACTCCTTCGCAAGTACATCTTCGGGGGCCACGTCGCAGAATACATGGAGACTCTCGCCGATGATGACGAGGAACGTTACAAGTCTCAGTTCTCCAAGTACATTGAGAACGACATCGAGGCTGATGGTCTTGAGGAGCTCTACTCAGAAGCCCACGCCGCCATCCGAGAAGACCCATTCAAGAAAGACGAAGATGAAGGCGACAAGAAGACCAAGGAGGAATGGAAGGCCGAGGGCAAGAAGTACAAGGTCGGCAAGTTATCCAAGGAGGAGAAGAGCAAGAGAATCGAGGAGAAGATCGCCGCTCTTGCTTCTTGAGATCATTCTCGAATCGCCCGAGGGAGTTTATTGGGGTGGGGGGAGGGGATTTCAAACATGTTTCCTGTCGTGAATGAAGCATGATGCAGGCGTGCTCAACCAGAGAAAGGGGGTTTGCACAGCGTCTGCGTTAGACGATGGGTCCAAAAAGTGCAATGCATGTTCAACGAGTCAGATCAATGATTTTTTCCTATCCTGTCCACCCAGAGTGGATGATAGTACTGCTGATTTCGACTCTGACATAAGATGCTGACCTGATAATCGCCCTATTCACCGTGTAAGGCTAGTAATTAGTGGTCCATGGCTTCCTGTCACTCACAGGTGAGTCAGCGCAAGGTGAGGCTGAACAAGCTGTGGGAAGTATATTCAATAGTCCAGTGTATCCTCACTGTGGCGATTGACCGCCTATTGGCTTCCGTTCCGAACAATGACCGCAGAGTACCGGCCACCCGGAGAAATCAATGATGGAATCCCACCGATAATTCCGCTCAGGCCTGGGGATACAGAGCTCGTCCATCGTACCCGGCCCGCAGACCTTAAACTCAGCTAATTACCGGCCCAAGCCAGACCCTAGGAGAAGGTGGCAGACCCCGCCGAGGCCAACCCAGGAAATCCGGCCACCAGCTTCAAGTTCGAATTGTCCATCTCTTCCAAATCCCACCTGGGCTCAGTCTGGATGGAGCGATTGTAGAACTGTGATCCTTCTCGTCATTTCTTGTCGTCTTCCGGTGGTTGCCGGATTGAGCAGGCAGCATGGCGGGCACCGGCGCAGGCGGTATTCTCGATGTAGACTGGCTGCTACATGGCAAGAAGGGTGCGCTCATGTTCAATTGCATATACCTGTTCTCACGGCCGGGGTTTTATGGATCATGCTAATGGGGCCATCAGATCATGTGCAACCTGGTGCAGACAAGAACAGTCGAAAACAGGATTCCCTCTCACATTCCCCGCCTCTTACCAAGCCCGTCGACCCTACAGCTCGACACACACCGACGCAACCTACGCCTGCAAAAGCGGTCAACGGAAAGAAGGAGGAGGTACAAAGCACCGCCGAGAAGGCAGCAGGCTCCCAACCTCGCAGTCAGCGACCGTCGCTGGCGAGGGGTCGCAGCACCGAAGACAAGAAGGGCCCCAAGAGCGACGTCGCCACCTTCAAGAAGGACGGGAGACGAAGTTCCTGGATCGCGACCTTCAGCTCCAAGTTTGCATCACCCACACCTTCGCGCAATTCCAGCGTCGAGACCCAACCGCAGTTGAACCCTCCTGCCAGTGTGACGTCCCCTCAGCCCAGCCCCAGACTCGAAATCCCCAACCCTTTCAACAAAAAGGAATCGACGCCTCATGTCCAGCAAGACGCCAAAAAGGAAGAGAACAAGCCGGCGCCCGTCGCCCATACTCCCACACCGCCGCGGCGACCCTCAGTCTTGGTTGCTGCTGGCAAAGAGACCAAGCTAGACCACCCGGGTTTTCTCTCGAGTGCCTTGCGCAGACTATCATCCTCATCTAACGCCAATCTGGGCAAAGGTGCCGGTTCTGGGGCGATTTGTCCACGCAGGATCTTGAACGTTGATCCGAATAGGGAGCGAATCACAATCGGCGAGTTCGACCAGAACAAGCTCAAAAGAGTTGCGTTTTGTGTCGACGTGGAAATCGCCGGATTTGCGTCTCAAGCAGATGAGGAATCAGAGCGTCTCTCTCGTCCCGGCGATCCAGCTAGCCAAAAACAGAAACCTTCCACGCCTGCAAATCCGGCACCTGTCAACAAGGACGCAAAAGATGCGAGGCAGAAAGACAAGGGTGAAGGTGCTGCGCTTAAAAACCCTCCAACCGTGCCTGTATCGGAGCAGCCTCTGTGCGCCCCTGGTTCCGAGGCCGAACAAATAGACAAAGTTACAGTTGAAGATGCGGCGCCGCCCTTTGATCCTCAACCTGCGCCGACTACACGCAAAAAGGAGAAAAAGAAACGCTCGGAGGCTGAACGGAAAGAACGCAAAGAAAAGAAAAGGAAGCACGCGGAGGCCAATGGTCTCGTTCCTCTGGAACTGACCCGAGAGGATGACGATTCCGATTCGAGTCCCAGCACGACTCCTCCCGGATCGTCAACCCCTAAACGGCCGTCAGACGGTCCTACGACCGACCCCTTACGCATATACAAGCGATGTTGCCAACTCCGTGAAACACCTGTCTTGCCGAGGATGAAGGAGCAGATCACAAAACTCTCGGCGACCTTGTCGGAAGCACCTGGCACCGTCGCAGTGATGGATCTGTCAGGTTTGCATATGCAGTTGTCGGACATCGTGACACTCGGCGACTGGCTTGCCATTGTGCCGGTGCGGAAACTCATGTTGGATGACTGTGGTCTCACGGACGAGGGCGTACGCGTGATACTCTCGGGACTTTCAAGCTGCAAGTCTGTCGAACAAACGAAACACAACCGAAAACTTCCCAAAAGGCTTCCCGGTAGTCGAGGCAAGGAAGAGATGGGCGTCATTGAAAAATTGTCGCTGAAAGACAATCCGGGAATCACCTCGACCGGCTGGAGACACATTGGACTTTTCATGCACATGTCGAGGTCGCTGAAAGCGATTGATCTGTCGGGTATCAAGTTTCCAGCCTCTGGCGATTTGTCTTACGCTTCCTTGACGAACAAGTCTGCCGGTCAGACGGTGCACGAAACAAGCTCCAAATCTACCGATTTGGCATCTTTGATCATCCATGCCTTGTCAGAACGGCTGGGCGACAGACTCGAGGAGTTGATTCTGAGCGGCTGTGGACTGTCGACAGTCCATGTCCGGGACGTCGTGAACTGTGCCATCAAACGTAAGATCCGACGTTTAGGTCTTGCCGACAACAATCTCGAGGAAGAAGCGGTGAGGCACGTCGTCCGGTACATCAAATCCGGTGCCTGTGACGGCCTTGATCTGGGCAGCAACGACTTGCATGGCATTGTGCACGTCATCGCCGAGGCAGCCGATGAAGAATGTCCTCTTTTCGCCATCAGCCTCTCCGACTGCAACCTGACACCGATCGATCTCAAGTCCATATTGCCACCGTTCACTAGACTCACAAATCTCAAATTCGTCGATCTTTCACGCAACAGGGCCTTGTTCGATCGCGATCCCAACGCGGTTCCAATCTTCCGCAAACTGCTCCCTAAAATGGCACCTCTGAGACGAATACACTTGACGGATGTAGGCCTGACGCCGGAGCATGTCATAGCTCTGGCCGAGATACTACCGGACTGCCCGTCGTTGGCTCACATTAGCATCCTGGACAATGCCCCCCTCGTCCACTCCATGAATTCCAAGGAAGAAGGTGCTCAAGAAGAAGCTTGTGCCTTCTTTGCTTCCCTGATGACAGCGGTCAGATTGTCGGAGACCATCATGGCCGTTGAGATCGAAGTTCCCAGTGCAGACAGCAGCGAGGTGGTCAAGGCACTCGCTTCACAGGTTGTCGCTTACAGTCTTCGGAATATGGAGCGGACCACTCTCGACGAAGTCGGTCTCAAGTCTACCGCCCTTGCTGACAAAGATGCCCCGGAAGTTTTACTCCATATCGTCGGCCATATGGAAGGCTACTCGGTAAACCTTGACAAGGACGAGCCAGCTCCCGACGAAGACTACATGATTGCCTCGACCGGTATTGTCAAGTGCCTCGATGTGTTCTTGGGAAGTAAGGACGGCAACAGCCGAACGCATTCGAGGAACATCAGTCCTACCGCTAGTGGTACGGCGACTCCGAGGAACGATCTTCGCCAACGAAGCATTTCCAAACCACGGGATGTTAGCTTGGAACTGTGCGAAAGTGCCAGGAAGATCAGAGCCCGGTTGGGACCTGCTTTGATCAAAGAGGATCGTGCTGGAAATGATGCAAACTATCGTAAGTTAGGCCATGTCATTCAATGTTTGTCCGCTGACACCATCCTCTAGGGCGTCTGTTTTTCCTCGATCAAACTCTGCAACGAATGATCCAGCGTTTCGAGGATGAATATCCCGAGGCGAGACGTCTAGCATCGTCACCACCAACGGCAAATGGACTGCCTTCTCCGGATCCATCCATCGATGCCTCCATTCTTTCCGCGTCGGCCGATTCCAACGGGTTGATCAGAATGACATCTGCAGAGGAGTATTTTCCTGCCGATCCCGACGGCTCGAAGAAGGACCAAATTCTGAAATTATCGCGCACACCTTCAACTACATCTCTCGTCGCCAAAGCCTTCACAGATGAAGAAGGACGCATGCATAGATTCGGGCAAACCATGCGACGAGAAGTGCTCAAGCCGACAGGAATGGACGACATCTTGCATGGCACGAGGCTTGATGACCCAGCCGAACCCCCCCATTTAGCTGCTCTTCGGGCCAAACTGGAAGAATTCAAGGGTGATGATATCAGGTCCAAGGTGGAAAAGCTGGGGGTTGACAATGTCATTCGCGAGCTTGGGTTGAATGCTCAAGAGCTGCTTATGTTACGAGAAAATGACCCGGAAGGATTCGAGACTTTCAAGGAGTCTCAATTGGCCGCACAAATCAACGCCGGCCTCATCGATTTGCATGAGGATTATGAATATGGGTTTCGATAGTACAGAGGTCGTACATTGATTGGATCTGGAGACTGTCTGCATCATGAGCGTTCTTTGCGGCTGATACCTTTTGCACCATGCGTCTGGCATAACGCGATGTTACTTGTGGCAACTTTGAATCTAGGGAGCGCTCCAGGAAGATATACGTACCATGTGATACCCCTTTGTAGTACACTATTAACAGACAAGATTGATAATTAACATTTATCCCTTCACTTCTGATCATTGTCACGCTTTGCACCACCATCATTTCGCACTTCTTGGTGATACAACAAAGATGGAGTCTCTTCAGGGTGACAAACTCGGTAAGTATAGCGAACACACTAATTGCGGCCCGTGCCGGCCATAGTGCCGGCATCGGTACTTTGTTTATCCGATGCTGGATCTGTGAATTCAAGGTGAAACTGACTTTCATTTCACTCAGATGAAACAACCTCCGTCCCTCTACGCCAGACGCAGGGTACTCGAGAACGTCGATGTGCCATCAGCTCTGTCTCTCCTGTGACAGCTTGTTCTTCCTCGGCCACTCCGGAGGATGAAGAAATCTGTCAACCACCCTGCGCACCATCCGATCCCATCGAGTCGAGACGGTTTCTCCGAGCGCAGCTTGTCAAGCAAATCAAAGCGATTGTAGAACGACGTCACCGCAAAATGGCCAGCAACGCTTTCCCTCCCCTCGATACCTCCATGCCTGGTGGAAATCGCGCTGGGGCGTCTCCGACGACCTTGCAAGCTGGTGGATCGGTCAATGGCAACGGGGTCGGCCCAGCGGCGAATTACATGGCGCCTCTGCCTGTCGGACACCAGCAAGACTTGAACTACCTCTACACGCAGATTCAAGAGCTAGGAGGCATTCTCAGAAGCAACCGAGAGAAGGTTAATGTCATCACGCGTGCGGCGGAAGAGGTTGCGGTCTGTCATATCCGGCTTACTGCTCGCCCACGTCCAAAACTGACTGCTGGTAGAAACGCACCAACGGAACACTTTCGGAAAGTGAAGGTGGCCAGGAAAGTGACAGTGAGTCCTCCCTCTGCCGCAGTCGGATCCAAGCCGCCCTGACACTTCCTCAGAAGCCCGCATCCGTGAATTGGAACGTGAATTGGCAAAGGCAAACCATGTCGTCGATCTCTACAAGCACGAGCAGAAGGAGAACACCAACTTGATTGCAATGTACGAAGACGCCCTGGGAACCGCCACCGAGCAAATCCGCAATTACAGCGGCGACACCGAGGGCCGGTTTCTAGCCCAGCGCAGATACTACAACAACCTCCTGCAACAAGAAAAGGACGAGCACCTCCAAAGCCGGTTGGACCGGGACCACTGGCACGCTCAGACTTTGAGGGTGTGTGAGATGATTCGCACTGCATTTCGGTTGCGTACGGACGAATGGAGTGAAGAATACACGGTGATCGCAGGCCTCCAGGCCGAGGTGAGGTGTCTTCGGCGCTGTTTGGGGATGGAACCTGAGCAGCCGGAAGAGGAGACCGGCTGGCCATATCTCAAAGACATGCCGTTGAACGATCAAGCTTGATTCACATGTATCGCATATTGCTGGGCGGGGAGTTCAGGAGGGGCACATTTGACAAGGCATTGCTCGGTGGTGTCAAAAGATAGCTCTGCAAGGGAGAGGTCCAGCTGTCGAGGTACCAGACGCGCTCACGAAGGGCAATGATGTACAAATTATGAAGATCACTTCCCTACGCTTCTGGAGGGGCTGGACTGTGACAGATTGGCTTTCGAGTACTCTGCAAGAGCTCGGGGGCATCCAGTCTATCCTTTTATGTCAAGTGCATTATTTTTCGCTTGCATTGGACCGATAAAACGGGGTTCCCACAGGTGGATGAAATACCCGAATCAGTAGTCAAAGGGATCGAACATCGCGCTCATGGATCTGTTTGTCACACGTGAGGTGTCTATGATTCCAGAAACAGTCTCGACCCCCTACCTCCTTGTTTCCATCCCTGGGATAGACGTGTCGCCTGAGGCGGGACAGGAGTGGATTTTGAGGGAAGGGAGCCGTGAGGAGGCAGAGACGCGCTTTGTGGGAGACATGAGTCTGTCCGATGTGGCAGTGGTAGTGGTGGTGGGCGACAGCAAAACAGGGTCCGTTGGAGCAAAAACTGGGGTAAGGGACGAGGATAAGAAGAATGGATGGTCGGAACAGGTTTGGTTGACATGTGTATAGAAACACGCTATCTTCGTTGGGATCCGAAGTATAAGAGAGTTTTCGGATCGAGAAAAGATGGAACAAATTGGTGTCAGCATCTATCTGGATTGGCCGATGCCATTATTTTGGAGGGTTGGGAAGAATGCGGCAGTGGCATGGCTTGGTGGTCTGGTGGGGGCAGTTCTCGCGTTGAAGGCGCGGCGCAGGCAGGCAATCAACTCATTCGCCATATTCCACCTTGTCCTCAGATACCTTCACCTATTCACCTATCCGTATACCAACCATCCATCCTTACCTATTCTACACACCCCTGCACACTGCAGTCATCCTCATCTGCTCAACATCATCATTATAAAGAACGAAGCTCTATCCGTATCGTCGTCCTGGTCGCTCCCTTCTTTACTTCTCCGTCCTCCTGACGCCCCCTCCGTGAAGCCTCGAGTCGGCCAGCCCTTGCTTTACGTGAGTTGACAGCTCTCGAGACGCGCTCAGGTCCCTCCGCCCTCGGCGAGCTGTACGGAGTAGACTGACGTCTCTCCTGCATTCCTTCAGCCTGCCCCGCTCCGTCCAAGATCTCTCCGTTCTCTCGGTTTGCACCAAATCGATTACTACTCTCTGCCGCGTCCTCCGAATCTGTCCAGGCGTTCCTCGCTTGCCGGTGGAGACTGCTTGTTGACAGCTACACCAGTCCAGCTGTCAACAACTGCATCCGCGCCTTCGCCACAAACACTATACTGCCTGGACTTTGTCTACTTTGGGCCTTGGTCTCCAATCTTTGTTCCTTCTGGGGCCAAAGTGGCCAGACTCACCCGGAGTCTGCATCCTGGTCTCCCACCTTTTTCGGGGCGCCCATATCGTCTCAACCACCACCAGACTCGCCACCAGGCTACACTTGCTATGAGAATGGACGACTCTCTTCAGATAAGCAGAGCGAAACCGCCCACGTCGGTCATTCTTTCCTCGCCCAATAGTTGCCCACATCTGCTCGTTCCTGACGTGGCAGTCAAGCGTGTTCTACACACTTATGCACTTCTTGAAAGCTATCGGTACCCGTCCGTGAAAAGTTGCCTTTCATACCAACTGTCAATTCTTGTCAGATTGAGGACATACGTGATGGTTTCCGAATTGTCTTAATCTCTCCTCCTGTCACTTGTGACGCCATGCCTGCCACAGGTGCCATACCGAGCCCAAAGCGCTCGAGGGTGTTATTTGGCGTCCTTGCCGCAACATACCCCATTTGGTCCAGTCCGTGCCAGCCTTCTGGGCGCTCATGCCCATCTAGATTGTTGCCTCCCCGGTTCGTGTTTAAGAATGTCCTTCGTCCGCTTCATCCAGACCCTGGCTAGATCAAACACCGATTTCGCTCACCTTCCACGTATCTACAGGTCTCGGTATCTGCACAGCATCGATCTTATCAGAACAGCTCAACGCGCATCACACCAAGAAAAGCTCGGATCTATCATCTGTCAATATCCTCCGTCCGTTCCAGCAGTCATTTTCAAAACAAACAAAGATCGTCAGGGTGGCTGCCCAGTGCTCGACTCGACCACACGACCGTTCCACTCACGTAAACAGCTTGTCATCCTCTCAGCCACTCCTGTCCGTTTGTCGGACCTGTCCTGCCACTTATCTGTCCGACAGAAGACCGACACGTACTGAGGAATGTTCGTTTGTCAGTAACACTTATATCAGGCTCCCTTGATCACTCTAGCCTGGACATCTCTCCCCGCCATCTCACATCCATACTCTTCACCATGTCTACAGGACCGTCGCCTCTACCTTCACCCTTGTTGAATGATCAGTCCGGATGGTTCCCATCCGACCGGAGTGCTAAGGCTCGGTTCAAGGCCCTGTTTACTCGTGCCAAGTCCGAAAAGGCCGGCCGGCAAGGTTCATCCAGCATCGGTTCCGCCCAGCACCTTGAATCTCGGCCATGCGCTTCACCTCAGGCCAATTTCGCGACCCGCGGTCGTAGCACCACTTGGTCGAACAAACAGCGTGAGTCCCAGCACAGCGGGAAGCAGCAGCGGTGTCGGAATATGACTTCGTGGGACCCTCCTCCGCTGATCCAGGCCTACACACAAGCGAAGATGCACACTTTTCTAGACATTCCGTCCACCTTGACCGACACCCTCTTCAGGAACAATCAGCAGAGAGACAGCACATCCGGAGAGTCTTCTTCGCGGTCCAGTCTGGATAATCATCTTTTGTCAGCTGCGGCTGAAGACGCGGGCTTGAGGCACAAACGGAATTGCTCGGGTGCCAGCACTTGTTCTCTCAGCCAAAAGCTGGTTATCTTGACCCGTTCAGGCTACATTCTGCAGTACCACGCCGACGGGTTCAACGACCGTCTTCCCGAAAAAATCCTCGAACTCGGCCCTGACTCTTTGGCCTTTGCCAGCGACGATATTCCTGGAAAGCATTGGGTTCTGCGAGTTTCCCACGCTGAACAGTCGACATCACAAGCCTCGAGGAATACCTGGTCGAAGTTGATGTTCAAGCATTCCGAAGACAAGAAACTCGTCAAGGATCTTCTCCTCATCTTCGATGATGCCATCTCCCTGGGACTGTGGCTCACGGCCATTCGCAAAGAAATCGAACTACTCGGAGGTTTGCAATATCGACCCGACTCTAGAGGTCCTGAGGAGGACGAGTCGAAATTGCCCAGTCACCCCCCCCTCAGGGCTCGGAGAAGTCTTCCAGTGTTCTCCCGTTCGTCGTCTCATCTCCCCGTGGAAAAGCCGTCCTCGCCTGTACTTTTGCCACCAATGCCACAACGTTCTGCTCGCAAGATCTCAAGGTCGACAACCGACTCGTCCATTCATACCCTTACGGATCTGGACAATATCCGGGAACCATCATTCTCTGATGACCGCTCGGTTTCCACCGCCCATACCAGCTTCACCAGCTCCACGACTTCTGGCTTTCACGCCGTTGACTCATTCTCCAGCGCGGAATACTATGAGCCTCCCGTACCGGGCGATTCTCAGTCGCGCGAGTCTACACCGACTCAAGACGACCTGGGAGAACTGTCGATGTACATGGCAACGCCAAAGAGAAAGAGACGTCCGAACCCGCCGCCGCCACCGCCACCGCGGACGACTTCGTTGGATGGCAAGCCTGATACGATCCCTCACGACCTCCTCGTACCCACCAGCCATTCCGATCATCAGGCAGCTGCTTCATGGGAGTCAAAGGCGAGACCAATTTCCACCATCGCCCCTCTCCCAGAACCCGGCCACATCAGGAAGATCTCTGCTCGCTATCGTTGCGAGCTGCAAGGATTGCCCCCGCAGCCCTTGACCCCAGTGTCAAGACCAGGAAGCCTTCGAAGTCGCAGCTCTTCCTACACGCAAGACTCGCCGGATGGAGTTCAGAAACGTTCGGCCTCGTACAGCCTGTTCCCCAAAACACCCTCTCAAGACCAATCTCAAATTATCTCATCGGTTGGCTTGCCTTCTCCTCCAGCCACCACCCCTGGTGCCGCTTTTGAGAGTATGTGCAATGTAAGCGGACTTGGGCCGGATACAAGGGATGAGGAGAAGGAGCAGATATCAAGAGGCAGTCAGCTTGCCTCGAGAAGATTGGGAAAGGCGCTTTCTATCGATACGAGGCATGCCGAAGCGGCCGGTGGACACATCGGCCACCCTCAAAGGACACCTTCGGTCACCGACGCACACTTGGAAACTTGTTTTGGAGCGCACCCTGACGCCCCCCGAAGGAAGTCATCGGCCAAATCGTCCTTGTCAACCATCACGACAACCACTGGAGCCGCACCCCAAGTCTTGCGCAAGCACCGTCACGTTAGGTCACGAAAGAGTATGCCATCTCTTGTCCATCCTTCGACGCCTCCATCGGGACCTCCTCCTAGCGGACCTCTTCCTGCCTTGCCCACAGAGACATGTCTTCCATTGCCGAACAAATTCATCTCGGTCTCGTGTGGACCAATGCCAACAAGGTCTCAAAGACCTCCGTTGAAACACAGTAAAGCCGAGTCGGCCGGCCCCTGGCTGGGGTCTAATACACTGGTGACGACACAACCCCAAGCAACCAAACCTGCCACGACGCACAAGAGAAACGGCTCCTCAGTATCTACCGTGGCATCAGTGCGCCACGTTACCGCCTGGCTGCAATCCGATCGTGTTGCTGCCTTTTCTGCAAAGTGCGACGCAGCACCGACGTTGAACAACATCAACGTCCCTGACAGCCCAGCCTTTAGCTGTGGCTTTGAGAAATTATTGTCATGAGAAATGAAGACGAACTCTTTTTGTTTGATGGAATGACGGGATACGAAAATATGGAATTATGATTTTGGATACGAGATGGGATGAACACTATGATCTGATGGACTAACTCAAGTTGCTCTATATGAATGTGATCAGATGACTCTAATGACTTGTGATTGTTCGTACTTGAGGGTGCTGGCTGTGCGTACCCTGCTGGGGAGTAATCGGTCCTGTGAGATTCGTATCAGGTTTCACCCCCTTAAGTTGGGTGCCGGCAGATGCCGTGAGCTTGACTAAAAGGTGGGCATAACTCAAAGGGGAGGGTGGGAGCATCCCTTTCGAAGCCAGAGATGAGTACGGCAACCAGGTTAGAATCCAGACTGCGTGCGACAGCAGTACTAGTGTAGTATGACCATGTGCGACAGCAGTACTAGTATAGTATGGCCATGTGCGCAGACAAGGTATACGTACATACCTCTGTGCCATGGTCGGTGGAGCATCTGCACTGTCACATTTCTGCCTTGCCTCTGTTTTGGACCCGTGTTCAGCTGGCCTCGCCTCTCCTTCACAAGGGGTGGTGGTTTATGCTCGTGGCGTGAGGTGTGAATTCCTAGTATACCCACTGCTGTCCAGCCACTACCTCATTCGTTGAGCCTCCTACCGAACTCGCCCATTTGATTTCGAGGTGCATGGCTAAACAAGCAGATGCGATGATGAGACTCTTTCCCAAAACACGGTCCAAAAACACCGTGTCCTATGTCCTATGGGACTGTGGATGCCTCAGAAAGATGCATGGTGAACCAACAATTGAATCTGGGACTTGTCCCGGCCAGGTTTCCTCGTGGAGTCTCGATTCAAAAAGAATTAGGAAAAGAGAGCCCGAGCTTTCCTTTGCCAGCTCATGAAGTAGACTTCCAGGAGAGTCCACCAACCACCCCCAGCTAACTGCTGGCAGCTGCAGACCAATTTTGCCTTTGTTGTCCGGTCCATGTTCCAGACTTGCTGAGGTCACTCCACGGAATCCCACTTTTGCAAAGAATCTTCCTGCATCCTGCACGTCACTCGTTAGCGCTCGCATGGAATGTCGGTTCAGCCACGAGACCATTCACGGTCAAGGTCGGAATTGGAACACGATCTCCGTCCTCTTTCGGATTCTAGGGGCACTCGTGCCAGGTGGTTTTGGAATCGTGATACTCTTCTGGCCCAGCTGTGGAGCTGCAAAAGAAAGACCGGCACATCGTAGGGGCTTAGGGGCTAAGCCCGGGAGAGTGGCCCGCGGCACGACGCGTCCACGCGGTCCAAGCTAGGGTAATAGGGTATGCTCCAGCTGTTGAGCTTCGGAGCGGGCTGGGTCGAAATTCAGAGGTGCAGGACTACGGAGTACTCAAATCCAGGAACTCTAGAAATCAAAACTTACTGGTAGGTGACTGGGTAGGTTGGTGCAGTCACGCGCTTTCTGCCTGCGCCCGTTGAATACTCTGCGGTAGCAGCTTGTACGGAGCGGCAGTTGTTGCCAGCTTAGATAACTCCAAAGAGGAGGGTGATGTGGCAGTACCGGACAAGTTGGTCGAACAGCTGGAGGAGACAACGGATGTCAAGATTCCAGATGTTTAGCGGCTGGTTTAAAGTACGTGAAGGTAATCATCGTGATATTGTTCATGGTCAGCAGTGTAGCATAAGGTATGTACTCAGTAGATGCAGATATCGATGCTGCCGGCCTGGACAAATCTGGGCAATGTGATTGGCGGAATTGATCTTCTTCACTATCACACTGCACCTTCGGAAAACATGTACTCTCTCAGTAACTTCCTTGGGCTTGTTCGCCATGTTTCTCGTTGCTTGCCTCTCTCTCGTGCTTGCTTATCTCCTCTGGACTGTCGTTCGGCTTGCCAGCAATTACGTCGAAGCCAAAAAGACTGGCCTACCCATTCTCCTCTGTCCCGTAAACCCTGGCAGCCCACTATGGATGCTCTCCAAAGAAGTGCTCATCCCCATCTTCCTCCGCCTCCCTTTCGGCATCGGTGACTGGGCTGGTAGGGCAGAAGTTGGCTGGACCTTCAAGGAGAAATTTTCCGTCCATGCCCGTCACGGTGAAGCCTTTATCATTGTCTCGCCCGGCGAGAACGAAATCATCCTGGCGAATCCCTCCGCCACAGATGAGGTGATGCGCCGTCGGAATGACTTTATCAAAAACCCGGCCTTGTACGGGATGCTGGACATCTATGGCCCCAATCTCGATACGGTCAATGGAAAAGCCTGGGATCGGCACCGCAAGATCACAGTGCCCCCGTTCAACGAGCAAAACAGCGCCCTGGTATGGCGAGAGAGTGGCGAGCAAGCGGAACAAGTATTGCGCATCTGGTATGGCAAGCAGCAAGTTACATCCACCCAACCCGACGTCCATGCCGTCGCACTCAACGTGCTGTGCGGAGCCGGTTTCGGAATGCACAGCAGCTTCGTCGACGCAAGACTCCCACAAGATGATGAGGCCTCAGTCAAGGAACACATGGGCTATCGAGAGAGTCTGCGGATGTTGCTGGCCAACATCGTCCAGCTCGTGATCTTGGGGTTTTTGAAGAGGGCCGGCGTGCCCAATTGGATATGGCTGGGGAACATGCGCAGGCTATCGCGCGCGTACGACGAGTTCAAGAGATACATGGCTGAAATGATGGCGCTAGAGAAAAGGGCATTTGAGCAGGGCGACTTCTCCAGGCATAACCTGATGAGCGAGCTGGTCAGGGCTTTGGAGCAGTCGAAACGGGTGGCCACTGCTGGGAAGGAGACGGCCACCACCACGACTCCAGGGTTTGCCCTCGGACTGACCGACGACGAGGTCTACGGCAACCTCTTCATTTACAATCTTGCAGGTCACGACACCACAGCCAGCACGCTCCACTTTGCCATCACCCTGTTGGCCATTTATCCCGAATGGCAAGAGTGGATTGCAAAAGAGATCGACCAAGTCCGAGAGGCCGAGTCGACCGGCTTGCATTACTATGAACAGACTTTCCCCAAGCTGCAGAGATGTTTGGCACTTATGGTGAGTCCGCCCAAGCTTGCAAAATGTTGGCTTCGTTGACCAAGGGCAATAGTATGAAACTTTACGACTTTATGGCCCGGTGGTTATGATGCCTCGATACACTGGCGATTCACCTCAAAGACTTCACATCGACGAGGAAGAACATTTTGTTCCGTCCAAGACTGGGGTGACGATCAATTTTGCAGCATTGCATACCCATCCCAAATACTGGGCTCCAGACCCTCTCACTTTTCGTCCCAGCCGATGGATCTCTCCCGCGGACGAGAGGGGAGAAGATGACGTTTGGCTGCAGCCAGTTCCTGGCACGTTTGTGCCGTGGAACATGGGTCCTAGGGTATGTCCGGGTAAGAAGTTCGCTCAGGTCGAGTTCACGCGGCTTGTTTTCGGCTTGTTTGCCGACGGCACCAGAGTCGAACTGGTTCAACAAGAAGGCGAAACCGGTCAAGCGGCGAAGGCAAGAGTTCTAGGCGTGGTCAACCGGGCAAAACTTGAGGTCACGTTGAAGATGGTGGATGCAGAAACGATTGCCTTGAGATGGGTCAAGCCTGCGAGCAGTGTATCCCCCGCAGTGTGAACTCCTCCATAGTTAGGAACGTGGGATATCTCCATCACACCTGCACCCACCATCCACGTAATTCACCATTACACGTTGGCCACAACCATCGCTATTTCCGGGGCGTTGATTGTTCCAACACAAATGGCGCAGACGGCACCTCGCGGAGATGACGAGGACTTCATTCTAGTACCGCAGCCGCCTATGGTGGGGCAGCATGACCTCCTAGAGTCTTCCGGCTGCCGTTATGCAATGGCCACAACGTATACGAGGTGACTGTGGACGAATTGCAGCATTTGTTCTCCTCCGAGAGTCTCTCGTCGGAGGAATACATCCAGTTCTGCCTAGACAGGGTTCAGCAGGTGAACTGAACTTCCACGTTCCTTGCCACTCGGCGCTGAAACCTCCACCTAGACCAATCCGTACCTTGAGTGCGTGATCGAGACGAACCCCGACGCCCTCAAACATGCCAGAGCACTAGACGAAGAGAGGAAACGAGGCAAGATCAGAAGTCCGCTGCATGGGATCCCCGTCTTGGTCAAAGATGTAGGGGCGCCGTCGCTTGAAGGTTTAACACGATCGTGACTGTTGCGTACAGAATATGGCCACGGCCGACAGGATGCAAACCACCGCAGGATCATGGGCTCTGCTCGGATGCATCGTACCAAAAGACGCTCATATCGTCAGTCTGTTGCGCAAGGCCGGAGCCGTCATTCTGGGCAAGGCGAATCTGGACGAATGGGCCGGCATGAGAGGCAGCATCTACTCTCTGGGGTACTCGGCGCGCGGTGGGCAATGCCGAAACCCATATCTGTTGAATCGTTCCGCGAGTTAGTCCTTTCCCTCTGCCAATTTCACCATGGCCTGTTCATTGACCCTTGCCCGCAGATGGCAGCAGCTCTGGCAGTGCCGTATCAGTATCGGCAAATATTGTCCCACTCGCGTTTGGGACAGAGACGGACTGCAGCATCATCAGCCCTGGCATGGTGAACGGCGTGGTGGCCATCAAACCGACCGTGGGGCTCACTTCGCGTGGAGGTGTCATCCCGATTTCGGAAACTCAGGACTCGATCGGCCCGTTCGGACGATGTGTGGCAGACGCGGCGAGAGCTCTCGATGTCATTGCCGGGCCTGATCCCGACGACAAGTTCTCGACGCAGCCTGAAAGATGGCAGCCGAAGAGCTACTGCAACTTTCTCGCCGATCGACATGCGCTTAAAGGTGCCAAGTTCGGCCTTCCCATTAAGAGGTTCTGGGAAGTCGCTCCATTTCCCCAACGAGCAGTGGCCGAAAAGGTCCTGCGACTGATCACGGACGCCGGTGCGGACATCATCTCGGTGGATATGCCTTGTGCAGAGGAGAGATTGAACAAAGACGGGGTGTGGGATTGGTATGTTGCTCTGTGGCCACCGTGCCAAGTTCTAAACCATCACTCACCTGTCCAGGGAACGATACGGAGACAAACACCCAGAGATTGCGGAGATCACGGTGAGCAAAGTGCAGACATACTACTTGATGAACGAGTACCTGGCCAAGTTGAAGAACACGCCCATCAAGACCCTCGAGGACATTGTGCGGTTCAACGACGAAAATCGAGGCTCCGAAGGTGGCCATGCTGGTGACTTGCCGCCATTTCCTGACGGCCAACGACTGTTCCGCCAATGTGTCGAGACCAAAGGCGTCAAAGACAAGACATACTATGACGCGCTGACGCATATTCAGTCACAGTGCCGAGGTAATGGCATCGATGCTGCGCTGCGCCATTTCGACGCCCTGTTGTTTTGCGATGTCAAGGCCGGAGGTATTCAAATAGCCGCTCAGGCCGGATACCCCGTATTGACGATTCCCATTGGTCTCGATCCAGACGGAATGCCAGTTCCGTTGACTCTGCAGCACACCGCGTGGCAGGAAGACAAGCTGGTGAAGTGGGCGAGCGCAATTGAGGATCTGTTGAGAACGCACAACGAAGAGAATTCAACTCCGCTATCATCACGCAGAAGCCGAATAGGAAGAGTGCCGCCGAGCTATATGAACCACCTAAGGAAGAACATTCCGGTGGATCTGGATTATCAATGGCCTGGACGGCATCCTGACCAAGGTTGTTAATCAACGCTGCCCTACTGACCGGGAACTTTAAGCGCTTGTTGTTTATGATACGCTCGGTTTAGGACGAATGAACCAAGACATGGTACTGATATCTCGATTCGAGCTGAATTTGTACGATGTCAAGGAATGGTCTTCCTTTGCCCTTCCACACACAATACTGTGTAGGTAAGTGGATGGAAAGCATGAAACCTTTCTAAAATGTTGCCATGATCTGAAATCGCATGGATCCATTATTGTCTATCACATTTTGAAATCTATATTCTAAAAGGTGGCATCTCTCTATTCATTTTGGTTCATGTCTGGTGATTGTGGTACACCTGTTTCCGCGGCACCGGCTCTATCTGGGCCAGGTTCCTGAATCCTCACTTCGCGCAGACTCGGGGCCGAGGAAGCCGGACTTGATTCGGTTTGAACTGTGATGACGCCGTGATGGCCAGATGCTTGCTTTTCTTCATCGCTGGGAATCACCGGTGCGGTCGGAGCAAATCTGCTTCGTTGTCGGATGGCCTCACCGTACTTGGAGAAGATGAACGGAATGGGCATGAGGAGCACAGCAACACCTCCGATCAGGGACCCTCCACCACCGACTCCTAACGCGTCAAACATGTACTGCGTGAACAGAGGCGTGGTGGCACCACAGGCGGATCGACAGATGGTATTTGCCGCCATGGCACTGGCGGTGTACATTAGGTACGTGTCGGTGAGGTAGTTGAGGTAGGCGACGAAGATGAGGATGATCGACGTGGACAGAAACGTGCCGGCCAGCACGGGGACGAACCAGTGGATGCTGTTATACTCGGCCGTCCAAGCGAACCAAAACATGCTCACGGCGAAAAGGACCCCGGCGCCCTTGGCCAGAAACAAGCGATCTTCCGGTTGGCGAGGGACGCCGGCCAGCATCTTCTTTTTCTCGAACGACGAGGTCCAGAAGACGATGCCGCTGCCGAGGCAGGCCCCAATTGCGGTGCCGATCAACGGCAACTGGCCCACGCCCGAATTCCATCCTCTTTTCTGCTGGAAGACGATGGGGTAGATGGTGAAGAGCATGTAGAGCAGCATGTAGACGACCGAGATGTAAATGGCCACCAGCAGTGAAATGGTGTCGAACAGAATCTGCCAGGGTCGGACCAGAGCGACCATGAACATGTCGTACAGATTCCGGCCCTGAGCCTCGGCGGGAGACATCAGGTGTTGGTATTCCGGCACGCCGGTCGCCCTGATCCTTCGCGCCTTGTTCGTCAGCACCCTCGGGGGGAAGGTCTCGGGAAGAGTGAACATGAGCAGCCCGGTCGCGCCGCCGAACCAAAGGAGGACGTAGAAGTTCCATCTCCAATTTTCCGTGAGCTCCAGAAAGCCCGAGCACATGGGACCCAAGGTCGGGCCGATGAAGGTCATGGCGCTGAACACGGCCATGGCATTGCCTCGCTCGATCGGACCCCAAATATCGGCCAGCACTCCTGGGGAGTTGGTCATGGGCGCACTGGCACAAGTGCCGCTCAACAGGCGCCCGATCAGCAGGGACGCGAAATTGGGCGCAAAGGCGCACAGGAAGTTGAAGGCCACGTAGCCGGAGAAGGAGAGGTAGAAGATGTATCGGCGGCCATAAAATTCAGACAGCGGTGCAAACAGCAGTGGGCCGGCCACATAGCCCAGCAAGAACAAGGTGGTGACCAGACCGGCCGCCTCGACGGAAACATGAAAATGTTTGGCAATGCCCACCACCGACCCCGATGGACTGGACGATGCAAATGTGGCGTTGATCACGAGCGTGATTGATACCACGGTACAGTACCATCGACGGGCGACCGACCATTCTTTGGGGTTCTCGACATCGCCGGGGGCAAAATCGACATGGCCCTGTTCGTTGAGGTACGGCTCGATAGCGGGATCGAGTTTTCCGGACCGGTACGGTTTGGCCGTGGGCCGCGAGAGAATGCGTTCTACCGCATTCATGGCAAAGAGGGAGAGGGTTAACGTTGATCAAGGGGGACAATCGGGAAAAAACCACTGTCAACAATTAAACATCGAGAAAAACAGAAGGGAAAGTCTCCTCTCCGCGGTTGATCGGCCAGGCGGGCCCGTTTCGGCTACGCGGCATCATCAAATTGTATCGAAACGCCGACCGACGCCTCTATCAGATTCCACACACTGCACACTGGCACACTTGGCAGACCCTTTTCGCCTGGGAGGATCTCTTCATGGTCGACGGACGTCAAGAGTGCGTATAAACCAACCGTGCCCCGTTGAACAAGCCCGCATTCCCATCTTTTCCTCCAGGTTGATGGTCAACTCCTTCGAGCATGGCATCGCGGAGTGGGTCTGTCTCGCTTTTTCGGGCCTTATTTTGTGACTTCGGGAATTCCCCACCGGCCATCTTGCTGACTGATGTACGACGTCGTAGTCGTGTACTAACCACGTTCGACCCCTGGAGGGCCTTGCTTCGGTGTCATTATTGTCGTCGACTCCGCTGTGCCCCATGCCTGATGCCTGCAGGTGCCTGGGATTCGAACACGTTTTGGCGACATGCGACCGCGTTCTCGCGCCATCACACCAATCCACAGAGCGAAGAGGATGATTTGTCAAATCCTGCTCTTCGGCCCCTGGCAGTATCAGTATCGGAGCTGTAGTCTGACGATCCAATCACGATGCGCCCAAGCAACAAGCAACAAGGGTTCACTCTTCACTCTTATCAGCCAAGGCTTTGGAACCAGCCAATTATCAATTTCGACCAGATCTGGTGGTACGGTACGGGGCGCACCAGCATAGCATAGCATGTCCGAAGGATATCAAGTACGAGTACAACTTTGTGTTGGTCACCTCCGAATGCTTCCCAGATTCCATCTACTCAGTATGTTGCTGGCCCTCAAACTGCAACTGTTCTCACCCAGAATGGCATCGCCATCAAGGACGAGGTTGCTGCAGCGGTCCTGACAACCCGCTGCACCCTAGAGAAATGAGTATATTGCAAGAAGTCAAGCAAGCAACAAGCAAGCAAGCAACATGGTGGAAATTATCGTTGGCAATGCGGAATCAAATGCCGTTGCTCGGGATAACAAGACCTACCCACGGCAAGAGGCTGATTGTTGTCAGGTGCAGCCAATGCTGGCAAAGACCTCTGATGAAAGGGCACTTCCTGTGGCATCGTGGCATCGTGGCATCAAAAGCAAAGGAAGCTGTACTTTCCTCGGGGAATCGTCGGAACGATGCCCATCATCTCGGGTTCAGGTCCGGGTTCGACTACAGGAATGGCGTCTTACCTGAAGGTTTCGAGATACTTGCTCGCACCCTTCGAGTCTTAAAATTTCTTTGTCTAGGTATGCTCGTCTCTCTACCCTTTTGCTCACTTCTTCTCCTCCTATTATTTTTCCGCCGCTCTAAGAACTCGTTGTCCCTTACTGCCAGTCTAGTATATTTTATACTATAGTGTTCTCTAGGGTCGCCATGCCTACTCTAAATCGCGCTAATTCGACTTAGCTTAGCTTCTCTATAGTACCTTAATAGGCCTTAAGGGTAACGTGCATGATAAGCGAGTGAAACAGACAAGCGAGTGAAACACCTCACCAAATTTCCACACCATCCAACTTTCAATATGATTTTCTCCACCACCAGCGATGGCAACTATTAATGAGGAACGAAAAATAAATCTTGCTCTTTAAGCTATCAGAAAAGACCAAAATCTCAGTATCCGGGCCGCAGCTACGATCTACAAGTGTAATCACGTTACCCTGTCTCGACGACTCAAGGGCACTCCGTCTCGCAGCGACAGTATGCCCAACTCGCGAAATCTGACCTCCCTCGAAGAGGTGACGATAGTCCAGTATATCCTTGACCTCGATGCCCGATCCTACCCTCCCCGACTCGCTGGTGTGGAAGAAAT